CAAAGAAAAGGATCCTCAATGAGCCTGAAGGGAAAATTTAGTTTATTACTTTGAAACTTATAACCAGGTGAAGACGGTTCTGAATACTCTGTCTCGATCTCAGGGCGGCACAGAGTATCCATGTTTTTAAAAGCGTCTGGCTTTTAACTAAATGTAATTCTAAAAGTGGGGTCTCTCTCTGAAGTCTCTTTCACCCCTAATGAATGTGCAAAATGGTTAACTTTTCTCAACAATAAGAAGCATACGACTGCAGTCTTAAGAGCCAAATGACTGATGCAGGAGTGCTATGTGTTCCCTAGAAAAGCCAAAATCATGAAATCTGAGGGGAGAAAGAACGAAAGCAGACTGAGAAATAGGTCATGGGTTAGAAAAATGGGCACAATTTGCACAGTTTAAGAAAGGTTTCAACTCATACTAACACTTCAGATTAAAAGTGATCAGGCTGTAATCAGACATGAATAGTTTTGGTCTTGTATGGATGGCTTTTCTTCCATAGGTGTGCAGAACATGGACTGAACTCAGAGCGAATACAGCCTCATAATTGGACCTTTGACTGTATCCACACAGTATAATAGATAATAGGTGATTTTATAGAAATGAACTTGAATGAAAATCTTCATGATTATCACTGAATTAAAGAAAAAACACACAGCAGCTGGTTAATTGATCTTTGCTGTAACACAGTAACAAGTGAAACTCTAAGTCTGGCTCTGTTTGAAGGCAATAAGAACAAATCTGACAAAAAAACAAAGACTGAAAATCAATTTTTCAATCTCTTAAAAAAGTGTGAAAAGGTCAATTTGAGCCTAACGTGTTGATGAGTTAGCTTTGATACATAGAGGTAGAGTCATTTACTTGTCTCCTAGTGTTTATAAGCTAAGATACAAGCTGGTGGTATCCCCTAAAATATCAAGTAACACATTATAAACAATATATATAGCTTTTATAGTACACTAATGTTGTTTTGCTTGCTCTGTCGTCTTCCTTTTGTTAGAGGAAGTGCTCCAAGGCTCGAAAACAATAATGCCCTAATTGTATCAGACTAAATGAAGTGAGGATTTGTTTCAGTTTATTCGTCCCTCTGTGTCCGATTTCTCTGTCCAAAGCTGTTCTGATGTGACACGTTCATGCGGCAGAGCGGCTCTGCAGCCCGTGTGCGTCTGTGTGCTTTGGGCTGTACCCAATGAGGCAAACAGAAATCACCAGACAGCACACACCACAGCCTTTCTTTTGCCCCTAACCATGAGGAGCGACTACATTTGCATCAAGCATTATAGGCGAAATTAACATGCGGTGTGTATATTGTCCTGCGATTAAAATATTTAGACTGATGTTGAGAATATTAATTCTTAATGAAACAGGTTTTTGTATTTGCTTGTTATTCTTGAGCCATCAGAGTCTCATTTTTGAGTCTTTGTGAACACTGTATTTGCTACAAAGAGCATCCATGCGTGATTCTGTACATGTGAATTGGTGTATGAATGTGTGTCAGTGTGTGCTGTGTATACTAAACAGTTTATCTCGTCTGCTCTGACTAATGTCTCGTTCCCAAGTGCAGTGAGGTGAGCCAGGTTCATGCACGCTGCTGCTGAAACTCAGGTCTGCAGGGATGATAAGACCCCTCGTGTCCATGCAGGAGACAAATAGCCTCTCTCTGGTATTACCACCTGATCCTCTTCACCTCCTTATCTACTACATGATGACACCTCCAGAAACCCCTATTTACTCACACTTTTCACCTTCCCCATATCCCCCACTCTTATTTTCACGTGCCCTGTATGGCACACCCTGCGGGCATGTCAAGAGCAAGCGCTCTTCTGGCACTTTAATTAGACAACCACGGCTGGCATCAGAACACATGGGGGGAGGGGTGCCAAGGCTAGGGCACATGAGGTGCTTAGGATGGGGGTCGGTTGTAGTTGGGAGTTGGGGGAGAGGGTTACTGTTGGAGAGATGATGTCTACATCTGGATAACAGCAGTCATATCTGTGCCATCCAATAATGAGTCCCGAGCAAAAGTCTGTTTCCAGGGCCTCAAATCGAGTAAATATTTGCTCTTCAGCACTCTTCAGCTTTGATTTGCTATCTTTAAATCAAAAGTGCGGTGAGCACAGCAGTTGACCCATCACCCTCTGATATTGATTTTTGTGTTTGCACAAAGCCAAGCTGTAACTGTAATCAGCAGTCAGCTGTTAGTGATCAGAATTAGGTAATCATCAACATTACACAACACTGATGGAAAGCAGGTCAGCCTCCAGACCTGAAGGGTCATCGGGTGAGTTCTGACGCAAACAAACAACCAAGAACTAAAGACATTTCAGGGAAAATTCTATTAAAAAGTTATGTCGGGGGAAAATAGATAATTGAATCTGCCTGCTTGGAGGAACTTTTAACTGGTAATGAAATGAATGATCTTGCTAGTGATGCCAACTTTTGACCTCAAACAGCAAACAAGGAAGCGAAAAGAAGACGGACAAGTCTAGTATCCTGCTTATACAAATGTGACTTTAAATGAAGAGACAGATAGCCAAAAAAGGCAGTGTACACACTGGCTATTTTGAATGGGCTTATACTGTACATGTGTCCTCCAAGCTTTCTGGAGCCAGCCTCCAGTGGAGACTTGAGGAACTGCTGTTTTTAGCATCTCCAAATTGGCTACATCTCTCAAGACTCAAGGCTGCCACTTTCTCTATGTTCATGAAAAACCAAAAAGATATATATATTTTTAATATCAGACAACCCTTATTACACTAGTAGAGGTCAAAACCATAGACTGTATATAGAACCATTAGAACCATCCTCTAACTTATCTTGTTGGACAGTCTCACCTGGTTATCACTTTTAATGTTTCCATGCAGGCACATTAAATACTCCTCTAATAAAAAACAACCCAGGTACATAAATATTTGCTCTGGAGAATCTTCATTTTATTGTCTTTGCCTGTTTATGTCACACTTGACCTTCTTCTGCTTCTGGTCACTGTCTCTCAGCTGGATATTCTACAGAAAAAAACACTACGGAGTAAGACAGTGAAGAAAAACCTGACTGGTGAATCAAATCCTCACTCTTTGCAAGTTTGCTCAGGGCGGCTGTAGACATTGTAAAAGACATGCTCTGAATGGCAAAATATTGGGTGGCCATGGCAACCGTAAAGCACAAAAGTAGCATGACTGTTTTTGTGTGTTTGTGATGTATGTCAGGTAGAGACAAAATCTGTTACATACATTGGAAAGAACCCCCCGCCCCCCATACACACACACGCGCCAAACAAACGGGACTTGTGCAGGGTGCCTGACTTCTGTTGCATGTCACACAAGCCAGGTGACAGGTGTTACAGAGAAAATGAGTGAAAGCAGGGTTCGTTTTAGCAGCATTAGTTTCAAGCTCTCAGTGTTTTGCATACTGGCACAGTTGTAAATGTTGTTAAAAATCACATGTACCCTTCTAGCTATGATATGTATTCCTGACACCAGTGAATGACGTAGGTCGCCCCGCATGTCTATTCATCATCATGTGCGCTTTCAGTCCTTAGGCTTTATGAGACAGAAAACAAAAACATGCTCGTAATCCACAAGACATAGCTCTGACTTTAAAATATTTTCATGCTAGTGTTTCATTCCACTGTATTTTTCCTTTGTTCCACTTCTTTTTCATCAACTTTGATCTGTTCCTCTGCAAACTGTTTCACCTTCAGAAGGGCTCCATAAATCTCTCTTGATCTCCCTGTGGATAAAAAGGCAGGGCCAGAATATGAATCAGCAGCTGGCCAATCCAAACTGTAGTCAAGCACGAATCTAAAATGTCTTTTATCTGTCTGCAAAAGCATGAACACGCACACACACAAGTGGATGGTTAAGATTACAGGGGAAATATATAGCATTGTCTGAGCATTGGCGGCATTTCTTGAATGTTAAATGTCTGCAGGGAACAGTGTATTTGAATGGGACTGAGCAGACACACCTCTCTCACCATGGCAGTATAGTCTAAGGACAAGGTTAACAATAGGATATGTGATGTGGCATCTGGAGAAGAACTTTATTATCATTTAAAAAATAAATGTCATAATTTACCTTGGTTGTTCTTCATTATTTTTGTACAGCTTCAAGATTAGTAACAATGATCATCTCCTTTATTTATTATTTAATCGAGATAGACAAAGACAATGGACCACAGATTCGGGCTCAATGTAGGAAGACACGCTGAAGCGATGCATTGCTTTTTTCTCCTGCTTTGAATTAAAACACTAACAGGTAAAATTCTTTAAAAAATGACTGTTGTAACTAAAAAATTGCTGAAAGCACGCAGAATAAACCAAGTCCAATTAAGGCAAGTTTTGGTTTGGAAATAACGACTCAAAAAACTTACCTGAGCAAAAATCGAGGGTAAAGTACTACGAGAACGAGCCCCCAATTGGCTGCCAAACAAATCACTTGAGGAAGTGATTCGGTTCAGTATGTGCACTCAAAAAATTCGGTTCTTTTGAACGAATCGTTCGCCAACAAAATAACACTGCCAGACACAGACAAACCAGAGAAACATACCAAAATACAACATACAAGATACAATGCTGGAATATTACGAACCCCGTTTTATGATGTCCATGTTGTAGGCAACGAGGACATCATAAAACGTAGCAATGAAAAACAAATCAGTTTTTGTACATTTGTTAATGTTTTTACCAAGAAGGGCTTGTCACAAACTCATCTCTTGAGAACCCCGTGTCACTTTAACGCTTCAGGGTTATTAAAATATCTGTAACACGACTGCCACCTCGCGCTTGAAACGACACACAGGCAGTCAAACATAGACATAATAAAGGATTAGGGTTCTTTTATTATGTCTATGCAGTCAAACGCTGCGTTATTTTTGCTCAGGCATTTAGGTGTTCGCCTAATAACTCAACTCGCTGGTTAATGTAGTTTTTAAAACCGTCTGCTTCCACTTGTCTGACTGTGCGCGGACCACTTACTTCACTACAATTCCCACAAACCATCGCTCGCTTCAAACAGTTGTGGGCGATATGGCGTCTTCTTAAAGCGCAGAGAAATCGTTGCAGTTTTGTTGACAAGTGATTAAGGTGATCTCTGAGTTTTAAAAACTGTTTATTAACATAGCTGTAGTTAATAGTTAATAGTAAACGCCTGGCTCTAAATGCATAGGGCTCAGTTTCGCATGTTTTGAGAGATTTTTTAAGGTAACTGCACTTTTTGCTAAATTGCTAAGTAGCCAAGGTAAGAGGTTAGCTAGTTCACGCTGCACGCATTCAGTTATTAGAGGTAGAGTTACGTTATCTGTCTTAACTGAGTCCTTCCCTACAACTTTTGATATAAACTCCTCTCCACTTTTTAGTGCTTCTTAAACGGCCGTTTCTAAAAGCTGTGGATTCATATTATTATTCAGACACACAGTTGATCAAATGTTTATATTCGCAGATGGCAGCCGACTCCACAGACAAGAAGGATGCGGACTCCTCAGGGACCAAAGACAGAGACAGGAAACGAAGCCGATCAAGAGAGAGGGATCGCAAATCGTCCCCTACAAGGAAACGGCACCGATCCCGCGAACGAAACCGATCCAAATCTGCAGAAAGGTAACTCAAATCATGGGCCACTAAACCGCATCAGTGCTTCTGCTTGTGGAACGTAATGTTAAAATCAGAACAGAGATAATCATTGTGATTGTAATGTGTTATAATCACAGAGATAGACGTCTTAAGGATAAGGACCGAGACAAGGACAGAGACAGAGATAAGGACAGAGACAGGGGCCGAAAGGACAGAGACAGCCATCGACGGGATAAAGATCGCAGCAAGAGGTCCAGGTATGTGAACACTGAAGTGCATGAAAACCAAAACACTTAAAAGGATATTAAAAATTAATTTAGGGTATTACACCTGTTGGATTTGCTTTCCCTCTCAGAAGTTCCTCACCAAAGTCAAAGGATTCCAAGCTAAAGAGAGAGAAGGATATAAAAACAGAAGAGGATGAGGATGAGAAAAAGAAGAAAGAGAAGGTGAGACTCAAGCGTGGCAGCATCTAAAACATACTCTGGCTGTTTCTCAGGTTGATATTTTGTTTGTTTTAACTTTGTTGCTCACTTTTCAGGTCCAGCCTTTGTCTCTGGAAGAGCTTCTTGCTAAGAAAAAGGCAGAAGAAGAAGCAGAGGCAAAGGTAAGCAGCTTCCTTAAGTCCAGGTTTCTCTTTTTCTCTCTCCAATTTTCTCGTCCAAAGTCGATTGTTTTTCTTCACCTTGATTTTCATCTTTTCCAGCCCAAGTTCCTCTCCAAGGCCGAGCGAGAAGCCGAGGCTATAAAACGGAGGGAACAACAAACAGAGGAAAGGAGAAGGATGCTGGAAGATGAAAGGAAGAAGAGAAGGATGTTCCAGGACATGGGGAGAAAGATGCTTGGTGTGTATTAGCTTCAGTAACGCTGTCATAAATGATTTGTACACTGTGGTAGATTGTGCCACTGAAGACGGAAAAAATGTGTGTTGCAGAGGATCCCCAAGAAAGGGAGAGAAGAGAGCGGAGAGAGCGGATGGAGAGGGAGAACAACGGGAATGAAGACGATGATGGAAGACAAAAGCTCAGAGAGGAGAAGGACAAAAGTAAAGAGCTTCACGCCATCAAGGTTCGTCTGAAATGTACCATGAGAAAGAACTTTTATTGTGGACTATATTGTTAGCAAATATGGCAAAAGGATTGTGTAGATTTAATAAAGGGTTTAAATGGTTCACATAACTGAAATTAGTGACTGTTAATCGCAGGAACGTTACCTGGGAGGGATCAAGAAACGAAGGAGAACTCGCCATTTAAACGACAGAAAGTTCGTCTTTGAGTGGGATGCTTCTGAAGACACCTCAGTCGACTACAACCCAATGTGAGTCAACGTGGACACATTTTATCATCAATTGATTCAACTCTGGTCTTTGTTTGGTTATAATTCTAAAAAGTATGATTTTTTTCCCCATTTGTCCTGCAGCTACAAAGAAAAGCATCAGGTGCAGCTTTACGGACGAGGCTTCATCGCCGGCATTGACTTGAAGCAGCAGAAAAGAGAGCAGTCGCGTTTCTACGGTGACCTGATGGAGAAGAGGCGAACACTGGAGGAAAAAGAGCAGGAAGAGTAAGTAAAACAAAGATAGAAACAGAGAAAGATTAAAACTGAGTGGGAGAAGGTGTATTTAAAAAATGTCTCTTTGATGCTTCTTAGGACGAGGCTGAAGAAGATGCGTAAGAAGGAGGCCAAGCAGCGCTGGGACGACAGACACTGGTCCCAGAAGAAGCTGGACGAGATGACTGACAGAGACTGGAGAATCTTCAGAGAGGACTACAGCATCACCACAAAGGGAGGAAAGATCCCGAACCCCATCAGGAACTGGAAGGAATATTCACTGCCTGCACACATCCTGGAGGTCATCGACAAATGTGGCTACAAGGTGACTGCACTTAAACTCTGTTAAAATGAAATTCATGTTTTTAATTTTTTTATTAGTGATTATTTTGACTTTTGTTGTCTTCTTAACAGAAACCGACTTAGTCTGAAGCACAATCAATCATCAGTTTTGTCTTTTTCTCCTTTAAAATTCAGGATCCCACACCTATTCAGAGGCAGGCCATTCCCATTGGTTTACAGAACCGTGACATCATTGGTGTGGCTGAGACAGGTAGCGGTAAAACAGCTGCTTTCCTCATCCCACTGCTGGTCTGGATCACCACCCTGCCAAAAATTGACAGGTAACGCCGCCAAGTCTTCGTATCCCTTCAATCTGTTTTCTCACCAGCTTTCACCACACTGTATTCAAACAGTTCATCATCCAATGACAGCGTCCTTCTTTCTCATTGGCTGTTTGTGCAGGATTGAAGACTCAGATCAGGGTCCTTACGCTGTGATCCTGGCTCCGACTCGTGAGTTGGCCCAGCAGATCGAAGAGGAGACCATAAAGTTTGGGAAACCTCTCGGCATCCGTACTGTGGCTGTGATTGGAGGAATCTCAAGAGAGGATCAGGGCTTCCGTCTCAGGATGGGATGTGAGGTGAGATATGAAGAAAGACACAAAAGCCCAAAGGATTCATGAATTTTGAGCAGGGAGTAGTGTGTTACATGTTTGTGCTCCTGTCTTATCAGATTGTGATCGCCACCCCTGGTCGTCTGATCGACGTGCTGGAAAACCGCTACCTGGTCCTGGGACGCTGCACCTACGTGGTCCTCGATGAGGCCGATCGTATGATTGACATGGGCTTCGAGCCTGACGTCCAGAAGATCCTGGAGTACATCCCTGTGACCAATCAGAAACCAGACACAGAAGAGGCAGAGGACCCCGAGAAGATGATGATGAACTTCGAATCAGGGAAAAATAAATACAGACAAGTATGTGTGTCTGTTCAAGGCTTTGAACCATCCATTTAAAAACAGACCTCGCTCTTATTATTTGTTTTGTGTTTCTCTAGACGGTCATGTTTACAGCTACAATGCCTCCAGCTGTGGAGCGCCTCGCCAGGAGCTACCTGAGACGTCCCGCTGTGGTTTACATCGGGTCTGCCGGCAAACCTCACGAGAGAGTTGAACAGAAGGTGCTGCTCATGTCAGAGGGAGAGAAGAGGTGAGGCAAATAAAGATAAAAACCGCAAACCTTCACATTTAAGTCAGTCAATGTGTCATGCTGAGAGTTTTTTCTTATGTTGTGTTTTGCAGGAAGAAGCTGTTGGAGGTGTTGGCGCATGGTTTCGAGCCTCCCATCATCATCTTCGTCAACCAGAAGAAGGGTTGCGACGTGCTGGCCAAGTCTCTGGAGAAGATGGGAGTAAGTCACCTAAATTTGTATCTTCAAATTTCTCGATCTTAAAAAGGAATTCTTAGAAAATTAACCTTTTATTGTCTCCTCACCTCTTGCAGTACAACGCTTGCACGCTTCACGGTGGCAAAGGCCAGGAGCAGAGAGAGTTTGCGCTCTCCAACCTTAAAGCTGGAGCCAAAGACATTCTCGTGGCCACAGATGTCGCTGGTCGTGGTATTGATATCCAGGACGTCTCCATGGTCATCAACTACGACATGGCCAAGAACATCGAAGGTAGAGATCCTCACGACAAACTTTTCTTTATTTTTAACACATTTTTGAAAGGAGAGAAAGTTGAAAGCCTCCTGTTTCTCTTTTGCAGACTACATCCATCGTATCGGTCGTACCGGTCGTGCTGGTAAGAGTGGTGTCGCCATGACCTTCTTGACTAAGGAGGACTCTGCAGTGTTCTACGACCTGAAGCAGGCCATCCTCGAAAGCCCCGTCTCCACCTGCCCTCCAGAGCTGGCCAACCACCCGGACGCCCAGCACAAACCTGGAACCATTCTCACCAAGAAGAGGCGCGAGGAGACCATCTTTGCTTGATTTATCCCGGTACACACACACGCACATACGCAACGGGATTTTTTCATCCCTTCTCCGCAGGACGAGTACGTCTCTGTTTCACTTCGGACTCTCTCTGAGTCACACCTAGTTTTTATGTCGTGGTTGCCCCCTGCACCTCACTCTGTCAGTCTGATTTTGACTTCTCAGCTGGTTCGCCAGTTGAAAATAAAGACAGATAATCAGTTTAAAGTAGAGGTGCGTGAAACTTCACTTCTTTCGGGACACACAGGCTCAGTTCAAACCTGCTGACATGGACAACTGGTTCGGGATACTTTGTTTTGCTTTTATAAACCTTGATGTAAAGGATCTCTTCTGTATAAACGCTTCTCATCTGTTATGAAGTTTGATAAAATCAGCCAGGATACAAGTGTAGATGAGTTGTGCTGTGTTTAATTCATCCTCTGTAGCCATGATTAGAATTTCCTGACTGTCTAAGAGACCAATGTGATGATCAGTGTTGAAGTGATGACCTTTTGTTTCCTCTGGGTTCCCAACTGTAAGTCATTGTTTTAAATACAAACATTTGTAAGATGTGAATACAGCAAAAATGAAAAATTAAGGGATGTCTACCTCTCTGCTTTCTTATGTGTGTCAAAGATTAAACAGCAGCATTTAAAGATGTTTTAGGTTTCTAATGAGTGTATTAATAGATCCGGAAAAAAGTGACTGCAGAGCAAATTTAACTGAGAATAGCAGAAAAAAAAAACACTTCATAAGTAAACTAGAGATGCACCAATTGTTTTTTTTCCGATCCAATCAGATACCGATTCCTGGGCTGAGCGTATCGACCGATATCTGATACTGATCCAATACTACTGTCGAATGAATGAACTGTACACTTTGCCCTCTGAGTGAAGGCATCAGGCTTGACATTAGTCTTGTTAAAAAAAAAAGGTAACAAATTAACACAGATATAAAATTACTTAATAGTATTTAACAAATAACCAAATGCACATTAGCACACAGCAAAAAGAAAGTAAGAGCTCCATGTATTAAAAGAAAAATTAATTAAAAGAGAAAAAGACTGGATCAGCATCATTCATCCGATATCCGATCCGGTTAATTTGTCAATATCAGAGCTGATATCTGATCCAAATATTGGATTGGTGCATCCCTAAAGTAAACGTCAAATTACCTTAAATATAATTCATACAGTACACGAAGTATTCATGCACTTTTCAAGGCCAATTTGCATTTAGTAGAACAAGTCAGGTACCTGGTTATGACTTGAAATGAAAGCCCTCCATGTGTGAATATCTTTCTCTTCAGTCTGATTATTATTGATAAAAACACCTTTTATGCTGATAGGAGATGTAAAGTGAAATAAAGCCATGAAAAAAATTGACACTGCTACAATAGACTATAGTTTGCAGAAGTTGTTTAAAGGTGTTAAAATCCATCCTATAGTAGGAATGAGAATTGATAAGATTTTATCGATGCCATTATCGATTCTGCTTATAGATTCAATTCTTTAACAATTCCCTTATCAATGCCATTCTTCAATTAAATAAAATTAGACTATCTGCTTACTTTTCGTATCGTCCGCCATATTTTTTCCTCTGTCCTTGTTCCCGCTGCATAGACTGGCACTCGCGAGACCATTTTTCAAGGCACCCGGAAGAAAGGAATCGTTTAGGGAATCGTTCAGATAAAATGTAAATGATGTCGATGGATTGAACCATTTGGAATCCCATCCGTATCCTAAAGCTGTAAAGGTATTGCACTGATCATCTAAAAGGTAACTTATGGTATCCAAAATAAAACACAAAGAGGAGCCACACATTTAAAAGTACATAAAATGTCATGTTTATTTTGTTTGAGTCATTTTTACTTCGCATTGTAAATCTATTTTCAAATAGAAAGCATTCTATACAGCATCAGGCAGGAAATGTCTCACTTTTTACACATTTGCTGTCTCTTTTGATAAATAGAGGGAAGAGGCGTGTTGGGTCACGCTAGCACGCTGTGGTCGTCTGGTGGATACACGGTTATATTTAGTGCAGTTATTGCATTACAAAGCAACCATCCCAAAAAAAAGTAGTGCAATTTTTTTTTTTTTAAACTCTCTACTCACACAAAAGAGGAAGTCCAGATGGTCTAAGGCGTTTAAAGTTTTTCAATGTTAGGCTTAGTATTGCATACAGAATAAGACAGAGGAAACGAAATTATAACCCTTGTAAAAATTGTGCTTCATAAATTGGAAAACGTCAACTGCTTTATCAGTTGTTAAATTGGTCCGCTTTGAAAAACATACTCTGCCAAAATATAATGAAAATAGCTAATTGGTGAACTAACACATACAGGGCTTCGATAATTCACTCATTCCTGTTTTTTTTATAAATCAAAACAAAAATTGAGGCCTGATCTGGGACCGATCCGAGAGTTTTCTTTTCAGCCGGTGACTTTTTAAAAGTGCATCAACAAGTGTCAGAACCAACATTGTGGAGGAAAAACAAAAAAAGTCCCCAATATAAATGGATAAATAAAGTGATTTTCAATAATAGCGTTAGTGGTGTGAGGAGTGAGTAGCCCCAAAGACAAGACTATCACTACAAGACAACGAGGAGTCAGGATCAATGCATTACTAAAATACTTAACTTTAAAAAGAAACGATCAGATTTTCATGCAACACTTGCATAGATTTTTTTTCGTTTGTTTTTTTTTTTTTTCTTCAATCATGCTGATTTTTTTTACTCTTCAAAATATACAGAACACTAGATAGGGAGATACCTGTGAGACATGGAAGCAGTAAACTCCTAAATATACTGACGGCGTCGCGTCCAAACTCAAACCATCGGCTCACGGATTCATAATAACGCAGGAACAGAATGAATGAATCGTGTCAGCGGGTGCTACAAGTCCTTTAGTCAGGAGCACTACACGTTAAAGTTTTAGTGGAGCGCTGTGAGTGTGTACACCTGAGGATCTGCCTTGATAATCATCTGTAAACCTGCAGTACACAAACAGAAACACAATGTTTTGGCAAAGACGTACAAAAGAGGAGGGGAGGGGGTGAGAGAAGTAACCGTGGATGCTACAATCAATAACGTGCTACAATCAAAATACAGGGCAATCGGCTGGGTTGGAGACACCGGGTGGCGCTTGGAGGTGCAAAAGGCATGCAAGCTTACATTCTCTGAAGCCTGGATCTGAAGAGGAGCTGCAGCTGTGCAGCGTGTGCTTGATAAATATGTCAATGATTCGATGTAAACAAGCAAGTTTCATTCTTGAAAAGATGACATTCCCTTTCTTAGTTGTGTTTACATTCTGAGTGCCCGTATTTTAAGATCTCAGAGGTGATTGTGCGACAGCAAAGACGAGCGATACCCGGAAAGCACTGCGTTGTACTTGTAGGTGACACCGGTGCTTCACTGCAGCTTTGTACTCACATATATAGAGCCAGATCAATTTGGGATTTTTTTTTAAGGCCAATACTAAAAACAAATCAAATACTGATACAGCTGCTGTTTCAGTTGATCTGAGTTGGATTACATGGATTGTGTGTTGACTTTGCAGCAGGATGACAATGCAAAGTAAAAGCTGCCTTCGGAAACGATGACTGTATGGAACAACACAAAGTATTGCTTCTTATTGTGCTCTGCTGAAAAACAAAAAAAAAAAGCATCTGTTGACTTTTCAAAAAATAAAAAAGTTCTGATAGCGGAAAAAAAAAAAATATACACCAGTATAGATCGATAGATTGGCCAACCCACAAATCGATCAGGCTCTACTTACATTGTGACCATTCAGAAAGTCAGTCCAAGTTAATATGTGTGTGTCTCCCACATGCCATTCGCCATCTTCATAGTACAATCTGATTAATGTATGACAGACATTTTTTTCATATCAACAAAACCGAACAAATAAAGTAGCAATGAAACAAAACCAGGTGCCCATTCAGTATATACATTGTAATCGAATGCATCACTATTTCCCATAAGTGGATTCAACAGTAGACATTCCTACATTAGTTTATCCGTAAAGATCATTCAGTTCCTGTTCTGACGTTAATGTGCAAATAGTCTTAAAAGAATTATACTCGTACATGCAATAGTAAAGATAGTTAAAAGTCTTTTAAGGAATTTTAAGGCCAGTATATGAGACATCCTACGATAGAGAAAACCTTAGGCAAAGCAGTTGGAGTTGGAGTACAGCTGGTAGCCTGAAACCTATCCAGTAGCCCTGTTGACTTTTGAGTGACTGACCCTGGAGTGCTTGTGACATCCCCTCTGTTTGGATAATCGGTAACTTTGGAAGATTGTGATAGAAAATTCAGCGTTTTCAGCTTTCTGAACAGGGCATTTGTTTCTGTTTGTGTCTGATTAGAGTTTGGGCAGCTTTTTCAATCTCTTAATTTGTGCGACATCAGTTGGGTGTTAGAGAAGACCTGGGTGCCAATCTGGAGGCTGGGGGGGGAGGAGGGCTCCTCTTCCTCAGTAGGTGTCTCGGGGCCAGGGGCGGCTGCGCTGGCGGTTGTTCCTCTGGTTGTGACCTTGCTGAGCTTCGCGTTGCAGCAGCCTGTCCTGTGACTCATGCCCGTTGGCACTGTGGGCGCTGCCTGCGTGCCCACGGTGAGGGGGGTACATGTCCCTGTATGTGCGACCATGGACAGGGGATGTGTACTCATCCTCCTCCTCTTCCTCTTCCTCCTCTTCTTCTTCCTCCTCCTCTTCCTCCTCACCCCCTCTTTGGCACGGGCTCCCCCTCCGGCCACGAGACAGGGAGTCGCTGGCCTCATCAGATGGCATAAGACTGTCCTGCTCCAGTGGGGAGTGGGCCTCCTCACCTGCATCCTCCTCCTCCTCCTCCTCATCACCCTCCAAGCCCACCCCCTCACGAGGCTGCGGCTGGTTCTTGTTCTGGTTCTTGAGGACGTGATTAGTCACAGAGGAAGAAAAAAAGATACAGTCAGAGGAACACTCTGCAAACCAGGACAGCGTCTCAAAGTCACTTCACGCTTTGTGGTAAATTCTTATCTAACGGCACAGATTTCATAGACAGCAAACACACAAAGAGAGGACAGGATAACGTAAACACTTCACCAAGAAGGACTTAAAGGCACATCTACTGCAAAATACAAACACGCTTGTATGCACACTGCAACATCATATAGAGATCTGTTAGTATAGGGTGTGCATCAAAGTGTTTGACCCATTTTATAGACCCTGATCTTAATAAGCAAACTGCTACGCTATGACAGAGTATTAGAGCCACATAAAGAAAAAAAGACTTCGAGATTAAAGCTATTAACTTATGAGAGTTAAGTCGTAATAAAGTATTTATGTACGACAATAAAGTCATAATAAAGTAATTATGTACAGGAATAAAATCATTATAAAGTAATTACATACACGAATAAAGTCGTAATAAAGTCACAAGTTACGTACAATAATAAAGTCATAATAGAATCATCAGTTACGTACGAGAATAAAGTTGTAATAAAGTAATTATGTACAAGAATAATGTCGGAATAAAATCGTTAGTTTTGAGAATAAAGTTGTAATAAAATCATTACTAACAAGAACAAAGTTGCAATAAAGTAATAATGTACAAAAAGAAAGCCGTAATAAAGTAATTACCTACGAGAATAAAGTCATAATAAAATCATTAGTTACAAGATTAAAGTCGTAATTATGTACGAGAATAAAGTCATAATGAAGTAATTATGTACGAGAATAAAGGCATAATTAAGTCATTAGTTTTGAGAATAAAGCTGAAATAAATTCATTAGTCATGAGAATAAAGTCGTGATAAAGTAATTATGTACAAGAATAAAGTTGGAATTAAATCATTACGAGTATAAAGTCATTGTAAAGTAATCGCTAACGAGAGTAAAGTCAGAATTAAGTCCTTATATTCCAACTTGTTGTTTAAGATGACAGTTGTTGAAATGAGAGTCATGGAACATTTCTTGAAAATACTTTAATATAGGTCTCTGTATTAGGCATATATGCCTAATCTTTTGGCACATCAGCACCACATCATCATAAGTATCATAATGATTTTATTACGACTTTATTCTCGTAAGTAATTCTTTATTACGATTTTATACTCATTAGTAATGATTTTATTCTCATATATTAACAACTTCAATCTCAAAGTCAGATTTTTTTACCTTAATGTGGCCCTAATACTCTGTCACAGCTACACAAAACACTCATTTAAAAGTTATTTGTCTTTTGATTGTTTAGAAATATTACAACTTGATGAGAATATTAATCTGGTTGTACAGGAGTTAAACATCAGGATGTAAATACCATGAATATCTACAAAATTTAAATTTAAATCTAAATAAAATGATGCTAAAAACAGTCGATCTGATCATGCTGGGAAGTCTAGTGTTGATTCAAAGTCCTTGTTGGTGAAGTGTTGACAGTTTTTTGTTTGTGTGTTTGATATTACAGACACTCAACAAAAGAAATGCCCGTGACACAGTTGAACAAATGGTCAGGTGGTCACTCTGGGACATGAAATGCTTTTGTGTGGATGTTATGGTTACAGTGGATTGTTGTTGAGTGATTAATGAGTGTAGATCAGGTGGATATGTTATTATTAAGCATGGCTCATATGCCTTTTTGTTAAAGGGGTTACTCAGGATAGCGTTGTGTGCCACTGTGAGAGGGGGGCCACCATTCACAAAGCATGCTTTAAAAGTGAAAAAAGATGGTCAGATTTGACATTTCATCAAACTACAAAAGGGAAAAAATGATTTTTTGAGACATGGCATTATGGGTTATGGTATGAAACTGATGCCACTTTGTGAATTTTACCCCTGAAAGCTTGTGGAGCAGTGATTCACCTCAGACCATCAACTCAAGGAAATAAGAAATGATGCAATGTCGGTAAAACATCTTTTCTGTGGTGAGATCTGAATGAATAAAGCTCTCTTTATTCACCGTCTCAGCCGCTGTGTTGTGTTCTGGTGCAGGAAGGAGTGTCATAGGGGGGTTTGTTCAGGTCGAGAGTGCAAATAAACAGCATATATATCTTTATATAAACCCTACTACTCACCCAGTTTTGTAAGCGATCATTCAATTAATTCCTGTGTTTCAGAAAACTGCAAAAATGTTAAGCATGGATGAGTGAGAGGACAGACAAGACAACTGCAAACAAACAAAAAACAAAGGAGTGAGAATCTGAGATGGGGAGAGCTGGTAAAGACAGTGACAACGTACAACATGTTCAAAACACTCCTACTTCAGAGTCACGGTTTAAACAGTATTTTCACGCTTTGTTTTGATCAGACAGAAAGGCTCACCTGTAGGCTCGAGATGGCAGAAGGCGGGGTCATCAGACTCTGCTCCAATAAGGGGTTCAGAGGGGTGTTTCCTGGGAGATGAGTGGCTCGCCAGTAGACCTCCATGTATTCGGCCAAGTGCTCGCATGCATCCTCAAGCTGGTTCTCATCCAAAATGACATCAAACATATCCTGCAAGTAAACAAAGAGATAAAAAAACCCTCCGATGTTAATTATCACTACAACATGATTCATGTCCCATTCTGCTCTTTCCCTATTTCCTATATTATCCACAGCCAAAACCACTGAATGATAAAAATGTAAATTCAATTGCTGTACATAAGGCTGGGCGATATGGGAAAAAGTTTATCACGATAATTTTTTTTCATATCAGATGGTATCGATATATATCACGATACAAAAAATGAAATTTAACTGTGCTTATTAGTTGCATGTCTTTTTTAATACAATAAGCTACTGCATCTGTGAGGTTGTTGTGTCTCTTCAACATTTTGTCGTGAGGCGTTGTGCTAGAGAAAGCGGACTAAATGGTCGGCTGTTTCGGCTGCACAGGCGCCATGGGCTCCTTGCTCTGCTCGGGGTTTGTAACCTTTTACGTTGTGCGTGCTCTGCCGCGTGGCGCTGATTCGGGTCTTGAAAAAGATTTGACGTATTCCCCGTCTTTGCGAGAAGATGCACTCAACATAATTTGCAGTGCACATTTCTCTGCTTCATGTCTGATCTCAAAAAACCAAAGTACCTCCACACCACCGACGTTTTTGTGCCAGTGTTCTCGACAATGTCATCATCTACATTTCTGCTCGGGGTAGCACTAATTTTCTTTTTCTTACCAACAGTGCTGTCGGCTTCACGTGTTAAAGTGCTATGGTTGCGTCGAGCTGCAGCCTGCCACTACACAGTTGTTTGTTACTTGGTTCCGAAGGTCCTTATCCTTAACCCGTATCCTGTCAATACAAGCATTCACATCAGCGACGTTTTCCCGTCCTGGGATATTGCAGCATTTATTTTTCGTATCAGAGTCTAATTTTCTGAAGCTTTGCATACTGTGTGTCCACTTCTGACCAATCAGATTTCGTGTTGTTGCGGCGTCAGATTCACCGGTATATCCAACATGGCCGACCGGTTTACATGTCGGAGAACAGAGTGCCTTTTGATAAAAAACACAAACATTACAAAGATAACAATCTGAAGGACAACTTGTGGAGAGTCATAGCGTTGGATTTCTCATATGACCATGGTTTGTGTGCTTTAACAGTTTGCTAAACATCTTTGTTTCAACTTTCATCTGTGCTAAGTAAATTTCACATCATATATTTGCGTCATTCCCGGTGTGTAAGGACCTTAATGCAGCACATGATTAGTTCAGTGTGAAGTGGACCCGGAGCAACTCCTCTTTTCATTTTCTATTCGTATAGTCTACCAAGACATGGCAGAATTCTGGTTATCGAAAAGCATATTGACCAAATATTGATATTAAGGGAAATTCACTTTCGATATATATTGTTATCGTTTTATCGCCCAGCCCTACATGTACACCGAATCTTCATTTTCATGATCATAGAAAAACATAGTTACTCGAATGGACTTACAGGGGGGCACTGAGAGAGTTTGTCTGCAGCCATCATCTGCACGTTCAGGTGCTTGCTCTGAGACTTCCCCCTGGATTTGATGAGCCTCTGAAGCACCTGACAGCAGGACGAGAACGTTAAAGATGGAAGTTTAGAGGAAGATTATGATGAAGCCTGAATCATGTATATGGAAGAGGTAACCTCTCGCTTTACCTTTGGTGAGGAAACTTTGACATAGACGATGATGGGGGCGAGGGAAGTTTTGGCTAACTGTGCGGGATGGTTGATGGTGTCTGCATCCAGGATCACCAGCTGCAGGGTTTTGGCAAGCTCGAATATCCTTTCAATCTCACTCTGGACCTCCGCTGCACAGAAAAAAAACACATCCTGTTTATTTTCTTTCTGACACCAAACTATTGCTGGAAGTTTCATGCTGATTTTAGCACAATCACCTAAACTGGAGCGGGTGTTAGATCTCTCCATGATGGGTCTTTTGTTGAGGACAGATCTCTTCGCTAAAGACAGGTCGGCAGTTACTCGTGTGATTGAGATTCTGCGAACAGACAGAAAAATCTGGCATTACGCTTTTTGATCATATTTCTTTGAACTTTTTCTATAAACAACATGAAAGAATCAAACCGCACGTCTGTTTTTTACTGACCTGCCCTCAAATCGGTGTTTCAGGAAGTCAAAAAGAGCTTTCTGCATCATATCTGTCACCTAGATGAGACGTTAGGGAAAAGAGAAAGAGACTGATGTGAAAGAGAAAAAAATCTTCAGAGAAACTAAAAATAACAGACACACTATTTTAAGCTTCAAAAATGACTAAAAAAGAGGATTATTCAAGTATTTGCTGGAAAAAGTACTTGATCAGCGAGTTAATGTACAAAATAAAACAAATGCATAAATAAACATCATTAGATTTGCTGCTTATGTGCTCACGATCTTTGTAAATACAGCAGAGCAGTGCAGAAAACTGTTTCAACAAAGAAAATAAGCGAGAGGCGGTCAGTCTGAGTCTGCTGAAGGTGAAACAGAGAGAGGCTGACCTCATAGCCCTTCAGAGACGGTCCCACAAGAACCACCGGCCTCATAGAGGGCACCACGTCGTAGGGAGGGACGTGTTCCTGTTGGAAAAGGGAACAAGGGTAGAGGATGGAGGCAGCTGGGGTCAGTTTGACGAAGTTCGCTGTTCAAGGACTGAATTAAAGCACATTGACTTTTTAGCTGCAACAACTGCAACTTTTGTAGAGCCTCCTCAGCTTCAATCGTCGACATTTCCAAAACTGTACTGTAAAATGATGTCGCATACAGAATCATAGACAGATATTAGGTTTCCAAACCCAGAACGTCCCAGATAAATAAATGTTTCACCCTTTTAACGGCGTGCTATAAAGCAGCACAAATCAAAACAAATCCATTTACAGAGTAGTGTTTGTTATGGAGAATGTCGATCATGTGGAGAGCCGGAAAAACCCAGAACAGACCCACTTAACTCCTTCAAACAAAACACATCTCATCTTTGTAACCGAGAAGTGAAAGTCTAAAACTTTAGCTGTAATCTCACAGTGCAACATTTTAACCTTTTAATTAGCTAATGTAAATACTCAGTTTTTGAAAGTTTATTCTAATTGTCCTGTTAGCTGTCCAGAGGAGAATAAGACTACAGCTCTGAAAACTTAGAAACACAGATTACTGTAATCTGTTGTCTGAATGTTGGGCGAAAGGCTCTGAGTCCAAAACTCAGTTACACCAGCAATACTATCAGCACTGTCAACTCCTTTATCTGAATTTCTAGCACCATTAGCTGAAGGCATGATACCTCCCAGATCCTCCTGTAACGTGAGCAGGTGTTAACTGTCTGCAAAGTGAACTACAAGCAAACTTCCATTCTTGGGTCACAAATCCAGCTGTCCAGTTTACAGTTCACCAAAATACAAGTTTAAAGATGATCATTTTAGTGAGTTCATGCACATATTATATCATCTATCTTATTAAATAGTATCAAAATAAGGTCAACTCTTTGTCACATGTGATAGTTCTGTAAGTATCTAAGAGCTACTGCCATCCACAGCATTCAAGATATGCTTCAATCCAATTCCACCTAAATGAGACACTGAAAAGTCACTTTTTCGGACCTGCAAAACACTCGTAATTTCGAGTCTTTACGAGCACATGCTGTATCATCGTAATGAGTTAAAGAACCCACCTGTTTTTGCTTCTGTTTGGCTTGAGGAAATAAAGGAAAAAAACAATCAGGATAGAAAACACAGAGGACAGCAGAAGGCAAATTACTTGTTCCAGCAGAACTAGGATGAGGATTTGCAGTACTTACATTCACCTGCAGATGGCGGCGTGGTCCTCCAACCTCCAGTCACCATGTCTCCTAAACTGGAGGAGTTACCCCCTGTTTTCCTGCAGCAACAAGAAAAAAAAAAACACTGAATAATCTGACCAATGGTTTTTGAAGCAGCTCTCAGAAAAGTAGGAGTCTGTCGTCTGACCTTTGTTTCTGCTCCTGTTTGAGTCTCATGGCCTCTAGCCGGAGAGGGCTAGGGATGAACGTGATGTCTGCTCCCTCTTTCACTAACCGGCCGATCCACCAGTCATTGTTGTATTTCTGTTGAGTTCAGAGCAGTTATAGGTCCAGTTCACAGATTGTCTATGATAAGAGTATGTTATTCGTAACTTTATCACTCACTTCTTTGATGTGCAGGAAGTCTTTTGCATCGAAATTGACTGCAGCTCCTTGGACGGGACAGTCCTCATCCAGAGCTCCACAGTAACTCACATTGGTCTTTACGGCGAATGCTACAGGTTTGGACTGTGACAGCAACAAATGCAGTAATAAGAACAACAAAAAGCAAGCACAAGTGCAGACAAACCACTTTTCTAGTATCTATGAAGTGTTGTTGTATTTGTCAACCCTACGAGGGGCGGCAAGCCAGTTTGGCCTCTATTTTGAGAAACCGGGCAGAGATCTGATAAGGTAGACGATAAAACACTGCAGACAAGTTCAACCAAACAGTGTGTACACTTATACCCAAAACGACCCCATTCATAGTGTCTAGTATCAAATATTTGATGTAGTTTCGCTGACAGAAGTTACTTAAATCTTTCGCTGATTGTATTTTTGATAGGATCTGGATCATTGATGAGAAAATGTTTAAAAGATTATCATCGATTTCAAACTTATGGATGAAATTTCAACTACTTACATTTAAAAGCTAAAACAGAGAATACTCAAAGTTTATGTAAGAGTACCAAACCATCAGCTGGTTGAGATTATAATCTTGTTAATCATAGAGGACTGGGAAATTCAACAAGCACAATGTATTCAGTCTATTTTTGGAGTTATTTGAGTTTCCTTTAAGCAGCTGCAGGATCTGTTTGTGTTTTTGGTGTTTGTTAAAAAAAAATATCTGAATCCTTTTTGTTCTGTACAGCACATATGCAGCCCAAAACTACATATGTACATGTTTTAAGTACTACCGGGCTCACAGCTCTAGCGTACAGAGCAGAGTTAATTACTGTACCTTAGCCCTGTCGAGCTGCAGCTGTGCCTGGCGCTCGGCTTCACGCCGATACGCCTCGCGGTCCTCCTCTGCTGACAGGTCTGAATCCGACGGTCTACTGGTGTACGAATCAGCCGACCCCTGCCAGGAGAGAGTCAGAGGGGGGCATAGTATCAGACTAAATCACTCCATATTGTTCACATATAATCAATTACTCAAGTCAGGAGCGACATGCATTACTGTAAGATTAGATCATGTAAACCTGCTGTTTCTTCTTGTCTGCCTGCTTTCATCTGTCTTTCTGTGCTGCGGTGTTTGTGTGCAGGTGTGCATGCAAATACATGTCTGTATTCATGAACACATTCATGTGTGGATCTACAACACAATGCTTTGCTCTCCCACACCAGCCATCCTCTGGTAGACCAAATATAGCACAAAAGAGGCAACTGCTTCCTCTTCTCTCCTGCTTGGCCCCAATCCATTCCATCATCCCCCACAGTGCAGCACATATACATCCTTTATTCCCCTGTTTATTCTCTAAGGACATCTCCTAATTAGCAAAATATATGCCGGCTATCATTTTTCATAGTCGGCACTTTAAGGATGTATCCCAGGGATGGCTAACACGTAACGCTGTAAACAGGAGATAAAGCAAACAAAGAGACGATCGACTCAAAGTAAAACGGTGAAAATCGTTTGAAAGGCGCCGCTGCGGGCGTTCAGTCAAACATGATTATTTTTTTAAATATTTAAAACGCCTGTATACTGCAGAGCAGGGTCGGAAATTGTAAGGCAACCACACTGAACCCTATATATATATACACTGACCAGGATAATGATACGACCATGAAACAGTACTGCTGCAATAATTAATCAATTTCTAATAAATGTAATATTAATAAACCAATAAACTAAGAGACAACCATACAAAGACACATTTCTATTACTGATGTACAAGTGTCTGTTCAGAGAGCAGTGTCATTTTTAAATAAAAAACATTAATATTTGGTGCCAGTCGTATAATAATTATATTACATATGACAGGGTGATGATAAGCAGCTAACTCACATGTGTTTATCAATGGCTGATATGAGCGAGCAGGTCAGCTGATGGCCAACATGTAATAATTAAAATAGAAAAAATACAAGGTAAATACTTAAAAAAAGATAAAAACAAAATCAAATACAGTCATATATGTAGTTTTAGTTCTCCCTGCACATTACAATCTAAACTGGTGACATAGTCTTGATTATTTCTAACAAATTTATGAAAAAGAAAAATATGCTGGTTTACACTTTACATATTAGAACATGACTGATATTTACGTCAAATGCTGTCATTTGGGGAAATTGTGTCCTCATTAAGAGAAAAATGATGGTGACTTTGGCCTTGAAGGCACCAATGCCAATGTGATTGTTTCAAAATGCCAATAACTGCCGAATCAATCAACTAACTGATTAATCTGTCTATTTCTAGATATGATATATACTGCAGTATGGATATTTTGTCCCTCCCCTACAGTAGAGTTAAATTTAAAAAGAAGTCACACAAGGTTTTACACAACTGGTGTGAAAACAACATCATAGCTCTAAGTTATTAAAAGCAATTTGACTATTTTTACAGTGATCTGTGTTAAAACAAGCTATTAGTATGTTCAATATATAACCTCCTAGTTAATCTTATTTAAAAAAAAAAGTTAATTGCCATTAAAATAAATGTGTAAACTGTATCAGAGATGCTGATATCTTCAAAAAAAGAAAAAAATCAAAAAGGAGAAGTGTTCTAGATGCAGATTGGGTACTGTATGTGAGTGTGTGTGTGTGTGAGTGAGTGTGTGAGCTCTCCTATATTTGGTATCTGAAGGAATCCAGTCCTGAATCTGTCAGTTAAGAGAACCGCTGCAGCAAAAACCAAAAGCAAGACAGAGAGGTGAGACAGGAGACAGAGAAAGAAAACAAACAAGTAAAAGAAGAGACGAGTGAGAGACAGGCAAGAGAACACTGAGAGTATCCATACATTAACACACACATACATATATATATATAAAGGTATATACTCATATACTCAGAGGATGAAGCATGTTCTTGCTAATAAAGCGAGAAACAAAAACAGCCCATAATACAGATTTCTGTTTGGTTTTCCTCTCCTCCAGAGTGCACTGACTTAGTCGTGGTCATCCATCTTGCCAACATATACAAACAAATCCTCTGGAGGACCAATTAGCACCAGCACAACAAAAAGGAAATTCAGGCTCCAAACACACACAAAAAAGTGCCCAGACATGAAAAACAACCAGCAACCTTTGCTTTCCCTGCACTTCAGATCACATACATACAATCCAAGATAAATTTTCATCTACAGTACCGCTTTAAGTCCCAGAGAAACGGCAAGCGAACACCTCTCCTTCGTTTATTTTGGTTGTGTGAGAAAGTGTGTGTGTATGTCTATGTTAGATAACTAGATCTGATTTCTAGCACTCACAAAGCTCAGCACTGCACCAGCACCGGAGCAGCACAAGAGAAAGAAAAGGAGGGTGAAGAGGAACGGGATAGATATAGAGAGAGACAGAGGATGAGGTGAGGGGGTTGAATATCGTTGACAAGATATACTGAAAAGAGAAGGATGTTTACAAGGACGGAGAGTGACTGAGGGATGGTTGCAGAGATGGGAGAGGTATAAACGATTTATACGACGAGATAAAGCGAGGCTATCTCGAGGGGAAGATGAGATTAGAACATAATAAAATGCTATGAAGGAGTGGAGTGAGACCTAGATATCTATCCTCGATCGCAGATAGAAGAAAAGAGGGGGGAACACAGCAGGGGGGGAGGGGGAAAAAAAGAGGGGAGCGTGACCACGAGAGACAGAGACGCACAGATAGATACAGTCAGAGAAAGAGAAGCATACCTGGCTGATTAGGAGGACAGCGCTAGAGCCTGATAAAGACATGAATCAGAATTTTTTCGCACAGTGACGGCTTTCCTGTCTTCAGTGAAAATGCAGTCAAACAGACACAGACATGAAAGTGGTATAAATGTGGTGGTGGGCGCAGGGGAAAGGCGTTATGTCAGAGAGCTGTTAAATGATGTTAGACCACAGAGCGCTGCCTGGGCTGTGATTACCGGTTAATGTTTGGACGTGAGGATCCGGACCTTTCCTACACACTGACTCCATGTGCCGGTTGACTGTCAAACACTTCCCACTGTATAAAAAGGAGTGTTACACCACCAGGGGATCGAGAATAAAACTGGATTCCTCAGGTGAAACTATGCTGCACTGCAGTGTGACATTTCCAGTACATCTCACATCTCGTCTGAGGGTATCTTCTTTCTTCGTTTTGTTTTCGCTGCTTTACTTCTGCATATATTCTGTGATTATTCTTTACACACTGCAACACTGATGGCCTCAACTCCACAGGGGGGGGGAGGCCAACCAGGAAGTGTGTCATCCATCTCGTTGTTCTCAAGAGGACCAAGTCATCTCACAGTCAAGGGACAGAATTTCATACTCAGAGATATCTGCTATCTCTCTTTGCTGTTCTTATCCGTCACTCCATTTTAAAACATGCCATTAAATGTGTTTTCTTGAATCGTAGCTGTAACAACTCTAAGTTTAAAATAAAACTCCATCAAGTTAAATACAATATTTGCTCATACAAGGTAATTTTTTACACATTTGATAACACTAAGGTATTTTCTGATGTAGCTACAGTTCCTCTAATTGATTGTTTTTTAGGCCCCAAATGTAAAATGCTCTCTAAATGCTCACAAGCCGGTTGCTAACTTTGCCTCTCTGCTGTGTAACGCCGAGCACACAGTGTACAATGGGTTTGTCACGACTGCTTTGCCGTGAACAGCAGCCTGTTGTGGCCAAAGATGATCCTGCTGAGAGTGGTGAGACTGAAACAAACAGTGAAGTCAGGGGGTGGAAAACAAAAAGAAAATATGAGGTGAAAGAGGCCGAAACACTCCCAGAGCTGCAGAGATGGTTAGGAATTCGACAGTCTGCAGACATTTGGAAATACAGATATCATATTTATAGCCCACTTTAACCGTTTCTACTACAAGCAAAAGTTTTTTTATCTTGTGTGTTCAGAACTCTTATTGTCCACTGACAAAAACATACGTTCGGATATTAAAGGAAACATTAAATCTAAAGAAATCAAAATGGACTAATGTTAGAATAAGAAGAATGAAAGCTTCGTCCCTTTTAATATTATTTGTTTTTTTTAATTAATATTCATCTATAAATCTCAGTTGTGCCAGTGTTGTGCCAAGAAACGCATGTCAGCTGGGAATTGCATGCACCTCGCCAAACGTGTATCGATTATAGTAGAGTGATCGACGGAAATGTACAATTTTAAACCCATACAATTCTTATTTGTGGGGCTAAACAGTGATGAGTAATGTTTCGGAAGTAATTCTCAGTGGGCATGAGTTCCTCGGCACAACACCGGCAGCGCCAGTGACTCACTCCATGTGCAGGGGCGTGGTTTCCTCCTCTCTGATTTTGATTGACGGCTGGCAGGGTAGTCTGACTAGCAACTGAGTAAAGAACGAATGCGATTGGTGGATCGCTGCACAGCACACGCAGAGTCTACATGCAGTGTATGTCAGTCAGCTACCCTTGAAATTAGATGAATGTCACTCTTGCGTACACGTACATCGCGATGACGATGATCAAACGCTATATCGTGTAGCCCTACTATGACCAGCTACACTCAAATTTAGGCTGGAACAACAAGAGAGGGTCACATCACTGTTATATTGTGGGAAAAGAGAAGTTTGAACCACTGTTATGTCCAAACAGTTGGTCACCCCAGATTAGCTTGTCATCCAAGCGCTTTGAGCAAAGTCTATGCATGTATGATAATTCATTTACAGTAAAACTGCTAACATGATGACTCTTTGGCAGACTCTGCTCTTTAGCTTATAAAAGCCTGTTAGCATGATAACATTTGCTCCTTTTTTTGCAGCTACTACGTACTCATCCTGAAGTTAGCAAAGCTGGCGTTCACCTTGTATCTTCTTTTGAGATTCTTACCAAACACCTGTTCAAAAACCTGAGAGACGAGGAACCTTCAGAGCAAAACCTAAAGGTATGACCTGATGTAAAATTAAAGAGCCAACATGCATTTTCTGGAGATCATGAATGTTCAGACAGAATATGGTTATTGTCAGAATTCAGAAACAAACACTCTCACTTCCACCCCTTGAGCCAAAACATGAGCATGGCCAAAAACAGTAGGTACCTGGACAGCCAGAAAATGTGATTTTGAAAAGCTAGTGCACCTCCTAAAAAGGTAGGCAGAAATAATAAGCAGCATGACCAGTAGAAGATGGGTTAAAAACAATAATCTTTCTATATTCTTTTGAAATAAGGTTAAATAAAACACAGCAAATTCCTATCTGAGAATCTAATTTCGCTCCTGTTACTTGCAGGAAGAAGATTCTGCACAAGAGCAGAATGTATTATTCAGGATGCTGAAACACCTTTGCCTCAGAGCAAAAAATAAAGAAAACTGCAAGCTCCAGCGGTTTGGAAATCCAGGAGCCAAATATCCAATTTCAAAAAGTGTTCGATTAACTGTGCGGTCATAATTCAACGTCAGCAAGTTACACACATGCACAGAGCCCGCTGATACACAACACAATAAATCACTGTGTGGTTACATCAATATCAAAGTCAACATCGGGCATACTGTATGTTCAATTGATCAATCACAGGGCTCTGCCGAAGAACTGCGAAGAGTACACGCAAGATGACGGTAATCAAAAAGTAAAGAATGAGGGAAACAAAAGCGTTTGCTGACAACAGGAGGTGAGGTGAAAGAGGAAGACAAAGGAACAGAGAGAGAGAGGAGCGGCAACAATGCCAGTGAAACGCTACAAAGAGATGTGTGGGTAGATGGGAGCAGAGGAAGAAGAAGAAGCTGACTGTGTCTGGAGTCATTTGTACTTACTCAGTTAATGTGGTGATGCTGTTGCTGACGGTCCCTCCCTCTCTGGATACTACATGCTGTAAAATGCAGACACACTTCACTGTGCCCCATCCCCTAACCAGGGACAAACCTGCACTGGAGCAAACACCGGCAACACCTTTTCTACTCTTACCCCACCTCACCCCATCCCAACACACACACACAAAACAACCAACGCAGCTTTTGCGTCACTTGAACAAACCACCTCTCTAAATTTGCATCACATTCCTGTTAATATAAGATCAATTCAATGTGAACAAGTGGAGAAGAAACATTGAGGACTCTTCTGTTACTTTCACACACACAGCTGCAGATTTCTGCTCCTGTTTCCAAGCCTCCTGTCCAACATATAACACATATCCACACTTATGGCTGCATACTGCTTATTGTATCCTGCTGCAGAAATGAGTCATACTCTACTGCTCCTCCATAGACACCCCACCCCTATCACAGACAAGAAACTATCTGCTCTGTGTGTGAAATTCACTCCTTCTGCATAAAACACTTTGTCATAACACCTATGGAGCTGATGCCTGTTGTGTGTGCAGGGAGAAGGTAATGACCGAAAAGAAACTAAAAGGTGCTGCTCGTGTGAACGGTGAACCCACACATCACATCGCCTGAGGCCTTCAAAATGAGCATCATGAATATTTTAAGCCGTGCAATATTCTTGAGGAATCTGGAAATTGTCATTAAGCCCCCTGATCAGGATAACTAATGTCCCTCTCCTGTAGAAGATGTCTGCTCAGCTCTTTTTTTTTTTTCCACGCTGCCGTCTCGCTGTTACAGTTACAATGCCCCACAGTCCCTCGCACCCATGATGCTTTATGTGAAGCCAAGCGCTTGCATCTTAAATCTTCAACAAGGATTACCAGGAATTTAAAGAATATGTCAAATGTTTCAAGCTTATTATTCAGTTTCAAAGTGGATTTTCTTTTAGGATCAACTGATTTAGCAGCTGATTTGTGGGCTAAATTCTATTGAGAAGTTACAACCTTCAGTCAAGCATCAGGACATAGACGTAAAATAAAGAAATTAGCTTTTAAGGCAAATCGATGAAGATATTCCAAATAAAATTTCACTTAAGATTTGAAGCCATTATATACTAGATATGGAGTTACATTCAAAAGATTTATTTTAAGTTGCAGACAAGCCTTTCTTTAATATACAAATAGGATTTTAACAAACATCACGAATAGAATTAATGGTAAATAGAGAAAAATTGCCATCTTTTTTTTAATGACTCATTATTTCCTCATCTTCCTTCCTCCTTATCCATGTAGCGAAGTGCAGTCAAGACTCTAAAAGTGACCCCTACACCCTCTTCCTACATGCTTGCCCTTTGTTTGCGAGTTCATGTGTAGAGTGCCGTCTAATACCCCTGAGTGTGGGGTTGGTAGGTTATTCAACCCTGCAGCATCATGAACATGGTAATCATAATCCTAGATGCTTCATATATTAAAGTATGACGTTATAACCCGCAGTTGCATAAACAATCATACAGCCGTAAAAATCTAAAATTTCCAATAAGTTCAGGTTTTGCATGGAATTACCAACAGATCAGCTGTTTTCTGAAATACTCAGACCAGCCCGACTGGCGCCAACAACACGCCACATTTAACATTACTTAAATCCCACGTCTTCCCCATCCTGATGCTCTTTTTAAACTTCAGCAAGTCGTCTTGACCACGTCTGCATGCCTAAATGCATTGAGTTGCTCCCACGTGATTGGCCGATTAGCTATTTTTGTTAACCAGCAATTGAAAAGGTGTACCCAAAAAAATTGCCGGTGTGTATTTACAAGTAAAATTATAGATATCTAATAAAATAATAAAATGTCCCGAGACCTCAGAGGGGGGCCAGAGTTATAAAATAGTAGACACAGCAAAAGCTTGATAGAAACATCCCATCCTGTATGGCCAACAAAACAATGTTAGTACTGTGAAAGAACTGCAAGGAAAATAAAGGCTGACAAAGAATCTGCACCAAACGCCACAAAGACGAGACATTATAAAGTATTATTCCTCACTCTTGGCTTCACATCCATCCACAGAAGGCAGTGTACTGTTTAAAAAACCCAAAGACTGATCTGTTTTCAGCACAGTGAATAGTTTCTGGTAGTTTCCCTCTGAATCCTAATAACTTAAAAATGGACACAGCCAAAACTGTTGTTGATCAACTTACATATTAATCAAGTCCTTTCTTTTCAATTCTTTGATGTGTGTGAAAGTTTTGATTCCACTTTGGGGAACAATTCAGTTGAGCTCTGTTTTAATCCACTCTATCCCGTTTAAGTCTAATTGTTTCAGCTGTAGACTAATTAATCTGGACTGGATGGACACTTAAAATATCTTTTACAAACGAGGTAAAAGCCAGAGAGAGTCTTAAGTGTCAGTTAAAAGTCCAGGCGTCTTATATTTTCTGAATCATTCTTCCTGCCTATCTCTCTCTGAAGTTTGTAGTCTGAGCTGTAGCCATGTGAAACCTCTCGAACCCTTACTGCCTCTTTTGTATGGAGGGGTCAAGATCTCCCCTCTGCTGGACTCTTGAGGAACTACAACCAGCTCTGCTTTACACCAGGTCAATCAAATTCTCCTCAGGGGACAAGTACATCAAAATATGTTGATTATTACGCCATCAAATCAGCTGATCCAGACAGTATAGACGCAGCCATGCATCAGGAGTATGTTTGGCATTTGAATCAAGGAGAAGAAGGCGGGGGAATCTTTGCCTCCTTTTCTGGTGAGAGCGTCTTAAATAACACCAAATCTCTATCTGCGTATGCTGCACGTGTTTGACCTGAAAACATTAATTAAAAAATCTGGGCTGTGTTGGGATTTTGCTGCTACACACTGCTACTTTCAAGCGTTGTGCTGCTCTCTGCTGGACAAAACAACAATTGAAACAATAAGAAGCAGCTCTGTGGATGAACATGCAGGATATGCACAAGAATGGAAAACACAACAAATCTTTCCAAATCTGTTGAATTGAAAATAATAAAGATGATGCACTCCTGCTACCAGGCAATCCAGAAACATCTGTTGAATCTGTACGGCTTTATTCAGGTTTCAGAGCACAACACGGCCTACATTATCTCGGTGATAATCAGCCCTGTGAATCAGGTACCCAGAGACAAGATCAGAACACTGTGCATGCATGATTAAGGAGAGAGACGCCAACAAACGCCTCAAAGGGCTTCTTACCTGCCGCTTGATGAAGCTGGATGTTGTGTCAGAAGACGTGCTGCCATCTGAGCGTTTGAAGCGGCTCTTGCGTTTAGGCAACTTCCTGGGCAGCTGTGAAGAAAAGAGACAACCGAGATTAGATAAGACAGACAGCCACACAGATAGATAGATAAGCTTATAGAGCTGCTATGCACCACAGTATCAATTGATGCTGCCTTGTAAATATCACAATATTTCATTTAGTCTGTGAAAATCAGCTGTCAGACTTCCTTTGGCTCCTTATAATGTAAATATTGGATGTTGCAGTGATTGCTTGTATGTATTTGTGCTGACAGGCCCAGTAGATTCAGGCTACAGGTGAGTCAGAGTCATGGTCTGTCTACTCTTTCTTGAAACCTTTAAATCCAACACAAAGGCCCAGTTATGTTACCTACAGCTTTAAAAAGCAATAAATTGTGTGTGTTAAATATCAGACTAAAATATCATAAACACAAACACGTAAAGAAACCTGTGAGAAGCAGATAAGATAGCTGAGTGGATTTACAGAAATCAAGCATCAATCTGCAGGAAACAGGAAAAGGAGGAAAGTAGCTGGATGTCAAAACGCGACGCCTCAATTTCAACAACAAGTAGCAGCAGCAGCAAGTAGACATTAGCTGGTACATTTACTGGTAGACAACAGCTAACACAGGGATAAATAAAGGTGCGTGGTTTTTACCTGGAAATAGTGCGACTGAGAGCCTGTTTCCACAGCAGACAGTGGGTCTACGGGCGATTTGGACATTTTGACTTGCACCATCTATTGAGAACGCAGGGAGGCGGGATGCACAGAGACATGGGTTACTGGAGGAAACAAGGGACACAAAATACATCTAGCTATATGCAGTAAAAGACAGCGGGGGCAGCGGCATGCGGGAGCGAAAATAAAATGGGGGGGAGAGAGAGACGCGGTTTTTAATATCTGCGCTCAGAAGAAGGGGCTAGCTCATACTTCACTATAGAGAAACTGAATATTATATCGAGGGGAAATGTTAAAGTAAAGCGGGGAGGAAATATACCGGAGCTAATATAACCGTAAGGACTGAAGCGTCATCGCTCCAGCAACCCGTTGAGGTCCGTACTAACTGAACGTCTGTGCCGGGGGTGTCAGGTTTGGTTTATCTAGAAGAAAAAAGATCATTTTATACTCTCTCACGTGAATATAATTGAGCTTTTTTCACATTGAGGTATATGTAGCTTCACCCAGACCCAATATTACCTCTCGTTTTAGGGTAATTTACTGTTGTTTGTCAATATTTACAGCAGCCAATTTTACATGGGATCTTCAAAGAGTGGATCTTTGGATTCACTGCACGGGGGTGATCATTTCAACGTTGTCTCTATCTTTTAGTAAGGAATAAAGAATTGAAAAAATATCTTTCAAATACAAATTTGATGTACTTTTTGCTTTAATTGAGCAGACCTACCTCTTGCTGATTTTACTTGTTCTAATCTACAAAACACCACATATCAGTGGCAAATAGATTAGGGGAGAGTGGGGTAAGTTGAGCTACCCCCTGTTGCTTGGAAATGGTAAAAGAAATTGATCATGTGACCAAATATTTAGGAGATGGGCATCATTTCATGGAGTCTGTGAAGGTTAGAAGTACATGAGTGAAGGGGTTAGACATTTATTTACAAAAAAAGGAGACCACTTTTTTTCAACATGCTATATGATCAAGACAGTTTTGTTTACATTCAATCTGTTTGTTTTTAGGGATGCGCAACACCTTGAAATATCTGCAGATACACTAGTTAGAGACAAAACTATGATTGCTTTGATGTAGTGATCCAAAATATGAAATATGGCTCATCTTACCCCACTCTTCCCTATAGGATAACTGCAACTCCACTATATATTTTTTTATTTTTATCCATAGTCACTGCACGTTTAGATGGTATAAAAAGTCATATATACATCTGAAAAAATGAAGTTGCCATAAAAATAGAGCCTACAAGAATTGTATTTTTTTTTTTTTAATTTCCATCCTTTTGGAGTAAGTTGTTGCATATATTGGAAAGGTTTTGTATAGAGGGCTCCACTAACAGACTATAAAGAATACTTTGTGATTTGACCACTTGTTCACCTGTAGGGGACAGTGGGGTAAATTGAGCCAATTTAGGGTAAGTTGAGCCACCCACTGTTGCTTGGAAATGGTAAAACAAATTGATCATGTGACCAAATATTTAGGAGATCAATTCATGGAGTCTGTGAAGGTTAGAAGCACGTGGTTGGAGGGGTTAGACATTTCTTTCCACAAAAAAATCACTCTTGAAAGGGAATATAATCTGTCATAAATTTTATTAGAATTGTGTTCAGACCAAAAAAGATTATTTTAAATTTGTTTTATACATCAATTGTGGTATCTATGAGCTCCTACATGAGGTCAAAAACACTGAGGTTGCCCCAGAATTTACTTATTGTACTTTGTTTTTCAGGGTCCTCTATTATCATTTGTGAGGTCGTCTTGTTAAAACAAACAAAAACTTATTTCTTCCTGCAGACTTCTTCATGGGGATGATGCGTTCACTGGCCGTTGGCAATTAGCCTACAGGTGAACCCACCGGTGCAACATCAAACTATCCACAGGAAATCTGCGACCTACGTTTACTGGCTCAGCTTTAAACAGCGTATTTTACTCGGTATCTGAACTCTGTGTGATTTCTCAAAAGGCTAAACTCAAACCTACTTTTACAGGGGAGAGAAGCTCCAGACCAAACGTTCAACAAGTGATAATTAATACTGGCTCTTTTACAAGCTGGCTAATGTTAGCCAGGTAAGAGGCGTTGAACGGCAATACTTCATTTTGCCCCTTTCTTGTGTTGATAGTTATATATTATATCGAAGTTGTCTGGCTTAAAGATGATAAGTGTGAGATAAACTTCCAATCTCCACCAACTCCAATTGGTCATGAACTGCTCAGCAAAGACGGCAACAGTTGAAGGCCTACCAGACCAGACCATGCTGGCTGTAGGACTGAAAGTACCTTCATTCGGTAAGCAAGCTCCTGCTCTTCAAACCATCTCTTTTAAAACCTAAAAACAAATCTCACCTCCAATTGTAAAGAGGAACTACTGGACTGGGTGACACTGTAGTTGTGGCTGGGCCAACTGTCTCTTAATGGGAGTTAAGTGCCAAACTAGGCTAAACAAGTTGCTTCCACTCTTCTGTTCCCTTACACTAAAAATGACCCTTCTCATTTTGCTTCACTGCCTTTCACTATAATAATAGTAGATAATAGTATAATTGTAAAGTTGGGACATATGTTTGACATTTCCTCTACCTACAGGAGGAATATTTGTTTTATGCATTTACCAGATGAATTTTGATGCTTTGCCACTGCAATGTCTCTGGACACATTGTTCTTTTATTTCCCTGTTACAATTTTTTTCCTGAGTCCAGCCTACAGAGTTTCAATGTTGTGATCCTGCCTGCTTACCTGTCATTATGAGAACCTTATTTTTCTGAATTAGTCACCTTTCTTAAAGGAAAGTATGCATTTAACAGCCCTGTCTTTTGCACTGTTTTATATCAGGGGTCTAGATCCTCATCATCATCTTTGCTGTGGTCATATAGAGGTAAGCATGCTCTATTTATACCATGCTGTGCCATTTTCACTGTAAATTGGACCATGGTTCCTAAAAAGAAAACTATGCTGTATAAAATGAGACTAGAAACTGACAATCCAGGCCATTAAATTATTATGAAAATCATTACTTAAAGTTGTGGAAACGTGAAAGCTTTGGCATTTCCTTACCTGTATGCATTCAAGTCAAACCATTTATTTATTTATGTTTTATGCAGCTAGCAGAGTCTCCCCCTGCTGGCCATTTGAGAAAGCAAAGTTTATGGTACTTCTGAATTGGCTTTACTTTTGAAACACAGAGGCTTCAACCACTTATTATAGAGTACAGAACAAATCATAATATGTAAGACTAAATAACGCCTTCTACCTCTGAGATGTAAAGATTTTGATAACTCAGACTATTTCCTATTTTTGGGAGATGTCCTCTGTGACCTGTTTTTTTCTTTTTTGTCATTCATACTTTTGTTAACCTTAAAATTAGTGACACCATCACTATCGCCGGGTAATTTTTACCCAAAATATTATACCCAAGAAAAAGTACTTGTCATCAAAATAGGACAATACATGACAAATTAAAATCGTTTTTCTTTTATTTGTAACTGTGTAATGTCCAAAGGGAGGAAATAAAAAGTGCCATGTGGGGACCACATAAAAATGCAACGAAATAACTGAAATTATGTATTCATGAAAAAATCCCTGTGGCATGTGAGTCTTCCCTGGTGAAGACTCAGGGTCCTTGACACAATAACAGCTGCAGGAGAGAGGACCAAAATATGGCATATTTTGACTGAGTAAAAATGACATATATTGACATATATTACTAAAATATTTCTTATCACCATATAAATTCCCTTAACAATCACTACTTTGTGATAGTTATTCATTACCACTGCACTAAATAAAGATAGCATGCAAATTCCATGACCACTCTTATGGACCATATTCGTCTATTTGCAGCTATCAAATCCACCCAAACCTACTTTACCCTCTCTCACTATTGCTGGGTGAAAATCACCCAAACAAGTGCATGTAGGAAAAAGCAGGTTTTGGATCAGGGAAACAAATATGCCTTTAAAGATGTCAAAGGAAATGCTGAAGCTACCCAGGGACCCATGATACTCAGACAAACGCAACATCAAAAAATCACCCTGCAATAGTTTTCTTGGGTTAAAGGATGCCTGCCAATGTGAACACATACAGACCATAACTGCTTTAGTAAGGACACTGAAACTAGACCCTATATTGAACCCTTTACATCATTGGCATCAAGATATAGACTACATCTTTCTACTTCTTTCAAATTCGTGGTTAATCTTGTGTCTTTTAAGGATTTTTTTATATGTTGTCTTGAGTCAAATGTTGTCTGTCATATTGATTTTAGAGGGAATAAAATATTAGTTTCTACTTTAGATGAAATTAAATAGCCAAAAGGTACCACAAGTATCACGGTGTTTTACTAAGTCAGTATTTTACTTAGTTTCTAACACTTAAACCACCTCCTAACAGCTGATCACATACAGTCACAAACTCTTTGCTGTTTAAAACGACTTTGTCCTCTTACACATTACTGTTTTCTTTCTTCATTTCTCTCTCTCTTTTTTTTTTTTTTTGTCTTGTGGGAGCATGCAATAGATCACAGCTGGTGGTTTGACCGGCCGGGCTCTCTACAGACACGGCTTCACCTCTAGGGGGAGCGCCGAGTTACTAAAAGTGGGACTGAGTGAGTGGTGTGAGCAACGGCGCGCCTGGGCCGAGCAGAGCTGTGTCAAACTAACCAGATTTACAGCGTGTGAGACCGGAAATGAGTGGAATATGATTTCAAAATACAGTTAAAAAGTGGTGAACGGTTAAAAGCATTGCAATGAACTGAGAGTATTTTTTTAGCTTATTGTTTATGAAAAAAATACTTGTGATTGACATGACTTCATGCAGTTCTGAATTAACACTGAAACCAGTACTTTGAATCATAGTTACTCTAAAGCCAATTTTACATGTTAATTTTTCATAGCATTTGTTTTGAAACCTGTAAAAAGATTCCTGCAGTGTTAGATAGCAAGTATCATTAGACACAAATACAGAGAAATGACTTATTTTAATTTTTCTGTCACCTGATTTGCTTTTTTAAAGTTGACAGTTTTTGTTAAAATGATCAGATGAGTGACTTTTGTACTTTATATTTATATATTTTTTTAAATCTAAGAAATGGTGGATGGTGTTGATGCACTATAATTGAAAGGTGTTCTCTTTTAACAAGTACAAGAGGAGCAAATTACTGGTAACACCTATTAATTACCCCAGTACACTATTATCACCCACTACTACTTAAACAATTAATTTTAGTACCATTACAGTGTGTCTAATAATGTCAGTATAAACTGGAAATGTAGAAGCTAAAGATGCACCGATCCATTTCTTTCTGATCCAGTCTGATACCGATACCTGGGCTGAGCTCATTGGCCGATATCTGATACTGATCTAATACTGCTGTTGAATGAATGAACGGTATATCTCGCCCTGTAAGTGAAGGCATCAGGCTTGACATTAGCCTTGTTAAAAAAAAAGGCAACAAGTTAACACAGATCTAAATTTACTCAATATTATATATTACCAAATGACAAATTGCACATTAGCAAAAAGAAGTAAGATTTCCCTGTATTAAAAGAAAAATTTAGTAAAAGAGAAAAAGACTTGATCGGAGTGCTGGATCGGCATCATTCATCTGATATCCAATCCAGTTAATTTTTCAATATTGGAGCCAATATCTCATCTAAATATTGTATTGGTGCATCCCTAATAGAAGCCTAGTAAAAGTAGTTTATCATGGATCTTGTTTTGTGTAGGTTGCATTAGTTAGCCCTGGTAATCCTCATGCTAAGGCTGGCTGCTGTGTATATAGGCTAAAAAAATGTCCACTACAAGGACAGCTAAAAGAAAAGTGGTCTATTATGAGATTTTTTGTAAAGACCATTTCTAAAACTCTGCCTAAGTATGATCAACTTTATAATAATGATAATAATAATAACTTTATTTGTATAGCACTTTTACAAACAGAAGTTTACAAAGTGCTTGACATATAGTCATAGAGCACATGGAAAAAGACAGATAAAAAAAAAAGCTCAGTTAATACAGAATTGAAGGCCATTTTCATGTCATAAGGAACCCTGACAATACAAGAAACATGCAACATAAAATGAGACTTTGAGGACCAAAATAAAAACATAAAATAATTAAGAAAAAAGAAATGTGATTAAAAGGGGGACTTTGAAATCAATGTAAAAAGTCATCAATGATTATTTTATAATGTGCTTTACTGGAAGAGGAGTTATTGCTCCCTTACTGAGCAGCTTTTATTTTGAAACACACCACCGGAAGTTTATTTTCTGTTTTTCCCTGTTCTTGACAGTGGTGCTTGGAGCCGAGAGGGTCAGGGGGAGGAGAGGAAAGGGAGTGGAGCGAGAAGACGACAGGAGGAGATCCACCACAGGGTGACCAATTTACCCGGACCATCCTTGGACAGCTGGGCTACTCATGGTCCTCCACCCTGGCCGCTCCGAGCGACCGCAACACCGGATCGGATTGTCAGCCGCGGCGGTCCTGTCGGGGGAACAGACTGAAGATGATCACGGTGAGTCCGTCTCTCTGACCGTCACTGCTGCTGCTGCACACTGCAGGCCGACATATATAATATATGTTCTCCTGTCACACAAACGTGTCAGACGCAGTTGCACTAAACCGTGGACGCCTCTACCACTTTTCTGTCAGCACAGTATCTCTGCAGGACTGAATGACATGGCTGGCTACAGCTGCTGCTCAGGCCTCCCGCTTCACACTGGTGCTGTTGATGGCAGAGGATACACGGTCAGCTCAGGTTTTCCACTGGCGGCCAATATCAATATATATAAATGTGTAGGAAAAGCGAAGGATTGGATGCATCACGGCGCGTAAATGTGTCTTAATACAGCGTACAGTCCTGAGGGGTGTTATTAGACAAGCGTCCATTCAGACTCTGCATCTGATGCTCATGTAATGATCCAAATCAGCCGCATATCATCTCTGATAACACAAGTTTAAATGTTAACACCTGCGTTTTTACCCCTTTACGCACTTCACGCACACATCCAGGATGTTCGGAATAACCGGTTTTGCAGCATTATGTGGTGTAACAGACCTCCATCCACTGACTGATGCTGAGGAATGTGCAGCAGCAGCAGCAGCAATAACGTGTTTATATATCTGTTTATTTACCAAACACTCATGATTGTCAATACACTTTTCCGGGGAAGCTTATGCGTCGCTGCAGGCTGAGAGGAATTTGCATTTAATATCCCTGTCACAGAGGCGTGTTTGTTTTTTTTTATAACTTGGACAGTCGGACGCAACGGAATGGTTTTATGGTCCCCGCTATGGTTGTCACATAGGCCACGGTGTTATGTAACAAGAAGCCTACGCTGTTTGAATGCGGGCCCTCACACACGGCCTGCCTGCCTGCCTGCTTGCCCGTGCATGGCAGTCACACACCGGATGGCAAATATATCCGCATGATTATACCAGGACTGTGGAAAATGAAGAGATAATGTCAATCAAACGCGCGTATTTGCTCAATCCATTTTGCGTGTGGATGACAACATAGACGCACACAGATCCAGGGTGATGCACGGACTTGTCTGACTGGACCCAGCCCCACAAATGAAGGACCCTCTCTGCTTGGTTGTTTATGGCTGTAACGCCAAGAGTAGCGGCTGTCCGGTTGAAAATGTCCCCCTAGGAATAGTCAGTCACCTCCGCCTACCCTTCCCAGCTTCCCCCCTCCTCCCCTCTCTTCTAACGCTAGTGGGGAAACCGGAGAGTACAGTCAAGCACCATGCAAACACACACCATACACACATATACACACACGCCAAAGCGACTGGCAACACCGCGACGTTTGCAAATGGGTACAAGCTGGTCGACCTTGTGCAGGGGAGTGAGGGACGCAGCCGGGGAGGAGGAGGTGCTGGAGGTGGGAGGAGAGGAGTGGAGTGGAGAGGGGAGGTGTGTGTGAAAGAGAGAGAGAGAGAGGGTGGGCTGGTTCTCCTTGAATCTTGTCGATCCGCTGCCAGGGAGGAGGGATACGGCTTGGACGGTTACGTGCCAGAGAAGGCGCATGCAGGCAAGATATAGCGAGGAAATGCTATTTTTGCTTCAACAACACAGCGTGCCTCTCTGGTGAAAATGCCGGTCGTGGAGGAGGCGGCGGCAGCAGAAGCGGCTGCGTTGCGTTTGCGCGTCTTCCAGCACAGTGTGGAGCTCAGGGCGTCTGGAGGCCTGGTAAGATCAGGCTAGAAGAGCCATATGTCGATGTTTTATATTCAATAAGGACAGAAACTATGATTGTGCTATTCAATAAGGCAAATCAATCAAATTCCTCTAGGTTATTAGAATGGCAGAAAAGACATGGATACCATATCTGACCAAGTCAAATCAGCTGTCTAAAAGAAGACAGACCCACTTTGAGTCTCTGCAGGAGTGTTTTTTTTTTACTGTTCTTATCAGGAATCAATCAAAGATGCAGCCTCGCAAAACAAAAACAGTCCTTCTAATTCAGAAACATTGTTCATGCAAAAAATCAGCCCCCAGTCAAGCTTTCTTACCCCTAATTGAACCCCATGTCATATTTGTAAAAGGGTCTAACTTAAACCTTTCTGTCTCATTGACACTTTTACGACCAAGTTTTTCATCTTGGTTTCAGACTATCCCCTATTCACGTTTCCTCTCTTCCCCTTTTTGTTGATAGACAAGGTTAGTTTTTCATAAAGCACATTTTGGCAATAAGGCAAGAATCATGACGGAGGTCGGAAAAACATGTTCAGATATGAGAAGACACGAAGGAAGACATTAAAATGTAATTTTAAGTAAAAGCCTATTTTGAAAATGTCAGAAAGAAAAAAGCACATGAAGTTGTGTCCAAATTAGACGGAAAAGTAAAATGTTGTCAGAAAAAATGAAATCTCAAAACAGAAATATGGATTCCCAAGATGAATGAGGTACTTGAATTACACATTATGAGGCGTAGAAGCAGAGGAAATCAGGAAAAAATGAAAGAAACTTTTATGAAAACATTTCAAATAGTATAATATCAAGTAGCACCAGGCTGATATGAAGTCACATACGTCTGTGATATAGGTTTTGTAATGCCTACAGTGAAGAAAATGGATTTTCTAGTTACAGTAGGAACAACTTTTAGTCTAGTGCCTCAGGACGCTCAGATCCCGTCATGCTATTTCTCTCATCACCGTCTGGATATTTGTCTTGACAGTGTCCTGTTGCTCAGTGGCATTTATCTGTATTTACAGCTCAGCTTAATCTGCGATTGTTTGTGAGTACATAAAACAGACCCCGGAGAAGTCGTTCTGTATCTCCTGCCCAGCTGACTCCAAAACGCTCATGTGTTTTTGCACCAGAGGATGTGTTTTTGCAGTGGGGTCAAGAGACCAAGTTCTGGTTCACCTTAAAAAACCGAGCCCTCAGGCTATTTTGGGTCATTCAGTCCCCCTCTCTCTCTCCCCTCCTCCTCCTTCCCCCCTAATAGTTTTGGAAGTAGCTTCATCCTCTCCAATGAATCTCCATGTTTTAGGCATTAGACGAACTCAAGTGTTTCTGGTTATCCAGGAAATGAGGTTCATGTGCTCCTTATCGACAGTCATGAATTTTATTTCCTGTCAATTGAACCGAAGAGTTGTTTTTTTTTTTTCCAAAATAGAATTTCAAGAGCTAAATATAAGCTGTTCAATAAAGCTTGTTATCTTGTTGAATTTGAGCCCTGGAAAAAAGAAATCACAGATCAGTTTGTGCCCTGTTGACGTGCTCATGTCTGTTTTTGCCCTCAGACCCAGCAGAAGCCGTGGAGATAGTCCCTAACACCAAAGATTGGTCCTCTCAGTAACCCTGGTCTTTGATCACTGGCTCTGACACAAACTTGTGGACATTTCTGAAGCAGCCGGTGCGTCTTTTGACCCAATCCAGTCGACCCCACCCTGCGTCCCTGCAGTGTGGCCTCAACACCCGTCCGCACATCTTCAAAATTTAGTCCACGGGATAAATGAGTGATCCGGCTGCAAGGGAAAGGGCTGGGACATGTACCAGAACCCCAACAGGTAACTTTACCAAGAGGAATCATCTCTGTTTTTTTTCCTCTGTGATGTGTCCGTGTACTGATCTTTACTGTCCTCCACACAGAATGTCCTGGTTCAGTGGTTTCCTAGTCGCTAGAGTGGATGACCGCAAGACTGCGTGGGGGGAGCGTAATGGCAAGAAGTCCAAACGAAAGGGAGGTTCATCTCTCTGCAACCCGCGTTACATGAGCTGTCTGCGGGACCCCGATGCTATGGAGCCCTCCTCTGGAGCCCCCCTCCATCAGCACCACCGAGGAGGGGTGGCGGGGGCTGTGGGAGGCGGGGGAAACTTTGGCGTCCGTTGCGGTTGGCAGGAGGACCACTACGGCAAAAGGGAAGGGGTCGGGCTGAAATCGGTCGACTTGGGTTTTGAGGACGGGGAGTTGAAGGGGAGGAAAGGGGGATGTAACGGAGGCAGCGGAGACGTTGGCGATGAGGGTCCCAACGGCGCAGGAGGTGTAGTGACAGCTGCGGACTGCTGGCTCAGGGTGGTGCGGGTGTTCCAGTCAAAAAAATTCCAGTCTCGCAAACTGGAGCGCCTATACCAGCGTTACTTCTTTAGGCTGAACCAGAGTTCCTTGACCATGCTCATGGGGGTGCTTGTGATCGTGTGTGGCATCATGCTGACCTTCCACTGTGTCCACGCCCCCCCACAAGTGGCCTATTCGTCAGCCCTGTCGGTGGCCATGGCGTTGTTCATGGCTCTTATGGTGGTGTGCAACCGCAACGGCTTCCACCAGGACTACATGTGGATGGTTAGTTACCTGGTGATCGGAGTCTTGCTGTCGGTTCAGGTGTTCGGGGTGCTCATGGTGGCACCCAGGAGTGCTTCGGAGGGCATCTGGTGGTCTGTGTTCTTCATCTACATCATCTACACTCTGCTGCCTGTACGGATGAGAGCAGCGGTGCTGAGCGGAGCTGTGCTGTCCATCATACATGTGGTAACCACCTGGCAGATCAACCAGGAAGACAAGTTCCTCTGGAAACAGGTAAGAGATCCCTGACATGTGGATGTTTTCACTTTGTCATCTCAAAGACTCCAAAATCAGGCATCTGGACTGTGTAGAGTCGAGAAGATTTTTAACCTCTTATCCGAGAAGCTTCTTCAGTTCTGAAATAGCTAGTGAGGGGAGCAGGTATTATCTTACATAGAAGGGGAAAACAACGATTGGGAGGAGTTGGAATGAATGGGTCATAGAAACTCATCTCCGGGTGTTTATCCCGGTGTCTACAACCCATTCTTCCAACTCCTCCCAATCGTTGTTTTCCCCTTCTCCAGTAAGATAAATACCTGCTCCTCTCAATAGCTATTTCTTGGATAAGAGGCGAAACGTCTTCGAGATAACCATGACCTGGATGAATGAGAATCTACATGGACTTTTCGCTTGGTCATGTTTGACAGGAAGAGAAACTTCACATTAACAAGGAAGGGGAAACATTTTGAAATGTCTGCTTTCAGTCTTCCTTCACTTCAGTTTTCAGCACCTGATGCCAAGTCTTCAAGCAGGTTTCATATCTCAAATCAGTGCACATAATCAGTCCGATTACCACACACCCAGCAGATATAACAACATTGGCTCAGTTGGACTTCATTGGCGTCATCTGTCAGATCAAAATTTCTCACTCTTAGTCCCTCTGCTTCTGTTTTTATTCTTCATCATTTTATGAGCTTAGAGTTGGTTTGTCACTTAGTACAAGCTGGAGAGCTGCAGGCTGTCCATGCAGTGATCAGTGAGAGCTGTAAAACGGAACAAAATAAAGGCTAAAAAATGGCAAAATTCTCAACGTGGAGTACTACGGCTGTGAAATATACAGGATTTCCTGGAAGACAGAACAATTAATACTTCCCCAAACATCGTTCATGATCAGACGGAAGTGTGAGGTGTCCTGCTTTGGGGAAACAAACCATCATGTAGTTTGTCATATCACTTTGTTCAGGAAATCAACCTTTGGCCAGTGTGTTTGTGGGTCTGTTTTATGTGCCAGATCAGGAGGAGAAGATAGTGGTGTCATTGAGAGTTGAAACAAGATTCTTGTTCAGCTGTCAGAGGATTTGATGAGTAGAAGAAGTTTGAAGCTGTCCAGCAGAGAGATGTCTTCGTAAAGTTTGAGAGGAAAATTGGAAAATCAGGAAACACTTGAGTTTTTTTTTAATCTGATTGATCTTTGTGTTGCTCCACGCTTAGAGGCCTTTAAGATGTCTCCTCTGTCATGATGTTTATGATAGGACTTTGGAGGTATTCCGCAAAACTATCGCAGTGTATTTTAGCATATGCAGTTTTTTTAGTCTTCTTCACATATAATCTGGTCATCGTGGGTCTTGCTGCACAGTCAGTGTGTTGTTTGTGCGTCATGTGCAAAGGACCGAGGGGGCTCGCTGAAGGTCAGTGGGCTGAGTGATCCAGCCTGGCTGGACAACGTTATGTCTGTGTGTGTGTGTTTGTGTGTGACAGTGGGAGAATACCATGATATAAAGCAGTATCACTCAGGTCTCTGTGCTCTCACACAAGGGACGCTTTGTACTTTTTTTCCAGGGGTGGGGTGACAGGGGTGAGGACAAGAAGTGAAGGGGTGCACAACACATTATGGTGGACGCTTTTCCTCCAGCGCTGCCAAAGCTGTTTTATGACTGTCATCTCCTATGGGAAAAGTTATACATAAAGGAAGCCATTACTGAAACAATAGGGGGATATACGACTTAATTATGACTCACTGATTGTGTGAAATGCTGCTGCCATCACTTGTGATATGCATTCAGTAAGATATCCCTTCAGATGAAAAGTAATTGCAGTCTATAGAAGAACACAACTTAAATGAGCTACTTAAGCAAACGTCATTTTGTCATAATATTGTGATTTTATTGTGAAGCAATACTCTGTTTGGGATTCGTGGGAACTTGGTAAAGAGCTGTGTACTCTGTAGTATCATGCATGATATACCATAGTGTAATCCATCACAGTTTTGAGTACCGCTGCCATCGTTAAGTGAATGAATGTCATGAGATAGCTGCAGCCGAACAGTACGGTTTATTTCTAAAGTCGTCTTGTGTACTGTGTGACACAGTGAAACAGCTTCATCAATCACTGCTTCGCGCTTGTGTGCAAGTATTTCCTCTTTCTCCGATAACTCATTAACCTCCCCGGGGTTTTCTGTTGGTGTTGGTGTTTCCAGATAGAGATAACGTTGTGTATGTTGATTGCTGCAGATCCGCTTTTTTTTGTGCAGGGATTTAGACTGAATCGGTGCACTTGAGCGGAGTCGAGATGTTACTGTTAATTGAGCAGTAACTACTGTAGATACTGTGTGTTGTCTCATGGGCCTCCCTGCTCTTTCATGCATGTGCAGATTGTGTTGATTTCAGGAAATATGAAAGCTGATTCATTAGCAATCACAGAAGAAAATCTACTTTTTAACAAAGCTACTCTACAAAATATACACTTCCCTATTTGTTTGACACTCAAAGGTGTTGTACAGTAGGAGCATAAAAGCATTAGGAGTGAGACGATATGCTTTTCTCCCAATTCGATCGTTCGATTTTTTTGGACGCTGATTCGATTCAAATTGCAGTTCTACAATATTGTCGATTTTTAGTCTGCATTGTCTACTGACTATTCCAGGAACCATATTTCCCCAAAACATACACATCACATGTAAGTCAGTTTTTAAGATTTATTCTTAAATTTGAACCAAAAAAAAAAAAGATTTTTGAACAAAAAAGTCGATTTAAAAATTGTGACACTTATGTGAATTGATTTTTTTCTCCCACCACTAAAAATATGGTAAATACATACAGAGTCTTCATGGATTTAGCAAAAGTATAAACATAAAAACACACGTATTTGTTAACAGTCTACTCAGAAAGCATGCACAGAGCCTCAGCTGTGAAACTTTTGAGGCTCAAGGAGTTAAGATCTTTTTGAATTGTCTTCATTTTCCAGACACGTATTTAAAAATTAAGATTTATTTCATGTTGTGTTTAATATTGTTTCATTTTTAGTCTGGCATTTGCTTTGCCCTTTGTTGCATCCTGCTTATGAAAGGTGCTTTTGATGTAAATATACCTACTCAAGCACCACCCTGATGCACTAGTTTTTTACTTATTCCTCTTGATATAAGGTCGAGGTTTAGTGTAGTAATGTCTTTACATGTAACTTTGATTAGAATACCTGTTGTATCTCTGAAAAATTTAAAGGATGACACTGTCAATCCAAAGATTGTCTTCTTCTGATAGAGATTGACAGGTTCTGCAACAGTCTCTCCACTTTGCACCAAAACTCAGCCAGAACTTCCTTTTGTGATTGCCAGAACGGTTTCAATCATTCGAGACAAATACAAAAAGTCAGAGAAGAAATTACTGAGAAAACAAAAACCTTCCAAGTTGGAAGAAAGAAACCAGCATGAAATACAGAGATAGAGTTTCATGTGGGGAAAAATGTTTCCACGTATCCTCGAGTTAAAAGTTTGAAGAGGAATTTTCTTCTTCTACCGATTGCTGATAAGGCAGATTTGCTCAGGTTGATGTGACAAAAGTCCTCAGGTAACACAGATTCCCTAAAAATAGCACTTTACTTCTGAACTAGAATTTCATACGTCACGGGGCAATGTCCGAGTCGACTGCGATCGTCATCAACAAATCTCTGCCTGCAGCTCTCTGACATCACCAAAGACCTGCTCTGGAGGGTCTCTGGCCTGGAAAACCCACTATTTTTAACTTTGTATTCGTGGAGGTCTTACAGGGCTCAATCTGTGCTCCCTCACAGACAGATTATTCCACATCATGCATGAAGTATAGTTAGGTGACGCATCTCATGACAGTTACGTAGTTAGCTTTTGTCATCAGACCACATCACAACAGCGGTGCAGCTAGCCTAACAGGCTTTGTGTCCATGCCCCATATATGGAGGGTGTCCCTCAAGTGGTTTGCCTAGGTTCACTTCCAGTCTGTGGCTACTTTCCCACATGTCCCTCCTTGTTCTTTTTCCCCGTTTCCTGTCCAGTCCTCTCCAAATGAATCCAAAAAGCCTCGAAATAAGTCGTTAAACTTTTCAAATCGGATAAACATTTTTCGGGGTAAAATTTAAAGTATGATCTCGATGATGTTGCTTTGGAGGTAGATGCAAATATTCCGTAATTCGGACAACTTTATTAATCGCTGAAGGGCAATTCATTTCACAGTAACCCACGTTATTATTAAACGATGAAGGAACAGACAAATGCCAGACATTTACAGCAGCATATGGCCCAAACATTCCCCTGTCAGCACCACAAATCAGCAATAAATAAATAGATAGATAGTAAATACATGTGCAATAAGAAATATGCAATAAAAGAAGTAAAATAATCCTGACACCACAATTTCAACACAGGCCAGCGATCTGCTACTTCCCAGCATTTAGCAGCATTTTGTAGAAATGTTCCTGAGAAGGCAGTAGATTTAACAATCAAGTTTTTTTTTTTTTTTTTTTACAGTGAAATCTGTCAAAATATGTTTGAAACAGGACGATTTGTTGAGAAATAATAAGAAGAACTTTGTTGACCCCTGATGGAAAATTCAATAAAGCCACACATTTAAATCAAGTATATATATCTGAAGGAGAACTGACCTTTTTATGATAAATCTTTCTCAATCACACTTAGTGACACATTTAGTGAAATAAAATTTAATCATGTGAGAATTCAGTCCAGGGATATCCATAAAAAAGCAAAAAAAAGTCCTGATCATTTAGCATTTTCAAAAGAAAAGAAACTATTTAATCTGTGTGAAAACGACAAACATAAATCCACAATTATACGTGACCACTCTACTGTTGTACATGTGAGTTTTTGTAAGTTGTATGATTGTTTTTAGAGTTTATACCTAATATTATTCCTGTCTTTGCCAATAGAACCAGAGTAAAAAGAGGCTCATCTCTAAGAAACGTTTCATGATTACCTCTTTGAATTCACGTCCTTTAATCCCTTCAAATCTTTACTAACACATGCGATCCATCTGTTTGCGTCTTAATCTCTGTCGCTCCTGGCCTCCTGGTTGGTGTGTGTGTGTGTATGTGTGTGTGTTTTTTCAGCTGCGTACAGTAAACTCAAGTATCTGTCCTTTCGCTTCACTTTGAGTGTCTCATTGCACACGCACACACACTCCATAAAGCAGCATTTGACCCGCCTTGTTACACGCAGGCCTGCTTTCAAAACAAACACCGACCAGTTTTGAAGCGGTGTCATGTAAAAGACCTCGAACAGGGACGTCATGTTCTGTATGAACTCCACTGATTCTTCTGTTTTTATGTGGCTCCATGTCTGCTATTCTCAGAGCTCCCATCTGAAATCAATTATCCGTAGAGGTACACGACATACACATGTGCATGTCCCACCCAAGCGCACATCTACACACACACACACGCCTTCCCATGTTTTGTTGCTGCTGTCACTTTCCCTTCTAGTCTTGAATGAATGTTTGACAGAATTGCTGCTGTTTGTTTTTGTGAAGAAACTCTTGTGTTGGTGTATTTGTGTAGGTGTTTGTATAAGTGACATATACTGTTAATTCTTGAAAACTGCGCCCGTCATCTATCAGAGCACGCTTCGTTTTTAACACACTGATCTCCGGCGATAAAGATTGTTGGATTGTGTCATAAAAAACTTGTCATACTTGTACACTCTATCCCCCCCGAGGTGTTTTTTTTGCCTCCAGCCCCTCCTGACAATGACAGTGGTATTGTTGTGTGTCAGTGTTATTGTCAGTGCTGTAGGAGGTCAAAGACTGGTTCCTAAAAATACTCAGCCCTCGGCGTTTCTGCTAACTGTTGCGTCATATGGAACAGTCTTATCAGACCCTGCGTCAGAGCAACAGGCAGGTCACTCCAACCCCGGTTTTCTCCGCATGCACACAGCGCTGCGATTTCCTACCCTGAAACACTACACTGGTGCTGAGGCTTAAACTGTATAATCACAGGTACTGCAGCCGTTTATTTATCTCTTTTTGTTGCTAATGAAGTGTAATGCATTTTGGGATGGATGTTTGATCTTTGACCGCAGCGGAGATAATGGGTTAAGCCCCTAAAAGCCCATTAATTCAACACAGAGGGCAAATCAGGCCTCTGTGGACTCCGGGTCAATGCATTTCACTGTCGAGCTTCGCTGTGTGTTTAGATGTTTTTATTCGGCAGATAAGATAAGGGACAGAAGTTTCAATACATCCACTGTGGATTTTGCGTCACGCTTTCCAAATGGCTGTTACTCAATTTCAAAAATTTCCAGGATCTTTTACGACGCATAAATGCATCTTAATCAGCGTTAATCTCACGCTGTATCAAGTGCATCAGCTGTTCACAGTTTCACAGCAGCCTCCTGGTGCTGGAATAACCTTGTGTGTGCATCACGCATCAAGATGGGAGATTTGGATCCCAGTGGAGGAAGTGTCAGCCTGTGATGATCACCTATGCGAGGCCACAGCTATAGAAAAAGACACTCTGTTATGAGGAGGAGGAGGAGGAGGCAGAGAGGCGGCGTGATCGGAGGGAGAATCCGATATTCTCCCCACGCAGTCCTTCCACAGCCTCCTTGATAAATAATTTGTGTGTTTAACGCCGCAGCAGCATTTTAACTAGGATACCTGTCACATGTGCTTGTTACTCACGACCTGGATGAGCGCTGACTGATACGATCCAAACACGCTCATAGAAACACATGACAGCTCTTCCTAAAGGCTCCATGTGTGTTGCATCATCGCATCAGAATTGACGCACTGATGCGACATAATGAGATGTGATCAGTCATTTTGTAAAAAAAAAAAAACATCCTGTGTAAATACATTTCACAGGTTTATAACTGTCTGTTTGTACTTGTGTAAGGATTTCTTGGATGCAAACACAGACACGCACACACATGCCACCACCGCCAATCAGCCAATCTGTGCACCAATCAGAGTGCTGGGTGCTGGGGGAGAGAGGGGGGGGATGAGTTATCAGTTTAGAATCACTTCTGAGAATGATAGGGAATAAACAGCATCGCTAAGTGTCTCCCCTCAGTGATTGTGTTCAAGCCAGTCCAGTGGTTGCCATGGAAACAACTACGACTCAAGCTACCGAGACCCAGTTCAGCCTGCTGGTGTGCGTGCATGTGTGCGTGTGTGTGTGTGTGTACAGTTTGGTAACCGTTGCTTCAAGTGAAGAGAGGAGAGGAACAAAAAAATCAGGTCAGAATTGATTTCTGCTGTTCACTTCTCCTTCTGAGAATGTGGACGCCGGAGATGGCGTGAGGGGCAGCTTTCGAGAAACGCTGCTGTTTGGCCTGTTAAGATGGATTTCGCCCCCCCCCCCCCCCCTGCTGTCAAAATGAGACCGTCCATAATTAAACAAGGCAGTGACAGAAGAGAGGTCAAAGGGGTGGAGGTGGAGGGGAGTCGAGAGGGAGGGATGCACACAGGATGTTGTTTGCCAGTTGTCTGGTTCAGCGAAGCTTATCTCCATTCTGCTTGGTATGACTGTGCATGTTTGTGGCCCCACTAATCTGGAGACTAAAGGATGGTCTGTAGAGTCACTAAGAAACAGGCCTTTCTTATACTTATTATCTACAGAAAATGGATAGTATTGCTGGTTACGACTCATTTACCTCCCTATGTTAGCAGGGGCAGAGTGGAGGGGCGCCCAGAGGTGGCTATGATCCTCTTTAAAACCTCATTAGCTACCTTTAAATCCTTAACCATGATGACTATTTAGCTTCTCAGAGGAAGGCCTTTAAACAAAACCAACCACTGTCTCTGCATTTCAGTGAGGCATATGTCCTTATGGTTTAAATTGTTCCTTTCTCAGCCTTTGTAGAACGCGGCTTAACACTCAAACTACCAAGGCAGTCATTTTGACTACTTTCAAAATTTACAAAGTCATAACTTTTGTCTGACTTTTCCTACAAGTGTGCATATTTTATTCTTACATTGTTATATTTCAATATTTGCTACGTTTTCCCGCTCTTTCTCCTGCTCTATTGTTAGTTTTGTACTTTAAGCTCTGTGATGCTAAAATCTTGATATAACTTTACTCAAAACTCAAGAGACTCAAAAATGATAACTAGAAGAAAAATGACAAGGAGGCTTTAGCCTTGCTTCAGAGGCTTGATGAGGAAGAATCAGATGGATGAGCAGGTTCAGGAAATGATCTCATTCATTATGATTTTCATTTTGTGTACTGATGTATTTTTTTTTAATCTATTCTACCAATTTACTATTAGTTTTTATTGTTTATTATCCAATTTATGCACAAATTAAGATTGAGCAGTCAAAATGATTGCCTATGGTCATTCTAGTAGTTGCAGAATTTTGGTAGACCGAGTGTTAAATTCACCATTAGACTCTATACTGTATTTTTCTCACTATAAGGCGCACCTGATTATAAGGCGCACCATCAATGAACGTGTCTATTCGCATCTATTTTCATACACAAGGCGCGACAAATTGTAAGGCGCATTAAGACAAACAAAACAGTCAGATAAGTCAAACTTTATTTAACTCATTCAATAACTCTGCGAGGCTACGGTAGCTGCAGTGCTCCAACAAGCCAAACGGATCCTAAGTGCGCCTTATAGTGCGAAAAATACGGTAGTCATAAATGGAGATAAAAGTGGTCAACAAATATGAATTATTTGTATGTTTGTGTGTCTGTATATTTAGTGTGCATAATTCATCCCATCCCTACATAAGTCATAAGCTCCATGAGCTTGACCGCCGCGGTTAAGACAGTCTAGACACGCCTCTGAATGTCGGATTGCACAGTTAGTTAGTTTCATCATTGCAATATGAGCATTTGTAGCAGTATGAGGTTGTTATAATCAACATTAGAGATTAGATTAGATAGATTCCATTTGGAAAAACAATCATCATCAGATTAAAAATTAAATGAGTTATATCTGCAGACACTGCAGGCAGCCTTGAACAATGTTAACACCCCCTAAACAATGACACACAAATCCGAAACGGTTCCTGACTCCTGTGTGATGTTTGTATTCAGTTACAATGTGACTCTGTTTGATATAATCTGAATTGTGCAGGCTCGCTCGAATGTTGACATGTCTCCTCTCACCGGCTTTTTGTTTAATCACAGCTGTAATCCTTGAACCTGTCGTCTGTCCTTGCAGGGGTCCCATGCCTTCTAAAAAAAAACTTGTTTAATGTAAGAGCTTTCATTCTCCAAAGCTGCCTTAATTCCACGCAGATTTTGTTGTTCCTAAAATAAGAACTCTTTTCACTCATCCCCAACGCCAGAATACTTTCATAGTCACACTCTCCACAGTAGTCACACCCGCACAGTTGGCGAGAAGTGAGTGTGTTGTGTGGTTTTTCAGTGTTAGGACCCCCAGCATGTCTCTGTCCATGTTTACAGAAACAAGACTGAAGAAAAAAGAAGTTTGAACCGGGTCCCTGTGAATCTGGCTCACAGGCTTTACATTACAAGTAGGAACCAGGTTGTACATTATGTATGGGATGTGAATGGTCTTGTGTTTCAGTGCACAATGCTTGAAAGAGGGCGGAAAAGAAACTGCAGTAAAGCAAACAAATTGAATTATTTTTTGACCGGTGTCATACTTCAGTGTTGACAACAAAAAGTTGATCCTAAAAATATGTTGTGACTGGCTTTCTGAATAGGGGGGAAAAAAAACAATAGCAGCACATTTCCTGTTTTGAAAGATATTTTATCAGCATCCCACATTTTGTTGTTTTGTGATTTATCTGATTCATCACACGCCTGTTTACATTTATAGTTATACTGAGACCTACAAAACCATCACTTTGAACAACAATAACTTCAACTTTAAATCAGGAGGGTTCACACATACAGAAAAGCAAGCCCAAATAAGCAACTACTAGTTAAAAACAAGCGACTTCTGAGAGAAACAAGCCTTAAGTTGTTTATAATAAGTGGACTTGGCAACTCAAAGGCGTCTACGTACATTTTGCCGATGTTTAAACTTGTCTCTGTTCACGAATGCAGATCTAGGGTGTACGCAGGTGCGTCCAAATGGAAATAAAACATTGGCTAGGTTTTCAAAATAAAAGCAACACACTTGTATAGCATGTTGATGATTTGATTGACGGACCTCATGAAGGGCTGGATGTGGCCCTCGTGCTGTAAAATGCCCAGGTTTGATCTAGACAATTGATTTAGATTAGATTGATCGAGATGACTGGACATTTAAGACACAAAAACAAAGATTTGAACTTGTTATGAACAGAATAACTGCTTCCTGTGAACGCCACCTGACTGAACTTTGAGACAAAGTGTGAAATTTACTTAACAGGCACTTACAAGCAAACTTTTAAGGAGCAAAAGAGTGATGAAGATGTGCACTATGTTTTTGTCGAGTGTAAGGGAATTTAGATACATGACATACACCTTAACTTAGGTCTTGTAGTGTCGATATCTGTGTTTGGTATTCAAAAAAAGTCTGCCTCAACAATTAAGGAGTTAGTAAATTATTAATTTGAAGAAATTTTCCCTTGAAACAATTTTTGCATGCCCTTTATTCCCATTATTTTGTTCATGCTGGCTGATATGAAGCAAGCAAAAACAAATTTTAAACTTTGCTCAGAAACTCTGAACATGGCCCAGAAGAGATTCTTGTATCAGCGTTCCTACACAAGTAGGGAAAGTTTGGAAAAGTATGGAAGTATTTTGATCAATTTCCATGTCTCTAAAAGTATATTAAATGGAAAATAAAGTTTGGGAACATAATTAGGTTTCTGGACTATTGCCACACGAAAAAAAGATGTTTTCTAAAATGATTCCAAAAAGTAGGGTATGGAAAATTATGGAAATTCCAACTGTGTAGGAACCCTGTTGTATGTTTTTAGGAGAAGCTGTGTCCCAGAGTTAAAGCAGGTCATCCTCTTATTGAATGAATGTCAGTTTGGTTCCTCTCTTTTGCAGTTTACAAGACTAAGCGTCCTCTGGCTGGTGTGTGGATGTGTATGAATGGGAATAGTCAGATCCTGTATGGCAGCCTGGCATTTGAATAGCTTCCTTTAGTTTATGTATATTTGTGCGTGTGTGAGTGAAAGGATAACTGTGACATTTAGTTGAAAGCCCTGGGAGTCACTGGGTTCATGCAGTACATTTGACTTTTACAAAATGTTTACTTTTATGTTTAAGTCCGCTCATCCATTGCATAAATGTTACTCTCTGCATGTCTGTTCACCCCTGTTTTATGAGAGGCGCAGGAAGGAAGCTAACAGAGTGCTTTTTTACAAGCCTGTCAAAGGCATGACAAACTGTATGTTCTCATTAAACCCTCCCAAAAAAACATGGGATACAAAGCAAGGGCAGACAAGTGTTAGGAAAACCTTTTATTGCTGTGTAAAACTCCGCTCAGAAATGGTTTTATATCTGGAGAAATGAAGAACGTCCTCCAACACTTTGATTGATTTTGTCTCGGAAATCTTTTGGAAAATGATTTCCTGAGAAAGAACAAAACTCTGCCCTGCTGTTCATCACAAATCACAGAAATGACGAGGCTGTACAGGTGATTATGAGCCAAAATATTTTTGGTCTGCAGCTTGAAAGTTTAATTTTGCGAAGTGTTTTTAACACTGGAAGACACACACACACACACGTCTTATAGTAATGTGTTTCAGTTAGCTGCAGTCAGTGTGTAGACCACCGGGGCTGAGTGTGCAGGCGGGGCTTTGACTCTTTATCTGTTGATGTGGTTCTGGTCATTTCAGATAAGGGCAGAACGAGCTGTGTGTAGACACGAGGCTCAGGCTGAGTACACAAACCCAGCAGCTGCCTGGCACCACACACACACAAACACACACACACGCAAAGACTCTTTCACAAAGGCTCAGAGTGACAGTGAGCACGAGTCAGAGTGGGAGCAGGCAGCAGAAAAATAAATGAAATAAAGGGATATGAAAATAAATAAGCCACGCTTTTAAGGAGAGATAAGGGACAACCTATGGAGGAGACTTTCATGTGTAAAGCTCGAGTCATTGTGTTTAGGGTGCAATGAGTGTGTTTTACAGAGCCTGATCAAACACAGACGCTGTAAAAAGTTCCAGATGCTCCTCAAAGGCCGATGAGCTCTCACTCGCACTCTCACTGGCCCTGATTCAACAACAATATCCCATCAGTCATTGCTCCCTCTGGGAAAAGGTCATATAAATTCAGAGTCTTGTTCTCCACTCTTCCGCGGCTGGTCCGCCGGGTTAAATGTCTTTCTCCATGTTCGCATGAAAAGTTGTTTTTCTCGTGAGTTAAAGAGACTTCAGAAGTTTAAAGCGAGGCTCAGCGGTTCGCTTTTTTTGCTTTTTATAAAACAGGGATGGTCTTCACTCAGGGCATGAGAAGCCTGTCAAGTTTTTGATTTCTCCTCTTGTACATCAACACAGGAGGTCATGTTTTGAGGACCATTAGTAAACTACACAAGCAGGCCAAGAACTATAGACTCTGAGGCTGATACAGATCCAACTCACAGACGAGTGAGAGAAACACATCTACCAAAATGTAGACGCGCTTTAGCCCTCCAAATCACTTTTTCCTTACCTTCTGAGTAATAAACCTTTTTCTGAAGAAGTTCGTGTGAGAAAAACCAGATTCAAAATCTCCTGAGGATACAATATGTTCAGCCTACTCTGTGCGAGTTTAATAAGTGCGTGTGACAGATCCGTCCACCCCACCCCTGCGCCCCGCTCCTTGTCAGCTTGTCCCCACGCTGCACCCTCCCTGAACTTGGGTGGGGGGGCTGCTGCTGGTCTTTGGAAGGAGGCTGAGGAATGTGGGTGATAGTTGCTAAGTGAAAGCTGCGCTGCCATCTCTGATAATTCACAGTCTCCGTGGGTGTGAGTCTCGGGCCAACACTAAGCAGAACCTTTCACAAGACTGAGAGAAAAAGCACCCGCAGAAAGAGAGAGACTCTTTCTGCACAGAGTTGAAGAAATATATATATTTAAAAGAAAAAAAACACAAACATCATCTTCCACGCACAAGAAGTGAATAATGACTGCTCTTTAACAGCAACATGAAGTCAGGAGAGCCACAAAAAACACCTGCATGAGCATCATGGGAAAATTTATCTTTCATATTATTCAATCAAAAACTTTTCATCTGACAGTTTGGGCATAAAAAACAATAAACTCTTACTAAACTCAAGATAGTAAGAGTGAAACATTTACATCCTCTCTGCTAATGTTATGTGTTTGCATGCATGCACGAGTGTCGGCACTTTGGCGAGCAAAATGAGGACATCCATTTTTCAGCGCACAAAGGAAAATTAAGACAGGCGTTCGGTTTGGCATCTGCAGAATGGAACACACAGAAAATCTGAGTCAGATTAGGATTTTTAGGTGTTAAATGAAATTGGCTCAGGAGTGCTGACTGTTTTAGTCGGAGACTGTCTGGTTTTGTCATCACACAGGGAGGCGTGTTCACTTTCTATTGTGGCACTGACTACTTTAATTTATTGATATTGTGTTAGGCAATATTTTATATTATCATTTTAAAATAGAGGATAAGAGAAGATTGACCCAGTGATCTAAAACTAACTGTGTGTAGTTGGGTTTTTATTTTTGGTCTTGAAAGCTGTAGACATGGAGTTGGCGTCAAAAGGAGCCAATGACACCAGTAAATCTTCAGCATATACATATATTTTTTTACTATTTTTGTTTGCAGTGTGTCATTTGTACACTTGATTAAACTTAAATTCTAGCTGCAAAAAGAGTTAGCTGAATGTTTTAATGCAGTGTTAATGCAGATGTTTCCCTGCTCCAACACACCTGATTCAAATGATCAGCTCGTTATCAAGCTCTGGAATGGCTTAATAACGAGCTGATCATTTGAATCAGGTGTGCTGGAGCAGGGAAACATCCAAAACATGCAGGACAGGGGGGCTCGAGGACTGGCCTTGAGAACAACTGTTTTAATGGAAAATAAGGATAACCACACTGTGAATGTTATTAGGATTTTGTGTAGAAGAACAACAAATATGCAACAAGAACAGACTTTTGACACCGCCGTATCTTCAACTGTTCGATAGAAAACTTCACAAGATGATCCACAATCCTGATTGTAGTCTGTCTGCCCTCCAAATATCACACTACATTTGTTAGTTTAACAGCCATAATATTAGAAACACCTGGTTAATCTTAAGGGGTGGGAGAAAAAATCAGTACAGCATAGTATCGCCATATTTTGTCTGGTGATATATCGTATCGTCTCATTTACCAAGTATCGATTTTTCAAATTGATGTATGATAATGGAAAAGTAAAATCAACTGTTGGTCCAGTGACGTCGGCAGAGGTGACATCATAGAGCAGCAGAAAGTTAGTACAACAAATATATATAAGGTTTGCATGATGTACTACAAGAAGATAAAATAGTGTAAATAAGACAAACATGAGGGAAAGATGAATGTAAAATTAGCTAAACAGTTGAAAAAATTGTATAAATCGCAATAATATTGTATCGTGGCCCAAGTATAGTGATAATATCATATTGTGGGGTTACTGGTGATTCCCACTCCTAATAATCTAATGTCATACAATACAAAAGCTCCCCGATCAGGTCTGCTTTGCTGCTTTTAGAATGTTTGTAAACCTGCACTTGATCGCCTACGTATTCATGATGTTCACCACTTTTTCTGTCATCAATTCCCCACATTTCAATCTTGTAAAATTCCCACAAATGTACGTCTTTTTTTCTAAGAATATCAAGAAAACGTTGCATCGTTAATGGGTTTCTAATCCTCCGTCATACTCAAAGATGCTGTGAACTTTTCCACAACTGTCCTATACGGCCCTTTCGTTCTTATATAGTTCTTTCCCAGTCTGACATGAGGGCCTGTTTGCCTTAAAAGTCAATGTTTACAGACTCACTGTCAGGACCATAGGCTTCCTGCTAAAGTAAATGGCGCCCTCGCTAATCCATCATAAAGGAGAGGAAAAATTATAAATAAAGCTCCATTGGGATTGTACGTTAAGTTCCATCAGCCCCCCTCTCTCGTTTCTTATCCTCCCTTTCTGGGCTGTCTTGAAGATGTTCGCTTTGGAGGGTTTGATCAGGTGTGGAGAGGTGATGGGTGGAAGAGGGTGCTGCTGATGAGGCATGGTGTAAACTCCTATCCCTGTACCGGTCGATCACCTACATGGCAGAGATGTAAAACAGAGAGATCAGCATTAATGCAGCAACACAAGCATACAGCCACGCTGGTCATTTATTGATCAAGCCTGCATATCCTCTCTAAGCTGTAGGGGGCTTTTTGAGGCAAAATAGATTTTAATCTATGTTGGGCAGAATGGCCAGTATTAGTCCTGTTCTGCCCGTCCTGTCTAGATCAGCGCAGCTCTTACATAATGCCATTTTGATATCCAGGGATTAATCCGAGGTCCTCTTCACAGACTGGCTGGCTGCTTCCATCATGTCGCCTCGGGGGAAATGATGACTGCTTTTATGAAAAAAAAGGTGAATGTTGAGTCACGTGATGTTCGATTTCTGGTTGTTTAAGAACAATATCCCCCATAATTTAGTTGGACTTGATCATACTCATAACTCCTAAAAGACATAGAGTAAGCACTTAGCCGTAAAAACCAGCATTAAACAGGCCTTCACGATATGGTAATGAGTATGGAGTTAAAACAAATGAGTGTGTTGTTCAGGACAGAGGACATGGGCAGGTGCAGCAGCCTCACACTAGGAGCGTGTCTGTGTCTGTCTGTCTGTGTGTGTGTGCAGGACAGGTAGCACGGCTGCTAAAGAGGTGGAGAGCTGTTGCGTAAACACAGGACCTTACTGTGTACTCTGTAAACCCACCGGCTTCAACCCTCTTGAGAAAGGCAAGCAATTAGTCTGAGGCTGAGACCTCACACACACACACACACACACACACACGGGGCGTGAATCTGGATGTATGGACAAGTATGGTGGCTGAAGCTCGTCGCATGTGAAGAGGTAGAAGTCTTTGAATGAGCACAGGTAGACTGACAGGAGGCATTCACCTGCGGACAGTGGGCAGGTTTCACTTTTGTCTGGTGGCTGTTTTTGCTTGATCAGTGTGAGTAATGTAAACAGAGCCGAGCGCTCCGAGCCATCTGCCTAATGTCAGTGTGGCCCATATCTGTCTCTCTCTTTCTCTCTCTCTCTCCCTCTATCACTCTTTCTCTGCACTTATTCCTGTACTCTTCCTATCATCCTCACATTCTCTTTCCTTCCTCATCCTGCTCCTTACCACTCATTTCCTCTCCTCCCCTCAACATCTGTCAGTCTTACATCTTATCTGCGCTGTCCATTATGCTGCTGTTCTATTTTTAGCCCCGCCCCTTGTTTGCTTTCTTGCAAAACTCATCCGTCCGTCACCCATCTGTTTTCTATTCTTGTGCCTGATGCTCAGTAAACTATGTTACCTCGGGTCACCTTTACCCTCCATTGCCGCTCGTGTTATGCTTTTACGGCGAGCAAATATGTTTTCATCCGGTCAAGCTTGACGCTCTTTGACACACTTCTTTTGATGGTATTATTTATATTGTAAATAGTGAGATGTGAGGCAGATGAGTTATAACTCTGGAAACAACAAATTTCATTATTTATTATGTATTAGAGTCAGAGGGTGAATGACAGGTCCAGGAGATCACTTACAGACGGAGTGCATCATGTCTAGGTGCTGCTTATTCAGTGCATGACCCCAGCCAGGACACGGACAGCAGGACAAGGCACACAGTGGCCTGGTGGCAAGGTCATCACAGAAGCTTTATGGGTATTTTTATATTCAAAAGGCTTTCAAGATGACATAATTTCTAGATTTATATCTGATTATCTTACAGATTTTGATTTGTAACTAAAAGTGTTCACGTCGGTTTTACTCAATTCAAGATTTTATTTAAAAACATAGACTTCTTTTTTTTTTGTTTTACTGATTCTAAAGAAACTTCATGAACAAGTAGTATAAAAACTTCTAATATAAGGAGAAGGCTGTAGGGTAAATACTGCAGCTTGTCACCAGGGGGAGCACCTGAAGGTTTGGCGATGCTTAGGAGGAGCTGTTTTGCCGCCCGTCATGGGGAGAATCATGTTGCAGTGTGATTCCACTCTGGATTTAGATTGATAGCTAAATACCTGATCATGTTGCTCACATGATTCTGAACCCAGAATAACAGGTTTAAAAATACTGCTTTAGTGTAAATAGAGTATGACTTGTTTTCCTTGAGATGGAATGAGAAAGGCAGCAGTTTGAGTCTTCGCAGCCGATCCAATTCTCAGACCCAAACAGTGGATTTACAGCTTGTTATTTCTTTGTAATTTTTTTGTCTTTTAATGAAGGAATTTACCGGTCAAACACGTGAGATGTACTCCAGGCTTATGTCTGGAAACTGAAACAGAGCCAGAGATGTATACTTGTGAGAAATGAATCATTGTACTGCTGTGTTGAGACGGCACCAGCAGTTATCTTACATTTATGCCTCAGTTAGTCAGAGATTCTTACCTCAGTGTTCGAAGAATGCACCTTCCTCCCCTGTGTCTTTAAGCTCTATGACCTCCTCCTTCCCTCCCTCCCTCCCTTCCTCTCTCCAGGTGAGCGCTAATGTCCTGATCTTTCTGTGCACTAACATCATCGGTATCTGTACGCACTACCCCGCTGAGGTTTCCCAGAGACAAGCCTTCCAGGAGACCAGAGGATACATCCAGGCCAGACTACACCTTCAGAGAGAAAATCAACAACAGGTTGGCCTGAATACAGACACACATGCAGATACACATGTCTACACAAACATATGAGCAAAATTCAAGACGGCGACTTTATTTTCCGCCACTTATCCCTGGAAAAACTATTACTTTTTGTAATTAGACCTTTACCGAGGACATCTACTTACTCCTTTCCTTCTTACCACTGTCCAACATCCTACTTCCTTCCTCTTTTGCTGTTGCTGCTTTTTTTTTCTGTTATCTAACTCCACAGGTAACATTACCTGTTACTTTTATCTGTTGACAGCACCTCTGACACACAGAGTCAAAGTGGCAGAAAATCTGATTAAAACACTTTTTTTTTCTCAATTAGGATACCAATATTTGGCATAAAAATCGTATTGATTGTGGGAAATTAATGTTTTGATATTGAGTAGGGTGACCATATTCTGAATCCCCAAAAAGAGGGTATGACTACATGAGGGTAGAGTCGTGCATACTTCATTTTGAGAGTTTTTCGGGTAGGATCAAGTGTTTTTTAAGTGCTTTTAACTCAATTAGTCCACGCGACACAAACTCAAAACTTCCATACAAAACCCCGGACATTTGAATGATTTTACAAACTCCCTCAGGACAAAGCCGGACAGGCCGGACAGCCCCCAAAAAAGAGGACATGTCCGGGTAAAAGAGGGCGATTGGTCACCCTAATATGGAGCCTTTACCCAAAGAGTGAGAAGGCTTTGGTGAGAAGGAAAAATCATAGTGAAGAGTTGCTTTTCAGGTGTCATAGTGAGACAGATCAACTAAAAATAAACCACAGGAACCTCCGCCAGCGCTCCTGTTTATCTCACTTGTGTGTTTAACGTCGGTATTTCATAACAATTAAGTTCTATTAAGCGGAGAAACAAGACGTATAAGGCTTTGCTTGAAAAGTCAATTATCATGGTATCAATTTAAAGGGAAAAGTCCTAAATCTGACCACAACACACGAGACACATTTTCAGTTCAGAAAACCCTGTAACACTTGATCCACTGAACATAAACAGCAACATTATGAGTGACATGATCTGCATTTTGTTTCTTTTTCATGTGTTTTCCAGGAACGTCTGTTGCTTTCAGTGTTGCCAAGGCATGTTGCCATGGAGATGAAGGCTGACATCAATGCCAAGAAGGAAGACATGATGTTTCATAAGATCTATATCCAGAAACACGACAATGTCAGGTCAGACGAGACTCTTGGCCTCTGTGCTTTGTTTCACGATCCACCCGTGAATATGGATCATTGAGTCAATTTCTGAATCACTATAGCTGGATCAGTTTTATTATGTATGTATCATATCATATAAACGTCAGCACATATACATACATCATAAGAGGAAGTGTTGAACTCTTTAAATTCAACACAGTACAAACATTTGTCCCAAACACACACACACAAGCACACAGAAACATATATATTAGTGAGCTCACAGAGTCAGAAGAGGGTAGAGAGGTTTGGCAGAGTGGAGGCTAATTAACACTAGTGAGGGAATACTTAATCACCAGCAGCCAAGATAAGATAATCCCCAAAGATGGAGAGCTTCAGCACACATTCAATTACAGCACTGAGCAAACACACCACACAGTCCCTATGCCCCTCATACACACACATACACACACACACACACTACACAGATCTCCTTCAGAGGACATTAAGGTCACACTCCCTGCCTCTCTCAAGGTTAGCCGCTCTAATAAAATGCTAAAATCAAGTAATGCTGCTCGTACTAAAGCTGGATCGTTGACGGTCGAATCTTAATGAGGGTGTCTGATTTTGAGAATTAATGTTTCCTTTTCTCTTTCTTGATCGTTTCCTCAGTATCCTGTTTGCAGACATCGAGGGTTTTACCAGCCTGGCCTCTCAGTGCACAGCTCAGGAGCTGGTCATGACACTCAACGAACTCTTTGCCCGCTTTGATAAGTTGGCATCGGTAAGCAGCTGAAAGAAATTGAACTCTATTTAGAAAGTAGCTCCAGATCTGCTGAATTTATACTCCTTTTTCGTCAGTTTGGCTTTGTTGTTTGTGAGAACTCTCAGGAACTTACCTTAAACACATGTATCTCAGAGATTTTCTGATTCTCTCTCTCAACTTGAAATACTTCAGTTTAAGTAAGTAGGTAGGGAGTGTAAAAAGAAAAGCAGGAGTCTTCAGTGTGTCAGTGTTAACATCACGACAGCACATATTAGACATTTCCACCAGACAAACACGACAGTGACAACTGAGGTGGGCAGCGAAAAGTATGAGGCAGCAAAACTGCTAAACGTGAACAATGTCATCAGCCCGCCCACACGCACAGTGAGTGTTTTGTGAAACTATCAGCTGCTGCATTCACACATCAGCTCAACCTGACTTTAGATATTCATTTTAAAAGACAGGTAAAAAGTCTGCAGGATAAACCTTTTTGTTGAGGCTGGGAAGAAAAGCCTGGCTATCAACCGGATCATCTTTATCATTCAATTTTGGAACAAACTTGAAGCAAAGCAAACCTCTGGGTCTAAGTTTACACTCTGTTTGGAAATTTACTGATCAGCCGAGTGGGTCTGTAATTTCAGAGTCATCATAGATATGGATATTTCTGCATATCAGTTTGGACTTTGAGAGCCAATTCCTTCAAGTTATCCAGCTTACACAGTAACGGCTATAGAGTGTGTCATTACAGCTCAGTCTGCAGAGTATTTTGATAAGGTAAACAAATCCATGTGGACTACAGGTTGTGCCATTACGCCATGAGGGAAGAGCTCTTAATTTGAAGTCGCTCCTCCATTTGGCTTTCTGGTTTTCTGATTCAACTTCTGAATATTCAAAAAAGTCAGTAAAAACAGTGGCATACAGAAAGGCAGGGAACCTACTGTACTGTTGTGACTGCTTTACAGCTGATCAAGCGGAGGAACACGTCAAAAAAATAGTGCAAAAACACAAGGACTTCCTGAAGGCATAGGAAAACTCTGAAAGTTAAAAAAACGAGCGTACACTTCCACCAATAACACTTTGGTTGGAGTTTAGCAAAAAACTAGTTACTCCAAACAAGTACCTGGTACAACCTCATATAACAAAAACAGGAAGTATCCCTTTGAAAGAGTACATAAACTAAGTATATTTTTCAAGTAACTGAATAAAAACAGCTGTAAAGAGATGGGTGTGTTTTTCAAACTACTGAGAGTTTCAGTGGACCTGACATTTTTGGGTCAAGTTAGTTTCAGATATTTGTTGTATTAAACTGAACGCCGCTTCACTCAAGTGTTTGGTTCTGACCCAGTGGACCAGCATGGAGCAAACCTGTCCCAGAAGACCTGAGCAGTCTAGATACTCAGTAGTTTACCTCAAGCTCAGTCATTTATTTGAAGCTGTTTGTGGGTCACAGATAGATGGTAGAGGAGTGACTGCAAACTGATCTTATTCTCTGCCGAACGGTCAGTGTTTCTGCAAATGTGTTTCTAATTTTATTACTTTCCAACTCTTGCCCTCCCTCTCCAGGAGAACCATTGTCTACGTATTAAAATTTTGGGTGATTGTTACTACTGCGTATCTGGGCTCCCTGAACCCCGGGCTGACCACGCTCACTGCTGTGTGGAGATGGGTGTCGACATGATCGAGGCCATCTCGTGAGTGCAGCTATCATTTCTTGAAGCTTTTAATGCGGTCAGCCAAAGCATTGACACTCAACTCTCCGTGCTGTGTGTCTGCAGGCTGGTGCGAGAAGTGACGGGGGTCAACGTGAACATGCGAGTTGGCATTCACAGTGGGCGTGTGCACTGCGGTGTGCTGGGACTCAGGAAGTGGCAGTTTGATGTGTGGTCGAATGATGTCACACTGGCGAATCACATGGAGGCGGGAGGCAAAGCAGGGTGAGGAAATTCATTTATTTATTTATTTGATATCAGGGGACAGTCGTGCTTTAACTCAGAGGATGAATAGAGAAGGACACTTACAAAACGGGTGTTCAACATAGGGTCACTGGTTTGATTTGAGGCCCACCAGTGAGGAGATTTCGGCCAGTACTAAAGATAAGATAAGATCAGATGACTGTCCAGCTGCACTTTATGCAGGGTTCCTACACAGTTGGAATTCCATACTTTTTCATACCCTAATTTTTAGATTTATTTTTTGGTAATATTTACTTTTCTATTTTACAAAACAGTATTTAAGAACTTTGGTAATAGTCTGGAAACATAAATATTTTTCCAACCTTAATTTTTCATTTTTTTTTATTTTTTATTTTTTTTCAAATTTAATTTAATTAATTAATTTATTTTTATTTAACAACAAAACAGAGTGACAACAACAACAAAAACAACAACAACCAAAAAAAATAAAAGATAAAAAATTAACAAAAATACTTTTGTGAGGGAGGAGAGGGGGAAAGAATTTATATAATATATAATAGAGAATTTAAAAAGAAAAAAACAAAATCTTAATTGGATTACATCTATATAATTATATATATATATATATATATATATATATATATATATATATATATATATATATATACACTCACCGGCCACTTTATTAGGTACACCATGCTAGTAACGGGTTGGACCCCTTTTGCCGTCAGAACTGCCTCAATTCTTCGTGGCATAGATTCAACAAGGTGCTGGAAGCATTCCTCAGAAAGCTTGGTCCATATTGACATGATGGCATCACACAGTTGCCGCAGATTTGTCGGCTGCACATCCATGATGCGAATCTCCCGTTCCACCACATCCCAAAGATGCTCTATTGGCTTGAGATCTGGTGACTGTGGAGGCCATTTGAGTACAGTGAACTCATTGTCATGTTCAAGAAACCAGTCTGAGATGATTCCAGCTTTATGACATGGCGCATTATCCTGCTGAAAGTAGCCATCAGAAGTTGGGTACATTGTGGTCATAAAGGGATGGACATGGTCAGCAACAATACTCAGGTAGGCTGTGGCGTTGCAACGATGCTCAATTGGTACCAAGGGGCCCAAAGAGTGCCAAGAAAATATTCCCCACACCATGACACCACCACCACCAGCCTGAACCGTTGATACAAGGCAGGATGGATCCATGCTTTCATGTTGTTGACGCCAAATTCTGACCCTACCATCCGAATGTCGCAGCAGAAATCGAGACTCATCAGACCAGGCAACCTTTTTCCAATCTTATATTGTCCAATTTCGATGAGCTTGTGCAAATTGTAGCCTCAGTTTCCTGTTCTTAGCTGAAAGGAGTGGCACCCGGTGTGGTCTTCTGCTGCTGTAGCCCATCTGCCTCAAAGTTCGACGTACTGTGCATTCAGAGATGCTCTTCTGCCTACCTTGGTTGTAACGGGTGGTTATTTGAGTCACTGTTGCCTTTCTATCAGCTCGAACCAGTCTGGCCATTCTCCTCTGACCTCTGGCATCAACAAGGCATTTCCGCCCACAGAACTGCCGCTCACTGGATATTTTTTCTTTTTCGGACCATTCTCTGTAAACCCTAGAGATGGTTGTGCGTGAAAATCCCAGTAGATCAGCAGTTTCTGAAATACTCAGACCAGCCCTTCTGGCACCAACAACCATGCCACGTTCAAAGTCACTCAAATCACCTTTCTTCCCCATACTGATGCTCGGTTTGAACTGCAGGAGATTGTCTTGACCATGTCTACATGCCTAAATGCACTAAGTTGCCGCCATGTGATTGGCTGATTAGAAATTAAGTGTTAACGAGCAGTTGGACAGGTGTACCTAATAAAGTGGCCGGTGAGTGTATATATATATATATATGTATATGTATACACACGCACATACATAGATACACACATATACATATATGTACACATACACACACACACACACACACACACACACACATACAATCCCCCCGAATCACCGACACAACAGCGACAATACAACAACCACAACAGCATCAATAATAACAATAATAGTAATTTTCAATACTTTTTAAGATCTGGAAATTCAAAGTTATTTCCATACTTTTCCATACTTTCCATACTTGCGTAGGAACCCTCTTTATGGTTTGGCTGAATTAAGGTTTTGCATGTTTCTTTCATTTAAACAGATTGAGAATGAGCAGATTTTCAGTCAACTTCTTTCATACTTTTGATTCTACAGGAGGATCCACATCACTAAGGCCACCTTGCAGTATCTAAACGGAGATTACGAGGTGGAGCCCGGTTTCGGAGGAGAGAGAAATGCATACCTCAAGGAGAACAGCATCGAGACCTTTTTAGTCCTCGGCTGCAGCCAGAAACGGGTCAGCACACACCAAACACACACCCCAATATGCTGAATAGGTTTTTTAATCATGGAAAAAAAATGCTAATTATAACCAGGAATAACGCTGCGGGTAATATTTTTGAACAGTCTTTTAGCACATCCTTCAGAGAATGCCGACCTTACATTTTTCACACATAAGGAGATATGTGACAAATGAATCTTTGATTTGAAAAAAGAGCCTGAGAATAAACAAATAGAGAAGCATATGTTTCCATCCTGCAGTGACTCTACACATGATATATAATATAAAGAGTACCACATGGGGCATATGCTGCTCATCAACACGATCAGAAAATATTCGCTATATGAACTTTTGCTGCGTCAAGCTAGTCAAAGTGATTTATAGGTGAACTGTGAACAATCGCACGGAACTGTAGATGCAAAAATAATAACAGATGAGAACGGACGGATCTGTGAATGAAGTAATCTTGTGGATCCTCAAGTGACTGCACACTTCCCTCGTGGGCGTAAGAAACACTAGAATGAGTGAATGAATGAAGGCTTCAGATACTTGTATTGTCACTGACTGTGCTGTTCGATAACAGTTGGTCAAGTTTTTTCATGTTCTTCCCTCCGAGCAGAAGGAGGAGAAGGCGATGATGGCGAAGATGCAGCGAACAAGAGCCAACTCTAATGAGGGGTTGATGCCGCGCTGGGTACCCGACAGAACCTTCGCCAGGACCAAAGACTCCAAAGTCTTCAGACAAATGGTGAGTCCACGTTAAAACCCCCTCAGTGACAGAGCACAGCCTGCAAGCTTCTCTCTGAGTCATATATGTCTTTTTCTCTCTCTCTTAGGGGATTGATGAGACCTCCAGTAAAGACAAGTGAGTACTGGCGCTCAGTGGATTCACTTTTAAAAACCCCGTCTTCGCCTAGCGGGATTTCTTTTGACCCCTTTCTCTTACTTGTCTTGCAGCCGTGGTGTTCAGGAGGCCATGAACCCTGAAGATGAGGTGGATGAATTTCTCGGGCGTGCCATTGATGCTCGCAGTATCGACCAGCTAAGAAAGGACCACGTGAAGAAGTTTCTGCTCACCTTTCAGACCTCGAGCCTGGAGAAAAAGGTCCAGATAAAAATCCTTGATAATCATTTGATTCATCTTTAAATATAAACCACATCTGGAGGATAAAACCCTCTGCTCCTCATATCAATCTGACAATTATTTTCTCCTTTTTTTTGTTGTAGTATTCCAAAAAAGTGGACGACCGGTTTGGAGGCTATGTCGCCTGTACTCTCCTAGTATTCTGCTTCATATCATTCATACAGATTGTTGTCTTTCCACAGTGAGTACTTGATGAATTCACGTACTTTAGATTCTCCAGTTTACAACATCTTTCATTTGGGTCATGTGGTTTGAAATGTTAAAAAAAATTACTAATTTCCCTATTTTTGGTCCACATATTGCAATTTTAACTGTAAGTCTGCTTTAAAATTTCTGACATGATGGGGGAAATAAAAATCTTCTGTTTAGCTTAAAAAAAATTCATGGGTTTAAAAAAGCACACCTAAAAACTGAAGATTATTAAATTTTAATGTGATATCATAATGTATTTTTATATGTGCTGTTAAAGTAAAACAAAGAATACTTCTTATTTGTCCTATTATCTTCAATAGGACTACAACTCCCATGATGGCACAGCATCTTTCAGCGCCATCAGGCAGATTAATGCTGCATTCAAGTTACCTCGGAAGTCAGATGTCCGAGCTGGGAATGACATCACACCTGAGTTACCAGCGTTTCAGTTACCAAGTCGGAAAAAAGAAAAATGGTGTCGGAAATAAGATGGCTACTTCTATGAAAGTTATTTTAGCGCTTGTTATTTTAGTTATTTTAAATCCCCCTTCGTAGATGTAGCTATCTTTTTCCGCCTCAGATTTTGCTTTTTTCAGACATGGTAACTGAAACGCTGGTAACTCGGGTGTCACATAATTCCCAGCTCAGACATCTGACTTCCGAACGCAGCATGAGACCCCTGTAAATTATAGACACCACATGCAGTAATTTATCCCCCTCTTCTTTCACATTTCTAACCGTCAAAGTTTTAAAAAAAAGTCTTTAATTGACAGATGAATATTAAAAATTTGTTATGAAAGCATTCTTCATGTTTGTCTATAACTGTATCAACTGAATTCTGTCTCCTTTCTTGCAGCACTCCAGTCATGCTGGGAATCTACATCAGTATCTTCATCATACTGGCCAACATCCTTTTCATCTGTGCCATTTATTCATGCATCAAGGTAGCCAACTTACACACAGACAGATATTTTGCACATACATCCTTACACAAATGTGTTTTTAAGAGTTTTTTAAATAAGGGATAATGTATAGTGAGCTGATGTTTTTGTGAAATGAAATCCCGACAGGGCGAGACGAGACCTGGAGGTGAAAGGTTTTATCTTTCCAAAAAGATTGAGAGTAAAATGAGAAATGTCCTCCATGTTTTCCCCTGAAGATGAAGTCATGTTTGTTGACTGTGTGTGAGCAGGATGCCCCTCTAACACCTGTTGCTTTCAGGTTTTGACCAATCAGAATCATGTATTCAACACGGCAGGGTGCTAATGCGTAACAACGGTTCGTGTTTCCTCCTGCAGCTCTTTCCAGCTGCCATGCAGACTGTTTCAAAGAAGATTGTCCAGTCTCGCACCAACAGCACCCTGGTTGGAGTGTTTACCATCATCCTCGTTTTCATCTCTGCCTTTGTTAATATGGTGAGTGACGGCATACCCAAACAAAGAGGCCGCACATCCTCGCAGTAAACCAATCGAACACGATGTAAATCATGCTAAACACACGCTTGTTTGTGTTTGTGCAGTTTGCTTGCGACACTAAGAGCTTGGCGCAATGCGTAGCCGAGAAGCTGAACACAACCGCGAACCTGGTGACGCCCTGTTTGATCCGCAGCTTGAATGTTTCTGTTGAAGGGGGTCTAGAGATCTGTCCCAGCCAGGGCCCTTCCTGCCCCTTTCCTGAGGTGAGTTCATCGTTACGTCACCACTTCATTGTTCCCCGCACGACTGGTTGAGCCGTTTCAAAGTGAAAATGTCACATTTGCATTTGTTTTTCCATGAGATCTATTGATAATAAACGCCTCTTGTGACACTGCTCTTCTGTTTTTCAGTATTTCAGCTACAGTGTGCTGCTGACGCTGCTGGCCTGCTCGGTGTTCCTGCAGATCAGCAGCATAGGGAAGCTGGTCCTCATGCTGCTCATCCAGCTCACCTTCCTGCTGCTGGTGGAGTGGCCACAAGTAGCACTATTCGACAACGCAGACCTCTTTGTCACCTCAAATGCCATGTAAGTCTCTCATATAACATACTAATGACAGGATTTAGATGTGCTGCATTTGAAAGTTAAATCACTTCATCCTTACTGCAGAGGTTAAGTCCACGTTAGTGTTAAACAGAAAGACAGAAACCATTTCTTTTTGTGTGGAGGCAGCGTTCCAGCCCACATGCACTAAACAGTGGTATATTATATTCTTTAAAGGCGTTCAGCATGATTTTACTCTGCAAACAAACTATCCAAAAAGTTTCATGTTCGAGTTACTCTTTCAAAATTGTGTCGTTTAAAGTAGCGATAGACAGACAAAATGAATGACTCTGAATGTACAAGTTATTTTTCAAATGTTTATCAATGAACTGTTTTTCTAACCACATTTATTTTCTTTTTTAGCGATTTAAATGAAACTAGTGCTCAATGGTAAGAAGTTTATTTGTATTTAGATTGAAAAACACACCTCATACATGAATGAAGCATCAAGGTTTAACTTTTATGTTGACCAGATTTTTCTTTATCCTCATATTTTCAGGTCCAGTTCCAACGAAACTACAAATCAGTGGTGAGATAACATTCAGTGTGACTTTGGAAGTTTTTAAAATCTCAGTTTCTCTCATTTTTAAGTTTCCTTTTTTTTTCCGACCATGTGTTTGTCACCCTGCAGCCCGTTTGTTGTGACCAAAGTATCCCTGAGGGTCATGACTCCGGTGATCCTCACTGTCTTTGTCCTGGCACTGTACCTGCACGCCCAGCAGGTTGAATCTACCGCACGCCTTGACTTCCTGTGGAAATTACAGGTATGGAACAGCCCACAAGAGGGCGCCATCCTACCGTTGAAATGTCAAACTAAATGGAAAAAAGCTTAAATTTTTCCATCCATAAAGATAATCACTGATTTGAAGTACTTGAATAGAATATTTTTAGTGTTGTCTAGACAATAAGCTGCCTCATCTATAAAGGAGTCTCTAATAAAAACCTCCACTGCTAGGCCACCGAGGAGAAGGAGGAGATGGAGGAGCTGCAAGCCTACAATCGCCGCCTCCTTCATAATATCCTGCCGAAGGATGTGGCTGCTCACTTTTTAGCACGTGAGCGGCGTAACGACGAGCTCTACTACCAATCCTGCGAGTGTGTGGCCGTCATGTTCGCCTCCATCAGCAACTTCTCTGAGTTCTACGTGGAGCTGGAGGCCAACAACGAGGGAGTGGAGTGCCTGCGGCTGCTCAACGAGATCATTGCTGACTTTGACGAGGTAAACCTACCACAGTGAAAGTAAGATCTGACTAATACTTTTAACGATTTGAAAATTACACAAATGTCCGTACTGTATGTTCCCAGATCATCAGCGAGGAGAAATACAGGCAGCTAGAAAAGATCAAGACCATCGGCTCCACCTACATGGCGGCTTCAGGTCTCAATGACTCCACCTACGATAAGGAGGGCCGTTCTCATATCACCGCACTGGCCGATTACGCCATGAGACTGAGGGAGCAGATGAAATACATCAACGAGCATTCCTTCAACAACTTCCAGATGAAGATAGGTGAGCTAAGATCATGTGTGGAATCCCAAAAGTAATCAACCTGTGTTTCACAGCTCTGTATTCGTCATGTGTCACACGTTGTTGATGCTTTTGCTGCGAATTTTCAGGTCTGAATATCGGGCCAGTGGTAGCTGGGGTTATTGGTGCACGGAAACCCCAGTATGATATTTGGGGAAACACAGTTAATGTGGCCAGTCGTATGGACAGCACAGGAGTACCAGACTGCATACAGGTAGGCTTTATATAGTTACAATGAGGTTTAAGTATGAACACATTTTGAGTCTGTTTGTATTATTTGTGGCCTGGTAACATCTTATAGAAAGCATCAGGATGTTTGACGCTTAAAAACATGAAATGAAGCCCTCTCCATAAACCTCAAAACTCATATCTTATCAGTTGATTATTAACCCAGCGTCATATAAATCTGCTCACAGGTGACCACAGACCTCTACCAAGTGCTCGCAAACAAAGGGTACGTGCTCGAGTGTCGCGGGGTCGTTAAGGTCAAAGGCAAAGGGGAAATGACGACCTACTTCCTGAATGATGCGCCGCCCAACAGTTAGCAGCCGAGGCAGCAGCGACAGACGTCTGGGTGACGCCCACTGCAAAGGACACAGCAGCACTGAGCGAGGACTCACGGTGCGAGCGAATGGCTAAAAAACTCGAGACGCCATCACTTGAATCCCAAGCAAAGAGGAAAAAAACTTTTGAAAACTACAGAAGGAAAGTGTTCTTGAAGAGAGAAAAGTTGTTCTCGTTCGACAGCCATTTTGGCCCACGTACATGTTGAAGGACCAGTGTTTTTCTCATGTCTAGCCTCTCTCTCAGGCTTCTTGAAAGATGCAAAGTCTGTTTATTTGAAACAAACGCCTTTTAGCCTGTGTCAAAAGAAGATTAATGCTGTACATAAGGCTACTATTTTATTTTATTTTGTTTTGTTTTTTTGTTTGTTTCCAGTAATTTTTTTTTTCACATGAATTATGAATAGGTACTCATATTTTGTTTTCTGCGTTAACTATTTATTTTGACTTCAATGTTTTGTGCAAAAGGTCCTTTATGAAAAAGTGTGAATACATACATGCACAAATATCCAGTTTATTACACGTTCTAAGTGTGTATGTACATGCATATTTGTGTGAGTATGAATATATGTATAAACTGAGGAGGAATATATTGACCAAAGACTAAAGTATTTACTAAAAGCAAGGCAAGACATGTTTGATATGTCCTGGCCAAAGTCAGCAATGATCACCGCCTGTTTTTTTATTTTGTTTTTTTTTCTGCAGAAGGCCTGAACCCTCTGTCTTTTTGCCCGACCGCTAGCAGCAAAGGCTGCTTTATTTTTCTCATACGATATTTAAGATTTATTTATATCGTCTGTCACTCAGGCAGCAGATCACCTTTATTCTAAGTTATGATAAAAGCCCTCAACCTCAAAACGCAATTACTGAAGATGACTAAGGATGTTATTAGCAGGTGAAATCTGAAAGCTATATTTTTATCTCTAAAGAGCAGACGCTCCAGCGGCGATCATCCTTTTTTCAAGTCTGATTGGTTCTTTAGATGTTGAGCAGCCGGTGGACAGCTGGTATTAGCTGTTCTAGTTATTACAAACCCCCTATTTCCCTATCAGAGAAGTATTTTTTTGGTTCAAACAAAAATAAAAGGATCTTAATATCAGATAGTTGTTCAGAGCCATCAGAGGGGAAAATCTGGGATTTCAGCGCAGTGGTACCACACAGCTTGATTCTTCTATGAAGAAGAAATAATGAAGGAAAGAATAATATATTGATTTTGACTGAATACTGTGCTTTGTAATCCTGAAGGGGCATAACTTTTTTCACTGTGAGGTTTTTATGAGACAACAAAAACTGCTTTCTTGCCAAACATAACCGCTTTGAAGCATGTCTGATTGTGGTATCTTGTTTTCATTTTCGTTTGTTTTAATGTAGGGTATTTTGTATCACTTCTGTATCCATCATTTGTATATTCTTAATGTTGTTATTATTATTATTATTATTATTATGAAGATTCTGATTAATTATTATGCTTATTATGATGATTCCATTCCAATGAAAAGGATCAAAGACCAGCACGCTTTCTTGTAAAATGCCAGTCGTAAAGCTCAAGCTCACTGGTACCAACTGATCAACTGCAGCCAATCAATCCCGCTGTTCAGTCCTAATGTACATTACAGTCTGTCTACTGGCAATGATCATGTATAGTAAGTAATAACCAATAGCTGCCTTTGCAGCAGAACCTGGGTGGTATATGCTCACATAAGCATCGAGGCAAACACTAATACAGATGATTCACTTTGTTTATTTGATTTAATTTTATTTATGCCACTACTGCAGTATTGTAAATCTCAGACTTTGAAGGTGACACCTCCTTACCACACTCTTAACGTCTCAGCACTTACAAAGACATCCCTGGTATTTAAAGGATGTGAAGAGGACAAGGCAGAATCAGCAAACATGCATATATTTCTTGTATTACTTGTATCATATCCCCCACGCACTCAGTTTGTCAGTACAAATAGCTGAGTTTGATTGCCTTAAGTTATTAAAAACAAATCATTGAATAACACTGAACAGGAACTGTGCCTGCTTGCCCTGCCTGGACTGCTGAGGTTTGGTCAGAGAGGGAAACGGATAAGGGCTTGTCGAGAATAATCTTCAGTTAACATTCTCATTACTTCAGTGATCTCCAGCTTCAGCTTTTGTATTTGGGAGACATCAGCACTGATTTTTGCTCTTCCGCTACACTCAACAACTGCAACGAACAGTTGATCATGTTTGTACCAAAGCCAGCTCACGCAGCCTTGTGCTATTGGTCCCTCCTGTGCAATGATTTTTGGCCTCAGGCGTGATGGGAGCACCAGAGGACAGCAATGTAACGGAGTGAAACACCTGTCGAGCGAACTGTGACCAATGAAGAGTGATTCATGTAAGCAGAGTTTATAGAATGGACTTGAGTTCATCAAAATGTGCATTGTATGTATTCTATTTCTATTGGCTGTCCATAGACTTGTGTTGATTGTCAACTCTTGGGATGTTTTGGGAGGATCAGGAGAGGGGAGAAAGGTTGTCCCCCATACTACTGAAACAGTGTTTTTGCTCAGGCCTGATGAATCCTTCCGTATCTGTTTTTGTTTTGTTTGTATTTTCCCTGAGTTGGAGAGGTTGAAAGGGGAGTGTTCTACAAAGACGAAAGACAAGAAGAGCTGAGGTCTACGACAAAGAGAAAAATAACATTTCCCCTTGAAGAAAAATAAAAAAATTTAATGGCTCTGATGTGCTCATTTACTTACTGCTGCTTTAGTGTGAACACGCATATATTTAAACACACTTTTAGAGAAAACCTGGTCTAGACTGCACTCTTTGTTGTGTTATTTTGTCTCGATTACTGGTAGTCTGTTGCATTACTCATGCTAATCACTTTATAACTGCAGATAAGTCATTACGGTGTCATTTAGTAATAAATTTTATTTAAAATGTGCTTTTACAGGTGCTCAACGGCGCCTTACAAAGAAGAAAATAAAATAAACGATTAAAAATACAGAAATTTTTTGAGAAATAAAACCACAGTTTAAAAGTTAAAAAAGACACAATATGATAGGATAATAATAGAACAGTTCACAGGTTAAAAGACAATTTAAAAAGGTGTTTTTAAAGGAGTGATTTAAAAGTATGGGGGTCTGTACAGTCTTGGATGGGTTTGGGGTGGCAACGGAGAAGGCTCTGTCCCCTTAATAACTACAACTTCACACTTCAAATTGATCACACTATCAATTAAGAAGAACACTACACTAACACAACTTTTTACTATCCTTGCACCATCCTAATTTATATTGTGCAGCACAAGCCCTCAAATCAACTGAATGAAAACAACAATCATATACCTCCCAGGAAGAACTGAATTCTTGAATCGCCAAAGGTATAGACTAATTTAATAATTTAATTGAATTTCCCTGAGGGGATGAAATAGTCATTCTTATTCTTATTCATAATGAGGAAAATATCACCAAATGAAAAGCTGCACAGCTGCAGGACTCATCTGTCAATCCACAAGCACGTTATCATGATTACATTAGATAGGATAATGATAGGAAACTATTTTAAGTAACTTTTTACACATAAAACAGACACTGTAGCATGAGCTATGTGGTGGCCTACAGTGGCATGAGTTTATTTTTGTCGATAACAAATATGAAAAAAGAAATAATTGGTGTGTCATGTGATAACAGTAATAGATTACACAGAAGTGTTTCTAACCGGTTGGACTTCATGCTCGTACAACAAAAATCCCCGGGCTCCCCCAGGTGTATATAAACATCAGAGTCACCTCCTGTCATGACTTAGTAAAACTTCAGCACAGGTGATAGGACCCATTGGTTCAGCTGTTAAAGCACAGTAAGTGATGATTTAAAAGACATTTAAAATCATGATATCTATCTCAGAACCTGATAGTCCAAGAGGCATGTCATGAATAACTTTTTTCAGGTTCATTTAAAGGAAATTTGTCTCTAAAGTGTATAACTTTCAAATTTTTGTTGTAATTCAATTGCTGTAAAAGTACAACTAGTCTTTCTCAAACTGCGCTATTCTCTACTGCCTTAATAAGAGAGTAAACTAGATTTAAACCAGTAGACTCATTTATACATTTTGAAATTTATGTTATTGGTTTAGCAGTCCAATGAGCTTCTTTTGTTAACATGAAATTATTTTATTGCTTATCAAACGGCTGAGTGAGATTGTTTATTGTTATATTGTTTATCTTTCATTGAAGGAAACAGATTAAATCTTTTAAAGTCTTGGGTTTCTGTCTTAAGTTTGATGTCACAGCTACATGTCCTTTCAGTTTTGTTTTCAGTAAGTCCTGCCCTCTTCATACCATGCCCAAAGTTGGCTGTCAACTCACCTTTCTTGTAAAGGGTTCCTTCATTTTGGTTTTGCTTTCAATTCTGTTCGAAATCGTACATCCTGTAAACCTCCATCAACCATCATCCTCACATGCGGCGGGTGTGGCGAGACTCAAGGAAACCACCCTCCTGCCCTCAAGTCCGTACTGTGCGCATGGTTTTTACACTAAAGAGGAGCTGAAGCCTCACCTTGAGAGGCCGCCACAGGATCCCACGGCACAGGGTGTAAATGGTGAACCCTTCGAGTCATGGCATCTGACTCCTGAAGAAGAAGAAGCGGAATCACAGGGATATGAGAGGAACATTTTTAACCAGTTTGCCAGTGATCGCATCTCCCTACACCGTGATTTGGGTAGTGACACACGGCACCCAGAGTGAGTACATCAGCTGTTCATTATATCAGGAGAAAACACCATAGTTCTTGAAGAAATGTTACACACCATAACGCAACAAATTTAGACTATTTTCAACTTTGAGTCCAGTTTGGACCACTTGCATGGATCAGCTGATGCTCTGATGTTGAATTTCATGTTCTGCCTGAACTAACCCTGTACTGTCTTTGGCTCTGGCAGCTGCTTAAAACAGAAGTTTCCACGTTGTCCAGGCCTCCCAACCACAAGTGTGATCATAGTGTTTCACAATGAGGCCTGGTCCACCCTGCTGAGGACAGTCTACAGTGTCTTGCATACAGCTCCTGCAGCCGTGCTCACAGAGATCTTACTGGTGGATGATGCCAGCACACATGGTGAGATTCTCTACAGTGCTGCATGTCAAGATGGATGAAATCATTACACAATTTTCACATTTGTAATTGTCGATTTCTTTTTCTTTAGATCATCTGAAGACACGCCTAGATGAATATGTGAAACAGCTGAAAATAGTACGTGTATTACGGCAGAGGGAGAGGAAAGGCCTAACACCAGCTCGTCTTTTAGGAGCCAAATCTGCCAAAGGAGAAGTCCTCACTTTCCTGGATGCCCACTGTGAGTAACCCATGATACACTGTTTATCATTCTTTTCCACAAGATTCAGTATGAATGTTCAAACAGGTGTGTTGATCAGATAGTGTCTTAAATGAGTTTCTGACGGTGTGCTTTCTGAGGTATTTAGTAGGTATAAAGGGTGGAAAGGCCACAAATTAAAAGCTATAGGAGAGCGTTTAGTCACTATGTTATATCAAATGACTGTCACACTGCATCTATGTCCCCTATTTCTGCACAGGTGAATGCTTCCCAGGATGGCTGGAGCCTCTTCTAGCTCGGATAGCAGAAGAGCCTACCGCTGTGGTGAGCCCACATATCGCCGGTATCAACCGGCATGACCTTGAGTTTGATAAGCCAGACCCAGCTCTTCGTCACGCCCGTGGAAAGTTTGACTGGACCCTTACGTTTAGATGGGAGGTTGTTCCTGAAGAAGAGCAGGAGCGAAGGAAGAATGAGACAGATCCTATCAGGTAAATCAAACTATTCAATCATACTGGCATAGATGGCACTTGAGCATATGTCAGTAATGTTTCCTTATTTTCAAGATAACAAAAACAAAAGCATTCCTGCTGTTTCTTTAAGTGTCATCCTTCTCACTCCTTGAGAATCTTTGCCTTGTAAAAATTATTGACTCATGCAGCTAAAAGCATAAAGATAATCTAATTTTATTGCTAATGCTCTCATCTGCTTCTTCTAGCTCATAGAGAGGCATCAGAATTAATTTTAGCCTTTCCATTAAATGAAAAATGTCGATAAAATTATGACAAAACTCTGAAAGTTTTTGTTAAAACCATTATGGTGTATTTAGTGATGTTAAATGTCCACATGATGGTGCTATTACAACAAGTTCTGAGTGAACTGTTGGATCATTAGTAATGTTTAACTGAAGTTTACACAATTTAACCTGTTGATTCTCAACCTGCCAACCAACAAGTGATCAGATCTTGATTTACTTTCAGAACTCCTACTTTTGCTGGTGGGCTCTTCTCTATATCCAAACTGTACTTTGAGCATCTTGGGACTTATGATGACCAGATGGAGTTCTGGGGAGGGGAGAACCTGGAAATGTCCTTCAGGGTAAAAACTTGCTTTAGCCTTTTTCATAATATGTTTCCTCCAGTGCGATCTGTTTTCAGGTTTACTTTGTGTTGTGTCCTCCTCCCTGTCACAGGTCTGGCAATGTGGAGGTCAGCTCGAGATTCTTCCTTGCTCAGTTGTTGGACACATTCACCGCCCGCACAACCCTTACCCCTTTCCCGACAGCTTCACTGTGATCACTCGAAACCTGGTGCGACTGGCCGAGGTCTGGATGGACGACTACAAATGGATCTTCTATCGCACAAACAGAAAGGCAGCTTCCATCTATGAAGAGGTGAGTTGGAACGTACAGAATAGTATTGCGTCTACACTATATCATCTTCGCATTGTCCTACTTACTTAGACCTGTCTCTCTTTCGCCCTCTCAGAAATCTTTTGGCAATCTTACTGAACGCCATGAACTCAGGAGGAGATTAAAATGCAAGAGCTTTTCTTGGTACCTGGACAACATCTACCCAGAGGCCTACGTTCCTGACATCATGCCTTCCAGATTTGGACGGGTAAACTTCTTAATGTAACACATCAAGTGTTTGACCATGGAGGAACATCAAGACAACAGTATCAAGTTATCTTTCTAGTAAATGTTTTATTGGTGTCATTACTGTTTTTCTCCTTGCAGCTGGAAAACATTGGTTGGAGCTGCTGCCTGGATGCAACAGATGATGCTTTGACATTGGACTATGTTTTTGAATGTAACAGTGAATGCAGTCAACAGGTGAGCTAAAGCCAATATCATCAAAAGAGAGCCAGAAAAAAACTAGTTTAGTGAAGGTATCAGACATTATGCCCTGTTACACAAGTATTTAATGAGGCCGTCCAAGTTGCACTAGATGGGAGTAGGAGAAAATAAAGCAGTTGTTGTTTTGTCTACAGGAATTTGCATTAGTACATGTTTTTGGTGGAATAACTTGACAAACAATTTTGTGTTTACATTGCACACAGTTTACCTGTCCAATCACAAAGCCATACCATGTTGCAGTTTGTAGTTGCTTTTCTTTGCATCTGTTTTCTGCAGTTTGATGGTTCTTTATTTGGCTGAGCGCCTTCTGTGTTTTGACATCCTTCACTGTTTCTTGACAGATTCAGGGAGTGAATAGTATTCAACTTTAATGATGATGGTCTTACTTGCTTTAAAGGGTTTTAGAGAGCATCACAATTTGGACCACTGAAGTGAATTTAAATTAGCTTTTAGCGAAATACTCACAACTGCAAAAGTTAGATACATCCTATAGCTTAAAATACTTCATCTGTTATTCTCAGTATTTTGAGCACACATCACTGCTGGAGCTGAGGCTCAGCCCTGATCTTGATAAGTGTCTACATGCGACCTCTGGGAGTTTCCTTGTGTCTCTTAAAAGCTGCCATCTGAAGGGGAAAGGAACCACAGTCGCTGTCAACCAAATGTGGATCTACACAAAGGTAATTTCACAAGTATTTCTACATCACCTTAAACTATAGAGCAACATCTGTGACAATACTTTACCAAGCTTTACAAAGAAATCCTGCCACTCATTCTTGTCTCTCAACCACTAAAAACAGATTTACAGCTTGTGTTGTTTTTTTTTTTTCAGAAAAACCAGCTGATGAACTTGTTGACAAGAGAGTGTTTGACTGGCTTCAATGGATCTGTGTTTATGGCCACCTGTGACGTAAACAAACTAAACCAAAAATGGATCTTCAATCGACCCTAGTCTTGTTTTAGTATGCAAAATACCATTCAACCATGTTTTTTCTCTGGGTGGTGTAAGGATGCAGTATCTACTTTTAGTATAGCAGCATTTCAGAGAACACACTCAGTGGAAATAGAATATTATATCTGTAAATATGTTTAAATTCATGTATAATCAACTGACTGCTTTCTTTGTTTACTTGGGCTGAACCTCTTTTCTCTATAGATCCTAAGCAGAACTTTCTCATTATATTGAATCACAAGGTCAAAGGTCAATGTTGGTAACCTCATATCAAGCGAATGAAGAGTGATTTATGTAAGCAGAGTTTATGGAAAGGACTTTAGTTCATGAAAAATGTATGTTGTATGGATTCTGTTTCTAGTGGTTAACCATAGACTTGTGTTGATTATTATCTCTTGGTTTTTAGGGGTGGTTAATCATTGTTCATTCTTCAAAGTGATAATGCTGTGTATTAAATTTTAGCTTGGGAATGTCTTTCTCTTCTTTGACTTCACATACCTTGTCTGATGAAGTAACACCTGTCGGTTAAATCTGTTCGGCTGAAATATCAATGGAAGGTTTCAACAGGAGTGTCTACTGTTTTTAAAATGAACAAAAACTTGTTGACATCCATATTTTTGTGTATCAGGTAAAGAGCCATACATTGCCCAGACTCCAAACTCAGCTCTGGCAGCAATAAAAACACTGCTTTCAACTAACTTCATCTGGATTTTAACTTACAAAATCCAGATGATGTTTTTGATGTACACTGTAGAGGGCAGTGCCGTCTAACTGCCTCTATGGAGCACAGCAGGAAATCCCTTAAGAGGTAAAGGGACCTGAGGTCTATGACAAGAAAAATAAAAAAATTTAATGGCTCTGATGTGCTCATTTACTTACTGCTGCTTTAGTGTGAACACACATATATTTAAACACACTTTTAGAGAAAAGCTGGTCTAGACTGCACTATTTGTTGTGTTATTTTGTCGCGATTACTTGTAGTCTGTAGCATTACTCCTGCTAATCTCTTTATAACTGCAGATAAATCATTACGGTGTCATTTAATAATAAATTGTATTTAAAATGTGCTTTTACAGGTGCTCAAAGGCGCCTTACAAAAAAGAAAATAAAATAAAAAACACAACTAAAATACAGAAAATTTTTGAGAAATAAAACCAACGATGTAAAAAGTTAAAAAAGACACATGAGAAGATAATAAAGGAACAGTTCACAGGTTAAAAGCCAATTTAAAAAGGTGTTTTAAAGTATGGGGGATCTGTACAGTCTTGGATGGGTTTGGGGTGGCAGCAGAGAAGGCTCTGTCCCCTTAATAACTACTACTTCACACTTCAAATTAATTACACTATCAATTAAGAAGAACACTACGCCAACACAACTTTTTACTATCCTTGCACCATCCTAATTTATATTGCAGCACAAGCCCTCAAATCAACTGAATGAAAACAACAATCATATACCTCCCAGGAAGAACTGAATTCTTGACTCGCCAAAGGAATGCACTACTTTAATAATTTATTTGAATTTCCCATAGGGGATGAAATAAAGTCATTCTTATTCTTATTCATAATGAGGAAAATATCACCAAATGAAAAGCTGCACAGCTGCAGGACTCATCTGTCAATCCACAGGCACGTTATCATGATTACATTAGATAGGATCATGATAGGAAACTATTTGAAGTAACTTTTTACACATAAAACAGACACTGTAGCATGAGCTATGTGGTGGCCTACAGTGGCATGAGATTATTTTTGTTGATAACAAATATGAAAAAAGAAATAATTGGTGTGTCATGTGATAACAGTAATAGATTACACAGAAGTGTTTCTAACCGGTTGGACTTCATGCTCGTACAACAAAAATCCCCGGGCTTCCACAGGTGTATATAAACATCAGAGTCACCTCCTGTCATGACTTCAGTAAAACTTCAGCACAGGTGATAGGACCCATTGGTTCAGCTCTTAAGGCACAGTAAGTGAAGATTTAGAAGACATTTAAAATCATGATATCTATCTCAGAACCTGATAGGCCAGGAGGCATGTCATGAATGACTTTTTTCAGGTTCATTTAAAGGTAATTTGTCTTTAAAGTGTATAACTTTCAAATTTTTGTTGTAATTCAATTGCTGTAAAAGTACAACTAGTCTTTGTCAAACAGCGCTGTTCTCTACTGCCTAATAAGAGAGTAAACTAGATTTAAACCAGTAGACTCATTTATACATTTTGAAATTTATGTTATTGGTTTAGCAGTCCAATGAGCTTCTTTTGTTAAAATGAAATGATTTTATTGCTTATCAAACGGTTGAGTGAGATTGTTTATTGTTATATCGTTTATCTTTCATTTAAGGAAACAGATTAAATCTTGTAAAGTCTTGGGTTTCTATCTTAAGTTTTGGTGTCACAGCTACATGTCCTTTCAGTTTTGTTTTCAGTAAGTCCTGCCCTCTGCATACCATGCCCAAAGTTGGTTGTCAACTCACCTTTCCTGTAAAGGGTTCCTTCATTTTGGTTTTGCTTTCAATTCTGTTTGAAATCGTACATTCTGTAAACCTCCATCAACCATCATCCTCACATGCGGCGGGTGTGGCGAGACTCAAGGAAACCACCCTCCTGCCCTCAAGTCCTTACTGTGCGCATGGTTTTTACACTGATGAGGAGCTGAAGCCTCACCTTGAGAGGCCGCCACAGAATCCCACAGCACAGGGTGCAAATGGTAAACCCTTCAAGTCATGGCATCTGACTCCTGAAGAAGAAGAAGAGGAATCACAGGGATATGAGAGGAACATTTTTAACCAGTTTGCCAGTGATCGCATCTCCCTACACCGTGATTTGGGTAGTGACACACGGCACCCAGAGTGAGTACATCAGCTGTTCATTATATCAGGAGAAAACACCATAGTTCTTGAAGAAATGTTACATATCATAATGCAACAAATTTAGACTATTTTCAACTTTGAGTCCAGATAGGACCACTTACATGGATCAGCTGATGCTCTGATGTTGAAGTTCATGTTCTGCCTGAACTAACCTTGCACTGTCTTTGGCTCTGGCAGCTGCTTGAAACAGAAGTTTCTGCGTTGTCCAGGCCTTCCAACCACAAGTGTGATCATAGTGTTTCACAATGAGGCCTGGTCCACCCTGCTGAGGACAGTCTACAGTGTCTTACATACAGCTCCTGCAGCCGTGCTCACAGAGATCTTACTGGTGGATGATGCCAGCACACATGGTGAGATTCTCTACAGTGCTGCATGTCAAGATGGATGAAATCATTACACAATTTTCACATTTGTATTTGTTGATTTCTTTTTCTTTAGATCATCTGAAGACACGCCTAGATGAATATGTGCAACAACTGAAAATAGTACGTGTTTTGCGGCAGAGGGAGAGGAAAGGCCGAACAGCAGCTCGCCTTTTAGGAGCCAAATCTGCCAGAGGAGAAGTCCTCACATTCCTGGATTCCCACTGTGTGTAACTCATGATACACTGTTTATCATTCTTTTCCACAAGATTCAGTATTAATTTTTAAACAGGTGTGTATGGATCAGATAGTATCTTAAATGAGTTTCTGATGGTGTGCTTTCTAAGGGGTTAGGTATTAAGAGTCGAAAGAGTGGAAAGGCCACAAATTAAAAGCTATAGGAGGGCGTTTAGTCACTATGTTATACCAAATGACTGACACAAATTGCGTCTACAGTCAGGCCCAGAAATGTTTGGATGGTGGTAAGTTTTGTTATTTTAGCTGTTCACGGAAACATATTCAGGATACAATTATATTATAAATATGGGCTTAAAGTGCAGATTCTCAACTGCAATTTGAGAGTATTCACATCCAAATTGGAGCAAGGGTTTAGGCATTACAGCTCTTTAATAAGTAGCCACCTCTTATTCAAGGGTCTAAATTGGACAATTGACTCGAAAGGCTGAAAAAAAGAAAACAAGGCTGCATGGGCTCTTCCCTCATTAACCTGTCATCAATTAAGCAGTTAAAAGGTCTGGAGTTGATTCCAGGTGTGGCATTTGCATTTGGAAGCTGTTGCCGTGAATACACAACATGCGGTCAAAGGAGTTCTTAATGTAGGTGAAACAGACCATCCTGAGGCTGAAAAAAAAAGAAATCCATCAGAGAGATAGCAGAAACGCTAGGAGTGGCAAAATCAACAGTTTGGTACATTCTGAGAAAAAAAGAGTGCACTGGTGAGCATGGGAACTCAAAAAGGCCTGGGCGTCCATGGAAGACAACAATGGTGGATGATCGCAGAGTCCTTTCCATGGTGAAGAAATACCCCTTCCCAACATCCACTTGAGTGAAGAACACTCTCCAGGAAGTAGGTGTATCAGTATCTAAGTCTGCCATAAAGAGAAGACTGCATGAGAGTAAATACAAAGGATTCACCACAAGGTGCAAACCATTAATCAGCCTCAAAAATGGAATTGACTTTGCAAAAAAAAAAAACACCTGAAGAAGCCAGCCCAGTTCTGGAACAGCATTCTTTGGACAGATGAGATTCAGCCAAATGCTGCAAAGTTGATTGGACGGCACTTCACTGTACAGATGAACAATGATCCAAAACATACTGCAAAAGCAACCCAGGAGTTTTTTTAAAGCAAAGAAGTGGAATATTCTGCAATGGCCGAGTCAATCACCAGATCTCAATCCAACTGAGCATGCATTTCACTTGTTCAAGACAAAAATCCAAATCATAAAGATTGTGTCTCTGTCCAAATATTTCTGGGCCTAACTGTATGTCCCCTATTTCTGCACAGGTGAATGCTTCCCAGGATGGCTGGAGCCTCTTCTAGCTCGGATAGCAGAAGAGCCTACCGCTGTGGTGAGCCCAGATATCGCCAGCATCGACCGGCACAACCTTGAGTTTGATAAGCCAGACCCAGCTTTTCGTCACAACCGTGGAAAGTTTGACTGGACCCTTTGGTTTAGATGGGAGGTCGTTCCTGAAGAAGAGCAGGAGCGAAGGAAGAATGAGACAGATCCAATTAGGTAAATCAAAGTATTCAATCATACTGGCATAGATGGCACTTGAGCATATGTCAGTAATGTTTCCTTATTTTCAAGATAACAAAAACAAAAGCATTCATGCTCATTTTTTCAAGTGTCATCCTTCTCACTCCTTGAGAATCTTAGCCTTGTAAAAATTATTTACCATCATTATTTACCACCAATTATTTATCTCATCGGCTTCTTCTAGCTCATAGAGAGGCATCAAAATTAATTTGAGCCTCTCCATTAAACTCTGAAAGTTTTTGTTGAAAACATTATGGTGTATTTAGTGATGTTAAATGTCCACATGATGGTGCTATTACACCAAATTCTAAGTTAAATATTGGGTCATTATTGATGTTTAACGTACTTTCAACAGGATTTAACCTGTTGATTTATTTCTGAGATTCTTAACCAGCCAACAAACAAGTGATCAGATCTTGATTTACTTTCAGAACTCCTACTTTTGCTGGTTTGATCTTCTCTATATCCAAACTGTACTTTGAGCATCTTGGGACTTATGATGACCAGATGGAGTTCTGGGGAGGGGAGAACCTGGAAATGTCCTTCAGGGTAAAAACTTGCTTTAGCCTTTTCCACAATATGTTTCCTACATTCTGAATTGTTTTCAGGTTTACTTTGTGTTGTGTCCTCCTCCCTGTCACAGGTCTGGCAATGTGGAGGTCAGCTCGAGATTATTCCTTGCTCAGTTGTTGGATACATTTTCCGCCCGCACAACCCTTACCCCTTCCCCAACAGCAGCATTGTGATCACTCGAGACCTGGTGCGACTGGCCGAGGTCTGGATGGACGACTACAAATGGGTCTTCTATCGTACAAACAGAGAGGCAGCTTCCATCTATGAAGAGGTGAGTTGGAACGTACAGAATAGTATTGCGTCTACACTATATCATCTTTGTATGGTCCTACTTTCTCAGACCTGTCTTTCTTTCGCCCTCTCAGAAATCTTTTGGCAATCTTACTGAACGCCATGAACTCAGGAGGAGATTAAAATGCAAGAGCTTTTCTTGGTACCTGGACAACATCTACCCAGAGGCCTACGTTCCTGACATCATGCCTTCCAGATTTGGACGGGTAAACTTCTTAATGTAACACATCAAGTGTTTGACCATGAAGGAACATCAAGACAATGGTATCAAGTTATCTCTCTAGTAACTGTTTTACTGGTGTTGTTATTATATTTCTCCTTGCAGCTGGAAAACATCGGTTGGAGCTGCTGCCTGGATGCAACTGATGATGCTACAGATGATGTTTTGTCGTTGGACTATATTTTTAAATGTAACAGTGAATGCAGTCAACAGGTGAGCTAAAGCCAATATCTTCCAAAGAGAGCCAGAAAAAAACTAGTTTAGTGAAGGTATCAGACATTATGCCCTGTTACACAAGTATTTAATGAGGCCATCCGAGTTGCACTGGATGGGAGTAGGAAGAAAATAAAGCAGTTGTTGTTTTGTCTACAGGAATTTGCATTGGTACATGTTTTTGGTGGAATAACTTTTTGTGTTGACATTGCACACAGTTAATCTGTTCAATCACAAAGCCATACCATGTTGCAGTTTGTGGTTGCTTTGTGTCTATTTTCTGCAGTTTGATGGACCTTTCTTTCGCTCAGCTTCTTGTGTATTTTGACATCATTCACTGTTTCTTGCCAGAATCAGGCATTGAATAGTATTCTGTCTTAATGCTGATGGTCTTATTTGCTTTAAAGGGTTTTAGAGAGCATCACTGTTTGTCTCAGTCCATTTCATAACCAGCAAAGTCTTCAGTTGAGATTTATATGAAGTTATGTAGAAAAAAACGGACCACTTTAGTGAATTTAAATTAGTTTTTAGCAAAATACCCACAACTGCAAAAGTTAAATTCATCCTATATCTTAAAATACTTCATCTGTTATTCTCAGTATTTTGAGCTCACATCACAGCTGGAGCTGAGGCTCAGCCGTGATCTTGATAAGTGTCTACATGCGACCTCTGGGAGTGTCCTTGTGTCTCTTAAAAGCTGCCATCTGAAGGGGAAAGGAACCACAGCAGCTGTCAACCAAATGTGGATCTACACAAAGGTACTTTCACAAGTATTTCTACATCACCTTAAACTATAGAGCAACATCTGTGACAATACTTTACCAAGCTTTACAAAGAAATCCTGCCACTCATTCTTGTCTCTCAACCACTAAAATCAGCTTGTGTTGTTGTTTCTTTCAGAAAAACCAGCTGATGAACTTGTTGACAAGAGAGTGTTTAACTGGCATCAATGGAGTTGTGTTGATGACCACCTGTGACGTAAACAAACTAAACCAAAAGTGGATCTTCAACCGACCCTAGTCTTGTTTTAGTATGCAAGAAACCATTGAACCATGTTTTTTCTCTGGGTGGTGTAAGGATGCAGTATCTACTTTTAGTATAGCAGCATTTCACAGAACACACTCAGTGGAAATAGAATATTATATCTGTAAATATGTTTAAATTCATGTATAATCAACTAACTGCTTTCTTTGTTTACTTGGGCTGAACCTCTTTTCTCTATAGATCCTAAGCAGAACTTTCTCATTATATTTAATCACAAGGTCAAAGGTCAATGTTGGTAACCTCATATCAAGCGAATGAAGAGTGATTTATGTAAGCAGAGTTTATGGAAAGGACTTTAGTTTCATGAAAAATGTATGTTGTATGGATTCTGTTTCTAGTAGTTGTCCATAGACTTGTGTTGATTATTATCTCTTGGTTTTTAGGGGTGGTTAATCATTGTTCATTCTTCAAAGTGATAATGCTTTGTATTAAATTTTATCCTGGGAATGTCTTTCTCCTCTTTGACTTCACATACCCCGTCTGATGAAGTAACACCTGTCAGTTAAATCTGCTTCAAATTTCATCATGTCAACTGTTTTTAAAATTAACCAAAAACATGTTGACAGCCATGTTTCAAGACTTTCTGTGTATCAGGCAAGGAGCCAGACATTGCCCAGACTCTGAACTCAGCTCTGGCAGCAATAACAACACTGCTTTCAACGAACATCATCTGGATTTTAGCTTACAAAATCCACATGATGTTTTTGATGTTTACTGTAGAGGGCAGAGCAGTCTAACTGCCTCTATGGAGCACAGCAGGAAATCCCTTAAGAGGTAAAGGGACCTCTTCATGATGTGTGCCAACCTGACTCATGATGAAAGAATTGTTTGGATTGATCAATGTTTCCTTTTTCTAACATTAATAAATCTAAGTGGTTTTCAGTGGGCAGCTTGCTGTGTTGTTAATACACCTTGATATCCTTAAAAGTGTGTTAAATGAGGAAAAAAAGAATGAAAGGCACACAAAGCTTCTGTTAATCGAAAGAAAAGATACCTACTTTAATCACAACTAAAAATCTAAACAAACATATGAAAGATATTTCAATGTCAGTTTAATCTTCACATCAAAACTGATGGTCCTCCTAGTTTGTGAGCATGTGTGTGGAAGAGCAAAAAAGGGAATGGGGCGCGGTCAGAACAGACTGAAATGTGGGTCTGTCAAAGACATTTCCTTCACAAACCTGTGAAAGCAACAAGCGGATTATGAGACAAAGTTACAGTTTTAAAAAAATGCAGTATTACATTTGAAGATTATCACCTACTTTGTCATCTCACTGTTTTTTCGAGGAAACCGTTTGACCTTGGCCCAAGGTTCAGAACTTTCTGATAACATCCATCCATACTGCTGACTTTCGGTCAGAGGCATGATGTACAGCTGGTTAGGGCCTGGGGAAGAGATACAAATCTAGTGTCAGTGTCAGTGTCAAAGTTATTCATGTACTTTACTAATCTCATATTTGTTATTTGTTTTCTATTCTTTGTTTTTCTCACTTCTGGGTGTTTGGACCCGCCTGACCATCTCCTTATATCGCTCATGGCTTCCATGGTGAACATCAGAGCTCATGGGAGTAGGCTGGTGGTATGAGGTGCACGTTTCTGTGCATCTCATGGGTTCCTGCTTTTCTTGATGTGATAGAACTAGTCCTCTTTTGTTGTTAGTTTCAACACCTAAAGAGACATGTTAGAACAGCAGCTTACAGGTCATTATTTTCATCATATAAAAGTGTGGCTGATGACATGAAGACTAGATAACATTAGATTTTCCCCTCCTTGAGAGTGTAAAACTTTGTTGTCTGATGACTTTTTTTCAACAGCATGATAAAAACTGGATGCCTCATGATTATTTGGTGAAATTTATTGATTGTTTCATCTCAAATTTGGTAAAAACACATGCGAATTAACCCACCTCGTCACTGGCAAACGTAAGGCCTACGTGCCTGTTACGTATTCTACGTATCCCAGAAATGTGTACGGATTTAACAAGCTACTTTCCGGACTTTCGTTGACCTCAATAAGAAGGATATTCTTATTTGTTCATACTTATAAAGCTATTATCTCCCACCGTGACTTTAATATGGGATACAACCGATGGACTTTCAAAGCCTGGTCGACAAACTTTAGCATATCGAGCTAAATGACAAAAATTTGTTCAAACAAAAGGAAGTTTCTCTTACCCTGGGAAAGAAACGCACCTCTGGGATTCACGAGCATTTTATCGCCTAGTGGATATTGATAACCGAGATTCGTTAACCCGAAAAAGGCCATGGTGTTTGCGCCCCGTAGACAGGCTTTAACCGAGAGACGATAAATAAATCACACCTTTTTGGTTTGGGTGTTACCATGGTAACAAGCTCGGGCCAGTCTAGGAAAGACGTTGAAACGAAATGTGCTGAATAAAAGATATCAGGAAACAAATAAAACATTAGTAAATGACTAAAAAAATACCCTCATTGTATGTTTGTGTGAGAGAGCAAGAAGAAAGTTATCTTAAAAATCTTTTCATAACCATTGTCCCCAGAGCAACCCACTCTAAATCTGTAAAGAGGGGGTATTATGCTTATTTTTTGGCTTTTTAATTGTCCCTCTAATAGCTTCTTGACAAAGTTTAGGCTTTTGTTGAGGAAAACCTACATTTTGTCCTCTGTCTGAATCATAGCAATGGGCACGGCAGTTCTTTAAGATGTACTGAATCACTAGAATCAGTTCACTAAAAAGATTCGTTCACCGAATTATTGAATCATTCAGTGCTTGGCAGGAGGAGCCTCTGACTCCGACTTCATGAACTGATACACAGCTGAATGTTTCAGGATTCAGTTCAGATCATAGCTTCTGGGAATGGGAGACGAGAGAGTTGTGGCTGTGTTGCTTTGACAAACAGGTTTATAAAAATGAAGTTGTTTATTAATCAAGATGTTTTAAGTGTACTGTCCAATGGTATGCTATTTATCTACCCTGTAAATTGGGCTCAGTGAGTGATTCGTTCACTGAACGTTTACCCCTCAGTACATTCAGTGAAGAATTCACACTGAACATGCACCGTTCCCTCGCAAATAGCTGCAATGATAGGATCAGTCAAGCATATCTCGAACCGAGGGTTTTGTACACTGCTTGTTACATGCTGTGTCCTACTAAATCTGTTAAAACAGCGGGGAACAACAGTCATGAAAGTGTACCCCTCAGACAAAAATTATTCCGGAGAGTGAAGTTCACTGCATGATTCGTTCACCAAGTGATTCAGGCATTGGCGTGTGCAGTCCCCTCGCTCGCTGGCTGCTCGCCTGGCAATGCTGTGTGCTATAGCAGCTGACAGCTCAACTTAAGTGAGAAACGAACAAATCACTTGACAAAGTGATTCGGTTCAGTATGTTTAATCAAAAGATCCGGTTCTTTTGAACGAATTGTTTGTGAACAAAACTACTGAATCACTTTATTTGTGCCACTGTCACTTTAAGCCGCCTGTCCTTTTGTCTCTTTGACCTCAATTGTCCCCAGAGGATGAAAAGACAACCTTCCCCATCACACACACACACACACACACACACACACACACACACACACACACACACACACACACACACACACACACACACACACACACGAGCATCCAAGAAGCCTCCTTCACTGTTCCCATAGAAAAAAAGATTTGCCCTTTCTCGTGTGAATTTTTGATAACTTCCACACACTTTAACCCTGCAAACTGAAGCTTCTCTTATGTATAATAGAGATGTCAAAAGTTTTAATCCAACTGTTTGTTTTTGAAATAAGAAAAGGGTATAATATCCCCTCTTTAGGGTCCTTTCATACTTCTTTTGTAAGTAGGTTAATCTGATTTTAAAGTAGTTGAAAGTGCGCCGAAATATTCCCTTTTGACCCATTAGGCAGACACTCTGTATATAACATAAACAATATTACCACACAGGATCAAAGTTACATGCCCAGAGGAAACATGATCTTTGAAAATATTGCAATATTAGAATCAATGTCTAAAAAATGAAATCATACACTTGGCAATTTATGTGCATAACAGCTGTTGATTGCATAGAAGTTGTCTATTTTTACTAAACATTAAACCGGTTAGACTTCATGCCATGGTGATAACACAAGATCAACCCGAGCTCTAAAGCTTACAAAACATGTAAGCTATTTCCTCGTTATGACTGAATGGATGCCTTACAGGAAAAGTTGAGCTCAGGTGAAGAGACATGTTGGTTCATGTCCAGCTGTTAAAACACAGTAAGTGATTATTTACATGATATTTAAGAACTGATATCTGCCTTAGGACCTAGTGGGCCAAGAAGCATATCAAGTATAAATGTGATGTTTTTCCTGTTTATTTATCAGTTAGCCTACATTTTTATGAGGCATATTACTTAAAAGTGTTCTGTGTCATTTGATCGCTGTAAATGTACAACAAATATAATTTCTCAAACTGCTCTACTCGAAATTGATTTCTTTTGAGACAATAGACCTTATGATTATGCTGATGAAAAATTGGAGTACAGGTTATAGTTTCTAAGAGCCTTAAATATTATGCTGTGTATATTCTTGCAGAGCTTGTGTAATGTAAAACAAAAGCATGTTTGAGTCTAGATGAAGAGTCTTCAACAAAAAGCAAAACATGCAAAACACTGTAGAGTATTTGTTTAAATTTAATTCAAAATGTATGGACTGTGCTTTTAGCAACTTGTGCCACTGTGTCATGGATCTGCCGCACAGTGAGTCTGCCTTTTTGTCAGAAGGGTTAAAAATTTAGATGAAAAATTGAATCATTTATTGCTGATCAGAAAGTAACAAAGGAAAATGTGAGTTGGGGATTGTTCTGTCCTCAATTGTCTTTCTGTTTCTTTATGTGTGTCGTATCAGTTTTGTTTCCAGTCGGTCCCTCCCTCTGCATACCATGCTCAAGTTCTGCCAGCGACTCACCTCTCCAGTGAGGGTGGCAGTTTTCTCTGTTATCGTTTTGCTTTTCATACTATATAACATCAAACACTTTCAATCATCGACCTCACCCGTGGCGGATATGATAAGATTCAGAAGACCCACCCGCTTGCCTTTAAGTCCAAACTGTGAGCACAGTTTTTACACTAAAGAGGAGCTAAAGCCTCACCTTCAGAGGCCACCCCAAGACCCCTGGGCACCAGGTGCGAATGGTACACCTTTCATATCACGGTTACTGACTCTTGAAGAGCAGAGAGAGAAACTACTGGGGTATAAAAGAAACCAGTTCAACCAGTTTGCCAGTGATCGCATCTCCCTACACCGTGACTTGGGTAGTGACACCAGGCACCCAGAGTGAGTACATCCAGGAAATGCTGCATATCTTTGTTTATGGAATTCACACTGCTATTAACCCTTAATTTGGCTCTGGCAGCTGCTTGAAACAGAAGTTTCCGCGTTGTCCCAGCCTCCCAACCACAAGTGTGATCATAGTGTTTTACAATGAGGCCTGGTCCACCCTACTGAGGACAGTCTACAGTGTCTTGCATACAGCTCCTGCAGCCGTGCTCACAGAGATCTTACTGGTGGATGATGCCAGCACACACGGTGAAATTCTCTACAGTGCTGCATGTCAAGATGGATAGAATCATTACACAATGTTCGCATTTGTTTTTGTTGATTTCTTCTTCTTTAGATCATCTTAAGACACAGCTAGATGAATATGTGCAACAGCTGAAAATAGTACGTGTTTTGCGGCAGAGGGAGAGGAAAGGCGTAACACCAGCTCGCCTTTTAGGAGCCAAATCTGCCAGAGGAGAAGTCCTCACTTTCCTGGATTCCCACTGTGTGTAACCAGTGATAAGCTGTTTCTTTTCCACAAGATTAACTATGAATGTTTAAACAAATTAACAGCTATATGTGCCCCACAGGTGAATGCTTCTCAGGATGGCTGGAGCCTCTTCTAGCTCGGATAGCAGAAGAGCCTACCGCTGTGGTGAGCCCACATATCACCAGTATTGATAATAACAATCTTCAGTTTAAAAAGCCAGACCCTCTACCTTATGGATACAAGCGTGGAGTTTTTGATTGGCGGCTTATATTCAGATGGGAGGTCATTCCGGCAGAAGAGAGGATGCGAAGGAAGAATGAGACCGATCCTGTTAGGTATATGAATGAAAATACACAATTTATTTTGGGCAACTAAATATGTGTGGGTTATTGGGTTTCATCAGAGAAACAAAATCAGCCTGCTGTTTTTAAGAGTCCACAAATCACATCTTGTAAATATTTTTCCACTCATATATCAAAAAAGACTTTTTTAGGGTGTTGTTGATGTTTAGATAACTATATTGGTAGCGCCAAATTTACTTATGATCATCCTGTCTGCTTTAGTGGGTCATACAGAGGAATCAAAATCTGTTCCTTCCAATCCAGTCCTTCTCATTACCAGCTAAAACCTCCTTGAAGAAGCTTTGGATGTCAGGTTGCCTCACAGTATTTCAAAGAAATTCAGTATAAAAGCTTGCATTTAAAAGGTTGGAAACACATATTTACCAAAAAAGCAGGTCATGTTGGTTTATTTAGAAAAAGGCAGAAAACCTATAAGTGATCAAAATATTTCAACCAGAGCCAAATAAATACTCAGTTTTTTGTGGTATATAGTTATGTGTAAATGTCCAAATCATGGTGCGATTCACCCCAAATTCCTGTTTTTGTCATAGTTTATATTGTTGTATTTTCTTTTTTATTTCATTTAAAAAACTTAACAGAAATCTGTTGATTTATTTCTGAGATTCTTAAGTAGTTAACAAACAAGTGATCAGATCTTGATCTATTTTCAGAACTCCTACCATTGCTGGTGGGCTCTTCTCTGTATCTAAATCCTACTTTGAGCATCTTGGGACTTATGATGACCAGATGGAGTTCTGGGGTGGAGAGAACCTGGAAATGTCTTTCAGGGTAAGAACTCTCAAGTCTTTTTCATAATATGTTTCCTACAGTGCGATCTGTTTTCAGGTTTACTTTGTGTTGTGTCCTCCTCCCTGTCACAGGTCTGGCAATGTGGAGGTCAGCTTGAGATTCTTCCTTGCTCAGTTGTTGGACACATTTACCGCCCACTCAACCCCCACACCTTCTCCAACAGCACTACTGTAGTCACTCGAAACCTGGTGCGGCTGGCTGAGGTCTGGATGGACGACTACAAATGGGTCTTCTATCGTACAAACAGAAAGGCAGCTTCCATTTTTGAAGAGGTGAATATACAGTACAGTATAAAAATTCAGCCATACTTTATTTACTTTGCATCATGAAACTATTTCATTGAATCTGTCTTTTCTTTTGAAATCATCCTTAAAGAAATCTTTTGGCGATGTGAAGGACCGTCAAGATCTCAGGGAGAGATTAAAGTGCAAGACCTTCAACTGGTACCTGAACAACATTTACCCAGAGGCCTACATTCCTGACATCAGGCCTGTCAGATATGGACAGGTAAACTTATGTAACTCCTGTAGCATTTATCTGCGGAAGAACATCAAGACAGAGGTGTGAAATTATCTTTCTGTTTAATAATTTTTTCCTGCAGCTGGAAAACATTGGTCAAGATTGTGCCCTGGATGCAGAGCTTACGTATAACCCATGGGATCCGGTTCACAATTTTGAATGTAGCAGCGACATTGAAACGCAGGTATGCTAAATCAGATATCCATCAACCTGTGAGTCAGAGAAATCCGTATCACGCCTTTGCCTCTGTTGACTAAATCATACTTTCAATTTACCTGTAAAATGTCAGAGATCCCTCATGTTGGTATGACCCACAATGGAACAGATTCTTGTGTTGGTTTAAAACAGACATGGTTTTGGAAATTTGCCAACAAAGCTGTCAATCTGTCATCTTTATCACATCTTATTATTGAAACCAAAATTAACTCTTGAACATGAATCAATAGTAGTGATATTTTTCCCTATAAACTGAGTTACTATGCCTGTTTCTTGCAGTATTTTGAGCACACATCACAGCAGGAGCTGAGGCTCAGCTCTGCCATTGATTTGTGTCTAAATGTGAGCCCTGGGAGAACCTACGTGTCTCTTAAATTCTGCCAACTGAAGGGGAAAGGAACCACAGCAGCCCCTGAGCAAATGTGGATCTACACAAAGGTACTTTCAAAAGAATTTCTACATCACCTTAAACTATGGAGCAACAGCTGTCACAACACTGCAAGCCTCACAAGGAAATGCTTCATTTCTTTTTCCTCATTTTCTTTTCTGTGTCACTCCTGCAACCCTCTAAAATCAGCTTTACTATTTGTATTGTTGTTGTTTTCAGAGAACCCAGTTGATGAACCCGCTATCAGGAAAGTGTTTGACCGTCTCAGCGGGAATGGTGCTTCTGAGCACTTGCAAATCACGCAGCAAAAGCCTAAAGTGGATCTTCAACTGACTGTTATATATATGGGTTGGGGTTTTCATTAACAACCAGATTTTTTACAGTGTTCCTCACAGCTCTCACATGATGTACATTTAAAAAGTTAAAGGTCAGTGTTATTGATCCCTCATATAGTCCTACAACTCAAATGAAAGATATGGGTGGCAGAAACCAAAGTCCCTCTTCTGTGCATAGATGCCAGTTAAAGCTCAGCCAAAGATAATATGAGGCCTCAATAGTCTGAGATCACTAAATTAAGTGAATTTGTTCCCCATAGTCACAAAATGCCTCTTTGTGAATAGACTGCTTCCTGTCTGTGTAATATCTGAGAAATATCAAGCTAATGAAGACATAAAAATCACAGTGCTGCTCTGAGGGATTTCATCCGACTCTGTGGTTTCAGCTTTTAAAATCAGGTGTAACCTAAATACATAAAACCTTTTGTACAGTATTACACACTGAGTAGATACCACAGAGAAGCTTATCTAAAGAAAGTATTGTGACACGGACTAACACATTATTAATAACACTAAAAAGGAAATAATCTTTTTGGCAAACATTGCAAAACCAGGGGACTGAGCAGGGTCCCCATATACAGTGGCTGCAGTCCTTATCTCAGTGGTTTTAAGATTGATTTGCAGTCCTGTCAGTGTTGCTGCGTGTCATTCACCCACTCCCCCCATATTTCCTGTCCCTCACAGGCTTTTCTATCGAAGAAAGCTGAATGCCCAATAGCAAAAAATAATGCTGAATTGCCACAGTATAAAACAACAAAACCCTGTTGTTTGATTTTGCCTGCTTTATCACAGAACCAACATTTAACACTAGAATTTGATAAAGTATTACCACACTTTATCCTTAAACACTTCATTTATTGCAGATTTCTTTTCATTCACAGTAATATCAACACACAAATCAACCTTATCAAAAAGTGGACAAATAAAGAACATTTGACTGTGTTATTTTGGATTGGATGCATAAAGTAGCACAATTAAAATACTTAAGTCAAGTAAATTAGACTACCTCAACACTGGGCCTCACAATTGACGCAATAATAAAATAGATAGAAAAAAAAATCCAGATACCTCTGAGCCTTACAGCTTCATATGGTGCATGCTTTAAGTTAAAAAGTTCATCCTGAACTGAATGGATTGTATTCTTTATTTTGAAATGTGTTTTTTATTAACTTTAATTTTGTTTTTATCAATTGAATGATTGTTTAATCCTGCAATCCTCATTTTCTCCTTGACATGATGTTTCTGCTTTCATCCACTCTAATACAGTCTGTACAGTCTCTATTGTAAATGAGGCTTTCTCCCTCAATGTGTTGGATATTTGATAAATTAAAATGATCATTAAAAAAGCTCCACTAATTAACTGTTGTTTGTTTTCTTCTTAATAAAAATGGCATTGTTTTCTGTGCTTCAGTGTAGTTTTTGAGGGTTGTTCTTCATACAAACAAATTATAAAAATAATGAAAATGCATTTTTCGTTCGTCAGGTTAACCCTCCTCCTGTGTTAGGGTCTGCTCAGCCCATTTTAGTTTTTAAATGCTTAGAAGAACCACTTAAATTAGTTTTTTTGCATTAAAGACTTTTTGATTTTGTCAGAAAACTCTATTTGAACAAAATAAAAATCATAAAAAAATTGACCAAATTATAAAATGCTCTATTAAAATGATGGCACTTGTCCTGTTTGGGTCGCTGTTGACCCAGTTAGATTAATATCTAATAATTAGAGCAAAAACTAAAATCATATGTACACTGTCAGGCACCACACTGACAATCAGATCCTTTTCCAACCATGTGAGTTTTAGGAGATTCTCATTTTGCCATGTTTTTCCCTGTACAAAAACATGTCCAGACATGTGAGATCAATTCAGTATAGATGTCTGTGTTGAGGGATACACTGACAAAGAAAGGCCCAGAGGCCCACAACAAAAAATATTATAAGCAATATTTTCATGAATAATAAAGCATAACAAGTTAACCTAGAGATGAGAACCGAATTGGATGATAGAGAATTGTTTTTAGTGTAATTTACAGCTCGAAACCGACCCTAAACATAGTGGGTGAGTAGTAAACGTTAGAACAGGAGGAAGGTTAAAGGATTTGCATTACGTCTGTGAACGCGCACGCTACTACGTGAGGGGTATGTACAATTAAGCCACGCCCCCGCCTCTGCGTCGCGACGTCAGTTGATTCGACAGTGATGGGAAGTCGAGCGAGTGCTGGTGAGTCTCTTCCAAACCAATAATATCTCTCTATTCTCTTTTAGTCACTTCAACAGGGAAGTAGGCAGGGCGAGTAAACGCTTCACCACCAGCCTTGAATTGTTACCACTGTGAGTGTGCAGAAACTCTTCATCCCCATCGTCGGCTTTGTTCGAGGTTAAACTGCGAGGTTATCGTCTCAGTAACACTCTTGTAAGTAGTGGCCGTTACTTTAGCTGTGTGCTGTCTGGCTAAGTTGTTAGCTGTAAACGGTAGTTTAGGTTTGTTGCTGCTGGTCAGATCATGTTATCATAATAACAGCATGGGCTGTTGACAGGGCGGTTGTGGTGAAGGCTCCACAAACCTGTTTATTGTCAGCATAATCTGACCTCTTTTTTAAGAGTTGTTGTAGCCGAATAACCCATGAGCATCAAATTGTCACCCTTGATGCACCTAATAAATGAGCCGCACAAATCCAGGTCTGTGGCGGTGTTGTGCACAAAGCTTTAGCCCTCTGTATACAGGATTTGGTGGAGGATTTGACTAATATCATTATAGTTTGGTGTGGGGCTATTCCTGGGTGCTAATTAGTGACCAACTGACAGAAATCCACGTGCAGTCCTTGTTGGTGCTGTCTTATGTTGTTTTGCACATCTATGTAAGATGACATGATTGCAGAAATGAAGATTTCTGTTTTAAAATTACTGACATTAATGTAAAACAGAGGTACTTCCTGATTTTACCTATTGCTGCAACTTGAAATGAGGCACAATGAAATCAAAGTTCATCACAGTTTTATATTTAAACCAGCAAGTTTGTTACTATGATTTTAGTTACTTTGTGCAAATTTAATTTTGACCTCCTAGATCTCCTGAAAAAGCCTTTGGGGTCCAAACCAGTAGTTCATGTCATGTAATACTTCACTTTCTACTGTGAGCGCTTAAGTTTTTAACTGTTTGGATCAAAGTGCCTGATTAACTTCTAATGCTGCTGACATTTTTCTGCATACTTAATGAACTACACAGTTTAATGAAGTATCAAACACTAAGAAAAGTTTAATCCAGGTGTTAAGAAGATGAATATTTAGATGAGTATTTCCTACAGGTCAGCTAATCCACTACTATACAGTACAGCTACAGTACTTAGGCAAGTGTTCTCTCTGATATTGAGTCTTTACCTTGTACAAAAATGTAAAAGAAAAATGCACAAAGTCAGAAAATGTAACTTCAGCAGAGTCGTGTTTTTCTTTCCTGTCAAATGACCTTAAACTACAGTCACTCCTCATGATAATTCCACTTTGCTTGTGTTTGGTCTGTTATTGTATAACAGATTTTTGGTTTGGCTTGTAAAAGATTGATAAAAAAAAATTCCCTTGCTTTTTTTGTGGATTCTATTTTTAATGACCTTTTTTTGTCTTTTTTTTGTCTGGTTAGAGAAAATGACCAACATCCCCCTCTCTCGCTCGGAGGTGTTTGGCGAGCTGAGGAAGGAGCTGCATGAAGATGAGAAGTTCCGCCATTCAGACGCTCATATCTTCATCATTATGGGAGCATCGGTGAGTGCAGGGAAAGGGGATTCAGAAACAATCCAGTATACAACAGCAAAACTGATAATGCAGTGTGCTTTCATCTGTTTAACAAAAGAGCTAATTTTTTTATATGTAAGAGACCTTCATGACCAACCAGAAGCATGTCAGGTATTATTTTCTGTTTCCTTTTTTATCATGTTTGCTCATTTACAGTTGAGCCATTTTTTTGTCATGGTGTGTTTAATGGTGTGTATGTGGGTGTGTATTTTAAATAACTTAAAGATAGCACATTAGGTGATAAGGAAATGTTGAACCAGTCTTATGCAAACAAGCACCTCTCAGGCATCTGAGCCTGTGAAAGTCTCAAGTTGAGAAATAAAAACCTCAAACTTCCTCTTACTTAGTACCTAAATAGTATGTGAAACCTTTGACTGATTGTATAAAACTTGTCTTAATTGAACATTACTTTGCTTAAAACAGACATATTTGTGGCAGAAATGTGTTTGCAATTACTTTGAAGTCAAGTCAAACACAAAAACAGTAAAATATGACTTTCTGGTGATGAAATACAGCACCAAAGAATAGATAAGTCAAACTTGCAGTCTTAGCAAGCATTGAATATGAGTACAGTTTTAGATTAATAGATTGTAATTAAGACTTAAGATCGACCTAAATATTGGTCTCCAATGCACAAACCCAACTGTGGCCTATATCAATCCTGTACTGCTGAATAAAGTAGAAAAAATACTTCCACAGTTAGGTAATAAGAGTAGCCTGTCCTGTCCAGTTTTCTATTTCCTCATACTGCTCAGTTGTCCAGTTCAGGAAGTAAAACCACTTCAGGAATTCTTGTAGAAATGTTTCCTCATTTCTGTCTCACCAACTGTTTTCCTCTTCACTTGCCATAGTGTGTCTTTTTCACATGATTCTCTGGGGTGTTATTACTTCATCTGTGTCTTTCTTTGTGTGGAGTGTATAGTGGAGATGTGTGACACTGTTGCTGTGTTTTTTTTTTTTTTTGCAGTGTCACTGACAGTCAGCGCTTTTCTTTCAATGCCAGACACAGGCAGGTCAGGGCAGGCAGGGCTGTTTGCAGTCTGTGATTAAACATGTTTTATATACATGGGTGTGCATTGCTGTTGTTGTTTTCCCTTCCATGTTTATCAAGAAGTCAGTACCAGGATATATATGCTATGCTGTTAAAACAAGTGCTTACTGTTACCCTTTTAACTGCTGTTCAGGGCTAAAAAGTTATAGTCTGAAAAGTTTAAGAGGCTTGCCCTTTTCATATGATGTAAGACACTGTGCGCGCCAGATCGGCTCAAATGAATTACGTACTTCTTATCCTAAGAGCGCCACTTTAGATTTCTCTGACTATAGCAGCTCTTAATTATTCTTTAGACTTAATAGTTCCTTGATTATTTCCTTTGATTTATCAGCGATTAGTTGACATTTTTTTTACATTCCAGCAAATTATGCAAAATATTGTCGCTCTTTCTCAAAGCCTAAAGTGACTTGTTGAAACATGTTGCTTTGTTTAAAGCCCAAAGGTATTCTGTTTGCTGTCAGAGAGACGAAAGAAGAAAAGAGAAAATGTACATGTTACGCAAGGTCAAAACCAGAATTTTTACTTTTGTTTCTCTTTAGACGACCCAGATTGTAAGTGATTGATGATGTGGTCAACCACGAACAGAGTATTGTAGCTCCACTCTGTATAACTGTTAATAAGACACCGTTCTTTTATTTTCATTGAACACTTCCAGCACACAACCTTGAAACGTGGAGTAAAGTTACAAGTCAATCCTGCCTGATGAAATTAGTGCCCCAGAGGAAGATATAAGGATGTAATTGTGGTTAATAGTACTGCTCAAAGGGAATGACTTTTGATTTAATCAGCTGCTTTTGTCTTTCTATTCGTAATAAGTTGGTCATTTTCTGATAACCAGGTTTTTAAAGAAGGTTCAGTATCACTTCTACAAATGGCTTAAGAGTTTGTCTTTGCAACAACCACACAGTAGTGTACAGGTTTGCATTGCCAGCTTGATGATATGTTAAATGTTGGGTGCCACCCATCACAGGTATGCATGTATCCGGTACAATGTTTCAGTTATATATTTCAGAGAAGCATTTGAAAATATCAGACCAGAATGTATTTAGTTTGGGACAGACTGGAGTAGTTAGATTTGAAAAGTCTAAATTCATCTTAATTAGATTCAGTCATTATTATCAGTCTATTCTGACTGCAGTCTCTCTGGTACAGTATCACAGTATCATGCAAATACAGACACAGAAATAAAGGCACTTTTAAACTGTGTTGGTTGTTTTGTTTCTGTATCTGAAGTTACACAATTCTTAAATAAGCCAAAGCAGCCGACTTACCTGCTGCCAGACAGTGTGGCCTGTTTTACAGTATCATTTTACACCTTTGCATCATGGAACATGATGGCTTCCTTGGCAGATTACACCTGACAAATAAGCAGTTAAAGTAACCCTCACACATGACATCAACGCTCAGTCATTGTGGAGGCAACCTGTTTGTAATTTTGAAGTGACGCTATTTGTCTGATTGTGTGTTTGCACCTGTAGGGAGATCTGGCTAAGAAGAAAATCTACCCAACTCTATGGTGAGTGAACTCCTGACCCCGGTGTACTGGTGCAAGGATTTTCTGTGGAAAGATACTCCTCTAATCTGGACTTGATCTTCTGAAGTGTGGCGTAATAATAATGGACCATATGTTTCTCTGCTCTGTAACACAGGTGGTTGTTCAGGGACGGCCTCCTCCCTGAACAGACGTATTTTGTGGGCTTTGCTCGCTCTGATTTGACGGTTGATGCCATCCGAAGTGCTTGTATGCCATACCTGAAGGTAAATCTGGGTTTCAAAATGTGTTACACCTCACCCTTTCAGTATCAAACAGAAAACAGACACAGTTAGTTATTTACTAGTAAACTATTTATATCAAGGTTTCTAACACTGGGATTAAAGAAGAGCTTCAGGGCTTCACATTTCTCACAGAAAGACATGAGTGTTTATGCAACCTTTGTGTTTAACACCTTTTATATGTAAATAATAAAAAGCTAAAACAATGTAAATTTAAAAGGTGGAGAAATGTTAATGTAGTACTTGCAGATTGTATTTACCACCACCAAGTGGCCAAATACAGTTATAGCTGGCTTTCATTATGCCAGCTCTTAGAGGAGATCACAAAGGCAGTTTGTTCAGACCAAGAGCCTTATCAGAAAAAGCAGTCAATCTTTCCATCACAGGTTTTGTTTACTATACAGTTTCTTTGGTTCCTTTGTAATAATAAAATCCACTCATGCTTAGTCATTTTCACCCCACCCTCTCACCCAGGTGACGGACACAGAGGCAGAGCGGTTGTCTGCCTTCTTCAGCAGGAACACGTACATCAGTGGGAAATACGCGGATGAGGCTTCCTTCACCAAACTCAACACTCACATCCACTCTCTGCCCGGTGGACCCGAGGCAAACCGCCTCTTCTACCTGGCTCTGCCGCCCACCGTGTACCACGATGTTACCAAGAACATTAAACTCTGCTGCATGAGCACAAAGTCAGTATGCACACCTGCAGGTTCACTTAGCATTATGTCCTGCTATATCAAGTCTTTTAATTCTTTAACTGCAGATATGAATCCTTGTTGGTCTAAATCCTGCTCTCTCCAGCCAAAACTGTCTGTCTGCTTCTGTACCTTGTTGAAAGAAATGTCTGCAAACTTTATGTTGCGATCTTTGTCTTGTTTAAGTTTCAAATCTCATCCAAAGTGAATCCCACAGAGTTCAAAAATAGCCTGATTCAATTGTGTCCCACCCATCTTGTATGTTTTGCAGAGGCTGGAACAGGGTGATCGTAGAGAAGCCATTCGGACATGATCTTCAGAGCTCTGAAGAGCTGTCCACTCACCTCTCCTCCCTCTTCACTGAGGATCAAATCTACCGAATCGATCACTATCTGGGCAAAGAGATGGTGCAAAACCTCATGGTGCTCAGGTAAGGAATATCGAAGATTTTATCTGTTTTAAGTAAGCCCTGTAAAGAGTTTGAATCTGATATAAGCAAGATTGAAGGTGGTTGGTGATCACGTGGTAAAGAACAAAGCTCCAGAGTCTGATGTACTTGAATTTCTTGTCACTAGATGATTGGAAACTATAAAGATAAAACGCCTACTAATAGTTCTATAAAGTGCTAACACAAGGTCGAATTAGAATAGATATTTTCTCTCCTTACATTGTTTGTTTCTGTGTGTGAAAAATAAATTTAGATATTTCACTTTTTCCCACAGGAGATTTAAGGTGATATGAATGATGCGACACTTCATTTTCAGCTGATAATGACTCAGGAAATTCTTTTAGAGTACCATACAAAGACAACACAATTCAACCTCTGAGCAAAGAGGACAATGTTGTCAGGAACGGCTGTCTTTTCATGCTGTGAACATCACATGCTCACTCGGTGTTCATTTCAGGTTTGGGAACCGTATCTTCGGGCCCATCTGGAACAGGGACAGCGTGGCCTGCGTTGTTCTCACCTTCAAAGAACCGTTTGGCACTCAGGGACGAGGAGGCTACTTTGATGATTTTGGCATCATCCGGTAAGCAGAAAAACATACACAGCTCATATAAAATGTTGTCCTTCTATTTGTATATTAAACTCGAGCAGCTCAGTGCAAGCTTTTATTTGCTAGGTGGTACAAGGGTTGGACTAGTTTGATCGCCATCATCAAAGGATTGTAACGGACATGATCACAGCCATCGCTTCCTCTTTCTTTTCTTTGTTTGACCACCTGCTTTCTTTGTCTTCACCAGCGATGTCATGCAGAACCACTTGCTCCAGATGCTCTGCCTGGTTGCCATGGAGAAACCAGCATCGACCAGCTCAGATGATGTCAGGGATGAAAAGGTACAAACCTGACACCCTCAACACTTCCTGGATTCGAGTGTGAAGAGAGATTTTACATGATGGTTAATGATGGTTTCTCCTTGTAGGTGAAGGTGCTGAAGTGCATCGCTCCCGTGTCCATGTCAGACGTGGTGCTGGGTCAGTATGTGGGGGATCCAGAGGGTGAAGGAGACGCCAAACTGGGCTATCTAGATGATCCCACCGTTCCTAAAGGATCCACTCAGGCCACCTTCACCACCGCTGTGCTCTATGTGCACAATGAGCGCTGGGATGGTAAACAAATTACTCTCCTAAAAATAAAACCCGACTAATGTCACATTTTCTACAGGGCTTTGTAATGCGGTATCATTCTAATTATGCGTCCCCAGGTGTTCCTTTCATCCTCCGCTGTGGAAAAGCTCTGAACGAGAGGAAAGCCGAGGTGCGGCTGCAGTTCACAGACGTCCCAGGGGACATTTTTGGGAACACTTGCCGCAGGAATGAGTTGGTGGTGCGCGTGCAGCCCAACGAAGCCGTCTACGCCAAGATGATGAGCAAGAAGCCTGGTGTTTACTTCAGCCCTGAGGAAACTGAGCTGGACCTCACCTACAAGAGTAGATACAAGGCAGGTTTAAGTTTCTGTCTGTGGGCTTGTACTTAGAAAATCAAAAATAAGGCATTAAAAAAAGAGACAGTAGGAGATAAACACTAATTTTAAATACCAAAATTAGATGACGGCTAATGATGTAAATTTTGCGCAAAAAAAAAGTTATATTTGTGCTTAGATTAAAGTGGTTAATTTACAAAAATACTGAAATCTTTCAAAAGAAAAAAATAGAAATATCTGTGGGATTCAGCCATAATTTTTAACAGAATGCATATATTTTAAGATTAAAGTAAAAAAATATTTTGGTTTTTTTTAGCCCAGAAAAACTTTGTAAGTTGTCTCAAATGCTATTCTACATCTCTACTTTTATTTTTCCTTTTTTTTAAAATTTAAACTCATTTTTGCACTTTTAATTTGTTCTTTTATGAAAAGAAATAAAACATTTTTGTCTCATTATCAGGATGTGAAGCTGCCAGACGCCTATGAACGCCTCATCCTTGATGTCTTCTGTGGGAGCCAGATGCACTTTGTACGCAGGTGCGTCTTTGCTCTACACTTCTTTCCTCCTGCGCTGAGCTCATATATCCACTAGGTGGCGACAAAGTGCACGTCTTGGCTGCATTAGCATGTTTTATATTTTCTGTGACACTACTCACTGCCAAGTGTTTCATGTTTCTTCAGTGATGAACTGAGGGAAGCGTGGAGGATCTTCACTCCTCTTCTTCATCAGATAGAGAGAGAGAAGCCCAAGCCCATTCCTTACAAATATGGAAGGTAGGAATATTTCTCACTCACTCTCAAAGCTGAGGGGAAAAAAAATAACCACAGGGGGTTGATTGTAAATGTTTTCCTCTCTTTCTTCACAGCCGTGGCCCAGCTGAGGCTGATGACCTCTCGAAGAGGGTCGGATTCCGCTATGAAGGCACTTATAGATGGGTCAACCCTCACAGACTGTGAACTGTGATGAGATGAGGGAAGAGTAGAGGTATGAGTTAGGAAAGTAGGAGGGTTTGCAGCAGAGTGAGCCATGTCATGTTCCAACACTGGGTTGTCTTTGTGAAAGGAGGTGTTTCCACTGTGTGGATCTGTTGAGGTAGCAGTAAGGACCAGAATAGTTATTTAAAGAAAATAGAGTATTTCTCAGGTATAGCAAATATTCCTTGGAGCTACTTCATCAGACATCAAAGCGTTATTAATTTATCCTTAAATCATGGGCCCATGCTCCAGTTTTTTTCTTAATCCACACATTCCTCGCAGCTTTCTGTCTGTAATTTGAGACGTGGGACCATGTCAGTTGGAGAGGGAACAGAATAATCTGAGCCAGGACACTCCTTCAAACAAAATAACTGCCTGATGATGTAGCTCCAAATCAGTGTGAATTAGGTCTTAGTTTGTCAGGATGGAAAAGAGGAAAAAAAAGAGCACAACAACAACAACGACAAATCACAGCTGAGCCACGCTCACCCAGTGTCAGAACTGTACTAAAGGCAGTCATTGAACGCAGCGGAGAAGAGGAACACAGGCTTGATTGTTCATCACCATTCACTCTTAAAACATTGTGATTGTAATACCGTTCTGCTTTTACTGCTTTTATTCCTCAGACTTATATCTTACAACTTCCACATCTTATTTTCTACCCTCTTCTTCCTGTGAGTGAAAAGGCTGACTGTCTTAGCATAACAGACTCTGTGGTTTACAAAGAGTGATGGAGGCAGTCTCTCATGAAACCATTTATACTGCAATAGTCTTAAGTGTTCTTATAAACTAGCAGAACAAGCTCTCTGTCTTGTTTAGTAGCCTCCCTCTGAGCTTTATTCCCTTCTTTGTTTACATTATTTTTTTTCAAGTTTAAGTTGCTGATGTTCATATTATATTTTCAACATATTCACTCAGCAGCAGTGTCCACCACTCAACAGTGAATGTCTTTGTAACGACATCCTGTATGTAGACTGCTGTCAACTGCACTCTTACATATAAAGCTAGCTACATTTCCACTACTTGTAATAAAATAGTTTATCTCTCTGTGTTTGTCCCTCATGCTTCAGTGTACAGAAGATTTTTGGTGCCTCAAACATCAAAATGTCTGAGTTATATAACGATGGCTGTATGTCCAAAATCAGTAGTTTTAAAGGGATCATTCATGTGTTAATGGGATGCTGTGTTCCACATATTCATATGACCAACACAGGCACGTGGCAGAGAGTGTGAATATCTACAAATAATCTTACTCTGTCATTTGCCAACCACAGGATGGACAGGACCACACAGAACACAGGACTCGTATTAAAAAATTAAGTTACAATTGGGATTAACAGTCTTTTGTGATGTGTTTATACCTCTGGGTATCACTGACATCTATTAAGGATTGACCCTTGAGCCTGACACTGACACCCAAATACCAAATGCTGGTCAGGCGGGCAGCCCTAGTTCGATACCCACTCGACACGCAGGAGATCCTGAAGCAAATCCTGGGGAACCAGGCCCGGGGGGTGGGGGTTCCCCCCGGTGTTTCCAGAGAGGTAAAATGGGGGGGGTTATCAGCCAGGAAGTCAGAGGTGGCTGAAATTTTAAAGAAAGATGACAGAAAACTTGAAAAGTTTAGTGACTAATTAAATAAGACTGATGACTATATCATCTTTATTATAGTCAGAAGAAAGATGACTATAATATAGAAGACTATTATAGATTACTATTAGTAGTAGACTATAGTCGTCTATATTATAAGAAAGTTGACTATAAGACTAGTCAACTTTCTTATAAGTCATCTCTATTATAGATGACTTCTTATAAAAAAGACTTTAGTCATCTTTAAATAATAGCATTATAGTCATCTATATATAGATGACTATCATATACTATTATAGTTGTCATCACTATAATGACTATATTATTAGTCATCTATATATAGATGACTATATTATAGTGATGATGACTATTATAGTCATCTCTAGTATAGATGACTTATAAAGAGACATCTATAAATAATAGTATTATAGATGACTTTCTTTGTCTTTTCTTTTTCATTCAATTGTCTTTCTTTCTTGGTTAGTTTCTTCAAAATTCCAGCCACCTCTGACTTCGTGCCTCATAACCCCCCTGTTTTACCTCTCTGGAAACACCGGGGGGAAACCTCCCCCCGGGCCTGGTTCCCCAGGATTTGCTTCAGGATCTCCTGCGTGTCGAGTGGGTATCGAACTAGGGCTGCCCGCCTGACCAGCATTTGGTATTTGGGTGTCAGTTGCATACCCCCAGCGCCACCGGATACCGTCCGCACTTGGGGATGAGCTTCGCGCCCTTTTATTTTGGAACTTTGGCTCTTGGACTTTTAAAATTGGTCCTGGATAAGGTTTGAACCTGCAACCTCCGGAGTCCCAGTCAGTCTCCTTATCCACTGAGCTATGTGGACCTGCAGACATTTTCTGGTTTTCTCCTATTTGACTGCCCTTCGTAGACACTAGACTTTAAAATTGACCTGAACTAGGCTAAGGCAAGGCTTGAACCCACAACTTTCAGGATGCCAGTCGGCGTCCTTACCCTGTGAGCCACATGGACACACAGGTGAAATCCGGGTTTCTGCTATTTGACTGTCCTTTGTAGACAGTAGACTTTAAAATTCACCTTATCCTGTTCAAGGTAAGGCTTGAACCCACAACCTCAGGAGTGGCAGTCAGTCTCCTTATCCTCTGAGCCATGTGGGCACGTAGGTGAATTGTGGGTTTTTCCTATTTGACTGTCCTTTGTAGACAGTAGATTTCAAAATTTCCGAGATAAGGCTTGAGCTCACAACCTCAGGAGTCATAGGCCGAGAGCCAGGAACACCTCACGTGCTGTTTTTTGCTACCTTTTTTCACTATTATTTCTTGTTATCCTATACTTTGGGCCATAACAAGTTCATACTGACCTTATTTTAAAAAAAAACAAAAACTTGAAATGATGTAATTGCAAATATTAGGGTGCTGCAACTGCATAAATGGTCAAATAAGTCTGAAATTTTGCTTGCTATATCCTTACACATAGGGGAAACTACCAGAATAATAATCTGGGTCTTACTACCATTCTATTGCCAAATATCACCCTCTGAATACCCCAAAAGACCAAAAAAAGTCTGTCCGCCTCACAAATTGTCATCAAAAGGGATCATTTTCAAGTATTTGGTTTGCCCCCAGGTGGACCAGGGTATCAAGGTCCAACATTAAACATGATCACACCAAATTTGGGAACCAAATAGGACATTTATTAAAGAACAAGATCCGGACGAGGAATAAAAATGACGTGAACATTTCTTAACAATAGATTAACATTCTGTGCAACCTAATGGAGAAATATGGAAAAAAAAGCTCAACCATCAAACACATTACTATGGTCCTTTTTTTACTGTACTTTGACCACTAGTCATATCAAAAGACAAGAAATCTTCGTCTTGTGTGTGTCCTCATGCTTTCCTGTGGATGGGGATGCTGAAGAGTCCTCCTCAGATGTTCTCCATGGGGGGTCACTAGATTAAATATTATGAATTCAGAGAGCCGTATTCCTTCAAGGCAACCCGTTTAATCAAGCAATCCAACTCTATCAGAATTTCTTATTGATGAATGAGATGTTGATGTCTGAGTCCCTCTTGTTTAGTTGGCGCTGAGTGTCCGGACGCACGCCTTGCCTTTTACCCCACACACACCCTCTATTATGTAGTGAGATAGTACCGCATCTCTTCATCTCCAGCCAGCCTCCTTGACTTCTGAGACACATGGACTCAGAGGTATCATGTTTGTTGAAGGTTTTGACTCTCCTCTCTAGACACAGGACTCACCAGGACCTGGATAAGGGTTGGAACCTTGAACTTGAGGAGTTTAAATCAATCTTTTCACCCTCTTAGCCACACACACAGGTCTAGGTTTCCAAAAGGCTCCCTTCTTCCCTGACCTAAAAGCATCCAGGTGAGTCTGACATCTCACCCGTAAAAAGGGCCACTAAGTGTACATAAATACACGCTTGAAAAAGGGGCGGGGGCAGGCTGGTTTTGGGACCGCATTTTAAGCATTCTCAGACTTGTAAGCCAAATGGGACACCCTTAGCGCCGCATGATGACGTTCCGCACCCTTGAAATCCGCTCTTCAACTGTGCAGACCCTGAATTGCTGTTCAGTTACCTTTCATTTCCAATAGATGGCAGTGTTGTCATAATACAGAGAGAGAACTACAGCTCTATCTATCTCGCTACAAAATCAGAATCACTACTCGGTACATCATACTCTAGCTCATCATGATTTGGTGTTCGTTTTTTTAAGTAGTAATACACACTGCAACAATACGAGGTGACACTTTTTCAAGAAATCCAGTGTAAACATTAGAAATTGCTCTCTAAGGGTGAAAAACAGGCTGAGCGATGATTGATGAGTAATTAATTTATTCACAGACAAATGTTCACATTGTTCAAACACACATTAGCTGTAACGTAGAAGGAGACAGGGTCAGGCAAGATCACGAAAACAAATGGCATACTGGACGGACATTAAGTAGTCAAGTCTTTGGTTTGAACCCCCCCAAAACAAACATGAATGATGGCCAAGTGTTAGCAACCGTGCGTACTAAGGCACTTGCATTTCTCATGTTAAAAACAGTTGCTGTGCGTTAGACATTTTGTTAATATACAGTACAAGACAGGAAACATCTTAGGGAATCATGTAAGACACTTATGATCATACAAAGACATCAAAACTGAGGTATTACTCTAAATTAAAACGACTGGTGTTTACAAACAGGCATTAAATGGACGGCAATGTAAATGTTAGTTATTAATAATTCCCTCGACAGAAGGCTCTCTACAGTTCTTTGCCCTGAGTGGTTGAACCTACAGAAATCTGAATGCATGATGTAGAGCCGTAAAAACGTTCAAACTGAACAGCAGGAAAGTTTAGATCAACAGAATCAACCGTTTCAAAGATTTATCAAAAGTCCAGCTTGGATTTCTGTAGTGTTTTCAGTTTGGCGGCTGTGTGCAAAGTAACACCATGCACTCTGATTTCATCAAAAACAAAGAAAGTCAAGGCAAAAAACGCTTCCTACCGTCACAGGAGAACCGAATCCTCCTGACAATCAACCTTCAAGTTTTAATTTATGTTAGGAAACAACAGAAAGCACTTGAATGATGCCAGAAACTGGATGTTAGAGGACAGAGGTTAACTAGAGTTTAACAAAACACAAATGTTATGCAACCTGTCCACTTGCTGGCTGGAGCCTTTTCAGTTTGCATGACAGCTGTGGAGTGACTGGTCATCCCCCGATCTATTTCTGACAGGTAACAGGGTGATTTATGATTTTATGTTCCTCAGTTAGAAGGCACACGGGTTGTTTGCAGGAGTTACATGTGCTCTGGATGATTCTGCAAACAGCTTATGAACTCTGTGACTGGGTGGCCCTGATAGCAGATCTGATACACTGCATTGAACAGTGGGAACCTGGAGGAAGAGGAGGTATTGTTCAGTACAAAGACAATGCTCTGTTTGATGTCTTTTGTAGCCAGAGCACGTAGAACTAGCTTCCTGTGCCGTGTTGCCGCTTTACTTACTTGTCGATTAGGTTTTTGTGCTTAAGGATGAGATAGACCTCAGCTGCTGTTGCTGGTCCCTGCAGCTTCTGGCCGTTCAGCATCTCTTTCTCCAGCTCTTCAATGGACTGAGACAGAGAGGACATGGGTCAGACAAAAATAGAAAGGATATCCCACTTTAAATTAGACCCTCCAGAAAAACGCGATTATGGGATCGCATGAATTCCCACATAAATCACCAAACTGTTGCTGATTATGCTGGAATCGAATATTTCCCAAAAGGCCGCATATTTCCCCGGGTCCCGTTTGATTTCACAATTTCTGCATTAAAATGAGAAAACTTTAACCAAAATAGTTGTAAGTTGATAACAATTTAAACATAACCAGCACTTACTGTGATGTGTCTTGCATCTAGTATTAAATTGCTCCTTTTCATTCAGTGGTAGCGTAGTAACAGGATTTGGGAGAAGAGGAATCTTTTTTCCTCATTCTTGCATATATTGCATTTTTCGCATATTTCGCATCTTTTTCGCATATTTAACAACTATTCGCATACTTTACAACTTTCCGCAAGTTTCCCGCATAAAATGGCATAAAAAGGCATAAAAACCCCGCATATTTAGTCGCATAATCAAGGATTTTTGCCCATGTTTTTCTGGAGGGTCCATTAAATATACAACACAGTTGTGGCACATTTCACATTTGATGAATATAAAACAAGCTGACATTACCCGTCTGTCATTAGCTTTTACACTACATTAGATTTTACACTTATATATATATCTTTATTTTTTTTAGGAGTAATAGTCTTGGAGAGGGAAGAGTATGGGAGCCAGCCCTAATATTATAAAACTTAACCATCTCTTTCAACTCCCCAAGTTTTCCCCAATCAAGAGCAGTGCTGAGACATCTTCTTCAGACCTAAAAACCCTGAATTTGTTCCTTCTCCTCCAAAATAAAAGTGACATTTTACACTCTGAGCTCTTACCTTCCCCGTCTTCACGAAAGCTTCAGCTACTTTGCGGTTGCGGCCGCCGTAGCAGGTTGTAATGAGGTCGGCCACGCCGCAACTCTCCAGGAAAGTTGCGGAGGACACGGGCCCGGCTGTGCAGAAAATGCGGGCGAAGGCAATCATCTCCATCAGGCCCAACCTGATCACGGCAGCTTTTGTGTTGTCCCCGAAGCCCAGACCGTCACAGAAACCTGCCCCAACTGCAACAATGTTCTGTCGGAGGGAGGAGAGGGGAACTGTGAGCCAAGACTGCAGATACAAGAAGATAACTAGATACTGTGGGGTATTTATAACACTCAAAGTCTGACCTTCTACGCTTCATTTTCTAATGAATTACTGGATAACTTTCCAGACTCATCAGCCATCCTTCATTGGAAGTATCATCTTATTTATAATGAAAGGGACTTTATCTTTACAGATAAGTTTTGAGTTGCAAAGATTTGACAACACTGCAGAGGTCGAGTGTACTTTACTGCATTAGCCGTGCCCTTTAATTACTGTGATCATTTCTCCGCCTTGATTAGACCCAGCACATAATTTCACATTTGCAGCATAAGGCCATGTTCTGCATTCAAAGCTCACCTTTAAGGCTCCACAGATTTCCACCACATCATACTCCTCCACTACAGTGACCCTGAAGTTGTTGGTCTGCATGAGTTCCTTCAGAATAGCCCCGTGGTTTTTGTTCTTACACCCTGGAAAAAAAGAGAATTTTGTCTCTTAGATAAAAGCCTTTTTCATTTTATCACAGTGTGATTCTCACGCCCAACAAAGTTACCTTTAACAGCCCTGATCCAACAAATATTAATCCTTTTCAACACAGGTTTAGTTTCCCACAGTGTAATAATTGTAAATCCCACGAAGCATGTCGTCAACATCAAGCAAACGTCAAAGTGAACCAGCCCACTCTGTCATTTACACAGCGACTGCTAGCAGATTAAACTTTCACCCACATGCTGACAGAGCAGAAATCTGGAAAAAACATACATCCTGCACAGTCTGAATTCAGACTGAGGGAAAATATGCAGCCTTTAATCTGACTTACCAATGGTGGTCTCACAAAACTTCTCATCAGCAACCTCGTTGGCAATGTTGGCCCCCATCAGCACACTCATAGTGATCCCAAGTTTCTCCTGGATCACGTCAGAGATGAGCTTCAATCCATCTGGCCCCTCGTCGACTCCCTGGAGGAACAAAAATATGCAAACAGGTTCACACTGGAATGTAGAAAGCTGGAATTCAGGTCAAGGACCACATTGTCTTACTGGCTTATATATATAGTTTGGCATACAACATTACGTAACATGACCAGAAAGGGGAAAACTTCAGACAGTTATGGCAAAGAGCAAAGTCAGACCTTGATAAGGGATATCCCAAGTGCGTCGCTTTTTATCTTTCCCTTTATGGTTTCGCACACTTTCCCAACGAACTGATGCGGGATCACGAACACCAAAATGTCTGCATCTCTGGATGCCTCGACCAGGTCTGGAACAGCCAGCTGTGGAGGACAAAGGGTGAAGATATGGATGTAAGAGACAAACATGTAATCACATTAACATTAGAGCTGGTTTAACAACATTCATAAAGCTGAAAAGACAGAGTTTCATTCAAAAAGATAAAGACGGTTGTAAAGCTATTTTAATCAAGTTAATAAGTCACTGTTAAATGTTGAGAAACAATCAGCTTCTTACCACATTAGCAGGTAGTTTGTGCCCGGGCAGATACTTCACATTTTCATGCTCAGTGTTGATTATTTCAGTCAGCTTGCGTCCGTTCACAGTCTCCTCAAACACCCACATTTTGACGGTGTCGTCAAATGTCGACTTATGAGCAGCATTGGCGCCAACTATCTTGGCAATGGCTGAACCCCTGTATTGTAAAAAAGTTACAGGTAATTGTTTAATTTACATAAAAGATGGACATATTCACACTGTAATGCAGGGGTGTCAAACTCAACCACAGCAAGGGCCATAATCTGGATTTAGGTCTAACCTGAGGGCCAAACAGGGTCAACATTTCACCAAAACTGTCAACCTAATTTTCAAAAGATATGCAACAAAAACAGCAATGATTATAAATCATTTGGAAATTTAAAAAAGATAAGTTAAAAAGCAATCTGAGATAGAAAAAAATATATTTTAATTTTTTATTCAATTTTTTTGATCAGAGCATGATATTAAAAATAGAAAAGTACTGGTTTTTAAGAGCAAATACATGAGGAGAACGTTGAAATCAGGTTTAAAAGGTCAAAATAAGACCTAAAATTAGAATCTAAAGTATAAAAATGACAAATGCAAAATTGAAAAAAAGGAAATAAAACACCAAATATTTTTTCCCCCACATTCTTGACCAATTATCAAATCTTCCTTACTATTGAATTTCCCAGATTTTCGTGGTTTATTAAGGACATTTTATTTAATGGTGCTAAAGTTTACATATTATACTGGAGGAAATCTGCAGACTTCATACTGGTGGGCCAATAATAATACAAATATGGTATGATCTTGTGGGCCAGATATAATTGTTCCACGGGCCAGATTTGGCCCCCGGGCCTTGAGTTTGACACCTGTGCTGTCATGAAACATAACAAACGGAGTGAGTGCTGGCTGGTTTTTGCCATCACGTGATTTGCTTTCTGCCAGCTCTCCATGAAGTTTTTGCTCTTTGACCCTCAGCTGGCAGGTTGAAGATAAGAGGTAATATACTGTCATCTGTTGTTGATTCACTTGGTATGCAGACAACACTGCTCAAACCACCACTGAAAACCGTGATAATTGAAAGATAGTGTTTAAAAAGAGTTTGAAACATGATTTGATGCTCCTTAATGGTAATTCAAAGTTGTGTATAAACCAGCAACTAACTTATTTAAGCTTAAATAAAAGAGAAGCTGATCAAAAAATGATTTCCTTACTTTTTCAAGAGTTAATCCTTTCAGTTGGTTTTTGTGCAAAAATAATAAAAGCACTCTCTGCCTTGAGCTTCTAGTATGGACAAAAGGATCATGGATATCTTGGATTATCAAAGTTTGTTGGTTGCAGCTGTGCTTTGATTCCTCTCCAGCAACAGGTGCAATCCTGCAGACAATCCCAGTTCAAACTCCTCTCATAAGTTTTCAGATCGTTTGTTCACTTCAAATCAAGATTTATATGATTTTGCTGAAACAAACAAATAAATCCAACAGTAAAACACAGCTTTTGGGCACCAGTAAAGTGAAGCAGAAGTAGTACATCAGGGAATAAGTCTAATTCGATTTATAAACCAGATTTATAAGCCGAATTAACATATGGACCTGATAAGACTCATGCACTGATTGAAGGATTGTTAAACCCCTGTGGGATTTTAGAGTAAACACGAAACCCCTTAAAGTTCTCGCCTGATGAATGGAATTTGGTTCTCGGTTTCGACAGGTGGAAACCGGCTTCTATATGCAAAAATGTAAAGCCGTGCCCATTCTTGCAACCCGGTAAAATAACTTGTTTTTCCACTTTTAATGTGCTAATGAAAGTGAGGCAACATGTTGCTGAGACATGGTGGCCAACATGACCACAAAACCCGAAGAGTCGTGACTGACATGTGGCGAGGTTTCCGTATATTACTCAGACAGTTTCCTAGCAACACGGTTATGACTCTAATTAAGGTTTAGATTGGATATATAAGGAGATAACGGCATACATTGTTAGAAGGTGGTGTTAATGAAAACGCAGCTAGTTAACATTAGCAGGCTGATGGCTAGCAACGAGATACCGGCTTGACACGCAGTCTTAAAGAGATGAAAATGTAGCCCAGACAAAGACTCAATATAACGACACACAAACTTGCCAATTTCCAGAGCCAACGATGCAGACTTTCTTGGGAGCTGCCATTGTGAAGAGATGTATCGATGAGTGGAGGTGGACCGACACTGACTGATTGACTAACTGCTGCCGGGGACCTGCAGTACGGTTACGCAACACGCTCTACTCCGAGCTGCAAGCTGCCGCACTCCGATTTTATTGGCCTGTCCGAGGGGGAGACACTGGCCCGCCCATTAAAGCGAGCACCATACCCGGTCATTCATCAAGACGGTTGACGTGGGGTTAGTGGGCTTAAAGTAAATCGGACAGAAGTGAACATTCATGTGAACTCCACAGACTGATATTGATCCGTGTTTTATGATGTAAACAGTTCCTCTGAGTCTGGTATGAAAAGGGAGGTTATTGTAAAGCACCATAATGTTGAGAAATAGTGCTTTATACTGTAGAAACAGAGTCATTAAGCAAAACAAGACACCTAAACATAATGTCAGATTTAACCAGATTATGCAAGTCTTTATAACATGCTAATTATAATCTAAATTTTTTAATCACTTGAACTATTTGCCCATAACTAACTTTAAATCTAAATAAATGCTACGGTGGCCAAGAACTGCCATTACTGCAAATTTAAATAAATAAATAAATAAATAAAAAATAAAATAAAAAAGAAGCAACAACAAAAGTTAATAATAATAAAAAAAAAATCAAAATAATAATAATAATAATAAATTTTATTTATAACACGCTTTTACAAAGATGCCTTACAAAGAAAAGAAGGAAAAAGAAAAAGAAAATAAAAACAATTTCAATTTAAAATACAGAAAATTATGAGAGAATTATGAGCCTGCTGCAAATAAAAAAGAGGTGGTGCAGATAAAAAAAAAAAGCCACAACGGAAGTTAACAACACAATAAAAAAAAAAAAAGTGGTGACAGGATAAAAAGTTACTTTAAACGATGCAAATAAAAAAAGCCAAAACAGAAGTGAGCTGCCGGGGATCAGTAATTGAAAAGTTTAAGAAGCGAAATTAAACAATAACCCTTTTACTAACCTCTTTGCTCGTCTTTTCGCCATCATCTTCTGTGCCTAGATTGTAAAGCACTGGCGCATTATCATTACTGGCAGCTCACTTCCGTTGTGGCTCTTTTTATTTGCATCCTTTTATTTTCACAATAAGTATCTTTTTTTTCCTATCACCACTTTTTTTTCTTCGGTTTCTTTTTTTTTTTTTTTGCTTTAGTAACTTCTGATGTGACCTTTTTTTTTTTTTTGCTTTTTTTTTATTTGCAGCAGTGGCTGTTCTTGGCCACCGTAAAAAACAACTCATGATATACAAGAAAAAAACACTTGCTCTTGATGTTTTAACATGGAAGTTAAATTCAATGGAGGTAAATATTGAAATACTTTCCACCCTCTGTGACTGTTTGTACAAACAGCAATTATTCTGTGAACTTAATCTGCTCTGTTGTTTTAATGCCATGAGTGTGCTGCCAGAGGGGCAGGAGAAACTTATACTAACAAGGTCAAATGTTAACATTAAAAAAGTAATAAAAAAGCAGAATAAATTGAGAGGTTTTATTTAAAGGAAGCACCACACGAGTACTGCTGGGACCCACGATCATTAAGGCAGTATTTTTGCAAGGCTTTGCATTGTTTGTTCCTGTTTTTATGGCTGAGGCTTTGACCTTTTACAGACTAGATAACTCCAACAAAGTAGTTCAAAAACTTTGTTCTCTAGAGCCCACAAAGTCAACCTGATTCAGAGTCTACTTGCAGCATATAATCTCACACATTTAGTCTCATACATATCTGGCAAAGACTTCAGGGCCTTATATGAAATAATTTTTTAGACACTGTTTTAGTAGTAACAGTGATTTTTTTTTAAACATTTAGTCTCCACTTTTTATTGATGAGAGCAAACAGCTGAATATTTTCTACCAGCTTGTGTCAGGATGAACAGTTTTGTTATTTAAAGAAGCTAAAGGAAGGCCAAAATGCTTCCTCCAGGAACATCAAAATGTATAATCTAATGTGTGTAGCAAAAATTGCCCTAAATCAGCATTTTTTTCCGCCTGTAAGGTCATAAAGACCCACCCAAACTTCAAGACTCAGATCTAACAGACTGTAGACAGCCACACTATCAAGGTTCAAGGTTAAGCTCTCTTGGAATTACGCAATACATGATTGCACAGTAACACATGATTCACATATAATACAGTATTTATGAGTGTTGATAGATAATGTGAAAATAATGCAAATCATGCAAAAAAAAAAAAAAAAATACAAGGGTAATCATGCGAAAGAGGAAGTGCGAAGTGAATGTGCTAGTTGTTCAGTTTAAAATGATCAAACATTAAAATGTAGGGCGTGCAGTTTAGGGAATATTATATTGTACAAACAAGACTGGGGCTTATGAGAAGAGGATTTTATTTGGGTCAGCGTTGGTTAAGGAGTTGAGCAGCTCGAAGAAAGCAGCTGCTTTGTAGTCTGTTGGCACAACAGCAGATATACTTGCATCACTTGCTAAACAGCAGCAGAGTGAAAGAAAAGGTTGAAGCTGGGGTTGGTAATGTCTTTTAGTTTCCTCCAGGCTCTGCACAGGCAGAACCAGTTAATCAGATTGTACACAGAGACCACAGTTTTTACCACTTTTCTTCAGGGCTCCTTTGTCTCAGGTTGATCAGATTACATGTCGTTCTGTGACGTTTCAAGTGTTTTTGTCGTCAGTATTCTTATTTTCCCAAAGATAAACAGCCGTCTCTGTAGGATAGCTGGTTTTCAGCTGTATGTTGCTGTCTGTGTCTTGATTTCTTTCTCTTGTGAGGTTGCTACCAAACCAGTAAATGATTGTGTGGAACAGGATTCTCTGTGTTATGGGGCAAAGATAAGAGGCCAAGCATACAGTTCTTGGGGGCTGCAGCAGTTCGCAGCAGAAATAATGAGGTTTGATCGCCAACAAAAGCGGCCTGGTCTTTATTTTTTCAGGCTGTACAAAACCAATTTGCACACTTAAGAGTACAGTTTGTCTTTCTTATCCTCCCCCCCATGTCTCAAAGAAGGTTAAGTGTGACAGCCCTGCAACAAAAAAACCCACCAGAAGCTTCAGATTGAAAATGTTGCTGTGTTGTTATGATATATTTGATTAAAATCCTGATAAATATTTCAAAAGTACATCGTGTGCTGATCAGCTTCACTGCTGGTTTAACTTACAGAAATGCACTTTACAAACCTGTCCCATGAATGTCTCTGTCCCAACATAGTATGTTCGATTATTTTTTCTCTAGGCAAAATTAAGCTAGCACATTTAAAGTCATTTGAGTGACCACAGAAAGATCACTGTGGGAGAAATTATTTGGTCTGGAGGGTTCAAACAAAGAGGGACCTTGTTGCATAACGGAGTTGGAACAAATAACAGAAGAGGAGATGTAGGAAGGAACAAAACATTAGATTCAGCAGTCTGGTTTCTGTGAATAAGCAGAAAGTGTGAAAATCCAACTCAGCGGGTCACAGTTTTTACAGACCACAGACTCATATTTCAATGAGTTACATTCATCTGAGTCGTCATAATTTTATAAAACATGTCCAGTTTCTTTGCTTTACAAGAAAGACTATACAAAGAAGAGTTCCTAGCTACGGCACCATCAGCTACGTCTCTTTGGTGACCCCTCTATCCTTCTGAAACCTCCAGTTTGTTAGTGTAGACGTCATCTTAGTCTGGTGGATACAGAGATGACCCAAATTGGATAGGAGGTAGAATACACATTACTATGCCTCTATCCTAATGAGCCAATCTGATGCAGTTATTTTCCATTTCTTACCTTTAGAGCAGCGGTTCTCAACTGGTGGGTCCCAACCCAAAAGTGGGTCGCGGACACGTTCTGGATGGGTTGCAAACAGCTGGTCAAAAAGTAAATATTTTGTGCACATCTGATGTTTGACATGTCTTTTATTTAGAAAAATAGCTTATTTTGAAAGGTATGCATTATGTCATGGTCCCCCTCGGTTTCTCGTTTGTTTTTTTTGGTCTTTATTTTGTGTAATTTGTTATTTGATATTTTCTGTATATGCAACTTCAGTAGTTGTCATCCTCAGTTCATGTGCTCTGAAATGCACTTTACCCAATAAAAAAGGTGTATTTATGTTAAAGATTAGAGGTTTTTTTTATAAAAAATAAATTTGCTTGGTCTGAATTTTATAAAAGTGGGTCGCGACTGAACGACCATGGGAAAATGTGGGTCCCAGAGAGAGACCAGCTGAGAAACACTGCTTTAAAGCCTCAACGAGGAACTTTCTGTTTGAGTCCACTTTGGCGCCTCCACTTTTGCTCAACATTTTTGACAATCCATCATGCATTTGTTGAAACAGATAGTCGTATTAATGGGAGTGATGGACTGACCGGTGGTGCCTTCACTGAGACCACGAAGCTCAAATGACTAAAAACAGTCAACAGGTGGAAATCTAACATGGTGTGTAATTCAGAGGATAGTTGATAACACAGATGACGTTAGACTCAATAAAACTATGCACAGGTAGCATTAAATCTTTATTGTAACAACTGCTTCAAGTTCGACATGTATTGGCCTAAATCACCAGACTGAAATAACACCCTTCCATATCTTAAACAAATATTTAAAAATGAAGGCAGAAGTAAAAGAAAAAAAACCTGAAAGAAGAACGTTTGAGATGCCAGACCTTGTGCAGTCGAGCCAAAAGTAAGTAACCCACATGTTCTTATAGATCCACTCATATATACAGTAAAAGCTCTGATTATACACACAAGTAAGAAACCGCCTCAGTCTTAAATTTGTTTTTGATAAATCATCTTTTCATATGTACAGAAAGTTAGAAACGAGACACAGCTAATCTATTTAAAATAAAGATACAAGAAAAACAAGAGACGGATCAGCCTACTCTAAAACAATAACAACAGTCATTGCAGTATTTACATTACATTACATTACAGTTCATGGTATGATTGTGCTTGATAACAACACAACACAACTACAGTTTGTACAACTCTAACTTCCTGTCGAGGATTAGAGAGAAGAAGAAAATTAACCAATCAGAAAGTTGTTTGAGTTTGTTTGGATCGTCAGAATAGAAACAGCTTATGAGACGAGCCTCAAACATGCACATGACATGTTTACAGCCTCGAACAGATACAGCAGTTCTGAGTATGAGGGCTGCCTTTTAGAGATTTCCTTCTTTTCATTTTTTTTTTTTTACATCTTTTATCAAATACATATAAATACATGCGGACACTATTCAACGGAACACACAGATGATGAGACAAACTGTAGACTGATGTGTGGAAAACTGCTCATCACAAGACATTTACTGTACAAGTGCTACATGCAACTCGGAGCCCTAGAAGATGGAAAAAGACATTCAACATATTTATATTCAGTCATCTTATTTCACCATGGTAACACTCCCAGAGGTAAATTGCCTTGGATGTGATGAACAATAATTACATAAATGAGAAATGCACCAACGGTGAAAATTTGAGCCAATATTGACACTACCCTTTAAGAGAACAGTTAAGCCAATTTAGCTGCTTCTGGTCTGTTTGTTTAGATTAGCCATGAGCCAAACTGTTGCTCATAGTCCCTTCCTGTGATACAAACTACACCCAGCAGATATTTATTGAAGACAGTGTAATACTCCCACGCTGCAGACATTATCATTGCCATAAAAAGGGAATTCTGAAGGCAAACTATACAACATGTAGCACCTGGTAGATATCAGAGCATTTTTGCAATTACTGAAGTGATTTTTGTTAATGTGTGTCTAGAGAGTAAGGTTAGATTAGGTACACTCCAACTCAACTGATATATACAGTGCAAATCTCCATCCTGCAGCCAACTAGCCTGAATTAGACCGAAAAAAAAGAAACATGTTTAAGGCTTGAAGAGGGATTCTTAGTGCTTCTACATGGGGTCATGTTTAACTTCATATTGATGGACTTTCTGACGAGTAGCTCTGATTTCCAAGTTGTGGTGGAGTTGCTAGAATTTCCAGAAGCTGCAGACCTGGTGGGGATTTATTCTTAGCAAGCCAATGTTGTCTAATGTTTATAACTTGTCAGTTTCTCTGAATACGCTTCCCTTTCGTAACATCCTTTGGCATCTTCTCCGACAGCAAAACAGCCAGAAAATCAGGCATCTAGAGCACCAAACTCTCCGTTTGAAGGCAGCAGGCCTTTTTTTTGGCAGGGTGTCCTGGAGTCTTGTTGTCACTACTAAAAAGACTTTCACACTTTGGTTTGTGTACTGACTAAATGAATAGTCTTTGTGCGACGCTCAGCTCACAGGCTTCTGGCGGTTTCTCCTTTTAGTGTCAGGTTTTGGATTAGTGACACATTTACTGCCAGAAAGTTATTTGGCTCATGTCGTCAAGTCCAACCTCTCTAAATCAAACTCCACACACACACACACAGACACACACACGCTTGGATTTTATCGCTACAGCCTTACCTGATGTGACAAGAAGCTTCTGGAGGCGAATTTTAGCTAATGCTGAATGGCACTTGCATATGTTACAACTACTGTACGATGAACACTTCAGGGTCATGCTTCACACTTATTGTTCATTTTGCTCGTGGTTCTCCTACACCATTATTTTGAAGCTGCCTCCTAATTGGGCCATCTAGGGACGGGGGACACTGTGACTTGTTAAATCAGGACTAACCCAGGAGTGACTTAGCTCTATTGTGTTTAAATGCCCCTGTCGGTGATTCACAATACCAGGAGCCGTAAACAGGAGCTGCTGCAGAAAGAACTCTCACCATTATCAGTTATTTCTTTTTTTACACATGCCCTTTTTTGTAATGTGATGTGTTATATTATCTTTAATGTCAGACTATTCCCAGCCTTTAAATGAAAATGACCTTTTCGGTGGGTAATTAGCTAGGCTTGTCTAATCTACAGGACATGTTCACCCTGCGAAGATGAGGTAGTACAGTAGGTTGGTAAAATGCTCAGGTTTTGACAGGTCATATAATGTTTGTTTGAACTGTGATTGAAAAAAGACAAAAAGTCAGTATTAAATGAGTCCAAATTAAAGATAAAAGTGCGGAAATCTAATGCAAATGTTTCTGAATCGTACATGAAATTATTTAATATATTGTCCTAGTTAAAAAGAAAATTACTCAAACAGATATTTTGGATTAAAACTCGATTTAAACTGACAGATTTTAAACAAAACCACACCGCTGTACTAACTGAAAACATATGAACCCCGTCTCAGTTCATGCCCTTGTTTACTGTATCTGTTACTACGTCTCTTCGCTGTTTTACAGATGACCATGCAGTTATTCTGACACTTTAAAATGAATCACATCTAACGTTGATCATTGGCTCCTGTTCTCCCGCTGACTGTCCGCATGGTCTGTCCTGACGTCAGCCGTGTGCCGAACTCACCGTGTTGTTCAAAAAACTCACCCACAGGAAAAGTTTGGGCTTTTCATCTGTTGCTTCTGTAAGTCTTAAAGTCCTGCAGCACACAAAGTCCGCAAAAGTGTTTAAGACAAGAGGGTGTGTCATCTCCCTCCCCACTGCTGCTCAGGCTCAGTGAAAGTTACTGACGTGACACTTGACGTCATCTAAGCTCAGGACCGTCCCCTGGTCGTTGCTGCTGTCATGCTGCTGCTGCCTGTCAGAGCAGCGACACAACTTGTACTTTATCACCTAAGAGGAAAGAAAAAACAGAGACAGGCGAAATAAGATAAAAGCCCTCTTTTTATGATCTGATTTGACCCTAGGAAACAAGAGGAAGCATGCATGGTGTCTGTTAAAGAAAGGGTGTTTACTCACTTAAAGCTGCTTTGAGGAGTTTTATGAATCAGACTGAAATTCATATTGATGCATTTCATGTTATTTGAACACCATCAGCAACAAGACTGACTATATGGGCGGATTTCTTGTGTACGAACAGTACTTGGTGTGTGCGCAACCAGGGGGGAAAAGCCTGCTTCGGAGTGAACTGATATCAATGAAGATGCCGTATTGTTTGCAAGTTCTCCCTGACACAATTGCAATAAAATGTCATCTCAATTACAAATCGCTTTGTCTTTCATTGCATCAAAATCAGAAAAACACTTGCTGAAATATCCATGAATTTCACTCAATTTACCAGGTTGTGACGTTGTTTTAGATGTTTCTAATATCAGGAGCAGGGTCGTAATGTTTGACGATTGTTTGTTTTGCCGATTTGTGCAGTTTACAGAAACAACAGCTCCATGTCATTTTCTTTCTCCATTTCTCTAAGAAATGTCCTGCTTTCTGCCCCCTGGCTGCGCATGCACACCTGCGATGACGTTGCACAGAAACCTGTCTATTTATATCCCAAACTAGTGTTAGAGGCAGCAGAAGAAACAGCCTGATCTTTACAATCTTCATATAAAATATTCAAAATTAACGATAAATGTGTCTGTCAAAAGTCAGCCAGAAGAACGGACAAGATGAGTAAAGACTGCTTTGGCCACAGGGGGCGCCAAAGATGACACATACAAAAAGTTCCACACAGGAGCTTTAAATAGACGAAATATTTTCTGTGAGCATCCTGGTCTAAATGATAAACTAAGTTTCTAAGTTTATATATCAAAAAATTGAAATGGAAGTTGTCATCCTAAGTACAAGTTGCAGCAGTAGTTAAGCACTTTTAAAAAGGTGTTTGCATGCATGTGCAAAATAGTCGAAGTAACACAATAATGCCCATGTCTGTTAGGGTGCAAGAGAGTCAGCCTGAACTGTGATTTTAATCCTAACTTTAATCTAGTATAATTAGTATAATGTGATGTTTAGATTAGCTGTCACATAATAAGTTAACTTTCTGTTTAACCTGTTTAACCAACAATGACAGTAACAGCTGCTGCCTGTCCTCTGTGTATTCGGCACTTTTATAGTTTACATAGGCCGATCATTTCTTCCTCCCTCTTTTCTTGTACTTGGATGAATATTTAATGCTTCAGTTGAATTGTAGTGCTAGAATATTTTTGCAAGTATGCAAGATATATATTATAAAACTCCCAAGTGTACTCAGCTGAAGCTCTCAGGTCTATACCAACATGCAGCAGGATTGTCCTCACCTCATAAAGGTAATCAAACAGCTCCAGAATGGTGAGTATGCTTGCACCGATAAAGAGCCCCATCTGACCACCGATATCACCTGAAGTAAGAAAACAGACGCTTATGAAAACCATTGTTCACAATCGAGACCAGAGCGATAACTCAATTTAAAAACCAAACATAGGGAGTCTTTACCGAGAAGTCCGGCCACCTCATAAGCCTTTTTCTGCTCGATAGTTTCATAGTTGAGAGCCTCAAAAAAGATGTCTAAAACTAAGAGATTCTCCCTGTAGAGAGGAGAGAACATAAACATGTATTCAAGGTTATATTAATCATCAGGAAGCATCATATTATTATGTTCTACATGGATTATAACTCAGTTTAATGTCGTTCTAGGTATATTTTCAGCAATATACTATTATCAGCCTCCTGCCAGCCCTGACAATTAAAGAATGTTTGAATAAGTAGATGAAAAATCAATATGATTAAACTCTCTAATGCGGCAGAATCTAATTTGAGACGCCCTAAATCATCCTTATATTTGCTCATAACCTTTGATGAGTAATAAAACTATTGATGAATGTTTCAGTTAAAAATGGACCTGTGCTAAAGTTTTATCTTGTTTTGAATAAGCTTTGATTTATCAGTAGTTCTAATGCTAATGCTTCTTATTTGAAAGATTTAATTTTTCTTTTATAATTGTAAATAGATGCATTTTTGTTGCTGTGGTTTGATAAATAACATCTTGAGTATCTTATATAGGCTGATACATACTTAATGTACTGTTCAGATTTGTTATATTTCTTTGCGAGGTATTTAGCCGAGGCCTTGCTGGGGATTTTGACGAAGGAAAGCTCTTTGCTGTATCTGGTCATGTTGCACGGCGTCTCGCACACACAGAAGTCGTTGTCTCTTTCCACCAGGAAATCTGCAGAGCGGGACAAAAACCACAGAGTTCAGCGTGTGACCTTCGCACGAGATCAGTGTGACTGTGGCTTTAAGATGTCATGAGATGATTTGTGTTCGAAAGTGTGCGTATTTTGTATCAGTTCCTTAAATATTCAGACCAGACGTGCACAAGGCCCTTTTCTTACCCAGAGCTGGGTCAGCACATTCTTTATACAGCTCAGGGGTGCAGTACGGTGCATCTCCTGCAGCAGAAATAATGACACACACTCACATCAGTGAACTTTTCTTCTTTGAAAATGCCCACAGTGTACTTTTCACAGCAGCTTCTTTTGTAGTACAGAATGTAAATGTGAAACAAAAACACAGTGGGAGCAGTTTCCTACCAGGCATGTGCACCATGCGACAGTTGCAGTTGTCCACCAGATAGCGTGTCTCGCAGTCAATGCGGCAGGCGGTGATGCTGTAACTGTCAAAGAAGTCAGACTCCATGGCCGTCACTTTACAGTCTCCCCAGGGTGGGGGGAGGTAAATCAGCTGCAAAACCACAGATGATAGATGACATCCGTATTATATAATCCACATGGACTCTGCAACAAGTGTACTATGTCCTTTGAATTTACACAACCGAAACCAGGAGGCTGCCACTTATGGAAAATTGATGAATTTAGAAAAAGAAGGGCTGATTTCTTAGTGAAGTGAGAAAAGTAACTGTACTGAACTCTCTCTCTCTCTCACTCTGTGTCAATCTCTCTCTCTCTCTCTCTCTCTCGCTTTGTCTGTCTCTCTCTCTCTCTGTCTCTCTATTACTCTCTCTCCAACTGTCTCTCTCTCTCTCTCTCTCTCTCTCTCTCCCTGTCCGTTTCTCTCTCTCTTTCTCCCTCTCTCCATCCATCTCCCTCTCTCTCGCTCTCTTTATCTTTCTCTCTCTCTCTCCCTGTAAGTCTATCTATCTCTCTTTCTCCCTCTCTCCGTCCGTCTCCCTCTCTCTTCTCATCTCTCTCTCTCTCCCTCCTTCCATCTTTCTCTCCGTCCGTCTCGCTCTCTCTCTCTTTCTCTGTCTTTACTCTCTCTCTCTCTCTTTCTCTCTACCTTTCACTCTCTCACTTTCTCTCTACCTTTCACTCTCTCTCTCCATCTCTCTCTTTGTCCTTCTCTCTCTCTTTCTCTCTACCTTTCACTCTCTCTCTCTCTGTCCCTCTATCTCTCTCTCTCTCTGTCCGTCTCTCTTTCTCTCTCTCTAGGCCAGTGATTCTCAATCCATGTTGGATGTTTGGCTGCATGTTTTGAATGTTTCCCTGCTCCAACACACCTGATTCAAATGATCAGCTCGTTATTAAGCCATTCCAGAGTTTGATAACGAGCTGATCATTTGAATCAGGTGTGTAGAGCAGGGAAACAGGACTGGTCGAGGACTGGACTGGAGAACCTCTGCTCTAGGCCATGGCTATGAGATGAAGATGGCTGTACACCCAGAATCATTTATCATCATTATACTGTTGTTGCTTATTTAATTGTTTTAATTTAAAGGGGAAAAAAAAGCTGAATGAAAGCATCATGTCTTTAACGATTTCATAGTCCTGAAGATTTTACCCTCTGTTCTTGGCAGGAAACGAAAGTCTGAAACCCGGGCGCCACTCCAAACCCCAGCTGGTCAATGAAGGACGGCTCGTCCTGACTGTGGATCTGAACTTTGACCCCTGCTTCAAATGACGTTTCATCTGCAGAAGTCAAATTAACATAGGCTTAATGCTGCATTGTGTTATTATGTGCTTCACCTATAAATCCAGACTCTACAAGAGGTTTCACATACACAAACTCACTACACAACTGCACACACACACACACTGAAGTTTGTAGTGTGACACATAATCAGAGATGACTGATGTCTCTCCCTCACCTGTTTCCCCCCAGACAGGAAGGTATTCATCCTGCTGAATGTCCAACATGAGCTCCAGGCCATTACCCATACCTCCCTTGGTGGTGATGAGAGGCGGGTGTCCATCATCGCCGGCGTTAAAGGTGTAACACTTCCCGTAGCGAGTGAAGACCTGCAAGACACACAAGGGAGATTTTCTTTGCGCACAGCTTCAAAAACTGCAGGTTTCTTACCGGAGTGTTTCCACTGGGGGTCAGTGTTTGATTCTGTTTCCGAGGACGTCTGTGAGACTGCGTGTGAAAATGTGAGAGGTAGTAAGAGAGGAGGGAGAAGTGTGACAGAAAGATAAAACGGGGGAAACAAGGAGAGGGGAAGGAAGTCTTCCCGAGGGTTTTTGGCTTACACAACACAGTGAGGTGACTGAAACTAGCAGGCTGGTGATTTAACGTCCCCTAACATGCTCTTTATGCCAGTCATAATGGACTTGATGTTACCATGGAGACCAAGCATCCCAGCTGGCAAGATTCTGGCCTTAATTTTTAAGAAGAGCCAAGGCCCAGATGTTAAGATTGAAGCCGTGTGGGATATCAGCAGAAGCACAAACCACGTTTAGAAGCTGCGAGTGCGTAACAGGAACTAGACAAAAACATCTCAAAATGAAGCTTTTTGGTCAAAGAGTTTGAGTCACATAGCAGTTGTAAGGAGATAGAGTAAGAGAAGGAGAGCAGAGATGCAATTAAAGGAGACAGAGAAAGAGCGAGGTGGAGAGAGGGAGAGGGAGAGGGAGAAGGGGAGTGTAGCCGAGCGCTCGGAGCAGGCTATTGTTCAGCGTTATGGCACAGAATGACATATCTATGATTAGAAAGAACAAACCAACCAAGTAATTGTTGAGAAAGAGTTTGGGTCCTGCCAAAGGCAGTTTAAGCATTTCGGCCATCTATCAAGAAACTGCTGGTTGTAAAAGCAAACATCAATCTGAGGAGGGAAAAACATTCAGGGCTATAAAGAAAGGCAAGTAAAAGGTACGACAAGTCCAAAAAATATATGTCCAAACAGTTAGACTCAAACTAACAAACAAGGGCGAATGTGTCCTTAAAAAGGAGATGTTTGTTTCAGGCGTATTTGCAAAGCCTGAAAAGTTCATCTGGACTGTTTGTCAGGTCGTAAAGTAGCTTTTGGAAATTTCCCAACCCCAAACTATGGCTTCTTTCCAAAGTTTCTCATTTCATCCCTACCTGAACCCCCTTCTTTTTCTCCTTCGCCACCAAACCAATCAAGTCATGCTTTTGGCGCTTTTTGTTTACGATTGACATTACAGACAAAGCTCTGGTCCAGACCATAAAACAGCTCCTGTGGGAGTGTAGAATGAGCATTGGAAAAAACAATCACATTTAGTTAAGATTCACTTTGTAGCGATAATAATATTGTTGATTAATATCAGCAGATGTCGATATTTCAGAGAGCAGTTGAGCCAAAATCTGATATATAAAACTGTGTACGTCTGCAGCAACACTAAAGTGCATTGTAACCACATTTTTTATTAAATATGAGCCAGTAACTGTCTCATATTTGATCTGCTTTCATTTAGGATAGAAAAAAAACGTGTTATCATTGAAGAGGATATTAACATTACTTGACAGCAGCCACACTGATGAGGCAGCCTGAAGTGTCTGCAGACATTGTTTGTTTTTTAAAACGGCCTCCTGAGAGCTGGAATCTGCCGATGCTGATCATCTCAAAATGCCACCAATTCAACCAACGGGTCTATTGCTCATCCTCACTGTAGACGCTGTCAGGAGAGGCTGACAGTGCTGGTAACTGATTAAATATACTGTCCGATCTCACATACTGGTTTCTGAAGAGATGGTTTTAAAGCTTAGCTACGGCAGGCACTATATTGAGAATGCTGACTCAAGAAGTGGAGCTGGGGTAGGCTTTTAACCTCCTGGCAAAGAGCTACAACTCCCCACCTGTTTGTCAACTCTTCCAAGTCCATAATTATGCAAATATATGAATAACTCCTAACTTGAATACTATCCTAAAGAATGATTTTCCCCCCAATTGACCTGCACAGTGTGAAAAAATAAATGAGCAACAAACCCCAGATGGTTTCTTGAATCTGGCTGTAAACATCTTTGATTTTGCTGTAAAAATTAGCATTTCAACGTGGGATTCCTTAGCTTTTACAGCCAGCCTCAAGGGGACCCCTAAGGATGTGCAGTAATTTGCACCTGTGCACTGGAAGCTGCTGCTTGGTTGGCACAAAATGAGGACTCAGGAGACCAGTAAAGCATGAAGATGAATCCATTAGGGACCATGAATGTTCCCACGACACATAGTTGGTGAACAGATATATCAATCGGTAGAGGATTCATTAGTAGTGAACAATATTTAATCTTACAAGATTAAGAAAAAGAAGGTAACTCCATCAGGGCATCTTTGTATCTTGAAGGGGTGATAGGGCAGACTGCAGGGTAGGATAAATCCTTAATCGGTGGTGGTGGCTATCCTCATAATCATCAATATACACAACACCATTACTATGAGTGCCAAACTACAAAGTGCAGAGTTTTTCACAAAGCACTTGATCAAAAAGTGTCTCAGAAGTATAAAGGGACATTTTAGTTCCAGTCAGTCTACCTCTAATGGTTAATAACTGAAGGCGTGATGAGAGCTTTAGGTGCCTTTCTTTGGCAGAGCATGGTGGGAGGGTGGGAGGGAATGTGGACTAAGACGACGGGCTGCAGGTAGGCAAGAGCTGTTGTCTTTTAATTTATAGGCAAGACGTGGGTTTTATATATGATGGAAGCCAGTGAAGAGAAATAAACAACAGTGTGGTTAATAAAACACCAGATGGCCTGATCCAATCTGAATCATCTGCAGAGGTTTGACTGTGCATGCGGGGAGAGCTGCCAGTAAGGAGTTGCATTACAAAAGCCTGTACTGGGAGCTGTGTTGTGTGCTCTGTCAGGTAGGGCCTGAAGCTCAGTTCTTAAAGGGATATTCCGGGGTAAAATTAATTTAGGGTTAAACACACTGCAACACTGAGTTAGACACCCCCTAGAGAGATGAATGTTGCCAACCGCTTGCTTCTCTAGTAATACCAACTTTAGTCACGACCACAGGATAGCAATACACAGCAGTCTGAGGAGCCATAAACCAACCTCAACCAAAACACCACTCTATAGTCACAAATAATGATCAGAATCATAAACAGTACATATAGGGTCCTAGCCACAGCACTAGCCACCAAACATCTTTTTAACTTTGCCTAATTTCTTTAGCAAAGAGACTAAACACAACTCACCTACTCTCTTCCAGCAGGGATATTCCGGCCTCGGGCCAGTCCATTATGGACTGCGGTGGGGTGACGCAGCTCAAGGAAGAACATTTATGATCATTACTTTATCATTTCCTTAAAGTAATAATCACCATATTAATCATTTTGCACTGCAGACGTTCTTCATAGTTCTTCCGCCTCAGCGTCTTGGTCTGATCGCATTTCCATGAAGGGGGGTGTCTAACTCAGTGTTGCGGTGTGTTTGACCCTACATTAATTTTACACCGGAATATCCCTTTAAAAGGTTGAATCAAAGTTGGTGTTCCCTCATCCATTCAGAAATACCGCTGAGTTATGATGAAATTCAGGCTGAAACACTTGTGTCATCTGGTGGAAATGACAGGAAGAGCTGGGTATCATCTGTGTAGCAGTGACATGAAAAACCATGACATCAGATCATTGCTCCGAGTGAGAAACTTACGATAAAAGAAACAAAAAACAGTTGATTTAGCAGACTGAGAAATAAGGGGGTAATAAAACCCTCCAGGGATCATTAGTATTTCTAAAACCAGCTCAGTTGATTGTGAGTCACCTGAGCCGCCAGAAACCAACACAGCATCAACTTTCATCAAACTTTTATGAACCAGCTGCAGTTTACCTCCACTGAACATCCATTCACACGCATTGATCACCAGCTGGCTTATTTAACATCTATACAAACTGATCCAGCTGTCCTTTAAGCTCCACCCACCTCCACACATGAAAGCACAAATGTGTCAGATCAAGCAGCGGCCACTCTTATAGCACTTCATAAATAAATCAATCATTACATAAACTATAAATCTATATGTTATTATAGGTGACATGATGTCCACATGAATCTTGATTAGCACAGATAAGTGAGGTGATGTCAGGTGACACTCGCTCTCTTTTTCGCCTTAAATAGTTGATATTGGACCAGAGGAGTTAAGCATAAAAAAACATTAGTACATTTATAATGCACAAAGTCTGCACAGTATGCATACTGAGGCTGCTTGCTCGGCTTTTTATGATGGATGAATAAATTATTGTGCACGTATGAAAAAGGCTTTCAGCAGCAGAAATCATATGGAACGTGAAAAATATACGTGTAGGGACAGAAGACCAGTAGGGATGTGGAAGTGAAGCATCTGCTCACTTGTTAATTGAAACATACAGTATGAACTTTAAATGCACTTCCAAAAACAAAGTGCGTTTTTTTTCAGCCCGGAATTTTTAGCCTGAGGGTTTTTTTTTTGAGCTCTGAGATCAATAAAAATGTCACTCACACGCAATTTTTCATGTATTGAAAAGCACTCACCGGAGCTCTGCTGTAATTAATCATTATGCACATAATTATGCATGTTTGTTTTAAGAGCGACTTTAAAGTTCCCAAAGAATCCTCAAATTACAAATCCATGCACTTTCCGATCCATTTAGCGAGGTCTTCACTCTTGCAACCTGAAAGCTGCTAAAAGATGCCTCAGCGGGCTGAGTTCAATCCATTAGTGCTCTGTTGTTTTATCAGAATATTTTCAAAGACTTTAAAGCCGTCTCATTTAAGTGCACACACTCTGACTGTTATCATGCTGTACGTTTGAACAGCTCTCTTTGGGAAATGCTATTTATATGCAACAGCTCACAGTGACGAGCACTCAAACACGTTCACATGTTTTGTACTTTGTGAGGGTTAATTCGACAATGGTTTCAGCTGACCTGGAAAAACTATACTAGGCCTTTACACATGAATACAAAAAATAGGAATTGACATAAAAAGGGTTAATATAGTCTGAGCAAACTAGCAGCTCTGTGAGGCTGCTCTTTCATATGACTGCGTTTCAACCAAACGCTACCCCAGCATGCTCACAGAGACACTGTAGCTTTGCAATTAAGATTTAATTATGATAATCAAACACTAGTGACAACAGAGGATGGTAATTTTGCATGTATTAAGAAAAAAAACAATCAAAACTAAACATTTTTAAGTGTTCGCTGTCCCGCCATCCCGCTATCATGGCTGCTCCTCCCTATCATGTTCAGTCCACTGTGAGGAGATCAAACCCTACAAAGCCGCCATAAACTCCAGAGTATTTTCAAGGTGACCGATAAAAGCTTCCCCTCTTTGTGATGGGTGATCTTTGAGTCTAATCACTTCTGTGTGCAGCACAGAAGGTTAAAATAACTACGGGCTTAAATCATCAAAGCCAAAGCGTCTGTTTGGTTCTGATTGAATAGCCGACTCACCACGTTAATAACCAGCCTGTGCGTGGAACGGAGAGCCCGTCCAAAGAGAGAATAAACTATAGGCAGGGGATAAAAAGCCAGAGGCATAGAGCAGTGTGTGTGTGTGTGTGCATGTGTGTGTGTAATGATGATGCCCTGAGCAGGGAGTCAGCCCCTGACTCACTGGATGTCAAGATTAAGAAGTCAAGACGAGAGGAAAACAAGAATAGGTAGAAGTGAACTGCAAGGCTCTATAGGGAGAGAAGAGGCAGGAAGGATTCATAAATCCCCTTCAACCTCCTTTTTTCATCGGTGAGAGTGCTGAACACTTTACTTACCACTGACCTCTCTTTCGTTACCATCATTAGGTCGATTTCCTCAATTTTAGTCTTGTTTTCGTTTGATTGTCCTGCTAACTGTAGTTTATTCTCCTCTGACTTATAATTTGAATCCATCATCAGGTCAAAAATACAGCGTGTCCATATTTGACCAGCATGTTTGGTTTCTGCAGTCTGTTTGCAGCTCTTGTTTATGGATTAGACCAGGAGAGTAGAGCTCAAACTAGTCTGTAAGTTAGAAGTGCTTTGATATCACATTAGTATACTGACCTGTCTAAAGTGAGCAAACATTGTGACATTAAGGAATTTTCCAGGGGTGTGTCCACAGTGGTGGCATTGGTTCCCCCTTGAAATCAGATTGGCCACCACCTTGTCAAAGATGGGACCTGCTTTGAAAACAACTAGTTGGGCTGTGTTAACCGCGCCTTCACTTGTGGCCTCAGACCATAGACTGTATATAGAATGGACCCGTCTGCTTCCTCGCTGGGTAAAGCCACTCCAAGAACAGCACACTCTGGTGACGGGCTGCAGTATAGGTCATAAATCCCGCCTCTGCCAGCAAAGTTTATGGGACTGCTGAAAACTTGAGAAATTTATTACACAGAACATACATTTTTCTCCCCCCTGCTTGCGATGTTGACATGTAGTTATTGTAAGACTGGTTTGTGCTCAAGTCCTCTTTTTCTGTTCAGCTCCATTTTAAAAAGTTATTAGGGGGTTCATTTTTTCTATGATTGACACTTGATACAGCCTATGGGCGTACAAGGATTGCGTAGCTCACCTGGGGGATAAGCTGTTTGAGCCAAGCGGTGGTGAAGTGCGTACAATGCTACCGCGCAATGTTGGTTTCAGGAAGTGACGAAAAAACATGGAATTACAGAGAGCTTTTTGGCTTCAAATCCGTAGACTGGCGGAAGGCGGAACCAAGTTGTCCATTGTATATACAGTCTATGCCTCAGACAAACATCTGTGTTAGTCCTTAAAGCTCCTGTGAAGGGATGGTAATATGTGTCAATTTTTGCGCCCCCTGTGGACAAAATATCTTTGCTCATCTTTTCCTTTAAATGCTTAAGAGGTCATTTAAAAAAATCTCCTCCTGCTGACAGATAGATTTATCACTTATTGTGAATATTTTGAGTGGAAACTGTGAAAACAGGCTGTGACAGTTGCTCGACTGACACCTACCTCCTCACACAAACATCTTGTCATTGAAAACCAGGATATAAAAACCACTGATCTTCTTGCTGATGGTCATGTTTGCTTTTATATATCACAAAAAGGCATCAATATGAAATTCAGTCTATTTAATTAAGGTAAGAAAACTTCTCATTAGGGCTTTAAATAATTAAGCTTGGAAGATTTACATGTGTCACCCTTATTTAGGGCTTCATTAAAAAATAGATGCAGAGGTTTAAAACAGTATGATACTCACATGATAGTTCATAGTAGAGACAGAGGGAGTATCTGTGTGTATACACACACATACCTCAGCTACCCCTGCCTGAGTCAGCCAAGGTTATAATTGTCAAATGAAGCTTAGCGTTAGTTCATGCAGGACACAGAAGTCAAAGGCTGCTGCTGCTGTAATCAGCTGACAGGCCGCTGATTGAATTACTGTCTCTGATCACCCTCAAAATAATCACAGCCCATTCTCACGTCAAGGCAATGAAAACACGTCTTCCCTCTCACTGATCCTAGCTACTTCAAATGCAATGTATATACTCCGCTGCAAAGCTCTGCCTCCACCTACCGAGCCTCCACCTCCCTCTCTCCAACCTATAAGCATGTTTGTACCCCCGTGGGGGACTTTGCAGCGCTCTTCCCAGAAAGCCATTGCACGGCAATGCTCGGCTAACCCCAGGAGCAATTTATAGCAGACTTCAGCTGCAGGCATGACTGTATTAACATTTAGCAATAAACGGTTAAAATCTGTGACGAGAATGTCCCTGACTGAACAAAAGCTATGAAAATGACAAAAACTAAAACGTCAAAAACACTGACCTTAACTGAAGGCTTGACAAAAGATAACTAAAACTGAATAGCATGTTTACAAAACTGACTAAAACAGAAATAAAAGAGGAAATGTCCTTGGTGCTCGACCTTGACTGACTCACATTATATAGGGTCCGTCTCAGGAGGAATGGCAGGAATTCAGCGCTGGCTCGACGTCCTAACAGCAGAAGTTAAAACCTTCTCTCTGCATTATTCTGTTTTCTGTTAAAGAGGCACTTGAGATGTTTTTCTGAAACATTTGCAATATCCAGACAGCCTTTAATTCACTGGTCCAGTGTTAACATTGTGATTGACACGCATGAATAAAGCTGCTTTTTTTATGGTAGATGGTTGAGGAATATAAATCATTTTTCAGAACTTTACCATTTTTATTCTGTTTCAGAAAATCCTTTCTTTAGGATGATCATTTACCTGCCTGAGTAGTCCCTCTCTTTCAGTATAGCTGTGCTGTTTCATCAATAGAGCCCCTCATTCTGCATGGATCCATCTGTTGCTGAGCAGAGTAACAATGACCTATGCAGAGGTGGCATAAAGTGTGTGAGCTCATGCACCAATGAACACCGAGCACGGTGCTAATTGACCCATCAGCCAGCTCTTAATCCTTACCCTGACGAGTATCCTATATCCATCTATAAAAAAAAGCAAAAAGACTAAAACTAATTAAACTCGACTAGACTAAACAAAAAAACAAACATAAAAAAATAATTAAATTAAACTGAATTTGAAAATAAAAAGCTAAAAAAGTTTGGTCCCCTCGAGCCAATCGAGCGCCTGCTGGTTACCCAGAAATCACTGAGTGTGATTTCAATGTAAAGATTTGGATAAAATAGTAAAATCAGGCGTGAATGTCCAAGGCTGGCCAAGATCAGAAACAAAATTATGATAATTTTATTCAATTCAACACTGAAAGGTTGCAGGAAGTGGTGTTTTTTCCCCTCATTTTTATGTACAGCTTTATGCAGATGCAATTTCAAAAGAAACCATGCATACAACAAATAATGGGTAAATTATGCTACCTCGAGGGTTCAGAGACATCGTGAAGAGCAGTTGTGGATAAGGAGAGAGATTGTGCATGTGTAGGCACCTGAAGGCTCTGAATACGCAACAGATCGACTCCTGGATGCTGCGTGTAGTTGATTGATCACCAACAGCTTATTTATTGGTATCTCGGCATATTGAGCCCTGTGCATATCTGTCCATATATTTTCAAACCTTGAACAAAACCCTCAAAATCAATGGTATTGAAATCTAAATGTCAATATCATGAGTTAGATTAAAGGCTTAAAAATGGACTAAAACTGCAGCAGGGAAGTAAAGAAATCAGCAAATCAATACTTCTTATTTTTAGCTTTTGATCTCTTTATTGGATTTCCTGTTTGACACGGTTTATTATCATCTATCATATGCTTTGAATTTTTGTCCCTACTCTGCAACACTGAGAGGTACCAGCGCTGTTGTGTTTTCTTTTTTTTTTTTTTTTCTGAAGGTCAAAGTCAGAATAATGAGCGAGGATTGATCATGCAAATCAAGACCATGATGTCCACTGCACTGACTGCCGGGTGACACCTTGAGGCGGTGCAGGCTGTGAGGCAGTGCTGCGTAATGATCGCCTAATCATTTCCGACGTCCACTCCTCCTGATGTTATTGAAAAACAGAGGGAGAGAGGTGGGGATAGGAGCCGTTAGCCAAACATTTCCAGTGGAAATTAGTTTAAAAGTTAAAATTCAATATGTCGAGGAAACTTTTATCTGTCACTTTTTTTTGGTTGCATTACCTGCTGCTTTAAAGATGAAATATCCTAAAACCTCCTTCACTGTAGGGATTTTTCATCTTTCAGAGGTAGGATTTTAAGTATCTTGCTCCCACACAATAAAAAATTTCCCTCTCCTTCATTTTTTCCTCCATGGTCTGTACCTTTCTCCCTTGTGCCTCCTAAACTGTGATGTTCCTTCCCCCGTGGACTCCTCTTCATCTCCTGCCGCACTTCCCCACCCACCCTGGCTTCACTTGATGAATATTTCACAGGCCAGTAGAGACAGTCCTCCTCCTCTCTCATCCTCTCTCATCCTATTCCCAGATAGAGTCCGTGCTCTCAGTACCTATCACCTTCAGAGACGATAGTGTCGGAGCGTCGGGTGAGGAGCACCTCAGGAGACCCGCGGAGAGCGGAGAGAGCGTATCGCATGATAAAAAATGGAAGTGTGTATTCATATAAGTTATAAATGTCTCAGAGTGCTGCCTCTTTTTAAAAATCAAGATCATGTTGACCTTTGCAGCATGACAGAGTGAAACAGAGATACAGGTTAGACCAGGCAAGTGCAATAATACAAGAATGCAACACAAGCAGATGGAGAACTTATTTAAAGCCTGTCTTCATACATTATGATCCTCCACAGTGGCAGAAGAAGAATCAGATATTTCACCAAAGTGCAAGTAGCAATAAAATTTTTAAAATGCTCCATTACAGTCACAGTCCTCCAAACAAAACCCCACTTAAGTTCAAGTACAGACATATTAACAATTGAATTTGGTTTCAAGCATCAAGAAAAAAGTGAATGTTATAACATCACTGGTCAATATTTCATGGTGACACTTTTGATAGAAATATCTCAAACACAGTGAGATTGTCTGAATAGTGATAAACAGTGACAGTGTCTAAAAAGCAGAGGTGGGGGCTTGACGACTCGACTTGAGACTCGACTTGGACTTGAGTCCCGTTTTTGACTTGCTTGATGAAATCAAGAATGACTTGGACTTGCTTGGGACTTGATTGCTAAAATCTTGAGACTTGACTTGATCCCAGTGACTTGAAAAGTCAAGTCAAGTCTTTTCAAGTCACTTATAACCTTACAGCAAGCCCAAACCATTTAAAAAGTGTCACATCAACTAATAGTCAGGAATTACAGCCGTTGGTAACACCGTGTTGTGTTGCCAAGTCTGCTTATTTCACGCAAAAAAAATTCTCTTGTTTTTGGCTTGTATCTGGAGGTCTGTTTCCTTATTTCTCTCACAAAACTTGGCCACACTGTCTCAAACTCTAGCCTCCCTCATAATGACAACACTGGGAGGACTGAACAAAAATCGCTCGCTAGTATTACCCGCCTGTTTCCACGTGTTGCCTTGTTTCTCTCTTTTGTTTTGTTTTGGAACTGAAGTGAATTAGAGTATCAGTTTAATGTTTAATTGTATTTGAGTCTTCCTTATTTTTGTGCACATTGTCTAAATTTCCAGTTATTGAAGTTTATCTGATTATTTTTTGTATGACACGTAAAATAGTTTGGTTAAAGCTGCACTATGTAACTTAACACAAACAAGAACCCTTGTTTAATAATAAATGCCAAAAGTGAAAAATGCTCATGATTTATGTAAATCTTTACATATAACAAATGGTTGATGGCTTTGATATGACTGTTTTTGACTTGAAAGAAACGGTAAGGACTTGGACTTGACTTGAGACTTGTCTGTGTTGACTTGGACTTGACTCTAGACTTGAGAGCAAAGACTTGAGACTCGACTTGGACTTGCAACATAAGGACTTTCCCCCACCTCTGCTAAAAAGTGATGTTATGTTTGAAGTAAAGGATTGAGCTTTAAAGTTTGTGATTAATGATGATGATGTGGTAGGAAAGTGGAGAATATTTGTTATTCAGAGAGAGTAGTTTTGATATTATATGAATGGATGAGGCAAACCAGAACCAAACTCACAGAGAAACCCTTAAAGAAAGATTCACAACCTACCAAAACAAGTGCAGCTGATAGAGGACGGCGGTAGAGCCTCTGGGGCGCTATCTGTCTCTGAGAGCAACTAATTGTTGCCTTAATGCAAACCTCAGTTCTTATAGTAGTGGACCCGCGGATACACCACATGCTGAGAAAAAATAACTCCCCGAGGAAAGATTCTCTGTAATTCCTGCAGCCTTGGCCTGAAATGAATGAAGCGAGGAGGAGATTTTTTTGTTAAAGGCTGCATTAAATAAGTGCTGAAAAATGATACTCTTAGTGAGGCAGCATCTCAGTGAAAAATGGAAATGGTCTTGGGAATTTGGATGGGAGACATAAATGTCTTAGATTCGTCGGTTCATATTCAATCAGAGCTGGTCAATGTGCTGTAGAGGCTCTCACAGTCAGCTGCCCCCCTTCCTGCCCTCCCCCAAATGAGCCAAAGTAGAGTAAAGTGAGATGGTAAATGGCCTCTTGGAGGACTAAGACATTCACTATCAGCCAGTGAAGTGGTGCAGTTCATTCAGCATATTCTAATGATATAATTACATCAAACTAATCAGGATTGCGGTTGCTTTACTTGAAAATTTTCTTCTTTGACATAATTTTCAAATGTCTTTCCCTCCTTCAACCCTTGAGCTGAACCTCGTTATGCAGCAGATCCATACGGGGTGTTAAAACCTCCTCTGATCTACAGTCTCCCTTCATGTCCCTGCAATCATCACTGTCGCCTACAAATCTCCTGTCTGCCTGCTCGTGCCAGCTGTGTGCAGAACCCACGCTCGCCGACAGCCAGAGAGCCCCGTCACATTCACAACGGCAGAAAAGCAGCGAGATCGCTCCGGAGTGCAGTGCGCCCTCTCGCCACGCACAGCTGAGTAAACTTCAGGGGGTAAACAGCCGCCGGGCTCAACAGAGAGGGGGGGCAGAGGCCTCGGCACAGCTGAGGGCAATTTAAGTGGCAGACAGGAGGGTTAAGTGGGATTAAACCTTCATATGTCATGAGTAAAGACTATCTTCTATCTATCTATCTATCTATCTATCTATCTATCTATCTATCTATCTATCTATCTATCTATCTATCTATCTATCTATCTATCTATCTATCTATCTATCTATCACCTTGCAATGATTATAGAAACTTAAAAAATAAAACAAAACAATCTATCAAATTCAGGACAACAAATTTAGACACAGGTGGGGAAACACATAACTGATTAAACTCCATTAATAAATACAATTATCTCACATGCTATCATCCGTGTCTAATGCTGTTCAAATTTAGGATTTTATTCACATCAGTAGGCTTGTGACTAAAACTTCTATTACGAAGATATCACCTCTGAAAATTATTGTTTGCTTTTAATCATTTTGTTGTGCCCTCGATATAGTAGATTGCTGTTTTTCCTGCATTGTAAAACTATAATAATACTTCTGAATAAAAACAGTCAAAAGACAAGTTAGAAAGTTTAAATAAGATTGAACAATGAGGACAAAAAAAAACATGTTCTTTGTATTTTGGTGGTATAGTTTTACCTACTGTAAACTGCAGCCAGTTTTGGCTTCACTTTTGGGCATGTCAAATCAACCATCTTTGTATATTTAGGGAAAAACATGAAACACAAATTAATAATGAAACAACAATGGGAAAATGAATGAGGTGACAAACAGGAAATTGGAGGAAACAGGAAATAGAGGATTTACAGGCGGTGTTCTGGCTGCTGACCCAGGGGCCAAAAACAGAAACTCTGATAAACCAACTCAGACATTGGTGATGATATTCAGTCTCTATAGTATCCGTATCTATGACAGCCTGAAGACAGAAACTTCTCCTCACACTCTCCCTGCTTGCCTTCAGGCTGCAGAGGTGCTTCCATGACAACAGCCAAGAGGACATCATTGGAGGGGAAGGTGCTGCTTATATTAACGGAGAGTAACCTGCGTTTGTGTTGAGACAGTAAGGTGGGATGAGCCGATCACATCTTAAAATGAACCACAAACTAAGAAACTTCAAGAAAAACAAGTGAACAAAAAATTGAAAAGGTGATCAGTTATTGTTACTTCTAATCTAAAACTAAACTCAACTGTCTCAGAAATGTGGTTAAAAACCTCTGGAAGTTTTCCAACATTTCAGGTCCTTGCTACTCATTTGTATGTCAACCAACAGATTTCCATCAGAACAGACTTGCTTCACATTCAGAAACAAGACAGGTACAGAAACATTGGGAAAAAAAACAATCCAAAAAACTAGAAAAAGTTACTTCAAAAGAGAAAGAAAATGACTTAAAAAATCTTTCACAATCAGTGCAAAGTCATAAACAAGGCAGACAGAGAAACACTACATTATAAGTCTCTGTAATAAAAGTGTGAGTGCTCCACACAGAAGGTGACAGCCTTAAAATGCTAAAAAGAGAATTCAAACCAGAAAGTAATCCAAAGTAAGGCACCCAGGCGGCGTCCTGATCAGATTTGGGCACCAAATAAATTGAATCTTTTCAAAAAGAGTGAGCTGAGGCTCTAACCTGAGCTCCCTCCAGATGTCTGAGCTCTTCACCCTTTCTCTAAGGTGGAGCCCAGCCACCCTACAGAGGAAACTCATTTCAGCGGCCTATATCCATAATCTCATTCTCCTTCTCCGAGGGTTGGACGTACATCAACTGGTAAATCAAAGCTTTGCCTTCCAGCCCAGCTCCCTCTTCAACCACAATAGTCTGGCACAACGGCCACATTACTGCTGATGCTGCACGGGTTCCTGCCCATCTCACGCTCCATTTTACCCTCATAAATGAAAAAGATCTTGAGATACTTGGAGTCCTTGGCTTGGGGCAGCTATTCAGTCCCAACCTGAGGGGAGCAAGCTACAGTTTCCCCCAACAGGAGAGCGGGGGACTGAACTTGGAATATCTGAATCTCATTATAGCTGCTTCACATTCGATTATAAACGGTCCCTATGGGTGTCAAAGGTCAGGAGTTCTTGAAGACAACAGAAGTGCCTCATCTGCAAAGAGTCAAACAGAAATACTAGAACCACCTTACTGTTCTGGGCCAAGCAGAAGTCCTGTATTGAACTGTTTCGGTATGAATACCAGTACCCAATCAGTTCCTGCAAAAACAACTAATGAACTCTACAGAACAGCTCTTTAAATTGAACCTAAATGGTTCCTAACACAATACTGTTAAGATGGGGAATCGGGGGAGGGTTTAAATTGGTCTTTAACGTCAGATGAATGTATGCCCCTCTGGCAGCACAGACCAAGACAAAAGGTTGGCTCTGGATTAAGCTTAATGAACCGTAATGGGCGGAGGTGATATATTTCTAGTTTATAATGGGTAAGTGATTCTTTGATTGGTAAGACATGTGAGCGCATAGGCTGTAAGTCAGTGATTTCGCCCGCGTGTCTGTGAGATCGCTCGAACGTTTGGATTTATGAGGATATCTCCTCGCTGCATGTGTAATGAAATACAATGTAAAACAATGAGCTGTAATCAGCCTTGAGCAGGAGGGGAGAAAATCATTCAGAAGAAGCCAAAGGCTGTCACCCGGCTCTTCACCTGACACCTGACTCCAGCTCAGTAATTGCCCCAGAAGACTCTTGAAATTGCATGTTTCACTTTGCACATTCATCTTGGCTTTTCTCATAATTTACGCTGAAGTAAATCGATACTGTCTCGGTCTGATTAATGAAATCGTGGATCATGCTTTAGTTAGTTTGAATTGCTTTTTCCTACTGATAGGAGGAAAATGAAATAAATTCAAATGGATGTGAATTTAAGGAGTCGAACGGTGCTGCTGAGGTGCGGCGGTTGCGACTGTGCTGCTCTCTGTGTGCTGTGAAAGCTCGACAAAATGGACACCTCTTCTGCAGGGGATGCTGCACAACAGCCGGACTGCTTCCCAGGGAAAACAGCCACATAAATAAGTAAAAAAACAGTCTGTTCTACGTCAAAATCAAGCCTGTGAGTACGTATAGACATATGGTGATATGTAAGAGAGTGACAGCACACATACAGTATACATACCCAGATGCACACAACGGGAATATGGTAACAGATGAAGCGTGACTTGCATGCATCTCCAGTCCTTTGTAAAGCAAACACATGGTTCATAGTTCAGCTGCACAATGGAGTACTCAAAGATTTATTTTAGGAACAGCTCCATGATTCAACATCTGAGTGGCTGAAATACAGCAGCTGTGCACCTCGGGGGGGATGAGCTGGGACCAGCTCATACAGTAGATCTGAACAGGGATGGAAACCGGACTCCAGGAGGAGTCATGGCAGCCAAACAACGCTTTTGTGTACAGGACATTTGATGACACTGGACTGTATCCCAAGAGAATAAAAGAAGCTATGGCGCCATTTCCACTGTTAGTGACTCAACATACAAAGAAAGGAAAGAACTTTTCAGGGTTTTTTTCTCTTTATACTGTCAGGGAAATTGAGCGAAACAAGAAATGCGTGATCCCGTGACTAGCGTGATGAGGGTTATAGCCTCAGTGCGTCTTGACAGACAGCACCTCTTGTGCAGAATCTCCTCCAGGAAGAGAGCACCTTGACACTTCTTTTACGTCATCTGTCTTTCATTCTCTTGTGCCCAAAATACATGTGCCACTCAGGGACGGTGGGACGAACCTCAATTAATGACTGAATTCATTAGCGGGACTCCTGTCACTTTCTGGTGCAGTTCAGAGGGCGGGAAAAGTGTCGGAAAGGGAAAAAGGCCCTGCAGCTCTTCCCCCTGCAGTGAACCTCCTCCGTGTGACAAATTTCACACTCTGCTGAGAGAAATCCGCTGAGGCTTTAGATTTCCCGGCCTGTCGCATGCTGTTGCTGAATACCAAGAGATTAATTCATTTCACAGATGGTGCATGTAAGCAACTCCCACTTCAAAACACGCAGCGTGCACAGAGTCACTACCTGCCGAATCTCAAAGTGACAACAAGGGAAGTTTCAAGCTGGGAGGCAAGATAACAGACAGCAGACACTCAAGTGCTCACATACAGACGGGTCAAGATGTCGAACAAAATATCCTGCTTTTAAACGAATATTCGCGGTGAAAGAAAACATAAGATGACCACAGCGTGAAAGTCAAATTAATTCAAGGACTTCTTGCTGTAATCACGTGAACGTCCGTGATGTTAAATCAATTTGACAAAGTGAAAGGAGTTGCTGACGGAGATGAACCTGCAGAGAATTTCGACCTGACTGCAGCTCTACTCTGCTTTAGTGAGCTTTCGAGTGAGTTTCGGCTTCTCGTTCAGCTGTTCATTCCTCGCCCTGTTTAAGACTCTTTCCACTGCGGAGAGTACAGGGCTGCACGGTTCAATAAAAATGCTCAAGGAGAGGTTTCGTGCCACACTTCCCTTCTGGTGAGGCATAAGTCTCACCTCAAATTTGTTCTCAAGTGTGCAGTGAGTTCATGTTTTAACTTGTGGCTACTGGGGAAAAAAGAAAAAACATCTACTACAACTATGTTTTCACTCCCTGTTCAAGCACCGGAGGTTGTTTTCCAGCCTACAGCCTTTGGGAAAAGTTAGAAGCTCATTACCAGCGTCAGCTTCAGTGTTTCTCTCTTTACTCTTAACACTTCAGTTTAAGTACAGACAGTTTTTGATCTAAATGTTGATATGTCTGCACTAAATGGCACTTAGAGGAGCTTTTAACTGATTTTGAAATAGTCGCACTCTTGACTGCTTCTCCTCATGACCTACACAGTAAAATGAAATCATCAGTGACCGAAGGGTTATTTCTTTAAATCAGATTCTAGTACGTGTTTTTGGGGTTCCTGCAAAAAGCCGAGTGGATATTCAGCACTTACCTTAAAGGGTATACACTTAGAAGTTAGTAAAGTCTGTCAGTGAAGGAGGACTTTCATTTGCTTAAGATTTAAGGTTTTAGACGAAGGATCTGCAGTCAGAGCTTGGCTGTGTACAACAGCAAAATGGTAGTTAAATCCTTATATTACAGGAATTAAGTTGTGTTTACAAAATGACTCCAATTAAAAATCATGTTTTTCTTGTTTTTTATATGTTCATATGGCATTTTTCTGATGCTACAGGACATATGAGAAAACTTTATGCGTATTTCTTCATTCAAATCACTGGGAATCTCTGGCAGACCCAAACGGCAGGTTCAGAAACTAGGGCTGTGTCCGAAATGGATCCCTAACCCTACATAGGTGACTATATGGGGGTGCCATTTTGAGGGGTGTCCGAAACCTCAGTGATCAATTCCAGTGCCCAATACAGGTGACTCAAAATCTCCCATAAAGCATTGCGAAATGTAGTGACCATTTGATGGTTACTCACTGGTGGTGGGCCTCCCGTCATGCATTGCGTCTTGCCATGTACTGTCCAAAACCTCCGGTAATTGGGTTCACTACATAGTCAACTATATGGTAAAATCATATATGGGGGTTAGGGATTGAGTGATTCATTTCGGACACAGCCAGTGAGAGATCTCATATGTAACCAATCCAAGCTCCGCCCCCGGAGCCCCGCAATGCAGACTACACTGCAGGATCATTGCGGAACAAGCATGTGCATTAGCGGATTGCAAAGCTCGTAAGTAAGCTAATTATGATATTAGCTTTTATCATGTCCCCAAAGACATTATTGTAGAGCTAAATCCCAGAGCTAAATAGCTCCTATGTTACCTGCTACTTCTGCTGCACAGGCAATGTTAGGCTGCAAGCTAACGAGTGTGAAGACGAGTGTGCAGAGCAGCACTGTCTCCGCCCATGACTATGAGGCGAATTGCTAATAACTACTGGAGCTCTGCAGTGGAGAAGCCCTTGAAAATGTTACAGGTAACGCGATTTTTGGTAAAAACTTCATAATCATAATTAAAAGACCACTGAGAACATTTTAATTAGTAAAAAATGATCGGAGTGGGACTTTGATGTAGAGTTTAAAGAATAATGTTATGAGAATAAAGTCATTATTTTACGAGGATTTAATAGTAATGAAGTCATAGTTTCATCCTTGAATAGCATTATCATTTACCTTTTTTTCACCAACAAAACATGTAAACTCCTCACAGAGCCTTTTCAAGATGGTTGGATTTTGCAAAACTTCACCCTTGTCCTGCATCAGGTTATGTGTCCAAAACATTACAGAACACAAATCACCCGACATGAAAACTGCTTCTTGTTACAGACTGAGAGCATCTATTGCTATGTGAGACACTTCAGACTGCCTATTAAAAAGAGAAGTGCTCTGCAAATTAAATTAAGCTGAGTTGACTTATAGTGAACTCGCCTTCAGACAACATAAGACTCAATTAATGATGATTTGATCCAATTAAAGGGATGACATTCTTCCTTGCTTCTCAGGGTGTAACAAGTTTGCCGTATCAGCCTGAAAGTTGTGATGCAATATTTTGTTTTGGTGAGTTCCTACTGCCCCCAAAGGACCTAAAAAGTCAGTTACTGCAGGTCTATTTTTAATATTTTACTGCAGTTGCAGCAATCTGTTAACAGCATGTCTCTTATGAGTGCTCCGTCAATAGGAAGCAGAGCCATAGGGGGTTTTATTAAAGACATCATCATGTTTTTCTCAGCAGCAGGGCTCAGGCAGCGGTCAAACTATATTAAAGGAGAAATTTGAAAGCCTAAGGTAGAGGGTTTGTACTTTTAAAGAAATATCAGTAGTCTTCATGTATAAATCCTCTGACTAGCTTTGATTTAAAACTGAGGGAAAAATCTTTTACAGTACAACTTTCCATGAGGAATGAGCCTTCATATAGCTATTTCTTTTTTACGCAGCGTACGGTGTTGCAGGAGTGAGTCTGAGTGTGTTTCTTTGTTTGAATGTCAGAGGGTTTGTGTGCCACTGTGAGGCTCAAAACAAACTCTGGGAAACAAACACCGAGAGCTGTGGAGTCGGCATCCCCGCTGTGTCCTATGAGACAGAAAAGGACAGCGGGCTATGACACAAGTAGACTCGCACTCAACTGACACGTAGACTTAAACACTTGTACATAACCGTGTTTTTTTTTTAAATGGTAGAAAAAGACTTGGGTACACAAATGTCACAAATACTCCTTCACCTCAGAGCCTGCTGGAGGGTGTGTCTTTGTTTGATTCACAGCGACTGGCAGGCTGAGCACCGGCGAGGGAATGTGAGACAAAGTAAACAAACTTGAGCTGTGGTTTAAAACCAAACAGTGACACAGGAAAAAGAAAAGTGCCACGTCTTCTGCATGGACTGAATCAATATTTGTATGTATTTTTTTGCCCTTGTTGACCTTGAATTAATGTGGTAGTACAACAGAGTATTAGGGCCACATTTAGAAAAAAAAATGTAAGACTTCGAGATTAAAGCCATTAACTTACGAGAATAAAGTTGTAATTAAATCATTACTTACAAGAATAAAGTCGTAATAAAATCATTAGTTATGAGAATAAAGACGTAATAAAATCATTACTTATGAGAATAAAGTGGTATTTAAATTATTACTTACTTACTTACTTAAATTACTTAAAGTCACAATAAAGTAATTACGAGAATAAAGTTGTTGTAAATAAATCACTTACGAGAGTAAAGTCAGAATAAAGTTCTTATATTCTAACCTGTTGTTTAAGATGACAGTTGTTGAAATGAGAACCATGGAGCATTTCGTTAAAATGTACTTCAATACAGATTTCTCAAACAAGGACATACTCAATCTTTTGGCACATCAGCACCATATTTTAAGTCTCATAATAATTTCATTATTTTGACTTTATTCTCACAAGTAATTACTTTTTACGACTTTATGACTTAGATCTAATAAATTAATGACTTTAAGGTCCTTTTACACCGGGAACGTTTTTTTTTTGGTGCAATTATTTCAGATGTCAATATTTTTTTCGAACCCGTATCCAGTCAATACAAGTGTTCACATCAGCAACAATTTCCCGTCCTGTGATATTGCACCATTTATTTTTTCGCATCACGGTCGATTTTTCTAAAGTTTTGCATACTGTGTGTCCACTTCTGACCAATCAGATTTAACAGTTTGCTAAACGTCTTTGTTTTAACTTTCATCTGTGCTAAGTAACTTTAGCTTGTAAGCTAACCTGTTCAGATACAACACACCATATGTATTTTCACTGTCTCAAACTCAATCTTACCATACGTTTTATGGATTATAGTTTAATGTGCTTATCTGGTACTGGCCCAGACTCAGTACATGCTATCATGACAGACAGACATCTCAACACTAGAGTCTAATCAGAACTGAAAAACAGTCAGTCTGCTGTTGTGTCAGTCTTCTCGCTTCCACCAGGGACGCGTCTGTTGTTCCCCCTGGAAAGTCGCAAAATCGCATCGCGCTTGATGTGTACAGTCAGGTGCGTCAAAATCCAGCTATGGATATTTCGTAATTTCGCGTCGTATATTTGCGTTGCTCCCGGTGTGTAAGGACCTTTAGACTTTAATCTCGAGATCTAAATTTTTTTTTCTTAATGTGGCCCTAATACTCCATCGTATGTTAGAAAGGCAGGGTGACATGTTTCATTGGCAGCAAACTGTTGCAGCTATCATATTTACTTTTATTTACTTCATCTATCATCCTCTCATCTGAAACTGAAAAGACCTCTTTTATATTAATGCTCCTAATTCTCAGAATAAGTTACAGCAGATCCTTTGCCCAAATATCCTTCTAGCTTTCAGACATTTTTACAGACATTTGATTCACAGAGCAGATATGTGTTTAAAAGTGTGCAGTGAAGTATAACTGGTTTGAAATGCAGTTTTGCTCATGCAGAAGACTCTGCAATTTTCAGCAAACAAGTGAATGTGCGCCGTCAAATCCCTGTCAGAAATAAAGTCTGTACACTTACTTTAACTGGTGGCACAGAGCTGGAAATAACCCTGATGCAAAAGTCACACTAACAAGACAGGGGAAAAACAAACACCGCAGATGTGTGTCTGTGTATGTGTGTGTGTGCGATTGTGAGACACTAAGTGCAAAATGAAATGGCACGGCTATCTGCACCCATTTACAAAACATTCACAAATAATTGGAGGCTGTTGAAATGGGGAAAAGCATTTCAAACAATATTTTACACTCCCGGTAAATGAAAGAGAGGCGCAATTATAAACAGAGGCGAACCAGTCTGCGACGAATGGCTCCCAAATTGATTTGCATCCGTAAATGATTAAGTTTTATCGATCATTTGTTTAGATTCTTCTCTATAGAAAGGCAATTATAGATTTCAATTCTTTTCTTATCAGTTCGAAATAGTAGATAAAAATTACTTTGGCTCCGTCGCTCTTTTTGTTTACTTGGAAATGATTTATCTCGAGCGTTTATAAAGCGAGAAGAGTTGGAGAAAGTTGAGGGTCAGCTCTGTGCAGCTTCTTCGCAGGCTCAAGTTGCCATGGTGACCTTAAAGAAGAGGTAAAAGCAGGAAGCTAACAGATCAGCTTAGACAGAAGATTCACACTGCTCTTTCTACCTGTGTCTCTTTGTGTCTGTGTTTTTTTATTCCCAGTTTATTCTCTGTGAGTGAAGATGTTCTCTGAGGTATCCTCTGAGGACAGAAAAACAAACACTGCAGTCATCATCCCTGTCTGGAGGAGCAGCTCAGGTCTGCAGATAATGAGAGGCATCATTCAATGCGATGCCATCTTTTTTATCGAAACACACAATGCAATCAAATGATGACTTGATGAGCGCCGCGCTGCTGCACAAATCAGAGGGGACGACACAGACGCACTCGGCGTTCGCATATTGACATTTGGAAACTCCGTGCAAGAGTCTGACTTAACTTATTCTTGTTTGAAATACAGGAGAGCTTTGACTTTACTGCACACCGACACTGAAGCGTGAGGAGTGGCTCAATACTGCTGAGGATTGGATGAGTTCTCTTGAGGGTGAAAAGGAGCAGAAGGGTTTTGGAGGCATATTAGCTGATGTCCATCAGTGGTTTTATAGGTCTGCTTGCATATAAACGACTCCCCTTAGCAGAGCTTCAACTGCCTCCCTGACTCATACATATACCCTAAACTGCTGTGCACCTTTTACCACATTTAGATTCAGCCGGTGTTCGAGAGCAGCTGTGCTCAGTATCAGCGCATCAGTATCGGTGTGCATCTAAGTCTCCACCAGTCCATCGTGAGCCGGTCTGGCAGGTTGTTTACAGGATTGAAGGTGGACGAATAGATCAAAGGTTCAGGTGATCTTTTCCCTCATTCTTTGGACCTCTGTATGTTGATTCCTTGAAGCTATTGGTTCTTTTAATACATGATCTACACAGTGTCGTGGCTCTTCGCCCAGCGCTGCAGGAAGGTTCCTGAGGGTATCTGAATGCATGATGGGAAACACTGTAGGTCCTATCCCTTCTGTGAACTGAATAAGAATGAGACGATATCAGAAAAAAAGACCAAGAGCTTGTTTCAGCATTGTAAACCTCGAGTAAAATCCAGTTTTTTTCCTCCATTTTTTTTTTGTGTGACAAATTAAAGGCCTTGGAAACTTAGACACTTTTTGTGCTCTCTTGTACAAGACAGTCTGAAAAAAAGTGACTAATAATGTGAAGAAAACTGCAATTTGAGTGGGTTCAAGTTGGTATTCTTTACCCTCTTTAACCTGACAGGAGGACCACAAGATCTGTCTACTTTGTGAAACTCTCGAATTGTTTTAGTTTCTCTATGAATAGATTCACATATTTCTTAAATAGTTTAGACAGACTGATAATTAAGCCTTTTGACTCAAATTTGAAGCTTCTGTGAGTGTTTGTGTTTCTGGCACCCTATTTCGATGCTAACAGAGTTAAAAGATAAAATTATAGGTACTTTCTTTACACAAATGATCGCATTTTATTCCATTGAAATGTGACACTTTAATTAGAAATAATTCAATTAGCTTGTTTACGGCCTCTCATCTCACATTTCTTGTCTCTCTCTTAAGCTGTCCATTTTAAAAACAGTCCAAAAGATTAAAAATAATCAAAGATATCATTTTGGAGTCATCAATTGCCTTTTCAGGTCAAATAAACACTGCTGAAAGAGCTGTTTGCTTTTATTAGCCATTAGGAAGCATCGATATTACTTTCAGTCTGGGTTATAACCAGCAAAAAACTTCTCATGGGGGATTTAAGTGTTTTTTTTTTACAGCTGTTAAGACCTAATAAAAGTGCTTTAATGTCTGTATAAAAGCTGTTTAAATACATTTCAGTCTCCTTGTGAACTTAACTCTAATTTGGCAATTGCCGCACCGTGTACAACTTCACAATATCAGGGACAAGTTTAGAAATAGGAACACAAAACGAGGACAAATGCTTTCCTAACACTGACATGGCCCATTTTGTAATTCTTACTGATGTGGAAAATCGCCGGCCTCTCAGAGTGGGGGTGTTATGGTGTTTGGCAGAGGGAGCAAATACGACCTCGGAAAAAAAAGAAGAGCATTAGACTGACCTCTTAGTTAGAGTTGTTGTTCTCTCATTCGCTTTCTCCTTCACTTCACGGTTGACATGATACGGACAGACGAAAATAAGAAAAGCCGCTTAATCGCAGGAACATGGATCGAAGTCTTCGTTCAGAGGGAGTTAGGACTACAAACCTTAAATTTGCTTTAAAAGGACTAAACCGAAGGTGAAGTTTTACACTTGCGGTATAAAGAGGCTTTAAAGCAGAGACTATCTAATGTTCTTCCTCCTTTTTCTCTTTTCCCAGAGTCTCTCATCCACCCCCTGCTCTTTATTATGCACCCTTTCCCTCCTTTTCTTCTATCTGAACCTGTGCAGCCCACCTTAGTAGAGTGGAGCTCATTTGTCTGTCTTCAAATGCTAATAGAAGACATAATGAATGCCACTCAAAATTATCTCCCCCCGCTGATATCAGTGTATAATTAAAACAACACTGTCCTTAATAAGGTGTCAGAGGTGATAACATAGAGCGCTGATAACTCTTTGAAGACACACACACTCATACACACACACATATGCACTCATTCGCTCCCTCGTTTCCAGGCAACAATAGAGTTATAATGAGCGGGGCCATCAGGCCAAAACTAATTTCCAAGTATGAGGACTAATGCTGTGATTGCTTAGCGGCCTTTTATAAGTAGGTTATTGTCTTTAGTTATTTACTATTTTAATTAACCTTTTTCCCCTAAACATCATTTCTCTTACGCTTAATCTGTATTATCCTATAGCTTGTTAAAATAATGACAATTTGACTCAACAGTTATATTTTACGCTCTTTTCAAGGGCCTTAACCAATAACTATATATTGAAAAAGTTGTGTGTAACTCCTATTTAAAGTGGCGTCGCTTGTAATGAGAAATCCAGAAAGGAATGTTCATAAATTGATTTTTCTCTTGTCCTTATGAGGCTTTTTAATTTTAGCTTTTTGAGATGGTTGTTTTGGTTTTATGCTGCGCAGATTCACTTTTAGTTTGTTGTTAGCTCTCTAAAATTATTGCTGCCACAGGGGGAAAAAAAATCAAAGCTGTAGATGTGACATTATGTGAAGCCCCTGAAGGGACATTATGCAAAAAATGATTCATAAGAAACCTTAGCAACATCTCCAAAAAGAATTTCCCAAGTCCTATGCACTAACTATTGTCCTGCCAAGCACACATTTGTATCTTTGTATCTGAGGCTCTGCTGTTGTTGATGCTCCACTGCGCCTGTGATCACAAGAAGTCTCATGAGTAAAGCATTTCTGAGACCTTGCAAAAGTTTCTATAAATCTCATGCACCGCTCGGGTTTTACCTTCATTTCCTCCTTTCCAGTTTTCCTCCAGGGTGCCATAACATCAAGGTTGTGGTCCTATTCTCATGTAGCTTTAATGCGCCCATCTGACAGTCTTCACAGTTGTTTTATGACTCATTGACATGAAAATAAGGTAAATAAAATAAGTTACCATAAAGTAGTATTTGCAATGTCTTCTGTCTCAAGACACCACACACAGTGCAGTAAGGAAGCTCATGTTGTTTTGTCTTGTCACTCCCCTCAAAAGTGGCTCTTGGGTCACTTTGCCACTCGACAGTTTTTCTCAATTGTGCAGGTGCATTTCTCAAATCACTTTTAACATTTGCACAACAGTTAGTGCATTTCTCAGAACAATTAGTACAAACTGCAAAACCTAGTGGATAACCTACAAAAGCGCGTCACTTGCTCAAAATGAATAGTTGGTTCCTCAAAAGCAAGTATTCATGTCAATGAAAGTGTCTGTGTCGTCAAAATAATTAGTCCCAACATCATTGTGTATGAACACAACAGTCAAATGGCTTTGTCATGTTTTCATTATGACACTTTACTCTCTCTCTGTCAGACCTTGGTGACATTACCTGAAAATGCTCAAGACAGCACAATACACTACCTGTACAGCCTTTTGAAAACCGTGCGAAAAAAAAATCACAGTCACTTATTTAGAAAAAACATAAGAAATACTATTTTGGTAGAACTGTGCACAGATATTAACAATATAACAGTACAAATTACTGTAAACTGAACATCGATTATTCCTGGACATTCATAGTGGTTCTCCCTACATTTGGTTGCACATGTCGACCAGCTTCAGCCATAGTGAGGCCCTAATTGACAACATGGTCCACAAGTGTAGCCCTAATTTCATCAAGGATTTGCTTATGTACTTCACCTCTTCTTCCTCTGCCCCTGTTTTGTCCCCTTTCCCTTCCTCCCTGTAACCTTCCGTTTTTGTTTCACAGAATTGTAGAAATGGTACACACTTTGTCCTGCTTGGTCTACATATGCTTGTCAAGTGAGGGTTCATGGGATTCAGCTCTGAGTGACTATGTACAAGTGCCTTGTCATTGGTTACAACTAATGCTAATGCTTCACACACCTCCTCATGAGTGAAAGCTGAGAGCAATTGTTCAACTTAGGAGACATAATCAGGAAAAAAAAATGATTAAGAAATTTAGTAAATTGTCTTGACAGATTTTGAGAACTAGTTCAACATTTTTTTATCTAATGAATCAAGCAATGAAATGAGGACTATTAGTTTTATAGGGAACGACTATTCAGCATTCAGAAGTTTAGTTCATTTTGACATGACAGAAGCAAATGAAACAGCAGAGGATTGTATGACAGTAACTGATACATGTCCAAGAGCATTTGCAGTTTGTCCAGAGGAATGAGAAACTGCTACAATGATGTGCACAAATGACTCAATGTTGTGGAGGTTGAACTAATAGTTGTGAGAACTTTCATTCTGATCTGAGAAATGCACCGAAGCGACTGAGAAAAACTGTAAGAGAGGAGTTGCAGCTGGGAGTCCAACCGGCAACCGCTGCTTCAAGGTCTGCTCCCACTGTGTATGGGTTTACAATTTAAAGGCTAAACTACCAGTGTCCTTGAGCTTTTATTTCTAAACTTTATCATGGCAGGCAGAAAGGACTTGAGAGTGTGGAAGTATTAGCCAGAAAAGTTTGACGCTAAAAAAATCTGGATAAATGACATCCCAGAGAGTGTTGGTGAATTTTAAACCCTGACTGTGTTTTGAACTCACATACTTCAGCAGCTCTGGTGGAAAATCCTGGAACAAATACTGATTTGTTTCAGTATGAAAAGTAAAGCAGAATGAAGGATGGCGTTGACTTTCAGAAACTAATGGGACAGAGGCTCGCACCCTCGCTAACCTCCAAATATGGGGCCATGTGGAGGCAGTGAGTGAGCTTCTTTGTATTACTTTGCTGACAATCTCTTGGGTGTTAAAGGGAAAGGCTACTTGCAAGATTTAAAAGACAGAAGCTCTGAATCATGTGAGCTGTTAGAGTCAAAGCTACGACCGGAGGCAGCCCAAGCAGTATGATGCACCCTTCCATCAACCTTGTTTTCTGCAGGTCTGACCGGGAACATATTGCCAGTTCCCTTAATTGAGCACTGAAGTGTCATTTGGGTGAGAGAAGGGAGAGAAAAGCTGGACCTGTAGGGCAGACAGCAGCATCTGCCCACGGTGGAGGCAGGCGACGGGAGGAGCATAACGAGTTTTCCTCTGCTTCTTTAAACAGGTGTGTCCCTGTCAGCCGGTGGATCGAGAGAGAAAGAGAGAAAGAGAGAGAAAAAGAGAGACGGGAGTGATAACACGCCTGACAACTCGGCTGACACTTTAACTCCAGCACAGCTCGACTTATCAGAGCAGCAGAAGACACTGACCAGTAGAGAGTAAACAAAGAAAGCAAAGCCAATTTACTTTTTCACATACCTGCCACTTCCTGCTGGGAAACACACACATACACACACACACACACGCACCATAGTGACTGATGTCCTCTCCTCTGTGTAGTCGTCTGAACATCAGTCACTAAGTAGTGGTGCCTGTTTTACCTAATGTCTTCGCTTGGCCGTATGACTGATGAGTTTAATTTCATTTCATTAAAAAAAGAAGAGCAGCAGCAGAATAGTTTTTGTGAGTGCGCAGGAGGTCGGCGGAGTAAAACATTAGTCCATCCTGTTTAATGTTTGATACTTTTAAGGATCTGCGCTCTCTTTGTTGGTGTTTGACCTTCATTAAAGAAAAGGATCCCTCTCACCATCCTGCTTTTTAATTCTGAATCAAAGGATGACTAATTATTTCTCCTCAGGGCCATAGCTCTTGAAATCCAGAAGTGTCCAGGAGTGTTTAAAGTCACAGAATAATGAGCGACATTACTAAAACTGCAGCTGCACAGGTGGAAGTTTAGCACTCTTGAATGTGAGCTGACATTTGCGTTACAGATGCTGTGATGTAAGGCTGGGTAATGAGTCAAAAATCAATAGTAATTATGATTTTACAACAATCATGACGATAAGATAATCGAGATTAAATGATCACTGTGCCGCCTACTGTCTTTGAGATTCATTCAGATTGATCTGCAATGAGGTCCGAGAGTGCAAAGAAGGAAATGATGGTGCAAAATGAGTTGAGTCTATTGTCAACATTTTGTGCTTCAGCAATACAAACTACGATGCGGCCACAATGTAGAGGATAAGAAGGAGCCAAGTTTAAGTGTGTTTTAGTAAAGCAGAGGAAAGAGTGAGCATGATGGGATGGAGGCTAACGAGCCTTAACAAGCTTGAGTTTTTACAATCCTGGAAATGAATTTTTCTTTTATTCTTTTTCGATCAATTCTTTTTTGTTTTTCAAAGAGTATAAAACTTTTAAGTGCCTTCTTACATGTTAAAATATGCTCTCTGTTCTTTTACTTTTTTTATTGGCATCTCTGGTTCTGGTCTTGGTCTTGACTGGTTTAAATTTGACTGACAGAAAATTTGATGTGAGTTTTAGGGTATCCTCATCAAAACATGCAATGTAAACCATGGTGTTCCTCAGGGGTCAATTTTAGGTCCTACACATTTTTAACTTTTATATTTCATCCTTTGGAAATAGCATCAAAAGGCGTGGTATCAATCTCCAGAGCTATGCAGATAGCACATAGCTTTACTCTACCATGTCTCCTGATGACCCAGGGCCAGTTAATACCCTCTTTAACTGTATTTGAGATAGAAAGAGAAACGAATGCCAAACTTATAGCGCTGTCTTCAACCTGTGTCAGCAGGTGAAAAATCGAGGTGTGATATTTGAACAAAATCTTAGTTTTGAGCTGAAGAAGAAATTACAGAGAAGCCTTTACAGAGTGCAACAGATTCGTCACTCAATGCAGAAACACTAGGCGTAGCGACTGTTGCAACACTCTTCTTTCTGGTCTCTCTGAATCTCTCATTTTCATCTGCTCCAGAACTCAGCTGCAAGAATGCTGACATGAACCAGAAAAAGACCAAACGTCACACCTATTTCTTAGCTTCTGAACTGGCCCCCAATGTCTTTTCTGATTGATTTCAAGGTTCTTTATTGGTTTATAAAGTCCTAAACGGTCCTGCTTAAACTCATTAATCAGATTTTTTTTTATCATATGAGCCTTAAAGGTCTTTTAAGGTCCAAACAAAGACTCATGGTGAGGCGGCTTTTTATCATTGCAGCCCACGCTGCATTACAGCACAGATTATTCTCATAGATATGCAGAAAGTTGAATAAACCTCTTTTGCCCATATGTCCTTTGCTTTATTTAAATACTGCCTTATCCTCTGTCTTCCATACGCTTTAAGTATTTTAAGATTCTGCAGACATGAGCAGACACTCAAATTCATTTGCAGTCTTGTGTCCACCTGAAAAATCCACAACTTACACTCTTTTTGATCATTTTAGTCTCCAACTGCAGGGAGAAGCTGTTTTTTCCCCTTCTTATAAGCTCTGCTATATTGCAAAGAAGAAAAAAAGAAATCAAAAAAATCAGCAGCATACAGAAAGACTATAGACAGGGGAAGCAGTGAAACCATAGGAGAACTGCATCATAACTCACAGCTGGCTTTTTATACCAAAATTCCTCTTTGACACTTTGTGATTCGATCAAATGTAAATATAAAAAACAGAGATTACAGGTTTAAATTCAAGCAAATCTCACTGAGATTAAGAGTCTGTTTATTTGGGGGTTGAGAAAGACAGGGTCTGTGGCAACATTGTTCAGACAAGAAATAAAACAAATGTCATGAAGAGAGAAAAATGTTGCATGTTAGAAAAGGCTTTTTGAAGGTTCTCGTGCAAGAGCAGAAATAATGCAATGTGCCTAGAGTCACAACAATTTGTCATTCAACGATCAGTTACTTTTAATTGAATTTCAAATTCTGCTGCTTTGAATGAATAAGGGATATTTCCACATTTCTTCTCAGGAGATCATTTTAATTGAGCCAAGTGGGTGAATTTGGGTCATTATTCATATTTATTGGATTGTCTCCATGGCTATTCTGTCCTTTCTGTTTGCCGTCTCCTCCTCCCTGTCAGCCTGTAAATGTCTCTCTATCTGTCTCCCAGCTCTCCTGTCAGTCTGTATTGTATTCCGTGCGGTAACCACAAAATGTCATAATGATAATCTTTCAAGAAAGAGCAGCAGGCAGAGCAGCCAAGGTCCCAACAAATCAACAAAGCCCCCACACACACGCACAGACACACAAACACGCACGCACAGAGTAAAACAAACACATAAAATCCACACCATTCATCAGCCGCTTAACTGTGGCTCTTGCCTCGCATTTCCGCAGACGTGCCGTTATTTCCCGCGGACACATTAAAATGGGGAAAAAAACCACAACAGAAAGAAAACACTGGCTGAACTCAGGCTGCGGGCCAAGACAGAGCCATCGCTGGTTAACTGATTAGCTCGGTAATTGCAGTGGAAATGCCAGTCTGAGGTTGATATAAAAGTGCAAAGGCACATCCAGGAAATACTAATCAGTCTCCAGGCTCTTCTCCCAGGAGCTTGCTGTTGTTGTTGTGAATGCCACAACCACAAAACAGTGCCTTATCTCTGGATGTGAGTGTGAAGGTTAGTGCTTTTGATACATGTGCGCACTTGTGTTTGATCTCAGTAGCTGAAAATTAATTTCATCTACCTTGTAAGAGTTATCCCTCAGACATTAATAAAACCTTTAATAAAAATGAGGTAAATTTGGGTGAGATCTTCCAACAATTTAGAATAAATGCCTCATTTTAGCTGTGTCAGAGTGAGACCTCCTCTCTCCTATCTCCCTCCGTTCAAACGCCCTCATTATGACCCTCATTTTTGGTTCTAAATAACACGCCTCCAGCTCTTTTCCTTGTCTCCTTTTTTTCTTTCATCCATTTGTCCTTGCCCCGTTCAAAGAGAGTTCACTTCTGTTTCTCACCCACGGCGACTACAGTCTGCGTCTTCACCTGTCCCTACAACTGCTGCCATCTGTCTCCTCTCACCTCATCCAGCTCTGAGTCCATTTGTCCGACCTCATCATATACAAAGTCCGCACACAGTGTGCACAGAAGGTTCTCCTTGAAATCAATTGTATCTCCTTCTGAGAGCTTCTGTCTGTCAGTTCTGCTTTTGCTGCTGCAGATCATTTGATAGCTCACAAGTGTTCGCGCTTGTCTGCTGTCATTCACTCTGTTTGTAGTATTTGTTCACATCCAAAACACGAGTATGACGTCTTTGTTAGCGTTTTTGCATCCCTGCACATCTGTCTGACTAACCCACAAAAATGTTCCAAATTCCCCCTAAAGTCTATTACTTTTATTTCATTACACAGCTTCATTTGTTTCCACTCTGTTAAACAATATCTCCTCTGTTCTGCGTGCACGTGTTACCGAGCTTCATTAAAGCGAGATCACATTCATGCTGAGTGAAATATTCAAATCCAGCATGTCATATTTTCATGGCTGCGATGTTAACAACAAATGAAAACATCTTGTGATTGTGATTCGGTCTGACATGGTAACCGTGGAAACATTCAATCCTGGCCTTGAATTTAACATAACCTTCAAGGGATTTAAACAATGTCTGCCTGCATATCCAGCCATCCTTATACAACCTTCTTTACCCATGCGTGGGAGCAAAGATGTTCTCAGATATATTTCTCAGGTAAAACTACAAACACAGTCTCTGTTTTGAACACAATTTCTTCTCTTTATATTTTAATCACAGAGGTGTTTTGAGGAAAATTTCCTTCATTTTTCTGTTTTTACTTGGTCTAGGATGTGTCAGGGGTCAAGATTTGGCCAATAGGTGTGAGCCCCCCCCGCTAAAAACATGTATGGTGAAAAGACAGGACCAGGTGTCACAAATTCTTGTGTTGTTGTGGCACAGCATGAAGTCAGCTTTGAAGGTTGTGTTAACAAATCACTACCGATAAATTATACTTTTTTTTTTCTAAGAGATGCATAAATATAGCGATAAATCAGAAACAGCTGAAAACTGTAACACTTCCTTGTTTCATTAGCCTCTTATTAGCCTAGTATTAGCAAAGGTATATTAAGTATGCATACTGTTAGCTTTAAAGTATTTTTAGTACGTTGGAGGAGAAGAGTGTTAAAAGAGCATGGAAAATTTTACAGGGATACCTCAAGGGCAGTGGCGATTGCTCTAAGACTGCAAGGGAAGCTCGGCTTCCCTTAAAATGTCACCCCCCCAAAAAAAGAAAAAGTGGTGAAATACGTACGGCTGTGTGTACATTTCATTAACTAAATACGCACTAGAAAGCCTTCAACTTTTGTTCAGACACTGTGATAAGAAGCTGATAATTATAGGTAACCGGCATAACTTCGTTCTCATTCATCCTCGCAGCGCCTCAGCGCTTCAAACAGTCGGACGCTGGGCTTCTGCTGACTTCAATGTGGAAGCTTAAAGTGGGTTGTTCCAGCAGCTAAACTAGACGCTCATTGGATAAATGCTGGGCTTTGTCCCGCCCAATGGAAGCTAAGCTTCACTGGAGTTCTATGGCGAGAGGGCGGTCCTGACTTTCTCCCGGACTCCAAGCTTCTGCATTCATGATTGGATGAGCTGTCTGAGGCGAAATCCTTTTTTGATTGACAGCTAAACAAGCGAATCAGCGATCTTGAAGAATAAAACATCTACCAGAGCATTTTCCAAGTCATTCATTCCGTTGTTCTTAACTGCTCCAGAGACTTTACCGATCCTCAGCGACTCTTGTCTTTGTTAAAAACGACTGCCGTTGTGTTTGGCGACTCTGTTCTGTTACATACTAATAAACAAATACAATTATGATGTAGGCCAGAAAAATGAGCTTCCCCTCCTTGAAAGACCAGCAGCCGCCACTGCTCAAGGGTCTGTTTTCGGTCCCCTTCTATTTTTAAAATACACCATCCCCATGGTTTCTCAAACTATTGCTATGCTGATGATGTTCAGCTCTTCTTATTATTTCCGCCAGATGATACAACTGTCTTGGCCAAGGACCTCATCAGGCTTTTCTAATATCTCACACTGGATGAAGGAAGGACTTCGACTGCGTCAGCTCAACCTGTCCAAGACTAGGCTGATTCAGGCTCTTGTAAATTTCATACTCTGAAAACTGCAACTCCTTACTGACACCCCTCTGCACGCAAATATGAACCTCTGTAGATCATCCAGACTGTGGCTGACTGACAAGTCTTCAGATAACCTGAAACTGCTCTTCTTTCTCTCTTGCAGTTGTAAGACAGCAACAAATACAGCTCCTGCCTCCCCAGAACCCTTTAACCAGGTTTTTACTGCCCCCGCTATATACTCTGCCAATGAAATACACCCGATGCTCCTATTACAACAGGGCCCCAGGCCACTAACTAGACTCTTCTCCTCTGTTGTCCCCTGGTGGTGGAATAAATTTCTCAACTCCATATGATTCCTTTTTATCTAAAAAAAAAAGCTAATGACCCGGCTCTTTTGGGATTACTTACATACTTAAGCTAGACTCTTCTCCTCTGTAATCCACTGTGGTGGAATGAGTTTGCCAAAGTAAATTTGATCCATAGAGTCCCTCTGTACAGTTGGAAAAGTTTTAGACTCAGCACTTTTGTCTTAAGGATTTAATGGAGTGATGACAAAGGCATTGACGATGACGATGATAATATTGAGGTCAAGTAGGAATCTAGATGATTGATGTGTTGCTGTTCCCTTTAAATGATGATGCTGTGTTAACTGATGGTGTCATTTTTACTCCAGGTGAGAGGATTCACTTGAGTCTAAGTGGCGCTGATTACATTGCTTCAAAATCAGACAGCTTAGTACAAAAAGGAGGGGTGGGATGTTTTCTCAGTATGTGGGATGAGCCAGTTTTTCCCTCTTGAGGTATTTTTGCCACAAGTTATCACCAAATCATTATTTTTGTCTGTTTTTTCTGAAGTGGCCAGACTAAAAATTCTTCTCAGTCCAAAGATTTAACTCATCTTTTTTCCAATCACACTTCCTGTCATCAACAGTATAGCATTTCTCTGTGAACTATGTTGGGATACAGTGTGAAAGCAGCAGAAAAAAACTAGTGTTTGGTAAAATACTTCAAAGTTGCACTCAGAGAGTTCTTGTGTAAATATAAATAGAAACTGGAGTTCAAAAGCCTCTCTGTAACATCAAACCCAAGTCTTTGTATTTCCCAGTGAGCAGCAGGAACTCAACAATTAAGCTGATCTAAGGTCAGAGGAGCTCCACTCCCTTAACTGCAGCATCACTCCTCCTCACTGTCCTCCTCCCAAACTCCATCCAGCAGCTGAGTCACAGCTCATCGTTTACTCGCCTGCCTCCAGCCCATACAGAGCCCGGCCCTCAAGTCACCTGCACTAATCCTCAGGATAAATAAACCATGTGCAGAGCGGTGCAGCCAACCCAAGCTATTTTCAGCCCCGCTGTGCCTTTTTTTCCCCCCTACTTCTCCAACGTCCGAAATGTCTTCATAAAAAGCGTTTCCCCCTCTCAGCCCCGGCAAATAGAGCGTGCTTGAGCTGCATTACTGATCCGTCTAGAAACCAGCTGGAGTCATGGAGACTGGGTGTGGCTGTCCTCCCGTTAACAACAAGGGAAATGATATCTTGGGGCTTTACAATGAGCAGATCTGTTTGGAGGTTTTGGAGTGGCCATTAAAGCGCAGAAAAAAAAGAATGATTAGGCTTTTAGTATGCAAAAACAACTGCTGATATCTGAAGCTCAGTCTATCAATTTGGCCTTTTCTCTTCCCCTGAAAGTGAATTTTAGAAGTTTGATCCCTTGTGGCTAAAACTCCTTTTTACCTGCACATAATGACGCTGTAAACTTCTCCCAAAAATACCCTGTGGGTCCCTTTCTAAGGTCTCGAAGGGTTGGAGTTTTTTCTGCAACAAGGGGACCAGAGTTAGCAATTAAGAGACAGAAATGAACTAAAAAGAGGGAGAAAAACATAAGCTGTTTTTCCATCAGGATAGCACACAAAGAGATTAATATCGCTGTTTTTTATGCTCAGATGTGTTGGAAAAACTTTGTGCAAAAGAACAAAAATGCAACAAAGAACATTAAAAAATCATGTCTCACATCACAAAGACAGAATATTAACTCAGAGAGAAAAACTATAAAGCTTTGTTATTGGATAAGAACTCTGTAGAAACCTCAAATTTCAACATAACAGAGAAACTAAAGCCACATTTCCCCCCAGTTGTCTTATTGTGTTTCCTCCTCTTTCTCCGCAGTGGTCCAAAAGGGATCTAATCTTGACAGGCAAAGATCATCTAGGTGCCAGATGGGCCGGTCTATCGAGTGGGCTTCAAGCACACAGCCAGTAATGTGAGGGGGGAAAAAAAGTTGTTAAAATAAATTGACTGGCTGGCTATGGTCCATTAGATGTTGGAAAGCCCATCTGATTAAGGTTTGAGAGTCCCTGTCCTGTGGGCTAGACTGATATGGACTGTGATTTGGGTTAGGTCTAATCGTTCCATGTCGAAAGTCAAGAGAGGATTAATCAAATGAAAAATAAAGAAGAGCTGGATAAGAAATACTCATGAAATTAATAATAAAGGGCTGAAATAAATGGAAGAGAAAAAACAAGAGGGAAAAACTTGAAGCTGATGCTTCAAAATGTTCTCAGATAACACATTTACTATTCCAAAATAATGTCACTATCAGTTATTCCAGTGCCACAAAGACAAAGTGCCAAGGCTGAATTTTGTCCCAGTCTCATCCTGGCAAATATAATCTGGAAATGCTGCCAAACTCTTGTTTTAGAGCTGATCACGTAGGTGTTTTTTGGTCCACAGAGAAAGCTGGGGGAAACTTCCTGGAAGCTTTTCCTGCCACTTTATGAACTTTGTTTGGAAAGCTCTTTGAAAGTGCTGGTATCATTCTTCAAAGTGAGGAAACGTAAACCGCGTGAACATCATACAGAAATAGTCTCAGGGGTGCTGGTGTAGCCCAGCAGTGAAGAGGCAAGAGTTCAAGACGTGGGTTTGATTTTGACTGACAGCCTTTTACCACATCATTCTCCACTCTCTCTCCTCCTTGTTTCATACATGATCTCCTATCCTATCTCCAATTTAAGGAATAAAACCAAAGAATAAACTTAAAGCAGTGTGTGTTTCAGGTAGAGTGACCGGGGTTTGTGTTCCGTCAAATACATCAAATGGGATTTTCATATATTTGGTGTATTTACCCTCCTTCTGTGTTAGGGTCTGCACCGACCCGTTTTTGTTTTTAGATGCTAAAAAAAACCCACTTAAATTAGCTTTTTTTGCATTAAGACTTTGTCAGGAACCTCTATTTCAACAAAATAAAAATTAAAAATCAAATTGACGAAATTATAAAATGCTCCTATTAAAATTATGGCACTTGTTGTGTTAGGGTCGCTGTTGACCCGGTCAGATCAATATCTAATAATTTGAGCAAAAACTAAAATCATAAGTGCACTGTCAGGCACCACTCTGACAGTCAGATCCTCTTCCAATCATATGAGATTTAGGAAATTCTCATTTTATTATGTTTTTCCCTGCTCACTACAGTCACTATTTTAAGTGATATTTTCATGTATAATGAAGCCTAACAAGTTAACCTAGAGATGAGAACCAAATTGGATGATAGAGAATTGTTTTTAGTGTGATTTACAGCTGATTTAAGACACGGGTCAAAACCAACCCTTAACATGGTGGGTGCATAGTAAAAGCTAACACAGGAGGAAGGGTAAAGTAGTTAATGTATATTTATGACGTGTTGTGTTTATAATGTTGGCTCCATTATAAGCCCAGAACAATGTACTTTATTGCTGCAAAATCCACTAACATTAAGGTCTTTCCTCAAAGTTAGTATTAAAAAAAGGAGTCTGTCTGATACAAGTGCATGTATTAATCACCGCTCTGTCCTACTTTGGACAGCTCCTGTCCTGGTTTTAACAAACTGACACCCCTAACTAATGCACTGTGCTTTCAACACTGATGAGTCTGTATGCAGTTTATGTCAGGCAGTGTGGTTGCCAAGGCTGCTGCAGTTTCAACCAGTAGAAAAACATCCCTTATGCACCATGAGTCAAAGTTTAATACTGATTTGTCTGTAGCATATGGCTCCTACACTGCAGGTGTCCATTTGGAGTTGCTCATAATAGAAATGCAAACTGTCAAAGCCGTGTGAATATAGAAAACAAGTATTTGTCCATGATTTAGAAATGTGAAAGCTCAGCAGTTAAAAGTACAGAGACTACAGTCCTGGGTCTGATTTCAACCTGCGGCCCTCTCCCCACCTACTCTCCAAAGCTTAGTCTTAAAATAAGTCAACAAAATAACAACCACTGCAAAATTAAACTCTATGAAATACATGCTCTAGTGGGCATAATGTCACGTATCATCAGTGACATAACCAGAACACTTCTGACATGAGTGAAGAGAAAGTTAATGTTTCACTGCGAGCTTGTTAGCATCTCCTGTGTTTGACTTGCAGTCTTAAATAGACGTCTCCAAGATGTGTGTGAATACAAGTCTATTTCTTCACTCCTAAATACGCCATTAAGTTTTCAACCTCTTCCTCAGCTCTGGTTTATATTCATCCAACTGAAAAATCTGCGGCGTTTACTGTTTATCTGGATCCTGCAAACTGCTAATATCTGCATGACATTGCTGGATGGAAACAGGAATTCATTTGCATTTCATTTTGCTGATTTTTCTTGGAGAATTTATCCAAAACTGAGCTACACGTGGAGGGAAACGATTGCTGTGGTTTTTCCTTCGAGATTATGTGAGGGAGGCTGGCAGAAATGTACCATAAAATAGCTTTGGAGCTGTACGCTTTAAGAATTTACCTGCAAGGATGTTAGGGAGGAAGTAAGGCGGTATTAAAGTTATATATTTTTTTCAAACAAACAACATGAAGTTGCTCTCTTGCTGGATGTGTCGGTCTCACCGCTGACAGACGGCTTTCCTGCTCAGGATTTCTCTCCATTATGAGCCCTGAGTATTCTCATGCTGATGTTGGTAATGTGGTTACTCGGCCCCTCAATCAGCCTTCAGAGGTGGTCAGCACTTAAATACCCCTCGATCAGCACTGTGGGGCTGATATTAAATTTAATCCTCTTAAGTGTGTACAAATGTTTATCACAGCTCTGTTTTGGGAATACACTTATGAGGCTTCTTAAGTGATTTCCTCTCCTAATATCTCCACCTGTGCTCTTTATCATGATTTTTTGTCTTGTTTCATGTTTTTTTCAATCTCTAAAGTAGGTAGCGAAAGGAGGACGCCAAGGGACCAGAGAGAACAAAGGAAAGGGCATAAGAGTGTGAGAGGGTGAAGGAAAGAGAGAGAGAGAGAGGGAGAAGAGAAGAAGAGAGAGCACGACATGAAAACATAATGAGGATCGTCATGCCCATGGGGGGTTGATGTGAGGGAAGCGCAGCGCCGGGGTTGAGACGATAGAGGAATGCAGAGAAATAGTTTTAAAATGAGGGCAGACAAAGTGAGGATAAATACTGAGACCAAGAGGTGACATCACTTTGCAAGCTCAGCGCCCGGAGGATGTGGAGCGCAGCCCCTCTGACCCACATGCAGCTGGGAGGTGTGGGTGGTGGCTGCGCCTAAGCTCTCCCGCTTTAGGCCACAGGGCCCAGAGAAAACACAAAACTAAGTATGAATTCTTGCCGAGGGAAAGACAGGTCGTCTCCACATCTCCAGGAGTCAGGCTCTCCCTCTGGATCCCAACACGGCCGGAGCTGTCTGAGAAATCGGAGCTTATTGTCACCCTCTGGGTCGCTTTAACAGAGTTCAGGTTGAGGCTAAAAGAGAATCACTACATGAGAGTACAGCAGTCAAAGCGGAGGATCACACATGAGAGCACATTGGATAGCAACTGCATCCCTGCACTCCAATGAAAACATCACAGTGCAGAAAAGAAACTGTGTTTGGGATTTCAAGGCGGCGCAGTGGTCGTTTTGTACTTTTTATTCCATCTCTTGAGAGCTAGTTTCACATTTCGACTGAGCGTTTACCATAGCGTACTGCTCATTTTACAGTCCAGACAGTCTTTGGAGTCAGGTCATGCCTGCAGTGTTAGAAATTGCTCTCTAAATCTGTAACCTGCTTGAGAAAAAGTAAACCCTCTCTGAAAATGTTAAGTCTACTTTGTGTTTTTATTATTTTTCCAAAGTTACTCCATTCCTGCAGCAGTGACAGCCCTCAGCAGAAGACATATAGCATTTATAATAAACAGGCTAAAACATGCAGAAATCATCTTTTGAGGGTTATATAACAGCATCTAAATCAGGCTCTCACAGCCTGCAAATGATACATGTGATACAAAATGCAGCATTTTTTATACCACCAGGCTGTGTCTTCTTCGAGGCAAAGCATGTCTCACATTTTGTCTGCAGGATCTACAAATGCATGTTGCCTTGTTGAGACATGACAGCAGCGATCAGAGTACAGAAATTATGACACAACTGTCACGACAGGAGTGCGCCGGGAGATTGCAAACACCCCTCTATTCCCAGAGTAGAGCTGTCAAAACCTGAGTCTGACAAATAAAAAAAGGGCGAAGCATCAGACCAAAGGAAGTGTTCGCCAAAGTGGGACTCTGGCTTTGTTCTCCTTTACCGCAGTTCACTGGTGGGTGTGTTTCTTCTTCTCTCTTTTTTTTTTTTAAACAGGCACAGTTGCCTGCCTACTTCAGAAATACCTCAGAGTCCAATTAACAGAGATGATTCTCTTCAGCTGCTGAGGAGCAGGAGGGGAGCACTGGGTGCTTTCGATAGCTCTGTAATAACTGCCAGAGCCATTTATCCTTTCCTCAGAGCGCCTTTCTGACTGAAGACACACAGTTTTTCATGAGTCCGGTGGGCCTTTTGTGTCACTGTTTTATAAAATGAAATCAATTAACTGAAGAAAATGAGGTAAAATTCAAGAAAAAAAAACACAATAATAGCAGTATGAATAAATATTTTGCCTCTTTTGTTTTGAAAGCCTCCAACCACTCTTACATACACGCTGAACATGACACTACAGCCAGCAGATGTTAGCTTTTAATAGCCGAACCTCATGTGAACAGATTTTAGTGTTATTTAAGCTAAGACAAATAAAAAATGTGAGAAAAAAATGGATCATGTTATTTTTGGATGGAGCAAGATCATCAACAGAATCTGTTCTGCAAAAATCTGAAATTACAGAGTATTAAATTTAAAGATCTAGTAAGAAACTTTGGCAACACTTTGGCAAACCCTCATGACAAATCTTTAATGCTAAAAGGAAAATAAAGGCATAAATGCATTGCTATTAAGGGAAAATGTGAGCTTTTTTTAATAGTATCATGACTTTTCATAATACTGTGTGGGAAGAATTAGACTCAATTTGTTACTGGAATAAAATTGAAATCCTAAGATGAATCCTACCAAAGTGACTCTCACAGTTTATGTCATTTTAATGTGAGCAAATCTCCAAACAAATGTTTATAACTCCCCGACAGGAGCTAGTGTTAATTGCAGTTGGCATATTGTTGAAAACTAACTCGATGGGAGGGAAATAAAAGCTTGGAGGGAGAAATCTGTTACAGGAGATGGAAAATGTCTACCGCCTGAGGTATCTCATGGTTGCACACTCGCTCCTTTGTTTTCCACGTGGTTGGAAATTATTTTAAAAAGACTTGATCCCGTCATGTCAGATCAGCTCGAGTCGGTATTCTAATCAGAAATGACCTCAAATAGTTCCTTATCAGCCTCTTTTTTCCCTCGTTTGATCTTTTCACAGAGAGCAGTCTGCTGGGACATTCCTCTTTTCTTATTCATCAAGCACTTTGCAATGAAACAATGAAAAGATTCACAACCCCAGTGCATCAAAGAAGAGGGTCTTCAAAGGAAGAACATTTTCCAGTTTTCTGGAACCGTATGCTGATGTAGATAACAAAGGGGAAGTTGGAGAGAAGAGAAATAGAGGCCTTAAACCTCTCCAGGGGAAACACCTCTCTGCTGCTACTACATTCTGGTGGCCAGGTGCAATTTCCTGAATGCCGCTCTGCTCTTCAAAGAGAAGAGAAATTGCTCCATCACAGCAGTCACAGCAGAGAGCAGAGAGAAGGAGGTGCAGAGGGAGGAGAGTTGAGAAGCAGTCGAAGTCTTCTGGGCTGCATAAATTAACCACTACATGAATTATCCATTCCTCCTTAAATTAGACAAAAACACGGAAAGGTCAATAAGATGCTTGAGTGGGTGATAGGGCTCCGTACACACAGCCACTCACACTGTAAACAACTATCTACATACTTAATATGTGTGCGTTTTATATTCCAACTCTGACATGAATTATTGAGGCAGCACTAACTAAAATGTTTGGGACCATGTGCTCTCAAATACGATCGGGGAAAGCGGTGACGCAGTGTTTGTGTTTGGAGGACAGGGCAGCAGAAGAAAAGGTTTTCCCCTTTCCTTTGAGATAAACAGTCTCATTAAAGGATGTGTGTTACTTGGAGTGAGACTGAGGAGGACCTAACAGACCTGTTTCACTGTTTTCATTCCCAGGCTGACAGATATAATCATGCCATATGTTGAGAAATATTTCCATGCTAATTTTCTTGATGTTTCTCACAATATGTTATCTTGATGAAAGTGACCAGATGGTTAGAAATTACACACAAAGTAGTTCTTCAGTGAATGCGAAAGTAGATCCTGAATTTAGTTTGATAATAGGCCAATCTATTTAATTCACTTCTATGCTACTCCAGGCCTGTGTATTTCGCGAGGCAGACCTTTTGTAACATCTGCATAGTCAGTGTTTAGAGGGGCGGAGGTGGCATGGAAAAGCATAACACAACTGACTAAATCAAGCATAATACCAGAGATTAAGACGAGCAGATGAGATAAATCTGTTGACTTTGTCTGAATGTAGAAACACAGGAAGTCAAGGAAGTGTCAGAGGGTTCTTGAAGTCATTGTTTTGGACGAGCAGCTGCTGCAAGTCATTTAAAATGAGCGATTTATGCTGCCAGGTTGAACACCTGGAACCGAAGCACAGTTTGCCATCTCTTAAATACTCTCTGAGGCCTCCTCTGAACTCCACAAGAACATGTATGAACAAAATTATCAGCAGGAGTAAAAGATGAAACAGCAATTAGCTTCACCACAGGTTTGGGGCTCTGACATTGGCGTAATGTCAAGTTTAGAGGAGGATTGGTTGGACAGGAGTTATGCATGGCAACTAGCAGACTTTTGGGGTTGACCGCCAGGAACTAAGTAACTAGAATGCATGTTAGGTTAAAGGAATGACTAATGAGCTGATTATGATTGCAATTCATCCAGTTTGTCTATTCTTCCAAACACAGGATGTGAAACCTTGAGTGAAATCAAGCATTGACAAGCTTGTATTTTTGTCTGGTGATATATCTGTCGTCTCATTTACCAAGTATTGGTTTTTCAAATTAATTGCTAATATGAAGTCAAATCTATGACAATGGAAAAATAAAATCAACTGTTTGTCCAGTGAGGTTGGCAGAAGTGACACTATAGAGCAGGAGAGAGTTAGTACAACAAATATATATATAAAGTTTGCAAGATGTTCTACATGAAAATAAAATACAGCGTAAATTAGACAAACATAAAGGAAAGACAAATGCTAAATTAGCTAAACAGTTGAAAAAAAATGTATAAATCGCAATATATTGTATCGTGACTGAAGTATCGTGATAATATTGTATCTTGGGACCACTGGTGATTCTCACCTCTAGTGTTTACATAGAAAATGTAACTTTTTTACACCTCTGATTTATCTCTGGTGTCATATCAAAATAAGTCTGGAGACATCTCTCTAGTCTACATCTGCCCAAAGCCACAACAAGTGCTCAAGCAGCAGGAATGTAGATTATTGAGGGACTAATCTACTTATAAAAAAAAAAAAACAGTTAAAAAATAGTAATAAACACAACCTTGAAGAATACAAATACACAGATCTGACTTCTTTTCCCCAAAGCTGTTTTAATACCTGTTATAATACCGTTTATGATTCCTGTTATGTGTCAAACTCAGAGCAGACAGACATGAAATAATGAGCTAAAAAGAGATTTTTTTTATCCCAGAGGGGGAATAAACATGTCAAGCAGCAAAGGAAGAATCTGAAGACGCTGTTCAAGTTCTATTTAAAAGACAGAATACAACACATTAAGACTACAAACAGCATCTTAAAGCTTTCTTTACACTTCTATGCACAGCATAATAGGATTTGTGTTTTATTCAAATGCAAACTGACTTTCCAGCTTATAAGGCACAGCTGGCTGAAGGTAACACAGTCCAATACAAATACCTGGGAGTCAATTCTGCCTCCATGAATTTTAAGTTTGTACAAATAGCTCGATTATAACAGCGCTCACCCAACTTTTCAAGCAGTTCAGGGGTTTAAGTTTGTTCTCGCTTGTCAGATTGTATTGCACTACACATAGAGGTGGTTTTGTTTTTTTGGCTGACCCTCGATGACACAAATAAAGCTGAAAAAGAAAAAAACCTCTTTAACAGATGTTTCCGTGCTGAAGAATCAACTTTACTTACAGCACAACACACTTTCTTTTTGCTCACTGTTTCAAATATTCTCAAACATGAACATTGTTTATGACCGTCTGCAGTTCAGTCAAATGTGTAGTCCTGTAAAGTACAAACACCATGACTTTGTAAGGACTGCTAACAAGGTTACCGGCTCAGCAACAAACACCTTGTGACAGTCACCACTTAATGCCTGTTTTTGTGGTTTTCACAGTCCTCTAATGAGCTTTTAATGAGGAGGAAATCTGCTGTGAATCACAGCCAAGCTGACAGCTACCAGCAGAGCTTCTACTGCTTCAAGCTAATGATTAACAGTATGATTGTGACTCGATGAGCGTCATACTCAAGCCTGAATCCTTTTTGTGTACGTTAGCATGGCGCCGCAAACAGCAAATAAAAGAAAGTAAATAAAAGAGGAAGAGAGGGAAAGTTTAATAACCCTGCAGATCTCTGAAGAAGGATTTAAGAGGGCAAAGTCTGATGTTTGGGGGCGCAAAGTCTTCTGAGGCAAAACTTAAGATTATGGGTCCTAGAAACGAAATGAGTTTACTTGGCATACAGGTAAACAGCTACAAGTGGGAAAAACGAAAGCTGAAATTCAACCGAGTGGTGGCTGTGGTCTCTCAGATGAAGTTAGGAGTACAACTAAGTGGGGAAAGTAGAAGTGAAGTCTGCCAAGAGAACAAACAAACAAACAAAATCCACTTCCAATCCACTGCACTTCATTTATAGAGTACATAACAAACAGTAATGTTTACCCAAGTGCAGCACAGTTGGATAAAAAGCAGATATGGGGAAAACCTAGAGCAAATAAAACGATTAAAAACACATAAGAGTGTGGAAAACACGTACAAATATGGTAAAAGAATACAACAAAGACAACACAGAGAAGACAAGAAAGTTAAAAGCTAAGAGAGTAAGTTTTAGGAGGAGATTTAAAGGTGTGTCAAATCGGGGACAGTTTATCTCGCTCCACAGTCACCCCTTGTTTTCAGTCTGGTCTTAGGCACCACAGGAAGCAGCTGATTAGTCGACCTCAGAGAGTGGACTCAGAGGTCAGAGATGCTCTGTTTGACTAGCAAACTCAAAGGGAGCCAGTGGAGGGAGGCAGTGATAAGGGTAAAGTGTTCTCACTTTACAGTAGCAGTGAGTAGCAGCATTTTGGACTAATTGAAGACATGGCAGTGATTCCCCGGCTAACACTAACATAAAGTGCATTACAGCAGTCCAACTGAGTACAAATAAAAGAGTAGCACTCACTCAGAATCATTCAAAGACAACATAGATTTGATCTCGGATAAAAGCCTCTGATAGTAAAAACAAGATTTATCAACAGTGGTTATCTGTTCGTCTGTTTTAAAAGCACGGTCCATTTCAGCCTCAAGATAACTGTGTGAAATAAAGAGAATAAAGGGTTCATCTGGTCACGGTCAAAGGCAAACTTATTTGTAAAACTGGTTTAAGTAAACCCACACAGACAAGCTTCTGTGAACCAGTTCAGCACAAACAGCAAGAGTAGATTTCCAAAGTTTGGTGTTTACTCTTGGGACTTTGAGCATTAGCTTGAACAACTCAGTAAATGACTGCAGGACCAGCTCAATAGAAAAGGGATAAATAATGGCAAGCTGCCATAAGGACTTAATAATTAAATACAAATTATGCCTGTCAACGTTATAAATGACTATTCAACATTTCCATATGGTGATGAGGAGAATAACTATCACTGCCACCAGAAACCCAAACAGACACTTTCAATTATCCGTTTCCTACTGAGCAGAGAGGAATGAGCTGTTTCCTCATGAATATCTCTGACAGTTTGTGTCGCATCCGGCTGACGAGTGTGGCAAGGTGAAAAAAATCGGGCTTATGTTTTGATCCGGTCGTATCAGAGGGTATGATTAATCTGAGAATCAATGTGGCCACTCAGACAGATGATAGGAGAACTATAGGTTGACACAGCTCAGGCTATAAAGATCAACAGGCCGAGAAATGATTATTTTTGTGCTGTTGTGTATGACGCATAAAACCACCTCTGTGTGGTAAGTTCCAGAAAAGATGATAACAGCTGTTTTTACAGCTATTTCCCACAATATATTTGACCAAGAAAGGACATTTCTATGAGGAGAAATCACACTTTGTCTGCAGGGGGCGCCATAATTGACACAAACTGTAAGTTAAATATATCAACTCTAATGAAAGACACATAAATATACACAAAGATGGGAATTTTTGTTGATATTTTCTTTGTGTCCCAAAGCGTCTGTTTGCACCATCTGCACACTCTGCACGTACTGCATACCTGATGCCATTACAGTCAGTGAGGGTTCAGTGCTCGGGCCTGCAGCAAAGATTGGGTTTTGTTTTATATTTGCAGCACACAAAAGGACGCAGTGTGATGGAAAAAAAATGCCCAAATATAAATGTCACACACTACTTAACAAGAATATCATAACACAAATTTCCCCTTCAGTTAGCAACTACTAACAAGCCATGAGAGACGGAGCTCCTAAAGCGGTTACAAGAATCATTAATTCAATTAAAATTTTAAAAAGGACACCATTCAAAGAACAAAACATATCAGGGTGTCTGCTAGCTATCAGAGCTGATCTTAACTGATCTGACTCCTTTGAGCTGTTTGCAGGGACTTTAAAAAAAGAGGATACTAGTGGATTCTCTTTTATTGGGTTAGGAGGAAAAATAGTACAATTGCCCACTAACAGAAGTATCACTTCAAAGCTGCTTTAGTGCAACTGCTGCAGAATAAGTGGCAGCATGTAGAGCTCCACTTTCGCTATCATCGTGGTTAATAGTGTGTATAAACGCTCCTATGACAAAAATAAAACTCTAAAGCCAGCACATATCAACGCTACACGGCTCACACACACGTTATTGATCACTTAATGGATGATGGGAGCTCGCGTCTACACCGCCACAGCGGAGAGATTTCTTTTTGGAGGAAAATTAACTATCACATAAGTTAATCTAATCTGTTCAGTGGGGCTGCAGAGAGGAATGATCAATGTTCAGCTCCAAATTAAAAATCACGTCGGATGCCAGTGACCGTTGGCAACAGAATCGGGGTGCACCAGCAGTGACAGCAGGGTTTTATGGCACAGACGTTTCTGCCAAGTGAGCTTCACTTTCTGCAGAACTTACGCCTTAGTCAGTTAGTCGCATATATATTAGTGCTGTGTTGAAACATACATCTTTGACCAGCTCCACATTTCTTCTCCAGAAGAGTTTAATTCTCAAGAAATTCCTGTTCAGCGTCCCTTCATTTTCTGAGGTAGAAAATAACAACAACAACAACGAGAGGATGAAAAGGTAGATGTAAGCGGCTCTTGAAAGCCATGGGGATTAAACAAAAATAAATAAGGAGAAGAAAACAATGTCTGATCATGAAGTTTCACAAGAAATGTCAGCTCAGATTTGAAGTGTGTTTCAAAAGCAGGACTGACATAAACGAACCTTGACGTTTTCATGATAAACAAGAAGAGTGGATATAAGTCAGTGAAATGTAAATCTGACTTTGTTTTGTGTCTGTCAGCTGGTACTTGTGGGAATAAAGTACCTTTTCAGAACACTGACAATGTTTCAATTGTAATCCAGCGGCGTGCGCAGACAAAAACAGCAGGTATCCTCAGGTCAGAAAACGACATGCTTGTTTCTTGAGTTCACTCAAAGGTTTTCTCTATCTTTGCTGTGGGGGTTCATGCTTCTTTTACTCACTATAAATAGACAATCCCATGATTTATGTTTGTTTTCTGCATTCTACCACCCAAACAACACATAAAAATCACTGCTAAATTTCTCCTTTCACCCTCAATTTAGAGCTTTAAGTGAGGTATGTGCACATTTAGTCGACTTAACAATTAAATGCTTACCCTCACTAGCCGGCACCACAATTACTAGCTGATTAAACTAGTTATTGATGTGTTTATCCATGTATGCTTGAAATGCTGGTCATGAGCAGGGTCATGGCAGCCATCTGCCACAAGCTGTAGCTCTGGTCGATGAATATAACTGTAAAGCTGGTAGCACAGTGCAGTTTGGCAGTATATTGATCCAGAAAATGGAGGCATTTACGTGCGCTGTGTCTGGTTAAACTGGCTTATAACCACTCAGCTAGAGCGATAATTAAACAGCAGAGGCATTTGGATGTTAACCTACAATTTCAATTTGACAGGGATGTAGCTTTATAACATCCCTTGTTGAAGTTGTGGTTATATTTTTTTCTTAGCGCAGAAAAAAGTTCTAATATAATAAATTCCAGGCAAGACATTGTACGGTCTTGTCTCCAGCTACTTTCTGAACTCCTTCTTTCTTATTCCACTCCTCATCTACTCTATTCATCTATCCTAAGCTGTCTTCCCGCCCCTCACTTTCACTGTGAAACAAAAGGTGATTGTGCGTTTAGCGTCTACGCCCTCTCCCTCTGGAATCAGCTCCCTAAACCCATCAGGTCTGCTGAATCTTTAACCCTCCTCCTGTGTGAGGGTCTGCACCGACCTGTTTTTGTTTTTAGATGCTTAAAAGAACCACTTAAGACTTTTTGACTTTGTCTGGAACCTCTATTTCGACAAATTAAAAATAAAAAAAATTAAATTTACTAAATTATAAAATTCTCTTATCAAAATTATGGCCCTTGTCATGTTAGGGCTGACCCGGTTAGATTGATATCTAATAATTAGAGTTAAAACTAAAATCATGTCTACACTGGCAGTCAAATCCTCTTTCAATCATGTGAGATTTAGGAAATTCTCATTTTGCCATGTTTTTCCCTGCACAAAATAAGATCGGGCATGTCCAGACATGTGAGATCAATTCAGTATAGATGATTGTATGAGGGGTATACTGACAAAGAAAGGCCCACTACAAAAACTATTATACGCAATATTTTCATGGATAATGAAGCCTAACAGGGTAACCTAGAGATTAGAACCAAATTGGATGATCGAAAATAGTTTTTAGTGTATTGTACAGCTGATTTAAGACACGGGTCAAAACTGACCCTTAACATGGCGGGTGCGTAGTAAAAGCTAACAAAGGAGGAAGGTTAACGTCTCCAAACCTACATGCTACCCTTTGTTTTCACTCTTATTGCATGAATAGTTTTGACCTCACTTTATAATCACGCATTTCAAAGGTGCTGTATAAATAAAGTTTCACTGACATACTGACTAATGCCAGTTTAAGTGTCTGCTGTATTTAGAAATTCCCGCCCTTATCTCCACCATTAAAAGGCACTTTTGTTTTTCGCACTATTCCAGGAATGAAACATGAGTCAACTTGACTTTTGCAGAGAGCGCCGATACGTTTTGAATTTTGACTTCCAATGTGCACTCCAGCTCATATGAGTGTCCTCTTCACCCTCGTTGTATTACGTTTTTTTGTCTTCTGCTTTTAAGCCAAAGAGATCATCAATGTGCTGCAGATGGAGGAACATGTATGTGTTACACCCACAGATAATGCTGTAACACACAGGCGGCTTACTGATGGCAAAGTAGAAAGCAGAAAATGCAGCCGTTTCTAGCCGGGCTACTTTGCTGGTTTTCAGCCTCAGAAGCCAAGCTGACCTGCGTAAGACCCTTATTACCGACAAACACCTCATGCAACCTCGCTCAAAGAAATCAAACTCTGTCTTTAACCCACCTCAACTACCACTATTACTGATGCAATGAAACATCGAGCACATTGTCAGTCTGCCTTGTTCAAATGGGAGAAACAAGTGTTGTTTGTGTTTGCAGCTCTACAGTGTTATTACGATGACAGCTGAATACTTCTGTTCTTATCATTCTGGCTCTAAAAGGTCCATCAGTTGCGACACAAAGGCAGCAGCAACGCCCCAAAGAGAGACAGTTTTTATCCATGAAAACATTCAGTGTAATGCCATAGTTCCTCTACATCTTTGCACAGAAAGTGAGAAAAAACCTGGATATAAATTTGACCCTGACAAGAATCTACGTCAGATTTTGGATACCTCGACGATAATTAATCTTTTGATTGTTTTTGTCTTCAAAGAGAGAGAAAGCCAGTACAGGATATCATTATCAGATGTGTCTACTAATTGGCGTCAGACTTACCACTTTGAAGTCCTCCGGTCTGCACTCAGTGCCGTGGAAGTGGCAGGACAGCAGCATATCTCTGATGTCGTGACCGGTGCGGTCGTAGAATTCCCGCATGTTGAAGGGTCGCGGCTTGAAATTGTGAAAGTCGGCTTTGACCTTTAGACTCTCCAGAACGCTCTCCTCTACAAGATGCATGTCTCTGATCTCATACCTGAAAAAAAAAAAAAAAAAAGATAAATCTCACACATTTACAAAAGCAAACTCTGCTTTCATGGAAAATGAAGCATCACCCTTTAATGAAGAGCAGACTCCATAGAAAAGTTTTCACCATCTTCTGAAAGTTTATGAGTCTGCGCCAGAAAACTTTCGCTCCACTCAGCCAAAGCTAAAACTAACAGTCCTGAATAAATCAATGAAGACAGGAAAAAGACAGTAAAATGAGCACGATGGCTTTTCTTTGACATTTTCTGGTCATGAACTGATCGCACTGCCGGAGTGTATCCGATTATAGTACAGTACATAATAAAGTTCAGGCAAGATGGCACAATAGTGAGCCATAAAACCGGTCTTCCAGTCACTGGGGATGCAGCAGCTTCAGGCAATACCGAACTCAGCTAGAGCCTCACTTATCTGGATTCAAACTTGGAGAAAAATGTGTTTGTGTTCAGGATGACAGGGTTGTTTTTTATCATGAGTAAACAGAAACTGACTGATGCGCTCCCTTAAGAGTCAGACTTAAATACTTGATGTCTGGAGAAAAAAAAAGAGAGAGTTCTATTTGAGGAGGTTTTTATTTCTGATACTCTCCAATATCAGAAATCCACATTTCTTTATCTTAAGTGCATTGAAGTAGGACGACCATACGTCCTCTTTTACCTGGACATGTTCACTTCAACCCTTCAAATGTCTGGGGTTTTGTATCGAAGTTTGGAGTTTGTGTACCGTGGACTAACTGAGTTGGAAAAAACACTTGACCCGACCCGAAGAAACCCTCAAAATTTTGCGTGTCACTCTTTTTGGGATTCAGAATATGGTCACCCTAACTCATTGGTTCTCAAGTCCAGTCCTCGAGCCCCCCCGTCCTGCATGTTTTGGATGTATCCCTGCTCCAACACACCTGATTCAAATGATCAGCTCGTTATTAAGGCATTTCAGAGCTTGATAACGAGCTGATCATTTGAATCAGGTGTGAAGCTAACTGAAGCAAAAGAGAAGCGTGAACAGACTGGAATATCTCATCAATGTTTCACAGATTTGACATAGATATACATGACCCCCTGATGATAAAACCTAGAGATTTTGATGGACTAGCATCTTCAAATTTGGGACAGACACTGAAAATGTCTGCTTTTTTTTTTTATCACTGGAGTTAGTGTGAAGTTGATGCTGTGATTTGTGTCTGCATTCCTGTCCATTTATATGCAGAGAGACGGCTCTTTTATAGGGTATGTTATGATCTTACTGTACAGGTTGTATGGTAAATTAGTCAATTATGTAGAAGAGAAATAATGCCCTTGAATTGTTTGATGTAATGGGAAAAAGATGACTCAAAGTTAATGTCTCGGCAGTTTTCTTCAATTCGCTTGACTCTCTAACAGCTAAACCTCAAACCAGCACATAATTGACAGCTGTTGCATTTTTACCTGCAGTCACACTGTGTGTGTGTTTGTGCGTCTGCGTCTCATTTAAGAATAAAAGCACTCAAGTATTCATGCTGGGAGCCAGACAACCCAAATCACACCCAGCATTATCCAGGGCACTAGGAAATTTCCGTTCATATAATAGAGCACACAAAAATCTGACCACGCTGCCTTGTGTTAAAAGAGAGCAGAATAGCTGTAAATGCACCCACTCACTCCCCTCGCTGTGATCTCCCACTGCGCTATTATTAAAAATGTCACCATTTTAATGGACTCACCAAAGAGCAGATTGGATTTTGAGTTTTTTTTCCCTCCGTGCTCTGCCTTAAATTAAATGTCTTTTAGAAAATTTTCACATGAATGTGGCCATTCTTTTAAGAGTATGGTCTTTTATTGATCTTTTGTGAGACGTAAAATTGATGTGTTTTATGAATTATATGAATAAGAATGAGATTGGTTGTGTTTAAACAAGAACTGGAAGTATGTGGTGAGTAATCACAGCTTTATAGACGCTATAAAATGTCTTGTAAAACTCAGAAGTGGGGGCAGTAATCGTTTTGTTTTACATTTTTTAAAGGGCTCATAACAATCTAGTTGAAATCTTCCAAACATCAAATCGATAACTAGCCTCATTTAGGATTAAAATTTGCTCATATGTTTCTTTGTGGCATTACTATTCTGTCTGATTACGGCCAAGTGTTTCTGTTTGACTGAAAAAAAAAAACTCAATGGAGGAGAGGCACTCGCTCCCTGCTGTTTGTGTAGTGGACAAACCTGCCAGGAAGGCACTTTACCAGATAAAATCCCATAAGACAGAGATGACAGGATCAGCGAGGGCTGACACTCGAGCATGTGTACGGCTAAAATATCATGCCGCAAGGCATTTCCCAGACCAGTGAGTCCAAACATGAGGAATGGGTGGAGAGGCGTCTTAAATGGATTTCATGCCCTGAGCACTTTGGTTTCAGGCCGGGGGTATAACAGCTAAGTGTGCCATTGCATCCCCTCTCTACCTTGCCAAGGGAGGCAGGATAATGAGCACTACACTACAACCTACTTCAGAGAGTGTGAGAGCCAAGATGAGTACGTGGAGAAGGAAACTTAGATGGAGATTCAGCCCTCATTATGCTTCGAGCACCAACTTAGAGGTGTCTTTTTTGTGAGCCGCTGCCTGGAAGTGTGAGATTAGGGGAAGTATTTATGTAAAAATCAAGATCCAGATGGCATGTGGTGATTAACAGTCACACTAATGTCACAGAAAAACGTTCACTCTGGTTATCAGTCTAGGATCCTCATCAAAGATTAATATAGAAATGGCTGTACGGCCACATAAAAGAAAAGCCTCCAGAGGGTTTCGGCTGCTCGGTTCTTGATCTCTGTAACTGACAGTCAGAGGTTCACATCATTTGAGCTGTGAGTTTTTTGATCAGTGGGATTAAAGACACTGGCCAGCTCTCTCTTCTCCTCAAATTCTGGGCGCTGCTAAATGCTGTGAATGATTTTGTCTTGCTTGCTTGTTTCATTATCGCTGCTTCTGTTGACATTTGAAAGGATATAACAACACCACAGGGAGAGCAACATGTTTATCAAACAGCTTTCAAGGCTACTATCAGTCACACTCTCTCTCTCTCTCCTCTCCTCTACTTCTCGGACAAGTCTCTGAGTGATATTAATCACACAAAATGTGCTATTCCTTCATCACTGTCCGTCATCTCCAGCTATTCAGAGAACCAAAATCTCTGACAGCCCAGACATAGAGTGGTTTCTAGAGCGCAGTAATGGAGTGTTTTGCAGCTGAATCAAAGTTTCAGAGACATGAGGCTAAATGTGTGAATGACAAAAATACCCACAACATCTGCAATTACACTTGGAATCAAAGGAAGCAGCCTCTCTCCACGGCTTTTCCTCCTGAGCATACAGTGCATGTTGAAGCCAGCTCCAGCTCCAGCATCCAGAGCTCTCAGCTGCACCGTCGAGACGGCTGGCGTTCTCTGATTTTAATGCCTCAGTTAATTCCAGCCCGCTCTCTGAGCCACTGCATGACTCAACAAGGTAGAAACTATTAGAGCTCCTTGGATGAGTGAGACACAATTGTCAGTGCTGGATGAATGCCTCTCAGGTCATCAGGAGGCAGCTTCTAACTGTACCCAGAATTAGATCAGAGTCCAGAGAGGGTGCTCTCAGTCACTCTGGTCCTGCTCTCTGGAACAAGCTGTCTGCTGAGCTTAGACCCATCAAAAGCATGTCCATGCACCAGACAAACTCAAAACTTCCCCAGGCTAATGGTTTATTCCTCTGTCTGTCTGTGTATGCGTGTCGCGTGTTTTATGTTCCTTTGTGAGTTGCTGCTGCTGCAGCTGCTTTTTCTATGTTTGGTTGAATATCTCTGGGATTGTACTGCAGCATGGGGCATATTTACTGTTCATTTCACATTTTTGCTGGTTATGTCTTGTTTCTTGAGAGGAAAAACTTAACAAGTAATCCATTGGTTTGTATATTGACCTACAGAAAGATAATCACATGAGATTATTGAGAAATATAGAAATACATGATACATAGTTTTGCCTATTTTGGCTGGAAATCTTTTTATAAAATAGACCACAGTGTTAATGAATTAATGACACCGTGACAGTGTTTAGGAAGGTTAACTGTGGAGTACCTCAAGGATCTGTGATTGGTCCTTAACTGTTTATACTTTCTAATGATATTTGCAGTGTTACAGTTTGTATATGTTATTTAAGTTGTTCTTTTTGCAGGGGTTAGGTCAATTGGCCACGTTCAAATTGCCCGTAGGTGTGAATGTGAGCGTGGGTGGTTGTTCGTCTCTATATGTCAGCCCTGCGATGAGCTGGTGACTTGTCCAGGGTGTCCGCTGCCTTCGCCCGGAGAGGCTGGGATAGGCTCCAGCCCCCCCACAACCCCCAATGGGAATAAGCGGTAGAAAATGAGTGGATGATTGAATGAATGACTGTTATTTTTGCAAATGTTAAAATCTTACTTAAAACCTGCAATTCACTGTCAGGTTGCAAAAGCTTTTTTTGAAGCTCATTGGTGATTTCTTACAATTTTTACTCTCTATACTCTCTGAAGCTGATACTTTAATTTGATTTAAAGAAATAAACAGGACAGACTCAATAAGCATTCTGCTTCTGCATATGCCTTTTTCAGCCACCTCTTTATACAAACTGAACTTTGGGCTTTGCTAAAAACATCTGCACAGTGAAATTATTTTATAATGTCCAATGGCTGAATAGAAATACTGGTAACCCTTTCTTTTACGGTACACTTATTACCAGGTAATTACCTAGTAACAACATGAAATTATCTGGTAATTACATGATAACCACTAAGTCAATACTGTCTAGTTTTTTTTCTTTTCTTTTTTCTGTGCAGCTCCATTTTCAAAAGCTATTTGGGTTTCTTATTTTCTGTGATAGCACTTGATACAGCCTATGGGTGTGCGAAGATTGCGTAGCGATACGCTGTTTAAGCCGAGCATTATCATAGCGACTCACCCGCTGACTGCGTACAATGCTACTGCACAAGTGGTGGTCCCAGGAAGCGGAGAAAATCCTGGAGATACCAGAGCAATTCGGCTACAAATTTGTATGATGATGGAAGGTTACCTACCTGGTAGCTAGACAGTATTGACTTAGTAGTTATCATGTAATTACCAGATAATTTCATGTTATTACTAGGTAATTACCTGGTAATTACCTGGTAAAAAGTGTACCGTAAAAGAAAAGGTTACCAAAATACTTCTTACTACTAGATGTATACCTGCAAGTGAGTGTTAGTGTGCCAAAAAAATAGTAAGTATTGAGATAGATTGCCAACGCTTTGTTAGAAATACAGGACAAAAGAAAAGTAGTAGTACTAATGTCATTAATGTTGTAATGTAGTAAACGTCCTGTACAGAACCTTTGACTTTGAACTATTTTAATTTTATTGACATAAATTATAAAAGTACTTGAAAGATAGTTGAGGTAAAGTGAATTTGAACAGCCGTGTGTTTAGAAATTGTCTGCCTAAACTAAAATTTCAGGTCCAAATGTGTGAAAAGGCAAGAAAATTGACTTTACAGAGCGAAAGTACAATATTTCCATCTCATGACAGCTGTGGCAGAAACAAATGTCACAACAAGAGAAAAAGAGCAAAGTATGTGTAATTAAAGTTTGTACTAAAAGTAGTAACAGTTATTCAGTGTTTAGTAAAAGTCCACTCCTGATGTTTTAAGTGTAAATCTTCTTTATGTAGAAGTTATGAGGGAGAAGTAGAGAGCTGTACTACCAAAAAGGAGTAGCCGATATGTGGGAGTTAGAACAGTGGGACTTTCTGAAGTGTGATAAGATTGGTTACCTCTGGTTAAGCAGAGCCAGCAGCTCCCCTGCGTGGTACAGGTCGTTGCGCGTCAAGCGGCTGAAGCGGAAAGCGTTCAGGTTGCAAAAAGTGACCGCGGGAAACGTCATGATCGGGGTCGTGACCTCATCCAGTTTCGTGACGTGCGGGTACTCGAGGTAGAAGTGGATCCGGTCCACGCACACGAAGAGCAGAAAGGTCAGGGAGCCCAAGAAAAACACGACCCACAGGCAGCGCTTTACGCAGAAGCGCTCGTACGTAAAAATGTGAGAGATTCCGTGCAGGGTCGAGCTGTGCGCGAAAACTTCAATGGGTGGAGGCTGATTCCTGTCCATCTCTTCAGGCTCTTTGAGATCCATGATGCGCTAACTTGATCGGAGTAAGAAAACACTCGCTGATTGGTCAGTACTCGCTGATATTCATTCACCTGTGGCACAAACTGTCAATATCCATCCAAGCGGGTGCAAACGTGGATAAAAGCGCGTGTGAACTTGGAGTAGTTCGGTCTCCATCCCTCATGCAGACTGATTGAAAGATATTTTCAGCATCCGCCGCGCTCCTACAAAGTCAGACACGCATGAATTGTGTGCAGAAGCGAAGCATTTCTCACAAGCAGGCGTGCCAAAACAGAGAGACTCAAACGCGTGCATCACAAAGATGTCAAAATAAAGGTCCGTCAGCGCGGCACTACACTGATCTTTCGCAGGTTTCTCACTTGGTTGTAATGCGAAAAAAAGGAATGAGGTTGACAAAGTGTTTCATCAGCCTGAAACCGCGGTCGATAAGTCCGGGGAAGCACGCTTCAGTCCTGCACGCCTGCCAGAGGAAACAAGGAGAGCGAAAAGAGGAAGAAATCCTTCTGACACTTCTGCTCATTTAGAGAGGGTCCCTCTCGGTGCCTCCGCTTGACGCATGTCTTTTTCAATCCGCAGATTTTCGGGTCAAGTCAGGAGAATTTCTCCTCTCAGGAATCCGGGTCTGGGTGGGTTATTCTGGTCGGTATAGTTGAGTCGTGAGCTTTAAAAACAGTGGACGAGAAAGAAGAGGAGAGGGGAGGAGAGCAGACTGGTGCTCTACTGCTCACCTGAGAGTTCCTGTAGTTTTTACATCTTCAGACCGCAGCCCGAGAGAGAGAGAGAGAGAGAGAGAGAGAGAGAGAGAGAGAGAGAGAGAGAGAGAGAGTGGTGTGGGGGGGGGGGGGGGGGGTCTATAGGGACTTTTAGTGTACATGTGATGGGAAGGTCAAAAATGTATGGTATCTTAATGTAGTGACAGGGGCTTAAAAACAATCAAAGTTCAGCCAAGGAAATATCAAACTCAACTTTTAGGAGTTTAAGGAGGAGATTAAGGGTTCAACACTTTAATTTTTATGAATTTTGAGGCAGATTTATGAAGGAAAGGAGCAAATTGCAGCATCAGAGTATAAAATTCTGACTTGTAAGACTTTTATTCTAGTACTGGTCCTGGTCCTGGTCCAAAAGCACTGAATCTTACATTTCAAACCCATGAGCGAAGTCTGGGCACAAGTAGGGGAGACCGGGGCTTGTTGTCACATGGGTAAGTTGTCACATTGCAATTATCTTTGCCACCAGTGGGCGCAACTAAAATGTGGAATACTAGTTTTCTTCCTTTGTATGGTCAGGGGTCGTGTCCTGTCTGAGAAGAGACGAGAACATTGTGAGCTGAGATGAGCGCCAATTAACCATTTCGCACAACCCAAAGTAAAACAAATAAACCTTATATATCTTAAAATAAGCGTCTCCCAGATAAAACTCCCAGCAGTGATACATGTGGACTTGTTAGAGCAGAGTTTAAGGCATCCTGTCATACCTCAGTCATTGTTCTGTTTTAAGCTAACTTTAAGCTAGAGCTAGAATTTCAAACATGGTAGTTTGGGGCAACATGTATCAGTCATTTTGGGGTTAGTTGTCACATGTTAAAATCACATGCAAAATCCACTGTGACATCTTACCTCATGTAGTGAGACAACTTACCTGATGGTGAGGTAACGTCACATGTTAACACTCTCTATTTGATTGCTTATAACTCTGCACTGACACAAGATATGAAAATGACATGACTATGAAATATATACCTGAGACTTTGGTCTTTCATCTGGTACACATTTTATTAATATATGATGTATTGATTTCAAGAAATATATAAGAATGTAAAAAGTGTGACAACAAGCCCCGGTCTCCCTTATCTGTGCTACTGACTTCTTTAACTCAATATGATTATTTTTAAAAATCACCTTAAACTTCAACTGTTATGTGACTTTGAAACTGAGTGGTATTAAACTCGGAGTCACTATGAAGAGTTTTTAATCGATTTTGAAATCTGTCTTTCGTACTGACCCCTCTTTATGACCTGCACCATAAAATGAGATTAGTGCCAGATGGGACATTTCATAATGCTGAACTTTGATGTCTGTGTTCACGTTGGATTTTCCACAAGAAAAGCCACAGTGATATTCAACATTCACCCAAAAGTTTCGGTGTTTAAACTCTGCTGGTAAAGTTTGGCAGTGAAAAGTAAGCAAGCCAAGGGAGTTCAGATTCAGATTCAGACTTTATTTATCCCCTAAGGGCAATTCCGTTCGCAGTTACCCTGCCATTTAAACCATCCAAACACACAAATCAGCAGACAAACAAACCAGACAAGTGCAAGACATTAATAGCAGCCAGTAGACAACCACATTCCCTTGTCAGTACTCACAGATCAGCAGGATCAGCAATAAATAAATAGCTAAATAAGTACAAGAAGCAGTCAAGTTCCACAGAGCAATGGCTAAAATACAGTAAGATCCACAAGTATGAGACTCATTTATGTCATGCATTGTAATCATGGCTTATTCTGGAGCAGACAGTGTGTTTGGATATTCTGTTTTGAACAGAGAAACTCTACAATTGGGGCTTTGGTAAAAAATACTTTTGACTTAGACTAGGGTTGGCCAACTGTAGGAACACTTTTTCCCAACTTCTAACTTTTACAACTGATGACATCCCAAGGACATCATCTGGGTTATTTTCCTCCCATCAAGACTTTTAAACTCACTGTTTAGTTGTTGGACTATCCCTTTAAATTACATACAGACTGAGTGACTATACCAGGAAAAACTAAACCTAAGAATCCAGAATAACCGGACTGAGCATTTCTTCCCGCAACCTTTACACAAGACCGAAGTCACACTGAAATACCAAGAAGTCAAGTCGCAAAAAAGGACATAATTTTATATTTACTCTGAGTTAAAAATTGATGATATTGAGTATGTCACAGTCTTTACCTCTTTTAAGTCTTCACAGATGTCCATGAAGGGGTGAAGTTGGACAAGGTGAGGGGGTTCAAGTTGATTCTGAAACAAAGCAAAGTCATTAGAGGCGGAACCAAAAAATATAATAATGAGGCACCACATTTAGATTTTGTTGTATAGTATATAAACAATGACATTTTGTCCCCAGCTGGATACTTCTGTGAAAAATTGATCTAGCTGTGCAACAAAGCTGGATCAGGTTTTGTTAATACAACAAGATACTAATAGCCTGCCTTGGAAGATGTATCACTCTCCAAACTTACATGCATCAGCATTCTTAGAAAATTACTTTGACTGCAGCCATAAAATCCAGCATGAAGAGCTATTATTTATGCAGAAATGACAATTAAGTTTTTTTTAAGCCTTTCCAGAGGTGGATGAGTTTGCACATGTAGTAAAATGCACGTATCCGATCTGCTAACAAACAGCTAAATTAACTTTGTAGATACAAAGGCTGCAATATGTTATAAAATCCAAAAATAAAGTTGAGTATTGAACTACTGCGCCTTCATTTCACTGGCACTTAGCAGAGTCTTTATTGCTTGTGTTTCGCTCATAGCCAAATGCTGACCATAGACTTTGAAGATTTACAGAAACTGTGCAGCTGTTTCGACCGAGTCTGAATCACTTCATGCTCACAAATAAAACTTAGTTTAAATGCATTCAATGAACTAAATCTCACATGGAATTTGATTTTTTTTTTTTTTTTAACCAGGTAAGAACCCGTAGAGATTGGTAGCACACATCCCAATAATAAATAATAATAAAGAAGAAGAAAATGACCTCCAGAAACATAATTAAAAGCACAGGCGCTGTTCCATGGTCTCCCAAAGTCTGTCATATAAGATTGAATGAAAAGATGAATTCCGACAATTTCAGGTCAGTCTGGAGGAAATTCTGTGCTGAAGTTGCAGCAAAACTAAACGCTTTTTTGCCCAGTTCAGTTCTAATTCACAGAACAATCAAATGGATAGTGTTGTTTGAGCGCAGGGAGTAGTGGCTTTCAGTCCTTTGAAGAAGATCACATAAATAAGAAGGAGCTAAGCCAAGAAGAACCTTATAAATTAGTGTCATCCAGTGAGTGCACCTGTGAGTACTCAGAGAAGGCCAGCCAGACTTGGCATAAAGTTCGCAATGCTGTGTAAGGTGACTACAACCAGTAACAAATCTCAGCGCACAGTGATAGATAGTAGTTAAGGACTGCAAGCAGGATACATTCCTGTAGTAGAAACCTAGTTTTAGTCTGAGTTTAGTGATCAAACTAGCAATATCAATCGATCAACAAGAAAACCCAGATATTTATACACAGATACAAGCTCAATGGGTACACCCTGTGAAGTTAGGATAGAGGAAATGTTCCCAGGTAACTCATGCTTGCTTGAAAATACCATGAGTTTGGTTGTATTTGCATTCAAGACCAATTTGAGTTTCTGCAGTCACTTAATTGGAATCATTTTAACAATGTTTTGCTGAGGGTCATTTGGGTTTTAAAGACACACTTACTGAGAGATGATGTAGGTGCATATTTTGAGACTTCAGTTTTGACAGCCAGGCGGGGCAGGCTGCTGTCCGAGGTGCTGATGTGCAGTGACTGATTACCGGGTCTGGGTGTTCCTCCCCAGGCCTGCAGGGGGCAGCAGAGGGCGCTGTGCTACACTGAAGCGACAACATGTGAGCAACAGCAGCTGCAGCCAATGGAAACATGGCGATTCCCAGTAATGCTGCCCGTCTCTGTCGCCTGGCGGGACGGAATGTCAGCTCCCTGCCTGTAATACGCAGAAGAGCTGTCAGCCTGCCGGGGAGACGATGCTACGTTTCCACCTCGACAGGAAACAGTGAGTTAACGTTCAGGTTGAGCTAGCATTAGCACCGAGCATGTTAGCTTCAGAGTTGAAACAGTAACTCAGAGGTCGGTGTTCTGTGGGGCCAAGCCCAGCCCGACAAACTATAGATAATTTTATCATTGTTCTACTCTTTTCCCACCACAATGATATCTGTAACTTAGCGATAGCAACATGACAGTTCACACATGTTCTTGTAGACACAGAGAAAGCTACAAGTCAACCAAACGGACCGTCTGTCCTTGTGGTTCTAAGTGCGCATGCGTGAATGGCACATTTTTGTTTACGCGCTGGTGTTTAAATGTGATTCAAAATCTAACTTTCAACAAAGTTTTAGTTTAGACAGCAACATTAAAAGGTTTCATACAAGGAAAAAGACAATAACATCCAGACACATTCATTTACAAATAGATTACCAGCTTTCAGTAGTAAAGCATGTGCATCAATAAATCAAATCGATCAATCAATCAATCAGTCTCTGGCCAGATTATTCTTAATCTTAGTTTAAAAATCTTCAAAATCGATACCATTATTAAGTTTGGTGTGACCTTGTAGAAACCGCAGATCCAGGACACAATGTTCCTGTCTGACCATGTCAACAAAAACTGCAAATGTAGAAGTTCCTGAGAGCAGAGTTGTGGTAGAGCTGTTGTATTTGGAAGCATTAGATTGCCCCAGTGTTCATAATGCTAAAGATGGTCTGTGTAACCTGGTTGGAATAGGAAAGCTGACTATAATGTGGCTTTCATTACTAAAGTCATCCTTAAAGCGATACTCCAGCATAAAATTAATTTAGAGTCAAACACACCGTAACACCGAGTTAGACACCCCCTCGAGAGGGGAATGTTGCCAACCGCTTGCTTCTCTAGTTATACCAAATTTAGTAACGACCGCAGGATAGCAATACACAGCGGTCTGACGAGCCATAAACAAACCTCAACCAAAAAGCCACTCTATAGCCACAAATAATACTCAGAACAGCACCTAACTTCATCAACAGTACATATAGGGTCCCAGTCATAGCACTAGCCACCAAACATCGTTTTAACTTTGCCTGATTTCTTGAGCAAAGAGACTAAACACAACTCACCTACTCTCTTCCAGCAGCCGCTTGTTTGTAGCGAGACCTTAGGCCAGTCCATAATGGACTACAGCGGGGTGACGCAACTCAAGGAAGAACATTTATAAGCATTTTTTCATGGAAATGCAATCATACTAAAAGGCTAAAACAGAAGAACTACTGCGTCTGCAGTGCAAAATTATTAATATGGTGATTATTACTTCAAGGAAATGATAAAGTTATGATCATAAATGGCTTTTTGGTTAAGTGCGTTGCTCTCTGTATTGCTATCGTGCGATCATTAATAAAGTTGGTATAACTAGAGAAGCAAGCGGTCGGCAACATTCATCTCTCGATTGGGTGTCTAACTCTGTGTTACTGTGTGTTTGACCCTAACTTAATTTTATGCCGGTTATTCCCTTAAAGAAACCTTTTTCCTCCTTTTTCTCTGTAGATGTCAAGTTTAGGCTTGATGAGCAGACAGCCCACAGCAGTCTGGACCTCTTTAAGAAAGACACTGGCGTGATCTACCGCATGCTTGGCCTGGACCCCAGCCATGTGCAGGACAACCCTGAGCGTTTCCGAGACTGGGCTGTGGTGTTTGGTGACGAGAAGATCAGCAGTGGACGACATTACTGGGAGGTGACGGTCAAAAAGTCTCAAGAATTTCGCCTTGGTGTTGCCGAGGCGTTGATGTCTCGAGAAGACTGCGTGGGAACCAACAGCTCCTCCTGGGTGTTTGGCTACGCTCAGCGCAAGTGGTTCGCCATGACCAATAAGAAGATAGTTCCTGTGACGCTGGTGGGCAAGCCGGACCGCGTGGGCATCCTCCTCGACTTCGAACAGGGCCTTCTGGGGCTTGTGGACGCTGAAAAACCCAGGATCATTCACACCATCAGGGTCCAGTTCAAAGCTCCTCTCTGTCCTGCGTTCGGACTCTGGGACGGGGAGCTGCTCACACACTCTGGCCTGGAGGAGCCAGAGGGCCTGAAGTAAAGCAGGGTTACCTGTGACACTAATGATTAGAGTGGACATGAAAATGGACAAGCTTGCCTTCTGAATCGGGTTATATTCATCTTATTGGTGCTGGGAAATACAAGCAATACCTACGTCGGAATAAGTTACAGTTTGATCGCAGACAGCGGTTAATTTTCTGTGGTCCAGTGTTCATAATCATGACTCTTAATAGGAGTTCATACTTTCTGAATACCATCCAGCCTCAGGCGATCATTTCACATATGCTGATTTGTGCTTATCATGTGTATTACCTCTCATACTGACGAATAAAAATGATGTTTTTCTTTTGTGAGTATTATCAGCTGCATTATATACACAGTTATAAATCAACTCAGAACCTTTTTTGGACTCATGTTCATACTGTATATTGTTTAATAAAATGACTACACTTTGATTACTAGAATGTCATTTATTTACAGCAGGATAGTACATATTTACAAAGGAAAAGTCATGCTCAGGAATCAGATCATCGCCAGGGATAAACTGAGTTGAACAGTGATTAAACTCAGTATAAATCTGGATTAGAAATTTTAACCTATGACTTAAATCCTCAAAAAATAGTGGTTGACTTTCATAGTGGACATACACATGAAGTTGTTTGCAACAGTCTTTTGGAGAAACTGGATGTACTGTACCTCAGAGTATTTCCCCTAGTGCCCTCAAAAGTCTTTTAACGCGAGAGTAAATCCTCTTCAAATAAAAAATATAAGGTGAACACAAGCAGTGCCTAAAAGCATAGGTGAGCGGGTGCAAAGTACAAGTCATTCCAGCATAAACAGCAAGAAATGCGAAAGAACCACCTCCTGTCGAGGTAGAATAATAATGAAGCAGCAGTGGGAATATTTATACCATCATTACACAGGAGGCATAAAACTCTCTGATTAAATGACACTGATGAAGCAAAAATAATTCAATGTTTAACAATAAATAAGCACAATGAATAGATATTTACATCTCTGAGTCGTTTTTCATCCAGAGCAAAGCTCATTAATATTTCAACGGGAACCAGTTCCTGGTTTAATTTCATGTCATTTCCCCCATACAAGCACCATAAATATGGTGTTGTGTTAAAACAACTCTAAATTCTTCTTCCAGACTGCAGAGGGACGTCATTTTGCACACTATTGCTTTTCAACTTCCAATGCAACATTCGATATATTCATCAAAGTCCTGTTCATTAATCATGTTCATCAACCTTTCGGTGCCCTTCAGTCTCCTCAGGTGAAATCGAATTTCCTCAACAAACCCTTGTGATTCCTTAAACAGCGCTTTTCAATGTGTCCAGGGCAGGTTTCTGCTCCTCTGTGCTGGAATGGGACTCTCTTTCGTCATACATACTCTGGTACTCTTGCAGGAGTGACACAACCAATTCATGGCCAAACTGCATGGCATCTTCTACAGGTGAGTTTCCCCATCTAGAAGACAACAAAATGCACTCAGAAAGAGAAGCATTTCCAACCATTTTCCGCATAATACACACCGTTACTGAGCAGATTTTGTACCTGTCTTTCATGTGGGGATTCACTTTACAGATATCAGTGAGGAAAACAACAGCTTCCAGATGACCTGGATGATGAAAGAGAGAAACATGGCCTTAATACATCTATTCCTGTTTGAATATCAAAGCCAAGATTATTCAAGCATGAGAAAACTTATAATGAGGTGTCACCTTCTGCTGCAGCAATGTGGAGCGCTGTACGAGAGTCATAGTCTGTCTGCTCCATGTTCACAGCTGAAAGGGCAAACCTGGAGGGGTAAAAAAAAAAAAAAAGGAGCCGAGTAAAGAAGAGAAAACAGTCGTGAAAAGGTTAGCTGTTGACAGCAAACTGTCAGAAAGTGAGACAAGTAGTGCTGCAATTACTTGAGCACAGAACTTAAAAGGGTCCCACGGTACAGCAAGTGCGTCTTTTTGTCATTAAACAGGTCAAGGTGCCATCCTAAAGTACTTAAACACGCTGCAAGCACGACCCACCATGCAACCTTCTTTTTTCACAGTTTTAACTTTGTCAAAAACAACATTATCATTCTGTGCAGAGGCAAAAAGCCAGGAGACAGAGGTCGAAGAAATACCGTACAATCCTGGAGTCTAAATAAGCCAAAGTCTCATTTAACAGCCTTCCTAATGATAATAACAGAGACAGCTGGCTGATTATTATGATTATTTGAAATAACAGAGCATTTAGTCCAACTTTGACCCGCTGCTCAGTTCATTTCATGTCTGAATACTTCTGAAATCAAGCAACGTATAGTTCAGGTTTAGGAAAAAAAAACACAGCTAATCATCTCAAAATGCCGCGTTACTGCGAGAGCTCCGGGGAATCACTGAGAGGGAACATTAAAACCATTTTCATCAACAAACTTCAGAGCACGTACTCTCTTCCAAAAGTGCTAAGTATAAACTGACGGGGATTGAAATTCTGTGAATAAAAGACAAGTTTGACATTTGAACAGTGCTTTATATTTGCTAAAAGACGGATACTCCTCTCAGGCTCAGCGTGTAAGCACCACCAGGAGACGACCAGATCAGCCTTGCTCTTTGAAAAAGTGACTAAATCTGTAGAGAGGCTGCTCTAATGCCCATTCATTAATGTTAGTACATCAGTTTTGTTTCATGGGTTGGTGTCTTGCATGATTTTTTAAAAACATTTCAAAACCACGCTCCAGGCTCCTGTTGCATATTTATCACACAGATGTTGAAGAGATGTCGATCTTTTGGTCTACAGCAGGCATCAAAGTGAAAAAGCTTATCATTTTTTAAGTGTTTCTGTTAGATTTCATCATCCGACTTTTCTAGATTCTCAGTTTTGTAATAAAAAATGAAACGGTGGTTGTGTTTTTACGCTACCTTCTCAGAGCAGCAACATCCCCGTTGTAGGCTGCAAACATCAGGTTCACTACGGATTTGTTCTATGAATAAAAAAGAAATAATTGCAGTGAAGTTGTGGACTGATGCTACATAAAATCTTGAATCCTGAATCCTATTGGACTTACAGGATCATTGTCAGATTTTCTCCTGGGATCATGTTTCTTTGTGAAGTGTCTCAGGTTGTCGTAATTGTGGAAGTTGAAGTAAGACACCAGATCCTGGAAAATCAAAATGTTTAAAAACTACTGTAAATATTCGGCATCTTCAGTGGATGAGACAATGAGATTATGATTGAGATTGAATACCTGACAGAAGTGAATGCCACGGACACTGTTGCCAAGTCGATCTAAAGGTGGGGACCAACACATTATACCCATGACATTAGGCACCACCAACAAAACAGCCCCGGAAACCCCAGATTTAGCAGGCAAGCCCACCTGAACAAGAGAATATTACAGTTAAAAGTGACATTTGGGATCATAATTCAGCATGAGAGGAAATAAGTGCGACAATGCTCCAAAGAGATCCTTGAGTTTCTGGTGACTCACGTAGAAGGCAAACTGTCCGGAGAAGTCGTACATGCCACAAGAGTGCATGAGACTCAGGGTGTTTCGAACAGCTTCAGCACTCAGCACACGGTCGCCTGAGATTGGGCAAATACCCCCGTTGGCTAGTGTGGCAGCCATGACACTTCCTGACTCACAGGTCACTTCAATGGAGCATAACTGAAAAGGTTAAATAAGAAAAAAGGTAAATTAACTTCAGAGTCATAGAGATAGATTTTTCTGAGTTAGTGTTCAGGAATTAACTTTGTTTACTTTTTTTTTTCCAGTAGTCAGCCAATAAGGTTGATATCAAATATCACAGCTCAGCCTTTGGCTGGTTATTTTAGCTTGGCAGCAAGACTGTTAAGAGGGAGGAAAAGCTATTCTGGCCATGTTACAAAACCTGCCTACAAGCAGAGCTGCAGCTCATAAATTAACCTGTCTTGTGTTTGCAAGTTGTAAAAACAAGGAGTTTGGGTTTTATAGGAGGGATGTACTGGACTAATCCTGCTGGGACAGTTAAGTAACTAAGCAATGAGCGGATGCTGAGTAAGTAAATAGGGTTTACATCAATCACAAAGGTGGGTATGAGATCAACTTTCTTATACTTTTGACACTTTACAAACCATTATTTCAAAACTTCATAACTTTTTAATCCACAGAATATGACTCAAGACTGAGAGGCTTACCTGAAAGTAGAAGTCCAGGGCAGCTATCATGTCTGAATTTTCAGGGAAGCACTGCAAAGAGTGAGATTAAAATCAGCATTTACAGATGAGATAGATTCTCTCTTTTTATCCTGACTGTTCAACAAGCACTTTCTACTTTTACCACCAAATATTGAAACAACTGAAACACTCACTTTTTTCTCTTTGAGGTAATAACCGATTGCAAAATTCCTGTCCCCAGTCTCCCTCTCTGACTGGAAACTAAAGATAAATGTCAGGTGTGAGAAAGTTTCATTTAAAATTAAACCATAAAAGTTGATTTTTATAACCACAGCAAACTCACGTTGCATTGCTAAAACCCACAAACTCTCGACCCGCCATACTCTTCAAGAACTCCATCACCTGCAAAAATAGATGTTCATTCAGTTCAGCGAGGAGATCAAATAAAGAAGTGACATTGAATCAAAAAAAGGTGGAATATGTTAAAGTTTTACTCACATAGTCAAACCTCTGGGCTTTATTTGCCTGAGGCTGTCAACAGAAAAGGACAAAGTCACTTTCACAGCGACCATTTGAGTGGGTCCCTATAGATGGCAGTGTCTGAGCAGTTAAACATCATCACATGGTGTAGGCATTGACGTATATTGTATGTGTACATGTTCTTGTGCTTGTCGGTCCATGTGGAGATGTGCACACTGGCTCGGGGGGGAGCTGTTTATGGCCCTGCTTGAATTTCACAGGCCGGTGAGGGATCATTACCAGGTCGTAAAGTGACTGGACAGGAATGGTTGTCACATTTATATCTTTAAATGCTCCTCATGATATTAGGTGTTACTGTGAGTCGAGGCGGTAACATGTGACAGGGAAGGGCAACTTCTTTTCAAATAGTTGATTCGCAAAGTAGTTTTTTTAACACCTTTTTTTATATTAAGGTCTTTAGTTGCATCAGAGTCCTGAAATACTCCAACAGGATCAGCCTGTTCTCCCTTTGTCCTCTGTTTAAGATCAGTCTTCACCTCATTGTTATGTTTATGGACTATGCATTGAATGTCCCACTCAATGCAAGAGCATGCACACGAGGGTGGCGAACACACCTTCTGCTCTGGGGTCTGTAATTGGCCGGAGGCGCACACACGCCCCCCCCCCACTGTCATCCCAAACACTGTCCCTCCCTCTCAGCTGAGCCTGACCCACATATGATAAGAGGTCCACAGTATCTCCACTGCCAGCTGGGAGACTTCAGGACAGCTTGAAAAATACACAAACCCGTTTGGCTAAACTCCACCCACCCAGCGCTGATAAGTTAGGTGCCTGGTCAGTCAGATGTTAATGGCCATAGTCCAGCATCTGACACCAAATGACCAGCCGACAGAGAAGATTAGCCAGTGATAGCTGACGTCATACTGCGGAGGTGACTTGGTTCACAGACTTTCAACACACTTGGTACGACACTAATATTCCTAAAACTTTTAATTGTAATTTTAACAAATTACAAAATATATTCAGCTTTAATTTACTGAGTCTTTTGTGGCATCTCACAGGAATTATTCACAGCCTAATCATGCACTTGTTTAGTCCATTAAATAATCCTTAACAGCAATCAAAAGTGTAGAGTTTTCAGCATTGTGGATTTTTTCTTTATGCTAAATTTGTTCTGTTGAATCTACAGGACAGACTGACACGAACTTCACTTGGTCACATAGTGCCAGTCCCATTTGGTCAACATGTGAGCGCTCTTACCACACAGACCGTAAACAGTGTCAGATTTCACAATGACTTTTAGCGAGCGAATTTTAAATACACGTGTGTGAGCTCTATAGAGCTCTCACGTGTCTATGCATAAGTCACATACAGTATGTGTCGTTATTTATTTTTATGAGTAAGAGGTGACAAAAAAAAATGCTCTTCCAATGGATAGAGAAGCTTTCGTTTGGTAAATTTCGGAGTACTGTTTTGAAACAAGAAACCTGACGAGAGACTTTATTGATTGATTTTGTCATTGGTGGACTATCTATACTGTTTAGTTTTTTAGTTGTTGTTTTTTGCTCATTATTTAACAAGGACCGGTCGATTAAACCTTGAAACTGTGTTTTAGAGAAGAGAAAGGCTGCAGCTGAATACCAGACAGCACAATAATAACAGGAAATGGAAAACTAGAAATGATCTCTGCTCATAAAAAGAGAGTTTATTCTTTGAGAAACCACATTACTACAAAAATCCCTGTCTTTGATTTCCTGCACATCCTAAATATGAATGTAGGAGTTCATTTAGTGTGTGTAGTCTTAAGTGAAAACCTCTGCATTCATTAAAAAACCCATTTTGATAAATATTGTATTCACTGCTGACAAGTCTTTAGATTTTACCTCGATTAAAGAGCTGATGACAATGGCTCCGGCGTTCACCATCGGGTTGTGAGGTTTCACTGCACAGGAGATAAGAGCATGCCATCACTCATTTGCCCACAAACCACAAGAGCAATAAAACGCTTAGATTAGAGGATGTATTTCACGAGGAAAACAAAATGAACACTAATGATCAGCTCATAAACTGGCCACACGGAAGATATTTCTACCTGTCTCGAGGGAGAGGTGATAAAAGAGTGCAGAATTTCTCCCCGAGTCTCTTTGGCAACCGTTTTTTTGGTCAAATTAGTTTTTTTTTTCTTTCTCATCTTTGCCCTGCTGACAGGTAGAGTCAGCTGAAATAACTATTCAAGGGGAAAAGTTGTGAAAAATTTAAAACTACAGACTACTTACAAAGAAAGTGTTTTCCCAAAAGTCAGGGTGAACCAGTTCTACACTCACTATTAGTCGTACTGTTTGCTCTAGTGTGGAGACTGTAACTGGAGTAAGAGTCATGTTGAAACTTATCACTTACTGTCATCATTTAGTGACAGCTTGTTGAACTTGAATCCACTAGGCTCTTTGCCCACAAAGTTGTGAACGTGATCACCGCCGAAATCATGCACGGCGATGGCGTACTCCAGAGGCTTCACACACGACTGCAGACAGAAGGGAACCTTTGTGTCACCCACAGAGTGTCTGTTTGATATGAAGATGGGATGAAGATGGAGATAGAAACCAAACAGACAAAAAAAGAAAAAAGAAAAGAAAAGAAAAATGGTGGTGTGTTAGTGAGGTTGTACACACGGATGGAGGTTTTCTGAATGGAAACATGCAGCGAATGAAAGATGTAAAAGATACCTCTGTCCGTCAATTGTGCACAGAGACACACCCCACAGATCAGGACTGAATTTAGCAAGCTGAGGAATGTAATCAGCCACCTGAATGACCCAAGAAACACACATGTTAGTGTAACTTGAACAAGAAACTGAACAATAATGCATGTCAGCTCATGGTCGGCTCTTTCCTTACCTGTCCAGCTTCCTGCACTTGAGCGCTGTCATACATCTTATCAATCTGCTGGGTAAACTCCTCAAAGTTTGGGATGATGAACTTTTTTTTGAACGCTTTGGTCAAAAGCATGATGTTGTTGCCCACACACCTACGAGAGGACACAAGTAAGACAGAGATGGTGCAGCATTAATATTGCATTCATGGTTTTAATCAAGTTAAATATAGCGGCAAAACAAACCTCTGCAGGTTTATTAAAATAATGCCCATATGCAGATGGAGCATTAAATAAGTTAGACTGTATATTAATGTATTTTTTAAAGTTTTGACACTTTTAATGTGCTTTTTATTCCAAAACTAGATGATAACTGCATTTAAGACCTACAGGCTGGTTTGTTTAGTTAATTCTTTTTTAATAGGTCTATAATTTTTCTAACCAGCTGACACTGACATTACATAGGATAATTGAAATTCATGAACACATTGCCTTATTCTCTGGGATTCAGCTCAGAGAAGTTAAGCTTCTTTGGCTCCAACACTCCTTGGCTTCAATCACTGAAATCTGTTCTGCCTGCAAAATGTTTGTATAACCGAAAACTGCGATCAATATCAATTTGTTTGAAAAGCCCAACTTCTGAAAGGGCATTCATTTTCGTTCCCATCATACTGAATTTGAGGAGGCATGCCTCCAGCCAGCACATACCCGTTTTAAAAGGATAAACAACCACCACACTCGTCCATATCAGCAGGTTCAAACTGTTCTAACAGATTTTCATTGCTGTAATTGGATAGCAATGAAAGATGGCTCCGAGAAAAAGTATGTACATTCTGTCACAGCCAGTCTGAACTAAAATATCTGGCCCGCAGCGCTCACCAATCCAAGGCAAAGCTAGCGTGAGATTTTGGGACAACGAGGGGAAGAGAGTGGAAAGAGCTTGCATTATTTATATGGGTCACTTCCTTGAAAAAAAAAATCAGAGATAGCACTCTCTATTTCTAGAGGCATATTTATAGTGGGCTTTTAAGTGTTCTTCAGGAAAGGATAACCTCAACAAGCTGTGAAAAAATAGAAAGTCGGACACAGCCAATTTAGTTTGACAACTGACAACCAGACTGTGAAATCTCCCGTTGTGTCCGGGCCAAAGGATGAGACTAAGTGGATCAGGTTTACAAATGTTTGGCAGTAAGTCGGTAAAAAGTCTACAAAGAGCTCGAACTGTAGCTTTTTATAATGTAATTGTAATTGGTCAAAGTTTATTTTGATATTCAATCGACCAGTTGAGTCATATTTTTACAGCAAATGTGTTTAAATTTACTGATTCTAGTTTCATTAATTAAAAAATGTGTTGCTTTTCTTTCTCATTTTAGGTAGAAAAAGATTGGTTTTTGGATTTTGAACATATTTTGAAGACATCACTCTGAATTCAAGAAATTTCTTCTTTTTTTTTGGGAGATTTTACAGATTATTTATCATGAAAATAACACGTGTTTGAGGGCAATGAAGTCACTAGAAGTCCCAGTCCTGCTTCTAATCTAACTGCAGCAGTCTGGAGCTCTACCAAAAAGATGCCCTTTCATTACCATGGCCCTGCGACGCCGTCTGTCCTGCTTCACCCTCTCCTGCCATGGCTGGCATGTGCAAACAAGAATTTGGTTAGTGGCAGCTGTTCGCCATAAAATGCCTGTCTGTGTCAGGCTCTTAGACTCAAATAGCGCTGAGCACAGGTTACCTCTCCAATTACTCTTTTACATAACCACGAAGAATTATAACGAACACCCTTAACTGAACCTGGAGTTGCTGCTCTAATTCTTTATTTACACTTTTTTATCTCTCAGACTTTTATAATTCAAATCAAAACATATTTGATTGACATGTAAACATTATGTTCTGTCTACTTCTCACATGCAAGCAACAGCTGAATACTTGCCCTTTGCATGTTTTGCACGACTGTCTCCATGAATAAACAAAGATTTTCTCACCTTCTGAATAGCTTCTTGTCCATCATGACTGGCCCGAGAGAATCACGTGTAAAGAGCCGCATCTGATGGACGCAGTCACGCAGCCGGGGGTCAGACGTCAACAAACCTGTTTTTCTTAAGGCCTGGAGCAGGGGGAGATATAAAGCAATTGATACTTGAGCAAGGATTCATTTATACTAACACTTGGCAGGTTCATGAGGTAATGCACGTGATATCATAAGGTGTAGATGGCATACATAGATTCAGCACTCCAAATGCTCAGGAGTTCTTACATGTGACTAAGGAGGAAGTGCAAACTTAGATCAGATGACTGGAATCTCTCTAATGAGTCTCTCGTCGAGCTGGCAGTCACTTTATAAACCGTATGCTTCTATTTCGAGGACACTGTGACCATATCTACCAGAGTGGGCACGTTTTTACTCAGTCATCTCATCTGAAAACCGATTCAGGGAGCTATCAGCAAAAAAAGCACATGGCTGTCAGCTTCCTGTTGAAGATCTGTGAATGTTCCTGAAAATTTGGGCTGTGCTCGGGAAGGATGATTTTAAGGTTTTATTATGTAACTGGCTGTACGAGAGGGTTTGAGTTAGGTTTTACGAGCAGTTCACACTGGATAGATTTACCAATGACACAAGCAAGCCTGCAGTTTAAAAGCTTGGTGAATTTGACCTTGGTCTACAAAAGTAGTGTTAGATATTGCATCACCTGATAAGAAGATGTAATGAAGGACTCAGACTATTATCAGCAATACTAATATAAAATGATTGGTTAAATTCACAATTTTATTTTTAAAAATACGATCAAAATAAAAGTACCTATTTGATTACTTTGTCTATTACAGTGAACTGTAATTTTCTTTCAGTTTAGTTCAAATAGAAGAAAGAAAACAGAAAAAACTACAATTTCACAAGCCTTAAATTTAGCTTTTTGGGAAATTGCATGAGTGACTATGTAGACTGGTGTACCAGTACCCGTAAACTTGTGAGGAAAGACTTCTTCTTGCACAATCTATGTATGCCTATGAATGTCCTAACCCATTTTCTTCTTCAAACACACCCAGTCATCCATGCCGTGACACCAGGCCACCTGTGTTGACACATGGCACTTCTATGAGATGTGCTCTCCTTTTTTTAAAAAAGACTGAGTTTCCATAGACACCTAGGTCACCAGATGTCTCATTTTCCTGTTTAAAGAGGGCTCTCTGGTTGCAAGGGTTTTGAAATAGCATGTTAGTTGCAGATGGACTCTGTAGTTGATATCCCTCCTCTGAGACACGTACAGTTCGGAGGTGGCCCCCTCGTAGGATCCTAAAAAGACCTGTGACATAGGTTTGACATATGCTGTCATGGGTGTACATGTGTACTGGACCCATGTAAGGGGGTGTCAGTTGACCTACATTCCATTTTAGTCCCTATGTAAGTGCTCTGTTATTATCAAAGCTCTAATTCGACATTAAACTCATGAAGTGATAGGACTGTTGAAGCATTTCCTGGCACAGCCTAAAGGTGTAAAAATCACAATAGCTGAACTCCAAGAGAACCTCGAATAAAATGTGAAAAGTGCATGTTGTTCTCTGGTGATTACTGCAGTGTCACACCTCTTATATTTAGCTACGTCTGTTACATAACATAGTCCTTAACACATTTTAAACTTGACCTTGCATTCAGCTGGAGACACTCTGGATTCTTGAAATGTGCTCCTATGTCACCCCCAAGGTTGAGTTAACTAAAGTTGTGGATGCTTTAAGGAAATGCAACACCACTGTAGGGAAGAGTGAGTTCATATGTCGACAAATGCCATGGAAAGTCAAAACAGTTCAAAGTGTGATAGGGGAGACGTGTACGTGTTGTTGACTCACAGAGATGAACTGCGAGAGGGGGATCATCTCTTTGCCTTCAGTGATGGTGTAGAAAAGTAGGTCCTCCATGCTTGACATCCACCTGCTCCTGCTAAAACAAACAACGCAAACTGATTGAACTGATTCATATCAACTCAAAAATATGGCAAGTGCGTCAACATTTATGTAAGAAGTGAAATTAAAGGCAAAGATCCAACTGACCTGACCTAATTCTCACCAAAACCAAGAGGTGAATGACCTCTTTACCGTAACTACATGAGCAAAAACGTGAAAGAAGACGGTCAAGTTCAGAGATTTTTATCTCAAGCATGTTCGTAGTTTGGTTATGACATATCTGGATAACAAAGGTTTATTTTGAAACAGTATTTTCTGTATACTGAGGGGCTGAAACTGCAAAAACTACTTGTTGAATGACAGTAAAGTCAAGCAGAATTTTTGATTTCAGTTATTTGACTCTAAACATTAAAATCTGCAACTTTTTTTTTTCTTTTCATGTCACTGCTTTTAATATTTCAATCCACGGTAAATACCAAGATTGATGCCATTTTCTTGTTTGCATGTGTTAATGCAAGATGTAAGATGCAGTAGGAACAGACAATGCATCTTATTGCATGCAGGTTTTTAAATAAGCATATCATATTAATAAATTATTGCTTGTCGGTTTAATTTTTTGAAACAACATATGACAAAAACAGAAAAGGACATTTTATGGCTGTAACTTTCAACCGTTTTGAAATTTGCCTTAAGTTGCCAGGGCAACCGGCATAGACTCTGAACCTGTGCAGGTTAAAACTTCAAACACTTTGCTTTTTTGGGCCAATGAGAAACACATTATTTACCTACCTTGAATTTCACTTAAACACTCTAAAACAACTTTAAACTTTTTCTTCTATCTGTACAAACAAAAGCATAAATTCTTAATTGATGCTGCGCTCTTAGAGATGCCGTTACAAGAGGCTAAAAAAAAAAAGCTGAATTATGGGTTCCTCATTATCCTAAACCCTTTCAGACTTAGTTGACAGCTTTGTTTTCACATTAATGAGGGCACAACAGTTTAAAATTGCTAATGATAATAAATGTTTTTGGCAGATTTATGTTGATTTATTCTGTTCGAGAGAGCCTCCTGTGACCTACCTTGGATGTCCTTGGTCCTCATCAGGGCTGTTCTGGTAATGAAAGGCTCTGTGGGTGTGAGGTGATGCTATGGCCCAGCAGGGGAGAGAAACAGGTTGCTGCGTCCTGGACAAGACAATGCTGTCAGCTCCAACTCTGGAGGAGATTCCTGCATTTTTAAACAGCTGCAAGACTCCCGGGTTGGCTGCCCTGAGACTTTTCAGGCAATGCATTGTGATAAGTAGGGTCTACTCTTAAATAGTTTAAAAGGCTCTTTTTTTTAACACAGAGGCTGAGCTAGGCAGAAACTTGTGGCAGTACACCTTGGTCCTCGGAGCTTTAATAGCAGCTGCTCCCTTACATACTGGATCAAGTACAGGCTGAAGCACGGGGGCGGGGCTGTGACACTGACAACATGGTTCAGATGGTGAGGTCAATAACCAGGAGCTACTGAAACCAAACCGGTATGACTTTCTACTGCAGTCACTGGATACAAGGCGGGAAAACCCCACTTTTTAATGTGACTACGTTTAGGACTACTTAAGTAATTAGTCTCTCAAAGAATAAACTTTTTCTCTCTATCTGAACTCAAATGTCAATGAATTTCCCATTTAAAGGAAAATAGATAAAAAATAAAGGCACTTTGGTCAGTAATAGTTTCAACCTACAAGGCCAGGTAAGCAGACATAGCCATAAACAAGCCTTATTCTCCAAACATTGCAACATTTTCCATACACTGTCCTTGGGAGTATGGCTGCATGCCAGCAAACAGGTTTGTTGTTACACTTCTATCACAGAAACAAGGCGACTGAAAAATGGTCACTGCGGTTTAATTATTGATTTATTTATACTACTACCAAAAAATAACATAGTATTATTGTGCTGTTGAGTTCAATATTCCTCCAATTGATGGTTGTAGTATGATATAAAACAGCACTGACTCATATTCCTGCTGCCTATTTGATCAAATTTAATATTCATGATCTGGATGTGGCTCTTAAACCTGTCATTGGTTTGTAATTTTAGATACCATAATAGTTGTTAAATTCAACCACAGGCCTGGTGTAGTTTAGCAGATGTGTGCTTTTTGTTAAGTATGGGAAATAATATAAAAAGATAATGTCATGTTGCCAACAGAGGCCCCTTTTCTACTGCTGTAAGATGGCGACACCTCATGGTGGTTTTCTAACACTAACACTTTGAATTTTACAACCTTTTCCTCTAGGTGGCGTGCTCGGTCCAGGGCCCAGTACTGAGTTCAGTCTCTGTTCTGGTTGCCTGTTATTTTGTTGAGCGGACACATCACAGTTGGGTGTCTGAAATCCTTCCTCTCCAAAGGTCTTTTTTCTCTTTTCTCAGCAGTCTTCCAGATCCCTCAGACACAATTTACTTTGTAATTTTGGATCTTTTGAGTTTGAGACCTTACTTCCTGTCTTTGATGTTGGCCGCTGTGTTAAGATGCGTCTGAGTGAGACACTGGCTGACTGTTATGAAGGATTTAGAGCTTACAAAGAAGTCAATTGGACTTCTTGGCTGTTTATTGTAATGGGGGCTAGTTTGTCTGTGGTCCTTCAAATTGGTTTATACAATCAGGGAGATGCTGAAGGATCCTTGTGATAAACCAGAACACCCCTGAGTCTAGATTCTCAGCATGCATTCATTTATCCTCTATCCTGACATGCATGCTAAATTTTAGTATCTGTTTTCACACTCTTGTGGGTGATCTGATATTATCTCCATTCCCAAATAAACGAGGCTTCACTGGGTACTGGTGGTCTCCTCTGCATTTCTAGGCGTGTGATTCTCCTAAGGGGTCCATGCTAACCCATGGCCTTTCTGCACTACCTCTGCCGGTTGTACCTTCTCTGTTTTCAGGCGAAAATGTTTTCCATTCCTGGGCCAATGAATGCCACCTTTGTCCCTTCATCCTCCATCTTGGTGAGAAAGCCCCCCTTGCTGCACTCACCAAGCCTGCACAAACTTAACCTCTTCCCCCCTCCACCTCACACAGGAAAAGAAACATACCGAGTCTGGCGCTTTGATTCAGGCTCAGTAATCTGGAGGTCTGGATAAAGCGCTATCTTAGGGACCACTTTGGGCAGCAAGTTTTGTGGGATTTAAGGAAGTAAGAGGTGCAACAGCTGTTTCAACTTCACCGGATCAGTGTAAAGATTAGTCTTAAAAAAACATCTTTAATCAGGCGATGAAACAAATATTAGATATGGACATGAACGGATGAAAATGAAGGCTTCAAATGACTCCAAATATTTATATTGACAAGCATGGTCAGAATTATGAAAAGGTTGTGAATCAGTTAGAAACACTCATCATCAGCCTGCTCATAGTCGACCATTTATACCTCAATTTTTCAGGACTGGTGCAAAATGGTGTTCTCGATTTTTCACTCTCCACTTAATTTGGACTGGATGTTTCATTACTCCAAAAACAGTGTAATTTAATAACCCTAAATTAACCCATTTTCAGTTTTAGTTAATCATCAAATTTGCCTTACGATCAAACTTAGACTACCTGCAAAGAGATCATTTGACTTTTGAATAGATGCCTGAAATTAGAACTGCACACGGTGAAATGGAGCTCCTCACTAGAACCTGTTAAGAAGAGATTTAATGCATCGCTCAAATTAAAGGATAAGGACCATTATCCCGGTGCCGCCCAGAGGGAGAGGAATTTCATCTCATCGCAAAAATGACCCTTACACACAAAATGACACACACACATAGAGTGAGAAAGAGAGATTGTTATGGTTTCTCTATCTCTCTTAAGTTATGTGATACATGCTGGTCCCAAAGTGGGTAAGGAGAGACTAAGAGGCCGTACATCCCACACCTTTAAAACTAATGATTCATTTCTCAAACTATCAATTATGCAATCAATATTTATCGATATTGCACCATATCACAACAAACACAATCTCACTTTGCAAAATGTATTCCGCAGCAATACAGCAGGTCTAGACAACATCAAGACAAGATCCATCCTATCTTTATCTACCATTAGCAAAGCACTTTAAAAGCAAGTTACAGTATAAAGAAAAAAACTGCCTCTTAACAGGATGAAACCTCGAGCAGAACTGGACTCATGTTGAACAGCCATCTACTGTGGAAGGCAATGACAATGACAACAATGCATTCAGACTTTTAATTACAGGGCAAAAAATAGAGATAGAAGTCCAAGCTTTGACTTAATGATAATGTAGTGATCTTAATATTTATGGCAGACAGATCTAATAGTGGCTTTTTTACTTCTGCATCCATCCATCATTTAATCTGCTCACCCTATTCAGGGTTGTGAGGGTCTGGAGTCTATTCCAGGTGTCATTAGGTGAAAGGTAGAAAAACCCTGGAAAGGTCGCCGGCCTCTTACAGGTCACATATGGACAGACCACTTCAAACAGCAAGGGTCAGTGTTTTCTTAATAACAACATGGGAGCCACAGATACAGATGACCATCTATCTAGCACACAGGGATTGTGGTTTAATCTCACTATTTTCAAAAAGCTGCAGTAGTGCACAATACTTGAACATCATTAGATAACAGCTAGTGAACAGAAGAGTAGATGGACGCACACTTTCTTGTGAATTTGTGGCGCTGCTGAAAGTGCAAAGCAACTGCATTGACTTGTAAAAACTGTTATTGCAAGTTTACAGATTATCTAGAATTATAACCAGCACATTATGTGAATGTGTCTGGAAAGTAATGGGTCTTGTTGTAAGACAAACTATTAAATGTCTCACGTAACATGTTAACACTCATTAATCATTCGTACATCATTGTTTGGTTGTTCAGGCGTGTAATAAGTATTAACGCCTTGCGGGGGCGCTGGCATGGCTTCTGAGTGTTACTGTGTTGATCATTTAATTAGAATTTAATTGGTTTGGATCAGATGTTGGCTTCCTTATTTAAGCTTTTGAGAATTCTTGAAGTTTGCTCTCTGATAGGGATTAAATTACAGTAACAGCGACACTTTGATATCTTATCTGCTCCCTTCAGTCAATTTTTATGAGGGATAGGACAGATTGTGGACACTGTCTTCTCCTTTTCCCTAGGTGGGTGCTGACTAGCCTGTTGTCCCTGGTTTGTGTGTACACAGAGGACCAAAGCCACCCCCTCCCCTGTGGTGACTGGGCCGAAACCTAGACACCCTCTAGACCCCTGGAGCCTCTGTGCACCCGTACAGTTGTGAAAGGTCAGCCCCCCACATCACCACCCTCTGTCCGTCACTGCCATCTCTTCCCCTTTCCTCAAACCAACCCCCCTCCTCCTTCATCCTCTCCGAGCTTCCACACCCTTCCTCACCCACCAACCCCCATCCTCACCATGCAGCTATCCCACTGCCCTGCCATCTCACAGCATTCCGCAGGCCGTGCACACAGAGGCCTATTGTGTGTGCTGAGAGACGGCAGAAGGCAGCATACAGTCAGAGCGGCCGAGAAAAAGGATGTGTAGAGCTGAAATGAACTCAGTATTCCTGCTATACACTGATATAGAGCTGTGGTTAAAGTTGCCTAGAGAGATTGTTGCAACAGAGAGCTTTAGAGGGATGAATGTTAAATGGCTGCTTTCACCTCGGCCCACCTGGAGCTTCTCTTGAATGATTATGTTTCTCTTTTTCCTACTTTTTAACATTGAGAAAGACTCGTCTCCTCCAGAGGGAAATGTTCTTGCACACCTGTTTATATCTGTACTATCATTAGCCTTCTTCAAATTAAAGCCTCTGCAAATAAACTGCAACTTCACCACTTTTTTTAGACAGTTTTACTGGCACTGTATACCCCCTTTATTGTCCGAGGGTCATAGATTATTGATTCAGCTGGGTAACTAGCTGTCTGAATTCCTGAGATGTTTTCGTTGCGTCCACATTGGTTGCGGTGTCCAGTTTACTAAAGCTAAAAAGATAAAACCAGACTAGACTCAACTGACTCTAAGGCTCACTTCGTTGCCGCTGCTTTCATCATAATCTAATTTAAACACAACAAACAGCTCTTGGATGAGAACCTAAATGAGGAGGGATGGTTCAAATCTTTCTTTCCTGTATGTGGAATGAGGGGGGGGCTCCCCTGGAAGTCACGACCCTGGAATTACTGTGCTTCTCCTCATGACAAAGACCCCCTTTCAAGCTCCCTCACCTGGGCTATCTAGAGAGAGGTACATGATAGAGATCACACAGGCGTTTCATCACTCTTCTGGCTCAGCATCACAATAGCTAATTTTGGCATAGATGGGCTATTTTGCCAGGAATTCTGCTGTGAACCTAAATAAATCCTCTGCAAGGCATGCTGGGAAATAAAACAGCAAATAAACTGATAGGAACGTGATACACAGAGATTAACAAAGTATCTGCAAACTAAATGAGAAAAACTAAACTTTATCTGAGGGGGAATTTTCTTCTACCCAGAAATTGAGTTGTTTTGTAGCCATTGACAACCTCCTGTCAATGGTCATTGTCCAAACAGACAAGGCTCTCAGAAAGTTTGACTGCTATGTGAACATGACATAACTGCCCAGATGAATGGTCGGCTCAATACTTGAAGGTTGCCCAAGAAGGTGCAGATTAACCCGTAATCCGAAAGATTATAGTGGAACAAATAACTGCTGACCCAGTGTTGGAGCGCCATTATAAGTGTCACTTTTTTGTCTGGAAAAACTTTTTTTTTTCCAGTATTCTCTAAAACACCGGGAAAGTCACAAAACAAGAAGAAGCAATTATGGTTTTTGTGCATTTACAGAACAAGAAATAATGAGCAAATAAAGAATATGCCATTAAATTTGCAATTTGAGATCAAAATATATTGACAATTTGAGCAATCTTTTCACAAAAGACTGACTGATTGGGTCGGCAAGACAAGGACTAGAACAGATCTGGACCTAATCTGTAGATTTTTACCACACACCTTACTTAAACTCGGCAATGTTAAAGTTTGTCTGATTATGAGTAAACAGATTCTCATTATCCTTGCAGATTATACTCACGTTTTCACAATCATTGTAACCTCAGTGTGACCCCAATCATTTAATGTTAGGTTTAAAGCAGTTTTAATCACATATTGGTGATTAAAACACAAGAATGACCCTTTAATTAATCTGAAAAGTCTTTTTATTCTCAGCTGTAAGGTTTTTTTGCAGTCAGATAAAGAGCTTGACCTTTACTCTGCTACTACTTGCAGCTCCCTTTTTAATGCGAAAGTGAAGGTGCATCTCTTGGCCAGGCCAGGCCAAGCAGGTCAAGGGAGGAAGGAGGGTCTGAGTTAAAAAAAAAAAAACCCTGGGAGAGTAGATGCTGCTGGATTAAGGGGAGGGAGATGAGGTTCAGGTTTCACCCTGACAGGGGGTCTGGGGGAAGGACTGGTATTTTGGAATATACGAAGATCCATACAAGGCATAGTGGACATAAAACCGCGGTGCTTGCCCTGACGCGGTGGGTGCAGAGTGCCAGCTGGGGCCCCGCGTTGGATTCCACTTAGATTTCGGAGGGTTTGGCTGCATGGTGCCTTAAGTCTCTGGGAACACACACTTGCCACACCACTGACTGAACGCCTGGTCTCCTCCATCACTTCACTTCTCACCCAAGCTACTGCATGTCTAATATTTAGACATGTTCAGCTTTGTGGATTCAAGGACTGTTCTGCTACTTGTAGCATCCCAAGTTGTTTTACTATCCGTGGTCAGATGTCAGGAAGAAGATGACCGTAAGTTGCACGATAATTTTCCAGATTTTTTCCTTTTTAATTGCAAAAAAATGTTAAATGCTACTATGTTGATGTTTTTTGTTCATGCATTCCTTATCACCTTAACTTCATGCTGCAGAAAAACAAAGATAAGTGGAAAGAAATCAAAATGTCATTTCTGTCAAGTTGGATGAAAAACCTGTCTACGACTGGGTTTAAGTTATTTACACTGATTTGTGTCCGAATTGTGTCTGATTTAGCAGGAGTGTACTGTCAAATAGGCTGTAAGTTGTGTTAACAAGTAAGAAAGTTCACTGATGTCTCTAGGATAGATAAGGTTGTCAAGGCACATCTGTGTATGATGGAGGACCAGGTGAACAAGTGCCTGTTTGTTCTCACCTGGGCCCTGCAGCTCAACCTTACTGCTGCTCTTATACCACAAATATATTTGCATGTCTTCTTTTTAGAAACAATTTAGAAGCAGAAAAACTTGCAGATTGTTGAGGAAAGAGTTCAAAATGAGTAATCTAAGTTTCTTACCAAGTAGAAAATATATGAACCTTAAGGAACTGGTTCGATCAGGAGCAGTTTCAGGATCTACATGATGTGACGTGACAGGGTCAGACAGGATTTGACCCTAGACTAGCAGGCTCAAAGGGCTGCAAGAGGGGAGCAGGACAAGGGACAGAGTGTAAAGTTGAGGGATATTTAGCTGTATTTAAAGAGAGTTGTTTTTGGCTAGCTCCACAGTTACTACTTTTAATTTCCTTAAAGCAGTAATCCACTCCTTAGTTTAATCTAATAAATTGAAATAAAAGAATAAATAGTGGTGAGGTAGAAAGCAAAGATTTCAGTTTCTAAGTAGCTAAACTCATTCCAGATCAGGCTCTAAGGAGCTTTGTAACGTGTACGCGCTAAGTATCACTTTCACAAATCTGCTTAAAAAACAAACAGCTGCACTTTCAGCCCTAAACTACACATTTAACAAATCATTCATTCTTATTTCCTCAAAGTGTTTGCACTGGCCCTCGACACAGCCATGGGATCCAGATGGAGAAATTTAGAAAAGACCCCGTGTTTACTCAAGGCAGCAGCTTGTCAATTGGGCACAGTATCCCTGTAAGAGGGGTTCATTCATACACGCGGGAGAGCAGGCCTGCAGGTTAAATATACTCAGTCCATGACGTGAAATACCTCAACCAGAGCCTCAGACACAAGTGTTAACTGTGGCCGGTGTTTGCATTGCATTTAAAGCCACCATAAAATTCAAATCATGATAACTTAGAGCTTTTCTTTCCCGCGTCTTGACTTATTTTTAGACCTTTTGAGTTCTTGTAGCGTGTTACAGCTCCTGCTTTGTACCAGAATACTTTAGGGGTCAAAGCTGCACCTGTTTACCAGTACTGACCCCTAATTAATCAATGTCATACAATCAGACTCCTGTTACTCCTGTTCTGCTGCTTTTTTAAGTTGACTACTTTTATACATGGGAGTTTTGAAGTTTTCATTGATATTAGATGTCTTTATGTTTCCTTTCTTTCTTCTATGTACTTCCCCATTGTTTACTAAACCCTGCCCCTCCATCCTACCCCCATACCGCTAATACTCCTCCTATTTCCTCGCCCTGCCCCTTGACCCCCTTTCATCCTCTCGCTCCAACAACACTGTATAAACCTCCCAATAACTCTCCCTTTCCAATGAACCTCAACCTCTCTGTCTTCTAATTGCTGCTTCCCTTCCTTGCCGTGCGCCCCCTGCTGGCCACACCACAGAGGAGGCAGGCAGCTGCATCCAGGATGGCCATCATTATAATGATAAGGATGTGTGGAAGCCCGAGCCTTGTCGCATCTGTGTGTGCGACAGCGGAGCGGTTCTGTGTGATGAGATAATCTGCGAGGAGATCAAAGAATGTGCCAACCCTATCATCCCATCTGGAGAGTGCTGTCCCATCTGCCCTGCTGATGCCAGTGCCCCCATTGGTTGTAATTTATTTATTCACATACCCATAAATAAATTACTCTTTTAGCTTGCATTTATCTCACCCTGGCTGACACTTTTGAATCGGGGGCTGCCTCAGGATCTATAAATCTGCTTCATCAGGACTGCAGTGGTAGCCACAGATAATAGATTTAAGATGTGATTTTAATGGTTTTTGCTGCACTAAAAGGAATTTATTATCCAGCTATAGTTTGAAGTCAATAAAGTCATTTTAATCATTTAAATCCTGGTGCTGCCCTGATACAAAGTGTCTCTATATATGCTTGATTTGGATGAAAACCAGACTAGAAACAGAATCAGGATGATCTTATTCCCAATTGGATGGATCCTGATATGTGTTTCCTGGTTGTCACCTTAATCAGATTAAATCACCTCTGCTCATTGATACCAAATATCAAGATGAAATCTGCTTTTAAATGAGCCACAAATCCATGATTTTCTTTTTTTACTTAGTTGAAGTTCATAAATAATTATCACTGGAAACTTTTTCTGTGAGGCATCACAAAAACAGACTGAATAGATGAAACTCTCAAAGGTTTAAGAGCCACTGTACTCATGTGGTGTTACAGAAACCTTCTTGTATATTTACAACGCACTAATTGATTTCAAGCTGCCAAAGAGGCAATAAGGAAGTGAGAGGAAAGAACAGATTTGATTGAAAACCGATCAATTACTTTTGCTGTAATCAGAGTTCCTGCCTGATGGTGTATTATTTTATTGTACCTCAAAACAGAGATTTATGAACTCTAAGCTTGCAAGATAAACAACTTTATGTGTAACAATAAAAGCTTCAGCTTTACGATACTCATTAAGCTCCAGCTATTAAAATGGCTTACACTCCCCTAACTTTGCTTGTTCTCACATTTTGCTTTATTGACTGGAACTAAGCTCTTAACTTAGTCAATACTTGCTTCTGCTTCCCCCCCTCTTGGAAAATATATCTCCCCCATTAATATAATCTGGATGGGTTCTTGGCCTTTGGGTCGGTGGATGGTATTTGATCACATTAGCATATTTTGATTCCTTTTCTTGACACCTTAAGAGAGAAGAGTCAGAACAGTCGGGTACTCTAAATGTTTACAACATCTTAACTTATTTTTCTTTTTCCCCCTTCACACATCCATCCTGATCTCAGAGACGATTGGTGCTAAGGTGAGGCAGTGGGTCGCTGGAAAATATTGACATTCTCTAACTCAAGAAATCACAATATGAAAACATGAAGAAAACAACATTATTTCTAATTTAAATTTGTCTTTTTTTTATCAATCAGGGCCAGAAAGGTGAACCAGGAGAGATTGCTGATGTAAGTATGAATCCACTGCTGTGCATCATGCTTAAGTATTCCCGGAAGTGCTCGATTACTGAGCAAGAACCTTCAACTCCAAACAACCTGATGGTCAAACTAATAATTAGTCTGAGTCAGAGCATGAAGACTGATAAACCTTTAAGCCTTCTTTACTCTTTTCTGGATTAAATAAATGCCAGTTAGTCTCCTCTACATTACACATACTGTATTTGACATAATCTAGTTTTTTTAATGTGGGATTTTCAGCTCAAATTCAGAGAAAATATCCATCATGTTTACAACTCAATGATTTTCCCACTTTCCCGGAGCTTCAAACATTTCTGCGGGGCAATTACTCGTTGATAACAGTCTAACTATAATTCCCATTAATCCCTCATTGAACTTTTTATTTTATGAGAAAAAAACCTGCATTCCTGGGACATAATGAACCCAATCAAATCCTCTTAGGTCCTCTCAGCAACATTGCTGCAAGTGCACATGTCAGGTGAATAAAGTCAGCCAAAGCAGAGGTTAAGAGGAGGTGATGTTTTTGGTAAAACTGGCCCCGTCAAACGAAATCCTCGTCACATTGTGTTTTCTAGCTTAACGTCTGCCTCCTGCAAGGTTGGAATGTTTTTCAGGAACTGGTTGTGCCACACACAATATGACAGATTAGTCAGGTAATAAAAAGTTGTTACAGGAAAAAAGGCACATAAAGCTGACATAAGTTGTCTCCTCTCTTTTGTGCAGGTTGTAGGACCAAAAGGACCACCAGGCCCAATGGTAAACACCATACATTTTATTCCAATCATTGGGATTTTAAAGAATGCATGCAGAGAGACAAGTTTACAATATGTTGTCTTTGTTTAAGAAATGCATATAGCAGGGTTCATGCAATATCTTTGTTTTTGCAGGGCCCCCCAGGTGAACAAGGAGCACGTGGAGAAGCTGGCGCTAAGGGTGATAAGGTAAGATAAAACACTGTGTCTAAAGAAATCACTTCCACCCATTACTCAATATATGGTCCTGAAGAGTTAGTCCCACATTCACATGGTTATGAGGTTTCAGCGTTGGGTCTCTGACTAGATTAGACAATGCAAAACTGGTTCAGAACTTTATTTTAATCAGACTGTTTCTGGATAGTTAGAAATGGCAGAGCAAGTTCTTCCATAGATAAAAGAAACAGTTAAAAGTATCTGAGCTGAACTCACTAATTTGGATTATTTCTTTGAGAGCTTCCAAAGGTTTTAGTTTTCTGACTGAGAGTTTATGACCCACTTCTTCTCTTTTCTCAAGGGAAATCCTGGACCACGAGGAAGAGATGGTGAGCCTGGCACCCCTGGCAACCCCGGACCCGCTGGCCCACCTGGACCACCAGGACTTGGAGGGGTGAGTCAAAAGAAATCAAGTAACCAAATCCAGTTTTTCTTGCTTGAACTTCACATCAAAGTTCTGCCTCTACTACACGTCCATATGGCCATAAAACTGTTGACTAAACAGGGAGAAATATATGAAGAGCTGACCCAAACGTAAGGATGGTTTAGTATTTGAATAAAACAGTGATTTTACCTAGTGCTATTAGGATCCCTGCAGAGTACAGGATGAAAAATATCATTGTACTTTAGTAGGAGTCAGGTGCGGGCAGTTTTACTCTTTTGTTTTCTTTTCATTCTGTTAATCTTGTTTGGCTGCTCCTTGTTTTAGCTCAGGCAGCCCAGACAGGATAAACACCTTAAACTGACACTCACTCTCTGTCTGTTTTTGTATTTTTACAGAACTTTGCTGCTCAGATGGCCGGAGGTTTTGATGAGAAGTCCGGAGGCGCTCAGATGGGTGTGATGCAAGGACCAATGGCAAGTCGAGCCCTGTGTCGTGGGTTTATCATGCAGAGGGGGCTGTTGACAGTTTTTATGTCATCACTTTATCTGGGATATCTAGATGTCTTAGAACTGCTGCTGTGTTAGAAATAATCTGGAGATGATTGCAATGCTGCCACCTTGTGGTCTAGTTGCACCACTCTAACACTGACAAATAAACTGACCACTTTAGTTGACTCTTGCTGATTCAACACTTCTTAAACGGAGTATGATGAGGCAAAAACTGCACATTTACCTCAGAAAGTATTTTTTTAAAGAAAATGTATCATTCTAAAATATACTAACATACAAGACGCTACCTGTTAGATTAATCTGTCCCTTTTAGTGGTAATAAAATGTAACTTTATACATATGATCTTTTTGCAGGGTCCCATGGGTCCTCGTGGCCCCCCTGGACCAAGTGGAGCTCCTGTGAGTATATACTTCCTGTTACGACATTAATGTTGATTTATTTTAATAATCAAGCCAATGATTTTGGAAACGTTGAAGGAATTATTGGCATACATTAAAGCACTAATGCTTTGTTGTCTGCATTTTTAGGGACCACAAGGTTTCCAAGGTGCCCCTGGTGAAGCCGGAGAGCCTGGCCCAGCTGTGAGTATAAAAGCTCTACCTTGGCTGCATCAGTCTGACTCTTTACCTTGTTGTGATAGATGATAAGTAACATACCCTCTTGTCTGCTCATTACAGGGAGTTCTTGGACCACGTGGACCTCCTGGACCTTCTGGAAAACCTGGAAGTGATGTAAGTGTCCAGGATTAATCTTCATATCAAATTCAGTGTCCATCAAAACTTAAGCGCACTAAGCAGTTAAGCTTTACTTCTGTTTCAAGCAACAGTGCAACTCTTTCTACATCTATATCATTATAGGCCTACTGTTGTTTCTATTGTCCTGGTATATCAATTTAATGCAGTATGTTATGAGTTCCCAGCACTATTTATAATATGGACCACTAGAGGGCACTGTTTAACTATTAACATTACCGGTGAAAATGATGACTTCATAAAACTCAAGTCACATGGCTATCTGTTCAATGTAGTCAAGTAGACACAGTCTGTGAAATGTATTCTGTGTTTTACCTGAACAAATAGTAATCACAGTTTTTCTCTAATTCCAGGGTGAGGGTGGCAAACCCGGAAAAGCTGGTGAGCGTGGGCCTGCAGGGCCTCAGGTGAGCACATGCAAAGCAGCTTTATCTTCAACTTACCCTTGAGTGTTATCGCAGGTCAGCAGAAATGAGTTCAGCGGTCCTCGTGTTAATATTCTGGGTTTATATTTCAGGGAGCTCGTGGATTCCCCGGGACTCCTGGTCTTCCTGGAATCAAAGGACACAGAGTGAGTGTTTCCACTTATTGAGAATATTCACACAAATGTAGCTTCTTATTCTGTTGCCCCTTAGGACTGGTGTCTACATTTGCCCTGATGGATGCTATCTTGTTTTCTATAGGGTCACCCTGGTTTGGATGGAGCTAAGGGAGAAACTGGAGCTGCAGGAGCCAAAGTAAGACCCCGAAATTCATCATGAGTGAGGTCTACAACATTTCACAGTTCAGCAGATGTTACTTTTACTTATTTTGCTGATCTCTGCTCTGATCAGGGTGAGGGTGGTGCTGCTGGAGAGAATGGTGCACCTGGACCCATGGTGAGTTTAGTGGTCTTTCATACCCTAGTAGTTTAATGCATTAGATTGGTAATGAGTTGTGTTTTCATCAAGATCAGGACGCACTAACTTACAGTTTCTTCTGTTGTAGGGCCCACGAGGACTGCCTGGTGAGAGGGGACGTCCTGGCGCTGCTGGAGCTGCTGTGAGTAACAAACTCATTTCTTGTTTGATCCACAGACCATCAGGACATTTTCAATTTGCTTGATCTGTTTGTTACAGCTTTGAATCTTTTGGGAACTCCTGATTTCATTGTCTCTTCATAGCTGACACAGTCTTAACTTTTCACTCTCCAGGGTGCCCGTGGAAATGATGGTCTGCCTGGTCCTGCTGGTCCACCTGTATGTATCAGCACCCCCACTTTATATCATATTTGTTTTCTTTTGATTATACTTGCATTTAAGAATAATGTAACCAATGCTTGTTGTTCTTCTACCTACAGGGGCCTGTCGGTCCTGCTGGAGCCCCAGGTTTCCCAGGATCTCCAGGAGCCAAGGTTTGTTTGAATGTTTTATTTTGTAGTGCACCTTTAAGGCAGTTAAACCCTGGTAATTTGTGGTCAAAAGCATCTTCAGTTTGTGACTACATTAATCCTTGAGTTTTCCCCAAAGTTCTTTCAGACACTTGATAACTCTTGTCATGATGGTTACATGACATTAAAGGTGTCTAGTCCCCAAAATATTAAGAGATATTTAAAAATCTCCTTAGATTTATGTTACCAGTCCTATGTTTAAATTCCCTACTAAATTAAACATAGAACAGGTTCCTTCAGTCCCACCTAATAACAGATTTGTTGTGTCCTTTCAGGGAGAAGCTGGTCCTACTGGAGCCCGTGGTGCTGAAGGACAACAGGGACCCCGTGGAGAGGCTGGTACCCCAGGATCTCCTGGACCTGCTGGAGCATCGGTTCGTTTGTCATTTCTCATTTACAGAATCCAGTTTTTGATTTCCTCCTGCAGAAGTACGATCTAACTCTGATTGCTTTTTTCCCACAATTTGATGCTTTAACTCCTCCCCGTCTGTCTCTATAGGGTAACCCTGGTACTGATGGTATTCCTGGAGCTAAAGGATCTGCTGTAAGTCAACCCTCTGTGATCATGTTCGAAGATACCAACACTATTTGTTTAATAATCATAACAAACCTCTTACTTTATTCTGTGTCTTTCTTTCTTGAAGGGTGCTTCTGGTATTGCTGGTGCTCCTGGATTCCCAGGACCCCGTGGCCCACCTGGACCACAGGGAGCTACAGGACCTCTGGGGCCAAAAGGACAGTCTGTAGGTCATTTAGAAATAACTTCAGTTCTTCAAACTCTAATACTTGTTCTTATTTGTTGCTCTAACTCTCTCTTTGTTTGTCTTTCTTAGGGAGACCCTGGTCTTCCTGGACTGAAAGGTGAAGGTGGACCCAAGGGAGAGCTTGTGAGTTGTTTATGATTGATTCAATAATTGATGATTGACCATTTATGCCATCATCACTGAAAAAACAGAGACTTGCATGTCTAAGTTTTATACACTTTTAATCTCTGTACATACCGTGGAACATAACTCTTCACTCAACTTACATATCTTGATTTTTTTCAGGGCCCTGCTGGTCCTCAAGGTGCGCCTGGCCCTGCTGGAGAGGAAGGAAAGAGAGGTGCCAGAGGAGAGCCTGGAGCAGCTGGACCACTTGGACCTCCAGGAGAGAGAGTGAGTGATCACCACGCAGAATGATGTTTAAGAAGATCTGAACTACTTTGGTATAATCTGTACACTCACATCTATTTCTGTGATTCTTCCAGGGAGCTCCTGGTAACCGTGGTTTCCCAGGTCAGGATGGTCTTGCTGGCGCTAAGGTGGGTCCAGGTCCAGAAACAGTCAGACTTAGTTTCTGTTCACTTTTATTTCAACAAAATAGTGTTTCCACTAGAAGGAAATATAACTGACTGATATTAAACACTGACACTTCATCTTATCTCTTCAGGGTGCCCCTGGTGACCGTGGCGTCCCTGGTGCTGCTGGGCCTAAAGGCGCAACTGGAGACCCTGGACGCACAGGAGAGGCTGGTCTCCCAGGAGCCAGAGTGAGTCCCCTGACCCCCCTTTGCTCACATCAGCTTCTTTGCCTCAGATTTATATCTAATCTTGGTTTGTTGAATCTTGTGTTGTCATGATTTCTATTCTGACACTGATGATCTCTGAATGGTCGTGCCTGTCATAGGGTCTTACTGGTCGTCCTGGAGATGCTGGTCCTCAGGGAAAAGTTGGACCTTCTGTGAGTATAATATTGACCCATAGGTATTTTTAAGAAAGATTTTTGTGTTTACATATCCCGAAGAAAAAAACTGCTTCCAACAAATCTTCTATTTGTATGGTACACAATTTTTAATTAATACATACATTTTTTTGACAGGGTGCTGCTGGTGAGGACGGTCGCCCTGGCCCACCTGGTCCTCAGGGAGCCCGTGGACAACCTGGAGTGATGGGATTCCCTGGACCAAAGGGAGCCAATGTGAGTTTTTATCAGAGCCGATCTCTGAGGGCCGCTCAGGGTGTTTCTGCGATCACAAACGAGAACATGATCAAAAAAATACAAGTTCACAATTTAAAATTCAACAAAAGAGTGTTTCATTAGCCAAATATCACTATTTCTATAAGTACCTGACAAAGATTATCCAATTCATTGATTGTGGCTTCTCTTTAAAAGGGTGAACCTGGAAAAGCAGGAGAGAAGGGTCTTGTGGGTCGTCCTGGTTTAAGGGTGAGTACATTTTCTCGATGAACACACTTCATTTAAACCTCACAAATAGTTTTCTTTCTCTGGGTCGTCTTTTATAACTCAAATACCCTCCTCTGAATAGGGTCTGTCTGGAAAAGATGGTGAAACTGGTGCTGCTGGTCCTCCTGGCCCTGCTGTGAGTATATGGTTATAATTTCATGCTGTGAGAAATTTCCCATAATAATAGTTTACAGAGTTGATCATTGCTTTTGTCCCTGACTGATCACCTGTGTCTGTTTCTGTCATAGGGACCTGCTGGAGAGAGGGGAGAGCAAGGACAGCCTGGACCTTCTGGCTTCCAGGTGAGCTTTAAAAAATATAATTATATAAAAATACAAGCGTGAGAACAGGCTGTTAACAGGGTGCACTGTTCAGCAGGAGATCATTCTCTGAGTAATTTTTATGCAAGTAAACAGCAGATCTATAAATAATGACAGGGTCTATTTTTACAGACATCATGTAATTAATCCCTTTGCTCTTGTTTTACAGGGTCTGCCCGGACCATCTGGTGCCCCAGGAGAGGGTGGAAAACCTGGAGACCAGGTGAGTGTTTGCTCGTTTCATCCTTAGGTCCATTGTTATTGACTAAGCCTCACTCTGTACCACAGCATGTAATTATTGTTATCTCATTGAAACATGGTCTATCTTTTCTGTCTTTAGGGTGTTCCTGGAGAGGGTGGAGCTCCTGGTGCTGCTGGACCAAGAGTGAGTTTTCATGTTTTCATCAACTCCACATATTTTGAAGCAAAATGCCACAGAAACATCCCCCTTTCTTCATTTCATGTATTGTTCTCCATGTTTGGTGTTATAATCTCCTTTCTCCTCGTTTGTCTCCTAACAGGGAGAGCGTGGTTTCCCTGGTGAGAGGGGTGGTGCCGGAGCTCAGGGTCTTCAGGGACCTCGTGGACTTCCTGGAACACCTGGATCTGATGGACCCAAGGTTAGTAGATGAGTTGGAGGTTATTTGTGTGAAATGTTGGAAAAAGTTTTGATCATCTATCATGTTCAAAGTAGATCCTCAAATGAGCTGTACCTAAATCTGTGATTCCTGAAGATTTGGATGACAGATATATATTTTTCTTCTTAATTAAAATCAAACCAATTGAAATAAGAGCTGTTTCTCTGATAGCTGCAGCTCATTTTTCCAATATGTCAAACAATGATGACGTATTAAGTAATAATAACTTAACTTTTGTACGACATGTCAAAGATCTTCCAGGTTTTTTATAGACTGATGTACAGAAGGACACCACTGTATTAGACCAGCATGTCTACAGATACTCTCAAGTCTGTCTTGAAAGACATTAAAAAGACAATCTACCCTCTAATCTTTATCTAGGGAGCAATTGGACCTGCTGGTGCTGCTGGACCTCAGGGACCCCCCGGACTGCAGGGTATGCCTGGAGAGAGAGGAGCTGGTGGTATCCCAGGACCCAAAGGAGACAGAGTGAGTAACAGATTTTGGTTGCTGTGAAAATAGATTTCAGTTATGATGCTTAAATAAATGTCATAATCTGTGACTGTGCGATTAACACAGAGTTGTCCTCTTGATCTAACAGGGTGATAACGGACAGAAAGGACCTGAGGGAGCTCCTGGAAAGGATGGATCCAGAGTGAGTGTTTGGTCAGAGTGAAGTTTTTACTTTAAAATTACATGTTGTATTCACAACTCACCATTCATGCTCCTTTCTCTTTTCAGGGTTTGACTGGTCCCATTGGTCCTCCTGGCCCAGCTGGACCCAACGGTGCAAAGGTAGGAGCCTTTTAGATCTTCTGAAGGGAATCATGTCAGTCTGAATAAATAGAAACACTAAAACTGTACATATGTGTCTTTATTTTTCCTACACAGGGTGAAACTGGAGCTGTTGGTCCTACTGGAGCTTCTGGTGCTCGTGGTGCCCCTGTAAGTTCCTCTTTACATCAAAAAATTCATAAAGATCAGGATGTGTTTGGAGCGTCCTGGACAGAGGCTTAGTACCGTTGTTAAAAAAATGAAGAGTAACTTGGCACTGAATTGAAATACAAGAGATATACTTCAGTTTTAGATGAAGAAAACTACTCTGTTATCATCAGACAAGGATTTTGATACTGCTGTTACTCTAGGATCATCTGATACTTGTATAGCAGCAACGCTAATACTGTTGTGAATATAGGAATAATCGCTGGATTGCACAGTTCTCTTTTTGTCAAAGTTATTCGTCTCTGAAAACTTAAACAACATATTTTCAGAGTCTCACCCAAAACCTGTCCTGACCCATAGTCTCTTCTGTCCTTTTGTAGGGTGATCGTGGTGAGGGTGGTCCTCCTGGACCTGCTGGTTTTGCTGGACCTCCTGTAAGTAAAGTCGTCACATTACCTTTTATTCAAGTTTTAACTTCTTTACATGTTTGGACATTTTCACATTTCTTTCTGTATTGAATCACTCAGGGTGCAGATGGACAGCCTGGTGCTAAGGGAGAGGTCGGTGAGGGTGGACAGAAGGGAGAAGGTGGCGCTCCTGGACCTCAGGGACCATCTGGAGCTCCTGGACCTGTGGTAAGTACATAAAATTGGATTTATATTCATAAGCTCAAATTTTCAGATCTATATGGTGTTTAAACTTCTTGCAGAGTGGTGGTATCAGAGAGATTTATTGTTGATTCTCTTCTTCAGGGACCTACTGGTGTGTCTGGACCTAAAGGAGCTCGTGGTGCTCAGGGAGCCCCTGTAAGTTCCCCCCTTTTATTTTTGATCACTGTAACATGTACTGTAAGTAACTTTTACATATGACACACAAAACTTCTGCTGAATACAGACTATACTCAGTGCATTACATACAAGAACTGTACAGAGCTCTAGCCTCTGATTGATAAATTCTTCTTCTGGTTGTTTCAAGAGTGTAAAAATATCAGATCTCAACACCTTTTACATTGGCATTATGTTTGGAGAAACTGAAACTGTTAGTCCAGAAACTGAGAAAAACGTTTAGATGATCCAAAAGAAAATTACTTCTGTTTCAATTTGTATTGTATAAGAAAAGAAATAAAAATCAATGCGCTGTTCTATCAATATTGATGACAGAAGTCAAGAGACAGCATAGACATTAGCACATGCACAACAAAAAGTGACTGTAATTTGGATTAGGAACAGTCATAGTTAAATGAGTCAGTCATGTCAACAAAAGGTCAATCTGCTTCATATTTACGTTTCACGTGTTAATGAAACAGTTAGTCCAAGTCACATTTTCCTTGTTTATTCTTCTCTTGTCAAAGAAACCAAATGCAAAATAAAGACAAAGGCAAATTCCAATAAATGTCAACGACAGGATGATGATGGGCAAAAAAACTGTTTGTGTATGTAAGGTGCCAGACCAGAGTGTCTTTGTCAGATCCAGAGTTAAACAAAAAGGAGAGGACCCAAAATGCAGAACACAAAAAATGGATTTGTTTAAAAAGAACTAAAACAACAAACTTACTTCCAAAAGAACTGAATAACCCCAAATCCAACAAAAATCACAAGGAGACACTGGCATAAGCTGAACTCAACCTACACACACAACTCAATGAACCAATAAAGAAACAGGGGAAGACAAGGACACTAACGAGCAACGAGAGGCAGGTGAGACCCTGAGACACAGGTGCAGACAATTACAGTAATTAGAGGAAGGAAAACTGAGGATGTAAAACAAGAGTAGACACACAGGGAATAAACTACTACAAAATAAAACAGGAAACACTGAAAACTGATCTAAAGAATAAAACACTGAGAACATGAGGGAAACGGGGTCAAACACAGACTGAAAACTCACAAGACAAGACTACAGGGGAACAGGAACACTAGGAAGAAACGCACAGAGAACAAACTCAGATAACCAAAAACCAGGGAAAACTAAACACCAGAACATACCATGACAGTCTTAAATTAAGATGCATCATTTATTTCAGCCCAAAACCTTGATATTATGATATTGATTGTGTTGTGGATTAAGTTGTATAAAAAGGTTGTTTATGTAAACTTAACTCTTTGTCTCTTTGACAGGGTGCCACTGGCTTCCCTGGTGCTGCTGGCAGAGTTGGATCTCCTGGCCCTAACGTAAGATTTTTTATCAATCATTCTCATCGAATTTTATTTCATTGTTTTACAAAATTTACCAAAATGTCCTCTTGTCATTGCAGGGTAACCCTGGCGCTGCTGGACCTGCTGGTCCTTCTGGCAAAGATGGACCAAAGGGTGCTCGTGGTGATGCTGGTCCTCAAGGAAGAGCAGGAGACGCTGGGCTTCGTGGACCTGCTGGCGCACCAGGAGAGAAAGGAGAACCTGGAGAGGATGGACCACCTGTGAGTTTGAGTAGAAGCACCATAAGCGCCTGTCACTGGAGAGCAGTCTCAAAAAACCCAATATTCATTAATCATCTAAATGAACTTAGAGAAATGTGGCACAGCAGGAGCAGATCATAATTAAGCGTCCTCTGTCATGTCTCTACAGGGTGCTGATGGACCCTCAGGTCCTCAGGGTCTGGCTGGATCTCGTGGTATTGTTGGTTTGCCTGGTCAGCGTGGAGAAAGAGGTTTCCCTGGTCTTCCTGGACCTTCTGTAAGTGCTGTTTTACAATGAAATCCCTTTCTTGATTTACATATTGGAGATACATTTAGGCTCATAATTTTTACTCATAAAACTATATCCAAGGTAGATCTGCATCTGATCCAAGGATCTCTGAATAAGCATTCGTCTTCATAATAATTCTGTGTCTAAGTAGAAAAAGTTAAAGTGAATAAAATGCACTCTCAGAGTTATTGAAATCTCAGAAAGGTAATAATAATGTTATCTTTTTATAGGGAGAACCTGGTAAACAAGGAGGAGCTGGTTCTGCCGGTGACCGTGGACCCCCTGGACCTGTGGGACCCCCTGGACTTACTGGACCAGCTGGAGAAACTGGAAGAGAGGTCAGAACAACATAATAATAACCAGAAAATGTGAAGAACTGCAGTCTGAGCATTACGTTAGCTGTAAAATCCTTCTCTTCATGCAGGCCAGTTCTAACAATTGCTTAAAAAGTGTGTTTTTGTGTATCTCAGGGTACTCCTGGATCAGATGGACCTCCTGGTAGAGATGGATCTGCTGGAGTCAAGGTAAAGTTCAACAAAAATGATCCAGAATCTTTACAGGATGAAAAACAAACTAGATCTACTACTTTTCAGAGACTGCTTATATCCTGGTTCATCACTGTGTGTCCTCTTGTAGGGAGAGCGTGGTAACACCGGCCCTGCTGGTGCCCCTGGAGCTCCTGGTGCCCCTGGTGCCCCCGGACCTGTTGGACCCCTCGGCAAGCAAGGAGACAGAGGAGAGGCTGTGAGTTTCAGTCTCAGGAAATGGTGTTGTGACTCTTTTTTTCTTTGGAGTGCTCACACTATCTTCTCTGTCTTTAGGGTGCTCAAGGACCTGGAGGACCCCCAGGACCTGCTGGTGCCAGAGGCATGGCTGTGAGTATCTGAATCTTCCACTGCAAGAACATCATTAAGTTTTCTTTCTAGATTTTAATTAGATTTTGGTAATTAAAAGTTCTGCTCATGTGCCGTCATGCATTTTAATACGTGTCAAACCTTCAATCTAGGGACCTCAAGGACCGCGTGGAGACAAGGGAGAGGCTGGTGAGACTGGAGAGAGAGGCCAGAAAGGTCACAGAGGCTTCACTGGTCTGCAGGGTCTCCCTGGACCTCCCGTAAGTAGCCCAAAACTTCCACTTTGCATCTCCTGAAACATAAAATTCTTAACATCTCTTCGGTTTTCTGCTCTGTCTCTGATCTGTGTTTGTCCTGGTCCTGACAGGGCCCCGCTGGAGATGCTGGATCTGCCGGACCTGCTGGACCAAGTGGAGCTAAGGTGAGGAAACTGAGCAGAAGGGAGGACACACTCTTTTTACATTTCAATTCTGCAGGTACAGCATCCAAGATATGTGATGGTAATGAAGGGCACAGGGTAGTCTCCCTGTAATTCTCCAATCACCTGACGTAGATGGGGACAGGAAAGGCCACATTCTCTAATTACCCACCGCTGTGATAAGATGGCCAGCTGAGGTTTTTGTAATTACTCTCTGCAAGGAAGAGAAGCAGTCTGGCGGGGGGTTTGTGATTTGTGAGACTACTCCTGCTGTGATCAGAAATGGACTTCAATATCAATTTTAGATTAGCTGAGAACGGTTCATGGTGAGAGAAAAGAAGGAAAATGTCTCTTCACTAATAATCCTCATGTGTATCAGGGCAGAGAGCCTGTATGTGAAGGTGGTAACAGAGAGGACTAACATGAATGTTTGAATAATAATGCATCAGGTTTCATATAGTGCTACATCATTCATTCGCTCACACAGTCAGACCTTGGTAGAAGTAAACGACCATAGTAGTCACAGCTGCCATGGGGCAAATTGACGGGAATGTGGCTGCCAGTTTATGCATACAGCCTCTCCAACTACCACCACACAATACTCACATTCATACACCAGTGGAGGACACACACTGGTGGGTTAAGTGTCTTGCCCAAGGACACAACAAACAGACTCAGGGGGGAATCAAACCACCAACCCTCCAGTTGTTGGACGACTGCTCTACCTCCTGAGCTACTGCCGCCCCCAAGCATGAATTCATGCTTGAGCAGGTTTTTTCATATTCAGAGTCCACAAAGTCAAAGGACAGGAAGTGAGGATACATTTCTTATTCACGCTGACGTAATGCACACTTTCACTGTTTCTGCAGGGACCACCAGGATCAGTCGGACCTGCTGGCAAAGATGGAGCAAACGGACTTGCTGGCCCAATTGGACCCCCTGGACCTCGTGGTCGTTCTGGAGAAGCTGGTCCTGCTGTATGTATCACACAGAACTTCAACAACCCCAGAAACTTCTTCTGTCACAGCTTGATATCTAAATTCTGTTTTCCCCCTCTATCAGGGTCCTCCTGGTAACGCCGGTCCCCCCGGCCCCCCTGGTCCTCCTGGCCCTGGCATCGATATGTCCGCTTTCGCAGGTCTCGGTCAGACTGAGAAGTCCCCCGATCCTCTCAGGTACATGAGGGCCGATGAGGCCTCCAGCTCCCTGAGGCAGCACGATGTGGAGGTGGACTCCACACTCAAGTCCCTCAACAACCAGATAGAGAACCTGCGCAGCCCCGACGGCAGCCAGAAGAACCCCGCTCGCTCCTGCAGAGACCTGAAACTGTGCCATCCTGAGTGGAAGAGCGGTACGTAGAGTGGACTTAAATAGAGAGGCAACAATCAGTAGATGTGACCACTTTTTCGAAGGGATTTCGACTGAGTTCAGGATGTAGAATACCATTATAAAGCCATTACCACTTTAGACAAGACCAGCCTTTTCTTATCTTTCATGTAAAATACAACAAAAAACAAATACCTCCTTGTCCACATGCTTCTTCAGGATTTCTTTCTTCCCCAAAAAACCCAAAACATTTGTTCAACTTGATTTCAATCTTCATCATTCCTATAAAAATAATATCCATTTGTCTTCAGGTGACTACTGGGTTGATCCCAACATTGGTAGCACAGCTGACGCCATCAAAGTCTTCTGTAACATGGAGACTGGAGAGACCTGCGTCTACCCAACCATCGCCAAGGTTCCACAGAAGAACTGGTGGACTAGCAAGAGCAAGGACCGCAAACACGTCTGGTTCGGAGAGGGCATGAACGGAGGATTCAGCGTGAGTGCGCTCTTACAAACAAACATAAGAATGGATTCAGCTGATGCACAATGTTCAAGTTTTAACGGGTTCCCTGTACCTTTTGTGTGATCGTACAGTTCAGCTACGCCCAGGACGGACCAGCTGCCAACGCTGCCAGTGTCCAGCTGACCTTCTTGAGGCTCCTGTCCACTGAAGCTTCCCAGAACCTCACTTACCACTGCAAGAACAGTGTTGCCTACATGGACCAGGCCACAGGCAACCTGAAGAAGGCTGTGCTGCTGCAGGGCTCCAATGACGTGGAGATCCGCGCAGAGGGCAACAGCCGCTTCACGTACAGCGTGTCCGAGGATGGCTGCAAGGTGAGACACAGAGCAGAAAATATGAAAGCATTTATTCAGACATCTGAGACTGAACTGTTTGATGCTCACGCTTTTCTCTATCCTCAACCCCACAGAAACACACAGGCCGATGGGGCAAGACTGTCTTCCAGTACAAAACACAGAAAACCTCCCGTCTGCCAATCGTGGACATTGCTCCTATGGACATCGGAGGAGCAGATCAAGAGTTTGGAGTGGATGTAGGAGCAGTCTGCTTCTTGTAAAGTGGAATATCAAAATGGCCCCCCAAAAAACACAGGAAATAAATAAACTCAACCATGAAACACTACATACACTCACACTTCCACAATAAATGAAGACTGGAAATTAGAAAAGAAAATTGATACTTTTTCTCTCACAACGAAGTGCTCTCCAAGTCGTACTCCCTGGATGTTAGCACTGAAGGGCACCTGCAATATCTGTACACCACACCAGCATTCTCTGTCGACTCGCAACCTGAGATCCAGTCATGTTTCCCATGGCCCAACGTTGACGGGAATGAGTCCGAGCCAGGAGGAAGAAGGACCAAGCGAACAAGTTATGGAGAACAGAAACATGACTTGATGTCACTTATTTATTGTCTAACCTGAATGGGCAGAGTTGAGGTAGGACTGGACGAGTTCACTTTGTGAGTAAGACAAGCCCCCCTTTTATTTCCTCCCACTACAGAGCAGCCGCACAGCCTCTGTCCCAGTCCTACTCCACCTCCCTCCGTTTCCCTCCTGACACACAAACACGGCATGTTGAATCAGTGCAGACAAACAAGTAGTCTCAGCAAGTCAAATCAAATCCAGGTGCTCCTGGCCCGTCCATCTTGAGCTGGAGCAAAACCTTCACTGTGTATTATAAATCCTTGGTTCTATTGTTGTAAAAGTCTGTGTTTATAAACAACCAGATGGTTTTATATATATTTCCACATTATGTGTGTACATGTGTCTATATGCACACCAACACTTTTTGGAAAGTGAGGTTACATTTGGGATGTTATGTTTCCGTGTCCTGTACCCCTTGACTGCCCATCAGAGGAAGGCCCAGTTCTCATTCAAAAAAAATTAGTTTTAAAGAATTTGAAGGAAGTTAGTTTTGCTTTTTGTTATTGTAGTCATCCAGATTGTTTAAAGCTACCTCACGCTGACAAACAAGTGAAAAGTTCAAATCAAAGCTGAACAGAAATTAGCTTTCAGGTGGATCTGGGGCTGTCTTTGCTTTGGGTTGCTCTCTCTTTCTCTCTCTCTCTTCAGAAGGTGCTATGAGTTCTGTAATTCAGTTTTCACCAAACTCCCCCCATCCCAACCCCTTATTCCCACTAGCCTCACACCACACTCTTACACTCCACCCTGCAGGAGGGGTGCAGTTGGGTTAAGACGGGGGAGACGGGGGTTTACTTGGAGGCCTCTTCTGGAGTCCTGGTTCCCAGAGCTGAACAAGGGACTCCGAAGACAGCCGCTAAAAAAATCAACCAGGGTGGGATGTCTGTGTGTGTGTGAGGGCGTGTACATTTTTTGAACTAATTTTATTATGATCATTTTTGTTTTTATTTTGTTACACTTCTAATTGATGTAAATTGGAAAATAAAAGGAAAACCGAATGAAGAATGAAGTGGATTTTTAATTGAATTTTGAATAAAAACAGAAATGGTGTGGGATGTATTTCTTCTTCCAACAGAACCATCACGTGTGCTTCTATGTGTTTTGTTTGTTATACTTGTAATTCATGAGGTCAGTAACTCTTGACTGTGAGTGCACAGTCTGTGTGCATGAGTGTGTGAAAGCTTAAGACTGTGATTCAAGTGTTTTTTAATATGAGATCATCTCATAACAGAAGGAACTTAAGTACTGTATTTGTTCTGAGTTTCAGGGTGGGGCTAGGCGTAGTGGGCTCCTGTCTATCTGAACTTTTAGGCATAAATAAAGAACTTTTTGTCAACTTGGATCAAGTATTTTGTAGAGTAAAAACGCAGAGCAGGTGCATCACTCTGTACTTCGACCAACTTTCTCTCTGGTCTTTCTAAATAAAAGCTTCACTTAAGCTACCGCAATGACATATTCTTCAAATTAAAGCCGGCAATTATCAATCCAAATACTCAAAATAATTAGCAAAAAGTAATGCTTTAAATCCCAGACTAAAAAAGGATAGTTATCTTTATGAACAAAAACAATAAAAGTAAATCCTCCGACAATTTAACACACAGTTTACCGTAAAAAAGGGGTTGTTTTATGGCTCCAGACTGTGCTGCAAAATTCAAACTAATACCCTCAAGTGTAGACAGTTAAGGTGGTTTGGGCCCAAGACAAGCAGTTTAAAAAATTTACCAATTTAGTGTTTACAAGACATCTGTTGTCCACCCTTAACATCTTACAGCACACTGTAATGATTTCAGACACTGCAGCATCATGGGTAATGTAGGCATCATGTTTAAGCTGTCCATTCAGAACTCTATAATCCAAAAATTTGCCCATTCTTACCAAGTTTGCTAACACCTGTATTACAGCAAAAATAAGTCTTAGAATTACAAGAACTTTTATCCATTTATTGAGAATCAAAGATGTGAAAAATGACTTGTGGGCGGGGTTTAGTTAAGAGATGTGCTCTGTAAAAAGAGACTGATTGGCGAAGTCTGCAGGTCTTGCTTGAGGCCGTGGCGCAGATGGGCTGCCGCTGAGGCCGAATTGAGGGATGCCGGCACTCAGGAAGTAAAAAGGTACATGAGTTATCCTTCCACTGGACCAACACTGAGAACACAGAGACAAATAAGACCATGAAGGTGATGGATTAGAAAACTTTAAGTCATGATGGTTTCCTGTAGGATTCACCGGGACACATTTGGTTATGGTGCTGAAATCCTAAATATCGTGGTAATAAGGAAAACAAAAGACCAGGATTACTTATCATCCCATTTTGAGTATTTCATGCAGTTCAGGAAAGTTAATCCTAATATAAATAGCTTGTGTATAATTCAGGCCTGTGTGCTACCAAATTATGTACTTTGCTGAACTCAGAATTGACTGTTATCATAATAAGAGCTCCCTGGTGACCTTGGTGAGCAGTAATGGCCTTATTTGGTGCAGCCGCTTAAAGATGTACAACCCACAGCTTAGTAAGTGTTTGACATCTCTGAAAACCTCTAATAACACAAAAACAAACATTTTATCACTCTGTTTAGGACATATTTAAGGTAGGACTAACCACAGTGAGAAGAGCTCCATGCCCAAAATTTGGGTGGAACTGCATCATTCTGGGCTCTGCACCGGGCTCCCCTTGAACAAAACCGCTAAAAACACAGGAAACAAGAACCACTCAGTACAAATGGTGATATTCATCATGTTTTTGATCTCTAATAAAGCTTTAAAGTCAAGAAATTCAAACATGAACTAACCATGGTAGGAGTTCAAAGACAGGGCTGGTTCTTGTCTTAAAAACAGCTATGACTGCAGGCCGGCCCGCTGCCTGAGAATCACCTGAAACCCAGATGAGTGATTAGAAGAGGAACATGACGTTAACACTGACAGGGTTTATGGTGTGAGAGCAGGAAAAAAGAGAGAAAAAAAACCTTTGAGAAGAACTGCAAGTCTCTCTCCTGTTGGGTCCCAGGCTAAAGACTGAATCTCGCCTCCGACACTGACGGAAAGATTAGACTCATTTCATAAAAATGTATTTCAAGGCATGGTACTTATGTAAGCCATGTGAAGGTTTTCTGTGTTTTTTAATGAATAAAAAGGTTAAAAGACAAACATTATGCATCTTAATCTGCTGCTCTTACATGATGTTTCCATCTGGTGTGTTAAAGGTTGTCTCTGATAGGTCGGCCACAACTGCTGCTGCCTGTGATTCTGAAGACGTGCTGGTAGACACTCCTGCTGAGTAACAACCACAACAAACAGATCAATTCCTTCATTAATAACAACAATGAATAAATGAACAGGGGTGGTGTTAGCATGAGCCTGGTCCCCTTACTAAAACAATATTGGATTGATGGATTAATGCTAGAAATGAGTTCTGTTGAAAATCCCTTCTGACTTTTGTTAAGCAAGAAAATCTTCACAAAAGGACTCCAGCTTTCATAGTTTTAGTAGCGAGAATACAGCAGCTTTTTTGGACACATGTGATTCAAAAACATCACGTATTGTGTTTTTACCGAGGTACTTCAGGTTGTAGGATTTGTATTTCGAGTAGAGATTGTTTAAATAAAAAGAAACATGGGCTTTGAATGATAAGATTAAAAAAAGCAGGCTCATTTCCAAGTTTTAAAACTGTGTCTTGAAGCACCTTTGATGCTGAATTGACATCTTCACCCAGGCGTCTAGATGCACAAAATAGCTGTATTGAGAAAAGCAGCTGACCTGAAGGATTGGTGAATATCAGAGCATAGATGACCATCTCTCCCTGCACAGAGAAGAGAAGTCGACTCCCATCTGGACTCCAACAGCCAGACTGAAAAACATATTATTAAATAAATACATGATCCACAAAAATCATTACTGACTAAACAAAATGTTTAAAACAAGGTCTCACTTGGCAGCGGCCTTTGACGCATGGCCAGCGTTCGCAGGTCCACATTCTGGTCTCCCAAACCCTGAAGAAAAAACTTAAACTTACTGACTCAAGTCCACATCCATGCCTTATCTTTATCCCTTCCTCGACTGCTCACTACACCCTTAATCTCTGACATGCTTGTTAATATTCATGAGAGGTCAGTGGGCTTTTATCCTAACACAGACCGAGACTACTGATTTGAGTCCGCACACAATAATTATGAAAAATAATTGGCAGCCTTTCATATCTTGCCTGTTGATCTTGTAAAACTTCCTGTCGTACCTGAATAAGGCTGACGGAGTAGAGGCCAGGACATGACTGCCATCCGGGGACCAGGACAAGAAGGTGACACCGCCTCCTCCGACTCGCTGTAGCGGCACGCAGATTTCAGAAGCGACGTCCCAAACCTAAGAGACAAACCGATGCAAATCTTAGCAGCAGCAGCACACGAGCACATCTGTTCAGAACATGCAGGGTCTGCTTTGTACCATCATTGCAGTATCCATGGGTGAGGCAGACACGAGGAGAGAGCCGCTGGGAGACCAGGCGATGGAAGTGACGGGGGAGTGACCAGGATGAGACAGGACTTGAGCACAGCCGGAGGAAGGCCTGAATGAGTCGAGAGAAAGAAGATTCAACAGGTCCACTGATAAACCAAGTTTCACCAACGGTTAAAACTCTCTAGGGTTTAATTTGAGAGAAGTTCAACAACTATATCAATCCTGGCAGAAATCAGAGTTTACATACCTGGTAGACAGAGAGCAGGGGTCCACATGCCAGACCAGTAAACAGTTTTGACAAGCGACAGCGAGGGCAGACGCACACAGTGGCTTCCACTGCACTGCTGCAACACTCCTCTGCAGGCGATGCTTCAAGGTGGGAGTTGTGGCACTGAGACAGAACAAGGAATCATGCTTATACAGCTTGAAGAAAAAAGGTTGACTGCTACATCAAAGTTAAAAAGGTGTCACAAATTAACATGAAAAGTGACTCTCACAATCCCTTTTTAAAGATTCAATGAAGGTAAATAGAAGCAATACAAGGAACTTCCGATATAATACTTTAGTTTATTGTAATTTTAAGCTTTATAGTATCATCAGTTATCTTTTCAGTAGGACAGAAAAAGGAGATCTTCAGTTTTTTTGTCACAGTACCTTTTAGGATTGTAGATCTTAATGGAGTCATCCAGGAGGGCTACAGCGAACTTATCTGTGTGTGGATGCCATGCAAACGCTCGCACTACACAGTCAGACCTTGGTAAGCAAGAGGGACAAAAATGATTCATGATTAAAACTCTAATTAAAATAATTTCCCTTTGGGGCTGACAATAAACTTCACATTCCAACTTTGATACTTACCAATTCAATACCTGTGAAAACTCGGCAATCATGTCTTCACAGCTCAACTATGGGAAATAAATAACAAACAGGTGATGCACATATACTGAACATCTTATGATCAAGTGTATCATATTTTTTACACCAGTAAAGCGTTAACCAGAAGGTAAAACTCACTGTGAGATGAGGAAACAGGGAGTCATGAAAGGAGGAGAATCTTTGGAGCAAAGCCAGGATACAACCAGAGCTCACTGACAGCCATTTTGGCACTACAAGAAACCCATGAGTTACGGTCAAAGCATGTACACACATCAGAGAATAGACATGATGAGCTGAGTAAATTATGTACCTTCTGTATGTGAGTTTTTAATTTCAGTGAGCAGTCCTGTGAAGCCACCATCCCGCCTAAAATCCACGGAGACAAGTGATCATGAATTTAGAGCACATGTATAAACGACTGTATATGTAAACAATTGTGAGTGCACCCTAAGCTCAGAGCATAGTGATATATTTCATAAAACATCAAGAAGTTTTATTAGAGCTTAGTGAAACAGTTTCATCATTTATGGTAATGTCTGTTCAGTATAAAGTTTTCTGATGAAATGTTTTTAGGAGTTATGAATCTTTTATGTGGTCGACCTCAGACGCCATACCATGCTGCTGCGCTCCTCATCCATAGAGTTTCTGAATGATCCAGGAAAGCTGCCTTGCTGCTGCTTTCTGTGCGACTGTGGAGCTTCAGAGACTCTCTTGGGAAATACAAACTGAGGGGGCTTGAGTCCTGCGGGAAACACAACCATGTTATACGCATCTAATAGGCATATAATATTTAAGTTCCCTTTTGAGAGCCATCCTTCAATTTTGTAGATTTCAGATTTATTCCCATGGAAAGTTTCCAAATTTGAATATTCCTCGAATTTTGCCACCTTAGCTGTGAATGTTCTGAATCACTTAAAGATATTCTCATGTTAAAATGGCTTTTTAACAGTTATATGCAATAATGATAAAAAGAATTATTGTACCAGTTGAAGAGTTTATAATAGATAAAAATACAGATGAATGTGAAGAAGTGACTGTTATTTAGGGAGAGACTAAACCCGCTCCTATGGTCAACTTATTCCATACACGGGGTAAGTTGACCATAGGAGACCACTTTTTTTGGCATGCTATACAATCAAGACAGTTATGTTTACACTCATTCTGTTGGTTTGCAGGGATGGAAAACATATCATCATGTCATATCATCAGTGAATTTGAACCCTTGCCCCTCAACCTCAAAACACTACAAGTCAACAGTTGAGCTAACTGGAAACCGGGTCAATATGAGATCTTCCAGCACTAGTTGGTTCAAATGTTAACTGGCAGCAGATTGAGCTCAGACCTGCTTCAGCCGGTCCTCGGTGGTGGATCCTGAGAGCAGCTCATTGTTGGACTCGCACAGTGTGGTCAGTCCGGAGGCCAATGGAGGGGGGAACAACGCCAGAGAGCTCATCTCCTCCAACTGGAGCAGAAATGTGTCTCAATTCAGTGAGTAATGACACTTAATCCATCAGCTGACTCTGATTTTACATAGGAGTAAAACCGCTCAAACAAACAAGCTAACAGTGAAAGTTAAAGCAAGCTAGCCGGTTTAGGCTAACTAGCGTGAAGTTACCGTAATTGACACTATAACAACACTTTAATCTTTATTCAAGAATCTTAAAACTTACCTTTAAGTGTAACCTACGAAACGTAGTCAGTTATTGTCCGTTTTTTTTTAACAGCACAGCTAAGGTACATGCTGCCTTGTTGTGACACTTTTGGCTTCCTCCCTTCAAGTCAATCCCGCCGTGTGTGGAGTACGGCAAGCGATACAGATCAAACAGTGCGGACTGCAGGAAAGACCTGAAAACGCTGCCCTCCTGAGGACTAACGGGTGTATTACATACGCGCAGAGCAAAATATACTGTATGGACTGTATATATATAAAAAAAAATCAGTTAGTTGTGCCAGCTGTTTGTAATCATGAAGTTTCGATTCTTTCCATGAATCATCAGGGTTTTAACTCTTGAATTATATCATTTTCTGTCGGTAAATAATTTACTTCCTATAGTTGAAAAGTAGTTATCAAAAATGATAATAATAAGAATTATAATTATTATAACAATAATTATAATAATAACATTAATAATAATAAAAAATCAAAATAATTATCAAAATAATCAAAATATTACTGGTGATAATAAAAATAGTAATAATAAAAATACTACTACTACTACTACTACTACTACTAATAATAATAATAATAATAATAATAATAATAATAATAATAATAATAATAATAGTAATAATAAAAATAATAATAATAATAATAACTTGATTTGTATAGCACTTTGAAAATCAGAAGTTTACGAAGTGCTTTGACATGTAGCCATAGAGCACATGGAAAAAGACAGATAAGAACAACAAGCTCAGTAAAAACGGAATTGAAGGCCATTTTCATATCACACGGAACCCAGACAATACAAGAACCATGCAACATAAAATGAGACCATGAGGACCAAAACAAAAAACAGTGTTAAGAAAAAAAGTGCAATTAAAAGGGAGGTCGAAAGCGGAAACAGGATAGTAAATATAAAAGGCAATGTCAACAATGATAATAGAATAATAATAGTAATGATAAAATAGAGCAACAGAATTGAGTAAGAGATAAAACAATAAAAGGCCTAAAAGTTTAATTAAGAAAAAAGTACAAGTATAACAAAAGCTAAAAAGACAGTAAAGAAGAAATAAGATAGAGACATGCTGACAGAAACTGGGACCATGTGCTTATGGTCTAAAATAACTGGAGTTAAACGAAACAGCACGTTTTGTGATGAAAATTAGACGTGCTGTCAACAAAACTGACATACAGTAAAGTTCCCTATATCTGTGTTATCTTTAAGGGTACTGGTGGCGCCCCCTTGCGGCGCAACTCTCATTTCCGTGACGTCAATTCAGCACTGGGAAGGAGACAGCTCCCTCCCCCCAAAAACCCAGCGCGCCTCACGTTGCATGGGTCCCCGGTTATTGATAACACAATTTGCCCGCTGGGATCCATCCCGGTAGCGTGGAAACTCGTGGATATCGGGAGTGGAAATACAAGAGGCATCCTGGACCGAAGAACAGCAGCGATCTGCTCATTATCGGCGACAAAATAGAGAGCCGAGCCCACCCCTTTGACTTGACAACGCGGCACCAAGCAGGCAGAAAGGTATGGGAATGTCATACTATCCGGTTAAATGCCGATTGAATTAAAAATCGGGTATCTCGGGACGGTTGGGGATGATGCCGTTGCTTGGTGCGGTAGCGTTCACGCCGCTCACACTGCACCACTGAACTGGTGCTGCCAAGAAAGCAATCATCGTCGATGAATGCTAGAAAATCATATTTGTGCAGCGAGGAAGCCCACATTAGGGGATATTTGCGTTGATGCCAACGTTGAGTTAAATGTGGAGACGCTGCGGCAGTTTGACTTGGCATGGAGCAATAGTGGGCATCGGGCTTGCGATTCATGCACGTCGGCTATGATGCTGCTGAGTGTCATCATCACATCCTCGGTTATTTAAAGATTGATCTTCCTGCATTTGTGTGCGTGTGTGCACAGCTCCTTCCTGCAGGCCCCGTGGTTGTTTATTGCCCGTTTTTTACACGCTCTCATTTCGCTCTCTCCTCGTGCAGTGGTGCAGTACAAGAAATGGAGCTGGTGTAGGATATGTGAATTGGATACATGTGCTCTCTCTCTCTCTATCTCTCTCCCTCTCTCTCTCCCCGGATTGCTCACACCAACATTCAGGCACGCATGCACGCACGGACCTACGTATACAACCACTTTGTGCTGGTTATGCAATTCGTCAAATTCTTCAGGTGCACACAATGCGCCTCACTTCGACGTAAGGGAGCTGCTCAGGAGTTTTTCCTTCTCATGCTGTCACACACTGATGCACCTTAGAGGGACAGTTTGATAACAGGTGACATCCAGAGCTGCTCAACCTCCTCTTATGTTAGTTCATTCATAAAGCCCACCTCCACTCTGGGTGATGGCTCCACTGGGCATGCTGGTTCTCTCATTCATACTCAGAGAAGAGGCATGATTCAGACTGGATTTGGGTTTTGAGATGAAGTGACTGAGTGGTTCGACTAGGGGGGGACTGGATGAGAGCCAAATTCACAGCAAGACTCCAGTGTATTGATGATTTGAATCACTTGAATAAAAGAAAAGTTAGTGCATACTCTGGAGAGAGATGCAATGATACTGTTGATTTTCACCATGAGACTGTTACTGAGTTTCCCTCTGAAAAATGTGCATGTAATTGAGGGTAAACTCTGCTTGATGACATTTCACCAGCATTGATAAACATTTCACCCTCTGTTAGGTTTGCATTGTTTTTAATTTGTTTGTGCCACAAGATAATTTACCTGAAACTAATTGATGTTTGAGGCTAAAAGGTTATATCTTTAATTAGTTGGTGCCTTGACTGGCATGACTACAAATACAGCATGTTAAATCTGATGTAGTATTGGTGGCAGGAACTAGGACTGGGTGATTATATGATTGGGATAAATTTCAGTCCGATCACGGTGATCAGCTGTGAGCTTATTTTCTCGATCAAACTTGGCGAAAACGTGCATCACAACAGCCAATCAGAGTCGAGCTTTTCCTGCTCACTTCTGTAAGTTGCTGGACAAGTAAACAGAGTAACCGAACGTGGAGCTGAGGGCAGTAAAATAGATGTCAGCTATGACTTGGAGTCATCCTCCAAAGATGTTATTGTTGAGAAGAAAAGTTATTTAACGTCTTGTTTAGTATTTATCTATTTATTTTTAGTACAGATGCTTTAAAACTGGCAGTTTAAAAAAAAAAAATCATGATAATAATCAAGATCGGACAATATGACAAAGTATATCGTGATCATCTTTTTGGCCACCAGGCTGTTATACAATATTATGTGCAATACATGAATGATGTGTGGATGAGAGGACAGTTACGTTTTCTTTTAGAATGGTGAATTTCATTATTTAAAGTTTTTTTTTTAGTAGGCTGTATTATATTGTTTTTATACTGTGTGCTTTTACACTTATTGTTCTTATATTTATTGCTTTTGTTGCACACTGGGAAGGGCATCCTGAACTAATTTTGTTGTAACCTGGTGTACAATGACGATAAAGTCTGAATCAAAATCTGAATCTAGTACTGACGCTTGTAAAAGCATTATCAACTGTACACTGAAGTTATTTATCAGTAAAGAAGTGATAGATTTAATGCTGCAGGCATTTCAGCACTGGACAGCTCCTAGTTCTAAAAAGAGCTGAGTTTCAATCTTGGAGCTGTCCGGTGCTGAAGTTACTCTGTTCCTGCTATAATCCCTAAAGGCAGTTAGCATGATGTTTATATTTATAAAAAAATAACTTTATCCTTCTAATGCACAATATTTTCTAACATCTTCTCTTCAGGTTTACTTCTCATCCTCCCATCCTCCATCCACCCTGACCCGCTGTGTTGGGGAAACCCCTGATGAGTGGGACCTGTATCCATGAGCCCCGCGCCCCTTCCCCCTCCCTGTCAGGCTTCAGCACCCCCATCTCAGAGCCCCCGTATCGAAGACTCGATGGAGACACCCCTGCATGCACCCCCGAAACTGACCTGACCCCCACACAGTGTGTCCTCCGTAACGTGCTGTCCATCGACACAGGCGGTCAGGTGGCACAGGGTGGCAGCAGCCCCACCCCCAGCGATGGACCCTCAGCTCACTTTGACAACAGTGTGCTAAAACTACATGAACATGAGGCCTGCCAGTGCGGCGGCGGGGCCGAGGCCGGGCACAGTCCCGAGGCTGGTGCTGTCCGGAGCCAATCGGACAACATCCGGCTACAATCAGGAAGTGGAGGTTTTTTGGAGGGACTGTTTGGCTGCCTAAAGCCAGTCTGGACCATGATTGGAAAGGCCTACTCCACTGAACACAAACATAATAATGAAGGTATGTTCACAACAAATGTCCCTGTTTTAGGCTATTTTACTCTGTGAAGTATGCTCCCATTTTACATCCTGAACTTATGGTCAAGAGGCATTCATTTACCATGTGATATTTTTGTGCTGCTGTCATAAACATGGAGCTAGACTCAAAAGAATGAGCTCATGCATGAAGGGAGGATCAGAAAAGAAACTACAAGTCCAGCAGAAAAAAAGATGTCCTGCAACAGACTTCATGCATCTATTAAGTCCAAGGGTTCCAGCCTGGGGCCTTAAAAGAGTCACAAAACTAGTCTGACAATGCGGTGTGGAGGAAACCAAATCATTTAACTAATTTGGATATTTTTCTAACATCTGTTTAGAGATATTAAATGTTTAATAAATGAATCCCCAAGAACATTAAGACTCAAGCGTTCACCAAAATGCAATAATTCAAGAATTTTGGTCAGGAGTTGTCTTTTAAAAACTCATTAAAATATATAAAGTGATTAGAACCATAAACCACTTTTATGAGGAATCATGAGCTTAAAACAAAGCACTACCTTTCTGTGTTTTCTTAATGCTAAATCTTAATCTGAAATCAACTAAATCAACCACAGCTTTATTTTCAAAGCTGAGAACTACACCATTTACACAAGTTATATAAGAACAATGATGTTTTTATATATAAAGTGGCAGAGAACTTAAAACAAACTGAACTGCGGGTACACTGAAGTGTTTGAGTACAGTCCCTTTCTGTTGTAAAGCATGAGACCTCAGTTCGTTTCTTCGCTCTGTGACCAGTTGCCACCGTGTCCAGCTGGCAGAGTGATGGTGTTCACGGCCCCGTCAGCCTGGCCCACTCTCAGTCATCAGCTGCCGTGAGTTTTCACAGCTGGCCAGGGGAGGCGTCATGTGCATCCGCCTCGGTTGCAGCAGCCCTCCAGAGATCTCGACACTTTCTGTGGACCTCATGAAGAATTGATTCGGCTGTCTCTTTTATTCTGCGCGGCTTGTCTGTCCTTAGTGACCGAGCTCTCACAGTCATTTAAGAAGAGTCAATATGACAGATGACAGACAGATTAGAGGATGAGTGGACTCTGTATTCCCCTGATTTTCCCCTTATCTCTGGATAGAAATGTAATGGGCTGCTGGATCAGTTGTCAATATACCATTTGTTTGAACATGACAGGCCTTTTGTATGATGTAATTGTGTCTTGCCGGCCCATTCTCATGTGTAGCATGCAGCTAGCATTTGTTCAGCAAACCCTAGGTAGAGTACATATTGACTTTTAGAGGTTTTGCAAAGTGTGAGGGATTAAATGTGAATAATTGCTCTTGAAAAACTGTTGCAATGTCTGTGTAACTCCAGTTTGAGCTCCCTTCTACTCACTGAGCCTGTTTTTTTTTGGGAATGCTGGTGTGTGTTTAGAGTCCTGGGAGGTTCCGTTTGAGGAGATCTCCGACCTGCAGTGGGTGGGCAGCGGGGCGCAGGGGGCCGTCTTCCTCGGCAAGTTCCACGGAGAAGAAGTGGCCGTAAAGAAAGTGAGGGACATCAAAGAGACCGAGATCAAACACCTCCGCAAACTCAAGCACCCCAACATCATCACTTTCAAGTGAGGAAACTTGGGAGATCCTCAGGGATCACGTGTGTTTTAACTGCTTTGATATGGTATGTTTTCTGACTGCAATGCTTCCTTGCAGGGGAGTTTGCACCCAGGCTCCATGCTACTGTATCCTGATGGAGTACTGTGCTCAAGGGCAGCTGTATGAGGTGCTGAGGGCGGGCCGTAAAATCACCCCATCTCTTTTGGTTGATTGGTCCATGGGCATTGCTGGCGGCATGAACTACCTGCACCTCCACAAAATCATCCACAGAGACCTCAAGTCCCCAAAGTACGCCGCCGCCGATCTCTTAAACATTCACAAAACCTGGAATTTCATGGCTGAATCCTTATTTTCATGTAACACTGATATCTTATCTCACACTTTACAGCATGCTGATCACCCATGACGACCTGGTTAAGATCTCCGACTTCGGCACCTCAAAGGAGCTCAGTGACAAGAGCACCAAGATGTCATTTGCAGGCACTGTAGCTTGGATGGCTCCTGAAGTCATTCGTAATGAGCCGGTGTCAGAAAAAGTGGACATTTGGTAAGTTTGATCAACACTTTCCTACAGCAGAAGAACTGAAGGACTACTATTCCTTCCTGGGGGATAAAAAGTTGCTTTTTTTATATCGCTAAATTAATTTGTTGTCTTTTATCTCAAAGCTATGTTGACTTCAAAGAGTCCTTAAACATTTTCCCTGATTTACCTCGAAGGTCCTTTGGAGTGGTGCTGTGGGAGATGCTAACCGGAGAAATCCCTTACAAAGATGTGGACTCTTCCGCCATTATCTGGGGGGTGGGAAACAACAGCCTACAACTCCCAGTACCTGAGAGCTGCCCCGACGGCTTCAAGATCCTCCTCAGACAGTGCTGGTGAGTACCACCAGAAGAAGTAGTGAAAAAGCTCATCATTGTGGTATATAGGAGTAGCCTCAGTCTGCATTGTAAGGACTGTATTGATTATCTGTTGTCGTCTTCCTTCTGTAGGAACTGTAAGCCCAGGAATAGGCCGTCTTTCCGTCAGATTCTTCTTCATTTGGACATCGCCTCAGCTGATGTGCTGTCCACTCCACAGGAGACCTACTTCAAGTCTCAGGTATGGCTTCCCCTGAGAGCCCCTGTCTGATTATGTAAGCTCAATACCTGCACCAAAAGAAGTATGCATTTACATTAGTGCTGCAAGATAGATAACCAATGATTTTGATACCAGACAAACTGTTTCAGACATTTTTCAGCTATTTTGATGTAAAAATTTTCTGCTTTTTCTGTCATTTATTCCAGTTAATGAGGAGTCTTTTGGTTTCAGACTGTTGCTTGGATAAATAATGGATTTCGAAGAACTCACTTTTGTAATTTTGGAAAATTGAAGGAACATTTTTCACAATTTGTCGTCCTTTAAAAGGATTGAAGGATTAATCCTAAAAAAAAATTGTCCAATTACGAGATAGTGACAGTAATAGTTAGTCTCAGCTGCATGAATACACAGAAAATAAATGCACAAACTGCCACTTTGCATCATAATCAGACTTTAGCTTGCTCTGGCTAAACTGCACCGGTTAAAATAAAGTGTGCTCTCCCAGGCTGAATGGCGAGAAGAGGTGAAACAGCACTTTGAGAAGATTAAATCTGAGGGTACTTGTATCCACCGCCTCGATGAGGAACTCATAAACCGACGCAGGGAGGAGCTCAGGTCTGTTTCCTCTCAGTTTATCATCTCATATGTTTGTTTTATAGTAACGCAGGGGATCCAACCGGGAGATGATGGTGCTTTTTACTCTTGGCCTACATGTATGAGGCCACTTCCAGCTGGTTATATTTCTCAGTGTCATGCCTTTGTCCGCCCTTGTGCATGAATTAAGTGCCCCGAGTGCATGTCTATTGTGAAGGATTAGGAATCTGTCATGCAGATGCACAATGACAGCAGCCCTTTTTTTTCTTCTCAGGCATGCCCTGGACATCCGCGAGCACTACGAGAGGAAACTGGAGAGGGCTAACAATCTTTACATGGAGCTCAGCGCCGTCATGCTGCAGCTGGAGCTCAAAGAAAAAGAGTTGCAGAGGTGGGGAGAAAATCCATGAAGACGGGTTATAAACACAGTAAATAAACGACAACGCGGTAAAACTTTGGTGTTTTTTCTTCCAGGAGGGAGCAGTCTTTGGATAAAAAGTATCCTGGTTTGTTTAAGCATCACAGCTCCAGACAGAGCAGCTCCTCCAACACCATGGACAAACTCATCAAGAAGAGAAATGTCCCGCAGAAGCTGCCCTCGGGAAAGAGGTGCGGCATCTCATTTTGTTGTTATTTGTTGAAAGATTAATACAAAAACGGCTAAATGGATATTCATTAGGCGAGTGTTGACTAATCCCTTTGTGTCTCCCCAGGCCAGACATCCTGAAGTCTGAGGTAATCATTCCCAAAATGGATTCCTCCGTAATGCAAGTCACTATCCCAGCCTGCCCCAACAGGAGCTCCACTTCTCCCAGCCGATCTCGGAGGGTAAAGACCCGCCACCGCAAGCCTGGTAAGGGCAGCAGCGGGGATCTGGCCGGACTTAAAGCGAATCAGTCCTCTCCTAACAGAGACTCAGCTGCCCAAGCGAACAGCTCCACTAACAACACCTCGAAGCAGCTCCTGGAGCCGTCTGCAGCCCTGCGAGGCCTCAGCCACGAGCAGCAGCAAAGGCAGCTCTCCTCCTCCAGCCCTGACCTCATCTGCACCACGCTGGAAGCAGAGGGGCAAGGGAAAGGGGAGACCTCCGTGGGCGGGCTGGAGAGAGGTGGGAGCCTCAGTGCCTCAGCAGGGTTAGGGGGGTCAGAGGCAGGGGCGGCCGGTCTGGACGATCTCACAGAAACTCCTCCACGCAGCGACACGCCCAGCGAGGATGCAGCTTCGTTTCCGTTCTCCAGCAGCCCAGACTCGCCGTGTGGGAGGGGGGCGGGAGCAGGAAGGGGCTCTCTAGGATCTCCACGTTTGCCTAATGACGGGGACGATAAAGATGATGGAGCGGGTGCTGTGAGGCTGCCTCGAGGGGCATCAGGGGGGATTGGGAGTCAGCACCTTACACCTTCAGCCATCCTGTACAGAGCAGCTATCACACGCAAACAGGTAGAGAGGCGGATTTCTTCTTCTACTACTCTTCAGCATTCCTCTGGTGTCACTTTGATCATCTTTGCTTGTGCATTTTTCCCAACTACAGAGGCGTGGGGTGTCATCCGAAGAGGAGGAGGGTGAAGTTGACAGTGAGGTTGAGTTACCACGGAGACGGTGAGTAACTTTGCATCTTTTGTCACTTTAAACTCCCTCAAGCTTTTCCCCCCTCTCTGACAAGATGACGTTGAAAATTTCCTCACCTGTTTTTGCTCTTTTTCAATCCACTCAGACGTCCGACTAGTATCACCAAGTGTCAGTCGGTGTCCACCTTCAGTTCAGAGAACCTGTCAGTGTCGGACGGCGAGGAGGGCCACACCACCGACCACTCCCACAGCGGCACCCCCGATGTGGTCAGCACCAACACGGATGACAGGCTGGATGACCGCAGCGACGACCTCCTCTCTCAGGGCTCTGAGATCCCGGCGGACAACACGGATCCCGCGCAGGCTTCAGATGGCCTGTCGGAGCGAGACGGAGCCCTGGGCCAGGCCAAAGCTCAGCTGGACGGCGGTCAGAATCCTAATGAGGTAAAACAGCTCCACAGAGGATCGCATGTGTCAGTTCATGTCATCTTTTGAGACTGATGCAAAAACACAACTCCAAAACAAAAAACAGAGATGGAAAATCACTGAGGGGGTACTTTTACTTTCGTCGAGTATACGCATTTAACTAAAAACAAAAATACTGTCACTGTCCTTTACACACCTGATGGATAAAGCTGCTGATGTCACAGATTAGGATTTAAAATAAAAAAATCTGATTAAAGCTGGGAACATAAATAAATTATTAAAGATGAAACCTTTTTTTACTGTTGCCAATTTCAGAAACAACATCTGGTGTGTTGACGCATTTTAGATATTTAATGGTTTTCACATGATTGCATTGTTTTGACAGCTTTGGAGAATTTATGAAAATATCATCAGATAAAAAAAAAAAAAGTCGACTAATACATAACAAACCCATCTATCTCCCAAAACCCAACAGCAGGGGCCAGTTTCCATCTTTAACCCTCACATACTGTTCGGGTCAAATTTGACCCGTTTTGACTTTTAACAGCAGTAAAAATACCCTAAACGTCATTCTTTAAGCCTGAAACTTGATGACTTTTCCTGAAGTTGCCCAAAATACATGAAATTAATTTAAAAATATTCATGTGTATTTTTGTTTATGTGCTACAATTTTTTCCCCTCTAAGGTTGTTACGGGTCAAATTTGACCCGTATCTATATTTAGATGGATTTTAGATCTAGCAGTGTGGGACAAGTGACAAACAGTAACAACAGTGTTCAATATAAGGTTTGTTGTTCAAAAAGATATATTCAAATCATTATGAAACTATCATTACCTTGACAGAAACACACACACACACACGCACACAGACATAGAGTCACACAGACACACCTAGACAGAGGTCAAAATGACCTAACTAGTCAAGAGAACTTTCTGTGACAGAAAGCTGCTCTTTGAACTCTTTGAAGGGGCAATTTTGACCCGGAACATACTGTGAAGGTACAGGATATGAACAGTATGTGAAGGTTAAGCGGCCTGAATTAGACCAGATTCTCATCAATTTATCAGCACAGAGCAGATTTTTAAATTCATGGTACAAACTTTTTGATAATTCTAAGGTTATGGCCTTCTTACTTTAGAAAACTTTTTTTTTTCCAGGAGCAACTGCAGTAAGCTTCACAACTATTAAATAAAACATCAGTCAGAACTTTAGAAAAGAAGAGCTACTTGCAGCCATAAAGGATCTAAATTATTCGTTTTGTGTTCCCGTGCCCTCCACTATGTCTTCAGAACCGAGCCTTGTGTGATGACTCCGACTGCGACAGCGCCGAGCTGGATCAATCTGGAAGCGGAGAGCCCAGCCGCCCACCTAGCGCCGGAGCGTGGGTCTCCCCATCCCAGCCCTACCAGGGGTCTCCACAGGCACCTCACACAGGACCTCCTTAGACCACTGGACACGAGTAAAGACCTGCAACTACCCTGGAATGAACAAGCATCACAGGCGTACACCAATCTGTCAGTGCAGAGCATTACTGTTGTCTAGAGGGATCACACCTAAAACACGGCTCAGACTATGACAAGTCCACTTATGGTGTCTCATGAGTTTGTTTCTGGCAAACCTTCATCAGATGACATAAGACATTTGTCATAACCTGACATCAGATTTTTTGGCAGCTTGTGACATCCGATAATGTCATTTATGTTCAGTAGGGTTTTTTAGGCAAAATAGTTACCAAGGTAACCTTAGCCACTGCTCCAGTTCAGCAAAAACCCTCCACAGACACACGCACGCACAAGATACCACACTTGTCCTTTAAACACTCTAATCCTCACTCTGGGAGCATCCTCCATGATTCTCCACACACTAATGCATCAAATACTAATGCATAATAATGTAAATATCCATGACATACCACATGAGAAATATCTAACTTTATTTTGTTTGTAAGATAAAAATGTAAGACTAAACGGTATGCAGCCCTGTGAACAAATGCATGACTACATGTTTATAATTTATGGTTCGAATGTGTCAGTTTTATATTTTGTGAGAGTTTACACTTTTTTAATCCTGGAAGTATTACTTCAGTTACTTTGCTTTTTGTTAATAAATGTCAGCACTCAAGAAGAAAAAAAAAAAAAGTCAGACTGGAATGAAAATCTCACCGAGACATTGATCATGATGCATAATTAGGATTCTCAGTAGGAAATACATATTATTTTTTTGAACCCTCCAGCTACTGAGTTTCAAAGACACAGGAACATGGTTGAGGTTTTTTGTGTGAAGCTTATCAAGTATGTGACAGGACTGGAAACTTCTGGGTTCACTCTAATTGCACTTTGTGTTTGGAAGGGGGGGCTCAGGGGCGGAGCTAGATCATTTTGACTGGTGTGACCAAACTGGGGCACCAACCAACGAAGGGGTCACATGAAAAATGGAGAACATTTCTTATTTTCATAGCTCCCTTTATCTCCACTTATCAACTATTACTTCACTAACATTTAAAGGTACTGTAGGCAAGAATCAGTTAAAGACGCATTTTTTTTTTTTTTTTGTGGTTTATATACAAAAAAGCTTTTAATATCAGTCAATAGAGATTAGTTATTGATTACATTTGGTAATATCACAATATCGCTGTGTTCTCTTATGCCTGTGTCGTCAACATCTGAGGAGGTGCCAGTTTCTGGGAGAAATCTTGAATGTAAACTCTACCCTTCCCAACCAGTTTTCCCCTCAGCTCCTCCTCTCCCCTCCCTCTCTGCTCCAGCAACCCCCGCCCACAAACAGACGCTCGTGCTCGCTCGTATCGTTCCAATTAAGTTCAGATAAATACTACGAGTGGGGCCCAGTCAACGTGAGAAACATTGGTGCAACTGTAGATGCCAACAGACTACCAGCAAACACAATGTTTGCAGGACTGAGGGAAACAGTATAGCGGCGCTATAACACGCAGCAGGTCCCGTTTGACAAGAAACACTTCTGGTACACACATTTAGCTCATTTTGTTATAACGGTTTACCTGTTAGGACGTGGAGCGTACGTCACAACAGGAGGGAGCAGCGTCTGCCTCACAACCAATCAGGTCGGGGGAGGCGGGGAATGGCTTTGTTTACAGTCGGAATGAGCAGACCGCTCAAAAATGTTAAACAGAGAACACAGCGATATTGGGATATTCCCAAATGCCATCAATAACTAATAGCTATTGATTGATATTAAAAGCTTTTTTGTGTATACACCACAAAAAAGGGGCTTGTCTAACGGATTCCTGCCTACTCCACCTTTAAGTATCACTAAGATGTTACATTTCCTACAAGGGCTGTCAAATTATTAAGATATCTAAATATCTGGAATAATAGCTGGATTTAGATAGCTGAGCCAGACTTTTAATTGCATATTTTAAATTCAATTTTATTGCGTCTCAAAACATTTTTACACTGCATCAACAAAGTAATTTTTCCCCCCATTGTTAAAGCACTTTAGATAATTTACTTGATTTAGTTTAAACCACAGGTCCCTCACTTTCAATGGTTTGCCCATACAGTTGACATTAATCAGAACAGCTGCACATGTAGAGGGGTGATATTTTTATCCCGTTTGGCACAAAAATGCATTAATTTTTCACACATCGACTGAGGTCTCAGTGTTTTTTTTAGTGAAATGTGTTCAAAAGCCCATCAGTGTCTTTTTTTTATCACTGCAGAAGCAGAAAGAATGAAGATGTCACAGCACCTTAGTTAAGGAGTCAAAATTTTGTTAATTTTGCACTCTGCTGACACCCCTAGATTAAGCATATACATGTTTAAAATTAAAAACAAACACATGACCCTGACGATGTTTCAATCTTGAAAAGAACTTAAAAAGAAGATTCATGTCCAAAGTCGCAGTTTGCTGAACTTTGACACAACTCTAAGTCCTTAATTATGTACAATTAAGGTAATACCCCAACATGAAGCACCTTTAGCATATTGTGTCCAACATGTCTACAGAGTAAAAAGATGTTAACAGACACAGCGCAGCAGAACCAGGGGTACTACAATTCCCACAATTCAACCCACTCTTGGTCAGAGTTGAGTTTGTCAGTGGGTTTTGAGCTACTTTGCTTAAGACAGTTAAGCTGTCTTGTGACACTACCTTAAACCTCTAGATCCACCTTAATTGGTAAATTTCCCTTTTAGAGTTGAACCTAACAGGCTCCTGTACTTCACGGTGTTGATAGGCTTCAGAAAAACCTCAGCTGTTCCTCCTACCCTTTAAGATAACTGCAGAAGTAGCCAGATAAGGAATAGAGCACTCCTCTGTGGTGGTTACTCGTAGAACAGTAAGTATCCTTTGGGTTTGAATAGAATTTTTTTTTATACAGCATTGCACATTGTACCTGTAACATAGGAGTTATATCAAAAGTAAAATATTATGAGCAACAATAAAAAATGTATTGGTTAAGAAGACTGTGGTCTGTTTTAAGACACGAGGTGTTGTCATGGCTGCACTTTCTTCTGTTGCCAAGTCACTGAAGTCCGCTAAAACAAGACATTCAAAGAACATCAACTGAGTATTTGAAAATGAGAATTGCTTTTTTTTTTTTTGAAACCCTAAAGAAAAAAAGGAGCCAGAACTGTTTAAGCATTTCACATCTTTTTTTTTTTATTTCTGCATTTCATGTCTTCAACAATTTAATTGCACCCAGATCTACAATAGTTGGAAAACGTGCACAAAAACGTGAGTTTCTTCATCCTGCAAAGAATAATAAAAAATAAAATCTGACCCAGGCAAAAAGGATAGCAGGAAACTAGTGTTAATTCTATAATTCTCCTTCTAGTTAATCATAATTTAATACCTCAGCATAATATACTTATAAAGACAAATATGTCTTGTAGTTTTGCCCCTTGCAGCATTCCCCAGCCCTGCAGTTAAAAAAAATATTTTCTCTATTTAAAACAAACATTTCATTGTTATTATTATCATCATCGTCATTACTATGGTCTTAGTAATTTCAGAGAAAAGACAATATTTTCCTCTCATTCAGGCCCCCCCGTCTAACCGAGGCCCACCCACCCTTAACAGAATCCAATACACAACAATGCTCAAAAGTCCTGATCGAGAAATAAAACGGATGGAAACACAGGAATGACACAAAAACAATTACTCAGCAAATTAGAGGTGAGACAAAACGTAGCTTAAAAATTCTCCTCCGAGCTCCCACTCGACAACAAGGAATAAGTTACCTTCAGTCCAGAAAGGTAGTCACCTGCATCAACTCGAGATCATTTACACCCGCTGAAACCCGTTAAAACCCACAATGCCTCATTCAGGAAGTACAGCCTCGAAAAGAAGATGGCAAATATCAATGATTTCTACCCTTACAATGAGCTGTGTATTAAATAAAAATAAATAGATATTTAAAAAGGAAGGGAAAGAACAGTCCATCTATTATGTTATTGTGTGGTTTTTTTTTCTTCATTTTTACATTTTCTAAGAAAAATCTGACATAAGAAAAACATTATTTATGCCTTTTCAGATTTTTCTAAAACTTTTTACCTATATCAAGATCATACAGATATACAGTAAAATAAGAGGAAAAATACAACAGAATGAAGTCTTTTCAAAACTATATGCAAAGGGAATTTTAAAAACATAATAAATAAATAAAATACCAATATCATGATGATGGTGTAATTACAATTGAGTAGGTGTATAACCAAAGCAGAAGAGAAAACAGTGAGTTTAGAGTACTTGGTTTTTGCATTTAGTTCAATAAGGGACCTCTTGGTAAAAAGTAGGGGGAGGGGTTACTTTAGGTGCTGATGAAGATCCTCCATGTCAGTTGGCTGCGAGTCCAGTAGCTTCAGAAGACAGCCTGAGGAGGACAACAGAAAACAGACTGACCTTAATATTTTAACTTGTGTTAGTGGAGCTCGTGCAGAAGTGGGAAAATTCCCGACAGCTGAAGCAGAACAAACTTGGTGATTAAACAGTCGTCCCAACAAGATGAGTCATGAGTGATTGAACGTCTTTTAACAAGAATCAGACAGAATATGACACTTTTACAACTGTTTACTAGTAAACCAGCATAAATCTACAAACTTATTAATTAAAAAAAAAAGACATAACTCATGTACTTTTCGCTGCAATGGCTCTAAATCAAGGCTAAACATGAATCAGAATGAGATCACTAATCTGCTGCGAGTAAAAAAATATTCAGATTATGGCAGAAAAAGTCTTTTTCAATTATATTCATTCTACATTCATCTGTATGTTGTCCTTTATTAAATCTAAATGGCTACATGACACGTTCATCGACAAAATATTTTGAATCCTCCTTTCCAGCTCGATCAACATTCTCTGAGTTCAAATGAAGCCCACCATTGTCTGGGGTAATCTTAGAGATCTTTGCAGGCTGAGCATCGTTGAAAACATTTGGCATACACGGTAAAAACACAGTGTAGTTTTCAAAGATGTTGGTGTAGACATATTGACGATTATACACAGTTTTCTATCTACCCAGACACATTTCACAGCTGAATTTAATGTAAAGTAATTACTACCGGTGGATTTTCATGGTTGGTGAAACAAAGCATTGACACTTTGTCTCTTTTTAAATAAGCATGAGCAGCACCCTTTACTTCTGAAGAGTTTGATTAAAACTGCTACACAGCCCAATTAAAACAAGAAAATAGCAGCAGATTTATAAAACATCTGTAAACTCCGACAAACTGCACTTGGTAAAAGTTTATAAATTAAGACACAAAGTAAGTTGGGCCTAAAAAAACTGAGCCTCCTGTCAGTTTTCTGCTCTGTGATGGACGTGTCCCACAAACGTAAAGCTTCTTACCGAGCATTGATCAGGTACTCAGCCAGGCTGATGCTGGCGTGGGAGCCGGTGATGGTGACCTGTCTGTCAGTGGACCCCTCCACTGGGTTGGCAATCTTGATCTGAGCCCCTGACATCTGACGGATCTCATTGATCTTTGCGCCCTGACGGCCAATGATGCAGCCAATGAGCTAAAGAAGAAACAAGGGACAAAGTGAGAAACCGGCGGTGTCAGGAAAGTTATTGACGAGGCGAATAAGCCGCTTAAACTACATTTCATAAAAGGTGTAAAGGTTACTCACATCATTTGGAATGGTCAGCTCATGTGAGCCAGTTTGTGCAGAGGCATCCATCCCAGCTGAAGAAAAGCAAAGAAACAACATGAGAGTGTTGACACGGTGGATTATTACAAATCTACAGCTGCGGCGCTCCATCTTTCAATCTGTCCACCTACCCTGGAAGCCCTGGTTGCTATGTGCAATAGGGAAGGGGCTCTGCTGCATGGCCAGCTGGTGAAGTTTGGTGAGCTGTTGAAACAAAGGAGTAGACAACATGGACAGCGAACAAAAAAATTATGAGTGAGGAAAAATGTGAATGAATTCTGAAATTTTGTAATATTTCCCTTTGGTAAGTGGTTGTAGTGAAAATGAGAGGAAAACATGAAATGGATGGACAAATGGAAGTTCTGGTTTAGTCTAAAAGGGTCAAAGAAATATAAAAGTGTTAAACGGTTAAAACAAATTTGGAATAAGTGAAATTGTTAAATGGGAGTCAGGCAATGGTGTTGGAGAAATAAAGAGTCAGGGGGGATGAAATAAGAAAGTGGCATGGCTTCCCAGGACCGAAGTTGCAAATATACTGGATCACTTACAGAGGGCCCTTCACTTACATCAGGCTGTGGAATGGCGTGCTGCCCTTGGACAGCGTATGCCTGCAAGGAGAGAAGAGTGCTTAAGAGGGTGTGGCAGTGTCACACACAGTGAACTCCAATATCTATCAGTCCTCTGTCCTTGATGTGTCACGAGAACAAAGTCAGCCAGGCGACAGACAGTACACCAAAACTTAAGAGGAAGCCGCAGCATAATTTAATTCATTCGATCATTTTTCACCAATGACATCTTTAGAGAGCAAAAACATGTTGTTGTTGTTTACCTGACCACCTGCAAAGATGACAGGAGAGCCTGAGGGTTTGGGTCTGTATGGGATGGTCACTCCCTTTGGTGGGGACTGAAAGGACAGACGATACAGAGACTTATTACGGATCAGTGCCAGTATCAAAAATCAACCGTTTACAAAAAGAGCACAAACAGCATTATCTTCAGCAGCATCCTCACCTCAAGCATGACGACACAAATCTGCTTGACACACTCAATAATGGACTGAGGGGTCCCTGCAACGGTGATGGCACGCTCTGTTGAGTTGGGCAACATGTCCCCTGCTACTTGTACCTGAGCTCCTGCTGACTGCAAAACCCCATAAAACAGAAAACGATTTACAACGGGCACGCAATATACCAGACGAGTTCAATCTAAATGAAAGGGAGAGCGTGACAAACCTCTCTGATTTCCTTGATTTTGCAGCCACCCTTGCCAATGAGAGAGCCGCACTGGCTGGCAGGCACGACAAGGCGCATGGTGACCGGCGGTTTGCTGGTGGCTGTACTGTTAGTCATTGAGTTGCTGATGTCCTGCAGCGAAGATGACAAAACAAGAGTTAAAGAAAAAACCACCACGCACCCATGCACTACATAAAATAGTTTCATGTTAAAAGTCTATGACTCGACAGCAGACACAGCTTTTCTAAATTGGCTTCATCCAACATTAGCTTAGCAGTTGCTCAGCCAGCTCCCTTGTTTGAATCCTTTGGGGTTCATTGTTTTTACAGTTTTCAATCAGAGCTGAATTATCCACAAAGTAATTAGAGCAAGCTTTCAACTCTCAGGACAGTAGATGCAGATTACATGTTTAAAAAATCATAGCACATTATCACAAACATTGTGTAATTACCTAACTAGTAGTAGTAGTAGTCATTTATTCAGTCATGACACCACCAAATATTGTACACAATATTGACATTTCACACAAAGTCATTAAATCAAGAATCCTGTGTTGAATATTATCTTTAAAATCATAGGCAGAAGCAGACTGCTTATAAAAGCCTGTCCTGTATTGTCAACTTTTTAGGCTACCGACCTCCAGAAACGAAAATAAACCACAACAACAGATAATTAATCACACTTATAAGCTTCAAAAATAGCTTTACAAACCATTTTCTTAAAAACCAAAAAAGAATGACGTTTATAGATTTATGTCGGCGTCATTCCAGAGACACATCAGTCAGGGAGCATTTTTGATTTTGCTCTAAACATAATTTGCATTATTTCATAATAAAACAGATCATAAAATTTCATAACATGAGAATTTAGAAAAGGATCATAATAATCAGTCTTATAGATAATACATACAGCTCGTTTTTGCAGTTTTATTATTGAACTTATAATGGTTTTAAAGGTGGATCCCCACAGCTCTACACAGTAAGATACATAGGGAACAATCAATGAGTAGTAGATCAAATGCAAGGCCTTGGAATTCAATACTTTTCTCGATTTGTACAGGACTGGAAGTGAGTTTGAAATTTTCCCTTCAATGTAGTACTAGTCCACTCTCACTGACTATTTGCACCATTAGAACAAAATGGGAAAAATTGTGTTGTTACTACAACTAATTCATGAACCAGCGTGTCAAACTAACCTCCTCCAGTTTCTCAATGATCATGGAGAAGGCTTTAAAAATAGAGGTGGTTGGTCCCGCCAGGGTTATGATCCTTTCCGGGCAGTTCCCCTCTGAGATATTGATGCGAGCACCACTCTGCGCGAAAACAAGAAATATTGAGTCAGTCGCAGTTATCATGTGAAGCAGACTTAGTGTAACAATAAATCACGTATTCTTACCTCCTCTCTCATCTTCTTCACTGACTCTCCTTTCTATAATGAAAATACAAAAACACAATCTTTACAAAACACAAAAGCGGGCAAGAAGAGGACAGGATCATTGTGGCTGTAAAAAAAACAACTTACCTTGCCAATAATGCTTCCAACCTCCTGCAGAATAAAAGCAGAAAAAGGCACATTAGAGCTAAAAATGCACCTTGTTGGTCACTGGCAGAGGAGAAGCTGAAGTACTTTGTTTTCATTTTGCTGAGATGGCTTTAAATCAATTAAAGAGAGTGGTAGCTCGGGTTTTAACCTTGTTATCAAATATTTCATCCAGAGAAACCCACCTTGCCGTGCATGAGTAGCCTGATGGTTAAGGTGACATTAAGTCCTCCTTCGACAAGACTTGAGTCCATTGCTGCAGCTGACTCCAGGATTTAAACTGGCCGAAAAGCGGGTCTTTGGTCACTGTGTGAATGTCTGCAACAGAGTGGAAAATGTGACCATCAGGGACAAATGTAGTTACTGGAAACTATGAGAACATGTCAATGGAAAACCTTGTTTACTACAAAAAAAGCTGCTGTCAGAGCAGATGAATGAAGTGATGCGGGCAGTTAACATGTTGTCGACTCAGGCTAGTAACTGTACTTTAATGACGGTAGCAAGCCTATCTGAAAGAATGGGACATTTCAGCTCAGTAATTGACATTAGACTGGCCCGAGTCCACTCATTCACACCAGCACAATGACCCACTGTCTCCCAGCGGCCGCGACTACTTCCTGGGATCGATTATCAGCGGCGATATAACACTTCTCTTTAATAAATTCTTAAAAGCAGCAAACACTTCTTCCTCTCCATACTGCATTAAGTTTTTACAGCTCGTTTTTCCACAGTAAGAGTGTAAGACTCAAAGGGAAACATCGCAAAACCTATTTTTGGGAAGGCATCACAGCTAGTCACGCAAGCGAGATTTGTAGGCTGAGTTAGCGCCGATAGCCTGAGATTCAACCGCAACTTCCTGACTCTTCTTATTCAGGAATAGCGCTCTAAACTCAATATTCCACCCAGAAATATGTCCAAAACTACTAAGAGCGGTAAGGGCTAACTAAATCAACTCTAGGGCTACATAGCTCGGTAATTTTCCATCCGGGGCGCTAACGTTAGCATAGCCCGATCCAGGAAATAGTCCTATCCCGCGGCCTAGGAAGCGCACAGAGGCACGCCGAGTTTTCCCCGTCCTTCACTCACAGAGGGAAAAAACAACAAAGCCATTTTAGCGGAGGTCTTACCCGAACCGTCCCTTGAAGAGTGTTCAGGGGGTGGGTAGGGTGGCAAGGGTGGAAGGGGAGAGGTTCGGGAGGGAGTTGTAAGAGGATCCGGGGAAGAGGGAAAAGACTCGGCTGTTCGATCTGACTCCACTCTTCAGCTTGGCACAAAAGACAAAATGAATTCAACTCTGACCTCTCAACTGCCCCGCCCCTCTCCGTGGGTCGACTCCGCCCACCCGGGGGATGCTGTGATGGAGGATTTTTGTTTCTTTTTTAAAACTGCGAAATTTACCCAAAACCCAAGCGTTAAGAGCACTTTGTTACTAGATCTAAATAATAGAATCATGGAAATAAAGGGGTTAATTTTTATCCTGTTAATAATTCTCCTTTGAATTGACTTTTGTTATGACTTCTGTCTAATCTTAAATTGTTTTGTACGGTGGCTGAGAATGGCCACTGCTGCAAATAAAAAAGAATGCAAAAAAAAAAGAAGCCAGAACGGAAGTTACTAATGAACAACAACAAAAAAAGAAGCCCGCAGCAAATAAAAAAGAGGTGGTGCTAAAAAATAAAAAATAAATGTAAAAATTTAAAATTAGATACTGCAAAAATAAAAGGATGCATATAAAAAATGCCACAATGGAAGTTACTGATTAAAAAAAAAAAGAAATAACAAAAACAAAAACAAAGCCCGCTGAAAATAAAAAAAGAGGCTGTTCAGATAAAATAAATAAATAAATAAAGCCATAATTGAAGTTAATGATGCAAAAAAAATGTGGCAATGCAAAAAAATAAAAATAAAAATTCTTACTCCAAAAATAAAAGGATGCAAATATAAAAGCCACAATGGAAGTTAGCTGCTGGGAACCAATAATGCAGATGCACCTTTGTTTTACTATCTAGGCTCAGAAGACGACAGCAAGAAGATGAGCAAAGAAGTTAGTGAAAAGGTTTTTTATGTTTTATAACATAACCACAGGGCTCCAGAACTGCCACTGCTGCAAAAAAAAAAAAAAAAAATGCAAAAAAAGAAAAATTTTGCACAATGGAAGTTACTGATGCAAAAGGGAAAAGAAAGAAACCGAAGCCTACTGCAAATAAAAAAAGAAATGGTGCAGATAAAAAAAAAAGCCACAACAGAAGTTAACAACACACACAAAAAAAAAAAAAAAAAAAAAAGTGGTGATGGAAAAAAAAAGTTACTTATTGCAAAAATAAAAGGCCACAGGCTCAGGTGCAACATGGCCTGACCAAATGACACATTGAAAAGCACACAAAGCAAAATTAAACTATAACCTTCTCACTAACTTCTTTGCTCGTCTTCTCATTGTCGTCTTCTGTGCCTAGATCGTAAAACAACTCATTATTTGTTGTATTTTGTAATTATTATTATTATTTTGTATATGTCATTGTGTTTAATATGTCTCGTACTTTATATTGTATTTTGTAATTTGTTGTCAATGTGTTTTGTGATGAGTTGTGTTTGCACCTCCTCGTTTACATTTTTGTTGAAGAGAATATAAAAAGTACAACTGCATGTCTCCTTAGGGTTTCCATATCACAAAATATGAACTCAACTGCAAACCTGGTGGTAAAACTTGCACCATCTAAAATCAATGATGTTATTTTCTCTTCTTTAGGTATTTTTATTCCAAACACTCTTTTTGCAAAGTTTCATCAGGTCAGATGTCTTTTATGCAAATGCCGCTCATTTGGGGAATTTTAAGATGTGGAGCCGGGGTTGCTACAGACTTTCATCAGCTGTGAAAAAACACATTTTATCAGTAATTCCTCAAATCATATGAATGCTCAGTTTCTGATTTATTAAATCTATTTCTCTTTACCAGTCGATCCCTCCGGTTGGTCTAGTCAGCGTGTACCAGTCCATGAAATAATGACCCTGTTACTATGAGGCAGCAGTTCTTACTTTACATCTTTCACTTTTTGGGGGGTTTTTGCCGTCCAGTTCACTCTGAACAATCAAAATATCAAGCATAGACTGTCAGGGTTTATTCACCATAAAGGTCACTCTTGTTGTTCAAAATCTATGCCCTATGCTCCAGTGTAGATCATGTCAATGAAAGGCCCAACTTGGATCTGTATCCTGGACCCTCTTGCTGTGGGGCAGACATGCAACCACCACGCTACTATGCTGCCTTGCAAACTGCACTTGATGCAGTCTAGCCCTAAAACTGAAGGCTCTATGCTTAGATTTGAACCCAGAAGCTGCTCACTGTGTGGCAGAAATGCAAACCTCTACATGAATATCTTATAGTACATACCAGAAAGGTTTTCAAGCAATCTCCAGGTAATGCTAGTAATTCAAAATCCATGGCCTAGATTGAACTTTGAAGCTTAAGTTCAAACTTCAACTCTAAATAGTTGCTTTGCAGTGGTCTTTTGTTCAGGTTTATATACTTACCACCTTGTTAGTAATTTAAAAGTATGTCCAGTCTCCAGTGATAGGAGAGTTATCTCACATGGGAAGGGATGTGTTTGCTCTGCTCTGCACATTGAGTAATAGCAGGGGTTAGCGGGACCTCTGTGAAGCATTATAACTTTATGACTTTTCTCCTTTTATGAATATTTTGACTGTAAATGTATGTCTGTTTTTGTCTTCACAGAATAGTGCTGCAGATATTCATTAATCCAACAGATGGCGCCATGACTCTACTAGAAGCACCTCTGCATCCTCACAGACCTCACAGAGAGGGAAACACTCCTTGTTAGGACTCAACCTTTCTGACAGACACTTGACAAAACACATTAACTGCATCTTTGTGAAAAAATAGATTTACCACAATGATAATCAGCCTAGAATTAATGTGATGATTAAAAATCTTAAATAACTGGAATATTGTGCTGAATGAGTCAGCATCTTTCTAGCAATTGCTTTTCAGTGAGAGAGAATAATATCTGGGATTATTATCCTCCTCTTAATCTCTCAACAGTGATGGTAGAAATACTGGAAGCAGCAATATTACAGTATAGAAATAATCCATAAAGTCAAGCATTTAAATCTTGCTGAGTAAAACAGTAGAAGACACTCAAAATCTAACTTGAGTTAAAAGATGATAAGTCGTACTTTCTTTACATGCTATCGAGTGTACTTATCGTACTTTTATTATCACATAAATGTTCATGTTATGAGGTGTTGTGGGATGGAAAGTAAAAGTCATGATTTGGGAGTCTACTCATGTAAAAGTAGAAAATACTCAACTTAAAATTCACTTTAAGTACCGAGTACTATTTATATAAAGTAGGATACAACCCCCAAATTTTGTTAGAGTATAGCTTCCCAAGCTAAGTGACAAAGAGTTGCAAACAGGAGACTATCAATGTGAGAAAAGATTATGTTCATGCCAGAGACAGCCCTGTTTTTACAAGAAATGATCAATTTGACTGATAAAATTGTCACCAGGATGATTATTTTTACCAGAAGACAATACCTGAGCATGTAGAGGACAAACTAAGCAAAGACTGCGTTGTCCACGGTGGGTGCCAGAATGGGTACAAACCAAAAGTCTGTTTCAGGGTTTTAAAGTTTAAGTAAATGTCTTCAAATACTTTTTAGACTCCAAAGCCTCTCAGTGCCGCCTCTGTCAGCCCTCAGGAGCAGAGGAGCAGTCAGTTTGGATCACACAGTCAAAGGTGCTCAGCGTGTGCCGCCCATAAAAATGATTTGAACTTAAATCCGGCGACATTTTCACTCAGACATTTTGATTGTAAAATAAATACTGCTGTGATGTTTGTACCTCCGGGCTTTCACCCTGATGATGTTTGAAAACCTGACACTGATTTAAAAGTAAAACTGCTGATACAGTATCAACGTGGCTAAAAGGAACACTTCAGGAACTCACCTTGTGACCTGAAAATAATGAGCCTCAGCTTTCATATTTGTGTGTTTTTGTATACAGTGAATATGATGGATGACTCTCTGCCCAATGATGGATTGCTTTGTTTTCTGCAAGGCTGTTGTTTTGCCGTTTTTGTCACATGATTGATGGGATAAATGAGGATCTTAATTGTCTGCTAGTGTTTGTTTTGCATTAGGGGAGTATGAAACAAAAGCCTCTGGACTGTACAGTTAAAACCCAATGTGTCATTATATTAGAGTTCTATATAAGCCTGAAAAGCAGAGGAGAAAGAAGGGGAACAGTATAGCCCTATAACCATGTGCTCATGGTCTGGTTGACCGAACTCATCCAGCACATATTCATTAATCTGGTGCACATCACAGCACCCACAATACAATTAGTCAATGGTCAGAATAGCCTGCTATTGTCTGTAACCAATCTTCTAGTCCCCTGAATCGTTAATCCTGTATAAATCCAATTCTCCATCAGGACTGATGTGGTTCACACGCTGTCGTTTACATGCGGGGATCATGAATCATGTCTGTCTCGCTTTAATGGATTCAGAATCAGCCTAGGTTCGATAAACTGCCTCCACACTGGAAGAAAGTGAGCACAGCGACTCTGAAAGCACTTTGTCTCAGCACTTCCTGTTTTCTTTCTCCCTCCTCAAACATGAATCCAGGCCGTAGATGTTGGTTTTACAAAGCCATCTGCAGTGCCGCCTGAATGTTGGTGGCAGGCTTACAAGGCATGCTGGTGTTTTTAAAATAGAAGCAGAGCTGACCAGATTTGCCCCAACCAGACACCGTCACGCTCCAGCAGCAGGTAAAACATTCACTGTAAGTACACCCCCTGCATACTGCATGAATAAGGCTGGTTTTAGCTCTCCCTAAAAGAGACCAGTGACGTGTGAATAAATAAAAAAACACAAAGTGAAAGACAAAGACGTGCTTTTTCCTGTCCAAACAAAAGAGTTTTAATTAGAGTAAAAAATGCCTGATTCTTTGATGTGAAGAGCGGTCGCAGAGAGATGGATTATACAGCAGAGAGGAGGTGTGAGCTCTTCAGCTTTTCCAATCAGCCTGGCCTTTTATGTGCGTCTCCCCCTGTCAAGCAATTGCTTACATAATCATCTGCTTACTCTAATCTCTGCATCTGTCCCGTATTTCTGTGCTCTTTTAACGCGTCCCCACTTTTCCCTGCTGTACCCCTGGATACCAAAATTCAATGCAAACTCAGGCCATGTTTCCTGGTTTTCTCCTTCAGTGCTTTTATCTGACATGCCCACTGGTGCTCTCACCCTCTCTTCTGTTCCTCTTTTCCCGTCAGTGAGTGGTCATTGATTACCGTGCACGGATTG